TATGATCGGAAGTAAAAGACACGTTAATTAATAACGGACGGACAGTGCTTACGTAATGCGTGTGCCTTTTTATAGTCAACGCAACGTAGGTCGCAACGTCATTACGAATGCTCGACGTCATTCGCGATTTCAAAGTCGCTGCAATATGATTCTTTTCACTTTCTCTCTCTCTCTCTCTCTCTCTCTCTCTCTCTCTCTCTCTCTCTCTCTCTCTCTCTCTCTCTCTCGAAATAACACGTCGTTACTCGCTCGTCACGTAGTAAAGGAACTCTAACGGAGGTAATCCGGATTCTTCTCATAACTGTAATTTGTAATCGTAACGGTATCGGCGCGACGCGTGCGTGCGTGACGAATAAGTTCATTTTCTGCCGCAAGTAATTTTACATCGAGCGCCTTTTTGCACCCAGGCCGTTTTATTTATAAAGCAATGCATTCTTCGCGTCGCAACCTCGCGAAGAATTCACTTTCTTCCGTGAACTCGCTTCACCTGCCGGTGTCCGGCAGATCGCTGTCACGCGTTTAAAATGCGTGCGTGCGTACTACTGTGATCAAAAAATAAGGTGAATTTTTCATTTAAATTACTTCGCGGGTACTATAAAATCATGAAATTATCTTTTTGTGGCTTGGTAGGCACTGTCTTTGACATCTATGCAGAGTTTCATGTCAATATATTCAATTGCTGCAGAGCTATACGTGTTTTTGTAAACATACAAAAGTGAGTTTTTCGATTTTTACTATGTCTGATTTTGTTGAGCAAAGAATTTGCGTTAAATTTTGTTTTGCGGAATGAATATTCCGCCGCGGAAACGTTGAGGATGTTGCAGAAGGCTTTTGGTGACAAGGCTATGTCGCAAAAACATGTTTACAAGTGGTACAAAGACTTCAAAGAAGGCCGAGAACGAGTTGAAGACGAACAGCGCCCCGGACGACCATCAACATCTACCGATGAAAGCCACGTCAAGGAAATCAAACTGTTAACAGGAAATATTATTTGAGTGTTATGCGTCGTTTGCGTGAAGCTATTCGCCTCAAGAGGCCAGAATTATGGGCGGACAATTCTTGGTTTTTTGCATCACAATAATGCACTGTCCCACACTGCATTGGCACTCTTCGAGAACATTTCGCCAAAAATTCGACCCATATCGTTCCACAACCACCGTATTCGCACCGTATTTAGCACCGTGCGACTTCTGGCTGTTCAACAAAAGTTCTCAAAAGACCGCTCCGGGGACACCGTTTCGATTCGATTGAGGAGATAAAAGCCGAATCGAAGAAAGTATTGAAGGCCATCCCGGAAAAAGACTTCTCTGACTGTATCGAGGATTGGAAAAACCTCGGCATAAGTGCATTGTGTCGGACGGGGAGTACTTTGAAGGCGATGAAATTGATTTGGAAGAATAAATAAAGATTTTTCATTTTATAAACAAATTCACCTTATTTTTTCATCACAGTAGTAGGCAACAACAAGACGGACGTAATTTGCGAAGGAAGTGTAATGACCCGGCTACGAAACGGTAGGAAAGCGGCAAGAACAGAGGAAGCTCATTAGGCGTGTAAAATATTTGAAATCTTGTCCCAGCCGAGGTCCTCTCCTCGACAGGGATCTAATTGGATCGTAAGAGTCGAGAGAAACCCCGAAAGAAACCCCGAAAGCAAGACCCGAGGCTGGAAATCGACGCGACGATATATATATTTTTCGTTTGACAAGTTTGACAACCGGCTGATTTTCAATTCACTGTATTCTCGCGTAAATAAGAAGCAAAGTATATTCTCGATCAAATCGCCGTCGGTGTTCGCAAGGAACCTTCCGTCCCACTTTCGAGGACGACGACGATCTTCCCACTTAGCCGGTAAAACGGCTCCGTTTTCGGAGGGAGCGATGTTTGAAAAATTCTAAGACGCGACCGAAGGCGCGCAAATAGAAAATTGGGGCCAGTAAAAATGTTCTGTTTACATTGGAGCCGTTCGACATATCGCCCGGTTATCTGCGCTTTTGCTTTCTAAATATCTCGGGGCCCTCGGCCTCGGGGTATATGAGGAGTACCACCGTGGACCTTTCTCGAAACGTCTCTCGATATATTTGGGTTACTTATATGGCGCGCGAACGCGCCAATCCGCGTTCCCCCATGTGCTTACGCAATGCCATTTTTTATCGAGACTCCGTCTTTCTCTCCCCCTCTCTCCCTCTCGTCACATTCCGCTAGATTCCAAAGAATGGAAGTGGCAGGCAGCACGCAGCACGGAAGAAAGTACCTACCGCCGATACCCTCATCGAGTCGTCTCATTTGAATTTTTCCTTTATTTTACAACTTTATTATCCCGCCGCGACTCGCCGATGCATTCTGAAATTTACGCGAAACAAACACAGCGGACAGGACAGAACGATCCTTCCGTCCTCGCGAGACTGCATGACTACATCAGGTACGTATGTACTACGTCGCTACGAAAGAAAAAATCGACGTGACAGGAAGCGTTGAGCGTGACAAAAAGTATACACAGGCGGAACTCTTTCCAAATCTGTTCTCCGACATTTTCCTCCGAACCGCGGAAGAGGCAGAGGCAGAGGCATCACTTTTTGTGTTTTGTGAGTGCTCGCTGCGCCGTGACTCACTCTGCGTGTGTACACACACTGGTATCTGTGCGCGAACCTGCAAATTGTACAACGCGCGCGCGTGGAAGCGGATATCCTAAGCGCGCCTGATCGGACACAGCGAAACGTGTCCGGTGACACGTTTGCTTTCCAAGGCCCCCGAGTCGAAGCGATCTGGAGTGATCTGGGTCCGCCCGGAGCTAAACTCCGTGAGTGATTTATGAACCGGAATAACGAGAACGCGTCTGTCCCCCTCGAGTTTGACTTGAGTTGACGAGTTATAGTATAACGACGGACGCGAGTCGCTCGTCGGCGAGACTCTCTATAGTAGCGAGCGACTCTGTAGTCGCGAAGACGAGGGAATTCACTTTCATCGGTGAGCCAGCGCCACGCCAGCTCTCGTCCATCTCTCTCTCTCTCTCTCTCTCTCTCTCTCTCTCTCTCTCTCTCTCTCTCGTCTCGGCGCGACGTGTTAAACGGATAACACGCACTTAACGTGTTTTAGCGGCTACCGCTAACCGCTTGTTAAACCGCGTCTGCCACTCGAGCCGCTGCTTCTCAAAGCTGCATTGCGAATACGCGCGCCTTACTTTCTTGCGGAGCAAGAATAAGCCTCGCCGCACGGCGAGGCGCCACAGGCGAGAGCAGGCCGAGCGCTTTCGCTATCATCGCCGAACAATTTCGTGAACGAGTTCGCCTCGAGTTGGCGATTTAATTTTCTCACTCGACGCGCCGCTCGTCATTATATATCGTCCTCGTCGCGATAAAAAGCGGAAAACGCGTCCCTCCGCGTTCCTCCGTGTGGAAAAGAATCGCGCACGGTGTTTTCGCAGGCGGCGCTTTCACTCGTCGCTCCGCTCGTTGAGAACAGCAACCGGCGCGCGGTGCGCGCGGCCGATTATCGCTCGGAAGGAAAACCGCGCGCGAAAAGGAGCAATTAGAGTCTCGATCGAAGGCTTCTCTAAAGATCGCTCGTAACTCTTGCCGCACATTACGACGGCATTGCCGTCAGAATCCGGAATCGTCTCCAGCGACACGCGTCGTGATCGCGCGCGCTCTTCCCCATCGAGATGGTGATTAATAGCGCGATTTTCATCACTGCCGCTAAATTATTGATGCCCACACACGGAAGGTGTGTGAACGATGCCTCGCGGAGTTTTCCGCTTTCCGGGCATCATCAGAGTCCTGAGGTCCTGCGAAACGGAACTGATGACTCGCGGGAATCTCCTCAACGGCGGGGATGAGCGCGCGAACGCGGCTGGTTGAAGATTCGAGAGGCGACGTGTGTGTTAACGTCGCCATAAATGAACTTTCCGCTCCGAGAAAGAGAAAACTAAAATAAAAGTAAAAATGATTAAACAGAATATTTTAGTAAAAAGCTGGGGGAAATTGATCGCGCACACGATTACACGATCCAGATAGCGCAAGACGTTTCACAGTCATACCGAATATGTCCGTGGCGTGTCTCTCTCGGGAGTTTCCGGGAGGGGACGCCCTGAACGTATCCGACGACAATCCCATGAGGTCTTGGCCTATCTGGAAGGTTGTTAATTCTGAAAAATCATGCGGCAGGCACGTGGCAAGCAAGATTTACTTGAAAAATTTCGGTTTATCACAGCCGGTTGATCTACCGGCCGTTCGTTCCTTCACATACAGATCTGTTCACGTGCAGATTTATCCTGTCCGCCTCGATAAAACGCGCTCGATGATTTTCCTTTTGTGTCTAGCGGCTTTAGGGTTTACGGCGAGAAAAATGAACCGTCTCTCCGTTACTACGCGGGGAGAGACTCTCGGTACTCTCGCGAGACGCGCAATAAAAAAGAGCAGATGAACACGTTGCGCCGCCGCCGCCGCCGCCGTCGCAGCAGTGTTGTTACATACTTCCTTTCTCCGCTTCATTCTCGATCTCGGTATAATCTGGAGCGCGAGGCATAACCTTGTCACATAACCTTGCCTTGGCTTGAACTTCACCGTTGAAACACATGCTCGCGAATAACCGAGCGCGCCCAAGTGATCTCGCTCAACCGGATCGTGCTCTTGATCACTTTCTCCGAACGATCCGGCATCTCACCTCCGCGACGAACCGCGGCGGTTCCGACCACGCCGGAAGTGGGGGAGGAGGAACAGTCCGAGAGGACAGTAGGGGAGAGTTTTTATCCGTTTCAGGCGCGGCGCGGCGCGGCGTGGCGTGTTACCGTGTCTACCTTGTATCTACCTCACCTCGCCCTCGCCATCTTCCTACCATCCAAGCGTGGTGGAATTCCCCCGCTTCCGATTCCACCGCTTGTGGTGGCCTCGGTTGGTGAGAAACCACCTCCATCAGGCCGAGGTCCGCCACCACCTTGACGGACCCGTCGCTTCTTACAGCGTCGCTCCTGCGGTGCGATGCCTTCGGGGAGGACACGCGCCTATATAACTACGGCGTTCCAATGATTGGACGAAGTAAGCTACGTTTTCCTGCGTCCAGGGAACAAGAGTACGCGGCCCGAGCCCAACGGGCGGCATTGCGACAGATATGAGGATTCGCCCGGGATGCGCGGTCAGTTGTCACTCTTTTTATTTCTTTCACCGATCGCGAAACGTGTCTGCGTCATTCACATATTCGCGAATTCGCGAATACTCGCTGGCACGCGAGAGAGAGAGAGAGAGAGAGAGAGAGAGAGAGAGAGAGAGAGCTTGCTCTATGCTTCTTCAATCGTCGTCGTCGTCGTCGTCAGTCGTCATGAAATTTCACGCGCAAAGCTTCCGCTCGATCTGCTGCAACGTACGGCAGTTTAGATTCGCGCGAGTCGATTTATTCGACGCGAAACGAAACGAACGTTGTTTTCAAGAAGAAAACGCTCTTGCGGTTCCTTCTTCTGCCTATCATTAACATACTAACCGGAATCACAAATTTATTCCGTGATCGCGCGATCAGAGGAATTTAATTATCTATATACATTCATTAGAATTTTGGGACGCTAGACTTTAGGATTTATAGGACTTCAATCAATCGAGTCTACGGGTTCATAATCTCTTTATTTTTGAGAATTATTAGAGAATTACGACTTGACATATCCATATATGGCATTGTCTACCGCGAGCGCGACTAACTTTCTCTCTCCGCTCTGTCTTCTCTCTCTCTCTCTCTCTCTCTCTCTCTCTCTCTCTCTCTCTCTCTCCCCTCCCCCAAGTAAAGAGGGCATTAATTTGCGAATCCGCACGCGTTTTCAGAGATTCCAGGGTCTGTAAACTTTTAAATTTATGCACTCTCGCGTGTTTCGAAAATGTCTCGAAAATGTATTTCATTTCGATCGGCTCCTCAATCAGTCTAGTTCCGCGTGGACGTAATGCTTCGATTTACGAGTTACATTCGCAAAAATTGATATTTTCCGCGCATGAAATGAACATACCGCGTGTCAGTCGATAAGATTATCCTGACACATCGTGACGATCCAAGTCTCGTCCTGACTTGAATACGGCGGCATTGTTTAACGTCAGCGAAATGTATAAACGGGATGTGTAAAGAGAGATCTCTCGGCCGGCCGGCGGCCGAGTTTCCGTCAACTCGTGTTCTCATTATTGTCGTGATATTATGTTGTCTGTAGGCTGCACTAGCGGTGCTACTGCAGGCCGCTCTTGTGGCGAGCAAGGCTCTGGATCAAACGCAGCTGCAGCAGCGGCAACTACAACAGCAGCCTCCGTACGTATTATGTGACAACAAAGCAGTTTATCTAGATCATTAATCTTGAATGTTCTTTATGATACTTGGCAACAAGGTAAAATTTTCATCGGTAATAATATTGTGAAAAATTCCGATGAATTTACAGATCCGATAAAGCGGCGCAAAAGCGATGGGGAGGTGATTATGGTACTTCAGCAGATGGTGACGTCGGGGGCCACTTCGGTGGTGGTGGTGATGGTGGTCATTTTGGCGGTGGTGACATCGGAGGTCATTCCGGCGGTGGTGACATCGGAGGTCATTTCGGTGGCGGTGACATCGGTGGTCACTTCGGTGGCGGTGACATCGGTGGTCACTTCGGTGGCGGTGATGTTGGAGGTCACTTCGGTGGAGGTGACATTGGTGGCCATTCGGATGGGGGTGACATCGGTGGGCATTTCAGTGGCCATTTGGATGGGGGCGGCGGCGGCGGCGGCGGCGGCGGCGGCGGATTTGATGCCCATCACGACGATCATCATCATGACGAAGGTTACTGGAAAAAAAAATTAATCTGGAAGCCGGGCTGGAAGAAGATCTGGAAGCCGGCGCAGAAGCAAATCTGGAAGCCCGCATGGAAGAAAATCTGGAAACCTATCTGGGTGCCAACTCAGAAGGCGGTATGGAAGGAAATTCAGGTCCCCGTCTGGAAAAAGATCTGGAAGCCTGTGTGGAAACATATTCAGGTGCCGGTGTGGAAGGAGATACAGGTGCCGGCCTGGAAGAAGATTTGGAAGCCGGTTTGGATACCGATCAAGGTACCCGCTTGGAAGGAGATTCAAGTGCCCGCGTGGAAGAAAATTTGGAAGCCGGTCTGGAAGGAGATACAGGTGCCGGTATGGAAGGAGATTCAAGTACCTGCCTGGAAGAAACTCTGGGTGCCTGAATGGGTAAAGGTTGGCATACCAGGTGAGCACTACCACGGTACGGATCATCACGGTTGGCAGTACACAAGCCACGATCTCTGGAAGAAGAAGCTAATTTGGAAGCCAGTATGGAAGAAATATTGGAAACCAGCTAAGAAGCAAATCTGGGTACCGGACAAGAAACTCGAGTGGAAGGAAGCTTGGAAACAAATCTGGAAGCCGGCGAAGAAACAAATCTGGATAGACGACAAGAAACTAATCTGGAAGGAAGAGTGGAAGCAAATCTGGAAGCCAGCGAAAAAGCTCATCTGGGTACCGGACAAGAAACTCGAGTGGAAGGAGGCCTGGAAGCAAGTCTGGAAGACCGACAAGAAGCTAGAATGGATTCCCGATAAAAAGCTCGCCTGGAAAGAAGCGTGGAAGCAAATCTGGGTGCCAGCCTGGAAGCAGATCTGGGTGCCGGCTTGGAAGAAGATTTGGAAACCGGTCTGGATATCGGAGTGGTTCCCCAACGAAGATCACCATCACCATCATTGGGACCGCAAGGACACGCAGGCTCAGAACACGCAAGTGGTACCTTACAGCCCGGAAGTTGCTTTCCAGAAAAGGCAAGCGGGTCAACAAGAGCAGCAGCAGAAGCAGCAGCTACAACAGCAACAGCAACAGCAGCAGCAGCAACAGCAGACGCAACAACATCAAGCGGAGGAGAACAATGTCAGGTGGGACAGATCCTTCAAGGCAAATCTGCCGACAGTCACGCAGGATCTGATACCACCGCCAGCTAATCAAAACGGAGGTCAAGCCAGCTTCACCTTCCCCACCCGCTGATCTAGAGCTAGATCTCTGTGCACCATAATCGCACTGTAACCCTTCGAAATGCTTGTACAAACGTCTCTACGCGAGACTACTGTAACATAAGTCGCTGTATATATTACGTCTTAAGATTAAGATAGGACGCGTGTGAAACTAAGTTACTCCAAGTGTACTCGACTGATGCGCTCCCTATTCTTCGGGGTGCCACCTGTACGACCCTTATGACATGGCATAATTTACATTTGCTCCCTGCTGTTTGTGTTTCCTTTTCTTCTTTTTATATATACGTATATATATATATATATATATATATATATATACGCGTTATTGTTGTTTCCCTGATTGTTAACTAATGCCGTTACGAATAAAGTTCATGAATATTTTGTTAATTCTTTGTCAATCGTTATTTCATTTTCCGCCACTATCAATGTTACACAAATGTTGCTATATATATATGTCATTCCTCCCTCCCATCATCCAAATGATCACCGATATCACCGCGACTGAATTTTATCTCGCACACTTTCGCAAATAGTTTTATTCTTTTTATAATGAAATCTTGTCATATTGTCAACAAATTGATCCAATTGATCCTTTAGAGATAAGACGTTATGCTCTCTCGTTCCTAATTTTCTTATATTATAAAAAGAAAAATTTAATTATCTTATACAAAGTAATTGTGCAAACATGTATCAAAAGTTTTATTTTTTATTTCGTGAGAAAGACTTTCTCTCTCTCTCTCTCTCTGCTTTATACGTTTTAAATGTCGATATATAACATGTGAGACAGATACGATTTTTACGACATTTACGAAAACATAATCTTACGAAAGATCTTTAAATTTACAAAAACAAAAATAACGCAGCCTTGCGCTGTGTCTTTCTTTTATTTTTTTAACAGCGAAAGCTCTGTCTTCTTACGAGTAGCTGTTTCAACTGAAACTTCCGAGTGGTCACCTAATTTTGAGGTAAAACATCATTGCCCTCTGGACTTATTAGACGTAGATGATGCAACGTGAATACGCGCACGTATCCCTGCGAAATTGGTGAAAGTGGAGTCTGTTATGGAAGACAAGCGACCAGCATGTAGAAGGTCCTCGACCATGGAGAAAGTATCCGTGCACCCACACAGCGACATAAATTAATGCATGCCACTGTGCTGTCCGTCTCGGTAGGTCGCACCATATTGCGCGATGCAGACTTCACTCGATTGATAACGATGACGACGAGATTTCACTGGCGCCAACTACGGCAGAGTAGGGATTTTTCTCCGGTCGTGTAGCGATTGGCTACGGAAAAAAAGAAACGAGCGGAGAAATCATGATACAGCCATTTTTCTGATACCACACGATCAGACAGGGATTATTTTCACTTTTGTTTCACGTTTCCTTTCGTTCATGCCGCGTCGAGAATCAGCCCGCGAGTGAGTCAGCTGGAAACACGAGGCAACATATTTTTTCGTCATATGCAGCACAAATTCTCCAAATATTTCTCGTTCAACAATTGCAACGAGTTTCTCAGTCTACATATATACTCTCTTGTAAGGCGGTTCCACTTTGAATGCCACAATGCCAAGGAAGCAATCGATCTTCGATCGAACTTCGGATTAGAATTCGAACAAAAGCCAGGTCGGTCGAGCACAAGACCACTGTATTTTTGTCCGAGGTCATGAGTGTCACGCTGATGAGTATCAGCATCAATGGGACAAGAAGCGTGTTGACGCCGAGGCGATTGTTACCGCTTAAAAATATATAAATATATATACATGTATAGACGTATGTCGTCGTGTACCAGTCGTGGCCGAAACGTGTCGCGAGTATCCAGAAATGATATATCTGACAATTTGTCTGTTTTTTATCATCGTTATCTTCTGTTGCATCTACGATTGTCTCAAGCCGAGGAATTATCCACCCGGTATGTGCCGTTGCGGTAAAATAATATACGTATTAGCCGGCTCTTCTCCTCCCGCGGAGAAAATTCCGAGAGGATGGTCGGAAAAGAAAGTCGTTGCGAAACAATGTAAATTATTTTGCGTAAAAATTTATTACGTAGGTCCGATATGGATGCCGTTGCTGGGATGTTTACCGATGTATTGGTGGTTATATTCCAAATATCAATATAATTATCGAGTTTTCCAAGCATTGTCCCGTCGATATGGGCCGATATTGGGACTGAAGTTTGGAAAGCAGAAGATAGTGGTAATTTCAACACACGATCTGGTGAAGCAGCTTCTACTTCGAGATGAATTTAATGGCCGGCCGGACGGTTTTTTGTTCAGAATGCGAGCTTTCGGCAAAAGGAAGGGTGAGTCCCGATCGATTTGAATGTGAAACGGGAATGAAATGTACCGCGTGAGGATATGTGTGTATTGGCCGAAATGTTAAGGAATATACAGGGTGTCCCATTTAACCCATTTAATCCTGACAAATCGTAATATCTGGAAAACTACATGTCGGATTAAAAGAAGTGGGTAATGAAATTTGTCCGTCTCGAAGGGGGACATCCAATGATATCAAACTCGACCTCCCACCCTACTCCCGGGGGTGGGGGTGGGGGGCAACTTTGAAATCTTAAATGGGAACTCCCATTTTTTATTACAGATTCGAATTCTACGCCACAAAATACGTAAGTTTCGTTCGAAAATTTTTTTTTGATTCCTGATAGATGGCGCTGTAATCGCAAAAAATTAGATTTTCTGCAATTCTCCAGAAATGATCATTGGATTGAAAAATAAAAAAATACCTGTTCAATATTTTTAAAAATATTTTTAAAAAACATAATAACAGTTATTCCCTCCCATCCCCTCGGGGTAGGGTGGGTGGTAACGTTCAAATCTCAAATGAGAACCCACATTTTTCAACCCCTTCGGGGTGCTTGTTTTAGGTGAGTCCCCTCGTCTCTCACCATCGGGATGCTTGTTATGCAAAATCACTCACCTAAAACAAGCACCCCGAAGAGAACAGAAAGCTACTATTACGTCCTCGTCGTTGTTCCTGGGTAACGCTAAAAGTAGTTTCTCGGAAAAATTCAACGCTATCTATCACGAATGAAAAAAATTGTTTCCATAAAAACTTCACGTAAAATCTAATTCTGCAATGAAAAATGTGGGTTCTCATTTGAGATTTGAACGTTACCACCCACCCTATCCCGAGGGGATGGGGGGAAATAACTGTTATGTTTTTTAAAAATATTTTTAAAAACATTGAACAGGTATTTTTTTATTTTTCAATCCAATGATCATTTCTGGAGAATTGCAGAAAATCTAATTTTTTGCGATTACAGCGCCATCTATCACGAATAAAAAAAAAGTTTCCGACGAAACTTACGTATTTTGTGGCGTAGAATCCGAATCTGCAATAAAAATGGGGGTTCCCACTTAAGATTTCAAAGTTGCCCCCCACCTCCACCCCCCGGGAGTGGGGTGAGAGGTTGAGTTTGATATCATTGGATGTCCCTCTTCGAGACGAACAAATTTCATTACCCACTTTTTTTGATCCGACATGTAGTTTTCCAGATATTACGATTTGTCAGGTTAAATGGGACACCCTGTATATTCGGTATTGTTATTTACGACAGGCGTCGTGTTCACCGACGGGGAAACGTGGTCGCAAAGTCGCAGATTTACGATGCGACATCTTCGAGCGTTTGGTATGGGTCAGTCAATTATGAAGCAGCAATTAACCGTTGAGGCGGAGAATCTAGTGAATTACTTACAAGAAATGAGCCAACGCGGCGCAGTGAAAATGGATCGAGTTTTCGATCTCGCGGTGCTAAACTCCTTGTGGTCCATTTTTGCCGGGCATAGATTCGAGTACAGCGATGAGAAATTACGAAAGGTCTTCACATCTGTTCACGAAGCTTTCAGGCAAGTAATAATTGGTCAACGCATTTTTTCTTGTTTTAATGCATGTTTTATACTCGTTTATCATAGGACATTATCTGTCACATATTCAATTATTCGCAAACAGCTGTGTTGAACATGTGTGTGTGTGTGTGTGTGTGTTAGAAATATACATTATGCATACATACAGAGATACATATTGTTACGCATTCGCTATCAAACACATCACAGACATATGCGACACATCGATCTTTCACTTCAAGCCCATCTTTGTACAAAATTCTATTTGCAATTCTATTTGCAACGTTCGTTATCGACGTTACTTGCATATCTGTACGATAACGATATACACGATCATGTTTCTTTCTAACTCATATCCTTTTACGTTTCAATACCGTTTGTTATTTTCGCACCTTGCAACAGAGCAATCGAACACTGATCAAGCTTAATGTGGCATTTAGATTGTTCAATATCACGGGTGGACTGATCTCTCAAATGCCTTTTCTGCGTTTCGTGATGCCGGAATTATCAGGATACAATGATCTGATGAGAATTATTCGGGAATTATGGAGCTTTCTCGATGAGGAAATCGAAGTACACAAGAGAGAGTTATCCGATAGTCAGCCTGGCAATCTGATCGATGCGTTCCTTTTAGAGGTTGACAAGAATAAAGATCCGAATTTCGATCGTGAGTAATTGGCGCAAAGCCCGTTGAAATTTGTCTAATTGAAGGCGACAAAGAGTATTTCTATTCTCGTAGAGACGTGCGAATCAAGAATTTTTAAGTCGAATCTCATTTTTTAAATTCAAATTCGAGTCGAATCGAATCTATGAAATTTCACTCGAATTCGAATCGAATCATTTCAAAAAATTTGACACGACTATTAAACATGCAAATAATGATGGAAGATATTAATATAAAAGAGAATATTGATATTGTAATATCATCTTAAGGGAAATTATATATTTAAATATTTAAAATAATTTATAATTAAGTTATTAATTATAAGTTAAGTTAATTACAAGTTAAGGGTTCAAATTACTTACAGGCCCAGATGACCCGTTTTGTAGCTGATGCACGCAAACGATAATGTATTTGATCTAATTCTTATTCGAATTAGGGATTTGGATTCGAATCGAATCGAATCCAATGTAATTCGATTCGATTCGATTCGATTCGAATTCGAATTCGAATTCGAATAGTTCGCACATCTTTACTATCTCGTACATGCATGCAATTCCACACACAGGACGTAATAAATATCTTGCCGTGACATAAAGTTGCAACGCGCTCTTGAAACTGTCCTTCCAGACTGCTTTGAATTTCCGATTCTGAAGGATTTCAAAAGAATATATTTGCATAGAAAATGTAAAGAGTATTAAATACAATGTCACGCTATCTTAAAGATCGGGCAAGCTATTATCGCGCGGTGAAAAGAAATCGTGCATTGAAATGAATTCCACGCGACTGATAAAACGCGATGACGAAAATCGACGAAACCGTGTTTTGCATTGCAGGTGAGAGTTTACTCATGTTGTGTCTTGATCTTTTCCTGGCTGGATTGAAAACAACCAGCGATACTCTAGCGACTACGTTTCTTTATTTGTCGCTGTACCCAACGTGGTTGAAGTTACTTCAGACAGAATTGGACAGGGTCGTTGGTAGATCGAGAGCTCCTACTGAACAAGATTTGCCGTTTTTACCGATGACGGAAGCCTTTTTAGCCGAAGTAACGAATTTAAATTAAAAAAATAAGATAATGAGTGCTCTCCAGCTCTCTTTACATTTAACTTGACAAACAGTCTGCATGATTATACAAAACAAAGATCCTTTACAAAACAAAGTAAAACGTAAATGTATTAGGTTAGGGAAAAAGAAATCCATTATTTTTTCGTTTATTTCAAGGCTTTATTTAACATAGTTAGGATTGTTCGATTTTAGTCAAATAAGCACCGTTTTGTTCTACAATTTGTCGCCATTTTAAAGGTAATTTCATGATCCTTCTTTCATAGAAGCCCTGGTCCTTATTAAGGCAAAAAACTCGACTAAGTGATTTTCACAGTTTTCTCTTGAGGTCAATTTCTTCCAACCATCAAGGAAGTTTTGCAATGACAAAAACAGATGGTAATCGCTTGGTGCCAGGTCCGGACTATAAGGTGGATGCATCAAAACTTCCCAACCAAGCTCCCGGAGTTTCTGACGAGTCACTATAGACGTATGTGGCCTGGCATTATCCTGATGAAAAACAATTCTCCTCTCATATTGACCAATTCTGGCCGCTTCTGGTCGATCGCTAGGTCCAAACGGTCCAATTATTGACAATAGAGGTCCGAATTTAGTGCTTGGCCATATGAAAGCAGCTCATGGTGGATGATTCCTTTATAGTCCCACCAAACACTCAGCAAAACCTTCCTGGCCGTTAATCCTGGTTTGGCCACCGTTTGAGCCATTTCGCCCACGCGCTTTGACCACGATCGTTTTCGCACAATATTGTCGTATATAATCCATTTCTCATCCCCAGTCACCATCCGTTTCAGAAATGGCTCGATTTCGTTCCGTTTGCTCAAGGCTTCGCAGATTGAAATTCGGTCCATCATGCTTTTTTGCGTCAATTCGTGTGGCACCCAAACATCGAGCTTTTTTTTGAATCCAACTTTATGCAAATGTTTTGCATAAAGCCGTTTTGTGGTTTTGAGGTTTTGTGATCTTCAGCTCCTGGGTGATACTACGACTGCTAATATGCCGGTCTACTTCGATCATTTCCATAATTTTATTGACATTTTCGACGACGGGCCTACCTGTGCCCTGAGATGCATCTTTAACATCAAAATTACCGGAACGGAATCGACGAAATCAAAATTGCGCGTGATTGGCTGTGACAGTATCGGGACCATAAACACCATTCACAATTTCAGCCGCCTGGCTTGCATTTTCGCCTTTATCGAAGCAAAATTGTAAAATATACCGAATTTTCTCTTTGTTGACGTACATCTTTTACGTTACGCTATAACTCACAACTTAATCGACAAATCACAAAACCGTTAAAGAATTTTTTTTAGTACGGAATGTCACTTTTCCAACGAGTATAAATATTAACCTATGCGATTAATACATCACGTGATGTATACCGCTGAAGCCATCTAGCGGAAAAATAATGGATTTCTTTTTCCCCAACCTAATATGTTTACGACTCATAGTTTAAATTTATATTTCTGTCAATCTATATAAGTCAATATCTATATAAGTCAATGATCTCAGAGAGTTAAAAGCGAATCAGCTATTGAACATTTTAGAGTTTCCTTTTCAGAAAATATTTAATGCCTCTTGCTAATAATGCATTTTTCTACATGCATATATGTATGTAATATGATGGCATTCATTTTTTAATTATCCAATATAAATGCAGATACTCAGATACTTCATCATGGCACCACTCGGTATACCTCACAGAGTCATGAAAGATGTTGCTCTAAACGGATACAATATACCAAAGGTGATGTCGCTTTTTAAATCACAGACTATTCCACTTTGTACATGTAGACTAACGATTCTAAACGATTCTTTTATCTTGCAGGACACGATTGTCCTGTTTGACTCTCATAGCGTTCACTTTGACGAGGAGTATTGGGACGAACCGAGCAAATTCTTGCCGCAGCGATTTCTAGACGAAGAGGGCAAATTTCGTCAGAATAACGCCAGCATACCTTTCGGCTTAGGTAAATCTGACGCAACGGAAAATTGCCTTATTATCGTAATTGCTACCGTTATAAAACGTGCGTGACATTTTGCAACTTGAGAAAAGTATAAAAAAGAATAATCGATCCGGTTACGTGTACGTGTAACATCACGTGTCGTACGCGTGTAATAACGCGTATATCGAGTCTCTTGCCATGATAAAATCTTGTGTCACGTGCGTATTTTCTAAAACGACGCGGTATAATACCATTCCGGCATTATGGAATATTTTACTAATTGTAGATAACGCGAGTGATTCTCTCATGCTTGTTCGCAGGTAAAAGACGTTGCCTGGGTGAGGGATTAGCGCGTTCCTCGATGTTTTTATTTTTTACATATGTTATACACTACTTTGACCTGGAAGTCTCGCATAAACACGAAAGACCAGAACTACAGGCCTACGACGGCTTCACCATGTCGCCGAAACCGTATTACGTCAAACTCTCGATGAGATCTGATTTGAAAGATTGAATTACATAGTTGTTGGAACGGCATGCCAGCGCTCAATAATACATTTAACGTTCCACGAAAAGGGTCGAACATACATTGATTTCGTCGTGAAAGCGTAAAGCGTAAATCGGCTTTTTGAAGCATTCCGATACAACACAAACTGAAAATATTACAATAACAATACATCGATGTTACAATTTCCCACACAACTGTGGAAGTACGTTATAACGTGCGTTGTATGTAACAGTTACATCGCTGAATGGGAAATTATAACATTGATGTAATGTTACTGTTTGTTGGTGTTTACTGTCTTGAATTAATTAAATATGACCGGAAGCGAACAATTTATGTCGTCGGGATCGTAAATACAGCACGGGATACGTAGAATCGTAAGCGGTTGAAGTATTTATGGAATAAAAATGATTTTATTAATCATTTAAAAATGCATAAAAATTTGTTACAATAAAAAGCACACTGACTGAACTGTTTGTGTTTCAATTCGCTTTTCCTCGAAAGCAATAAAATTATATTATAACTCCCAAGAATATTTTATGAACCAAGGGAAAAGGGAAAGAATAATATACTTATCTTGCAAGTACTTCACAAGCAAAGTAGTTTGAAGTATCAAGTCTATAAATATTATCGCGGCACAAGTAAAGTCTTATAAGGCTTTGGTATAACGTTTATGCCGGTAGTTACATCCAGCTTGATGGATTCTTCACCTGGCACCGGAAGTAGTCGATACTTCTGCATCACGCCGACAAATAGTAGGAAGATGGACGATCTTGCTAACGCTTCACCGGGACATCTTCTTCTGCCTGGAAGATAATTTCACTTAAACTGCGAAATGCATGAATGTATGTATGATCGACTTCGAGAACAGAAATAGGACGCGCGCGATTTTAATTTAATTACAATTGTCCAGTGTAATTGTTCATCACCGCGTCAGAAGGCACCGCGTGCCTTCCTACATTAATGAAGAAAGTACCGCCCGCGTTTATCCCGTATCCGCGGAAGGCTTTCCAGTTGCATTGTGCGATGCCGTTCCCGTGAAAAGAAGACAGTGCACACACGACGCGTTTGCATAATAATTATACTTTGTACTTAATTATACCTGTATATAGTTTAAGAATATCGTTTGAAGAATATCGCGATACACCTCGTCTCACATTTCTGTAGCTGTGTGCTGTTTTTTTCACAGATTATAAGTCATCGACTTTACCTCTTCCAAATGTTGTGATATTATCGTCCGATTGAAAGGCGTCATCCTTCATAAATCTCTCCGGTTTAAACGACTCCGGATCCGGGTACAATTCCGGATCCATGTTGTGAGCAAACACATTCATCAGGACGATGACATTCTTCGGTATCGTGTAACCTTCGAGAGTCGTGTCGGCGAGAACACGCCGTGGTCCAATTATGGGAAAGATGGACCATATACGTTGGCACTCAATTATTACAGCTTCCGTGAAAGGCATGCTGTGAAATGAATATGAAATTTGACGTGCAGATTGTTAATGTATTATCCGAGCAACATTGACTCTGCTTCACCTCTCGTATAATGAGTGATAACAGCGTACTTAAACAACGTACTTCAGTTTGTCTTCCAAGTTTGGCAGTCTGTTGGAGCCTATCACGCGGTCGATCTCTTCGTGTAATTTGTTTTGCACGTCTTGGTACTTGACCATGTGAAAAAAGAGGAAATCGAGTGCTGCCGTTGTGTTGTTAGTGCCGGCGATGAAAAAGTCGATCATCAGAAGAAGAAGATTGTCGTCTGAAAGACATGATAAATCGCAAAAGAGTAAAGCGAGATGTCGGAGCTTGTGATGTCGAGAACACTTTCTCTCTCTCTCTCCTCTCTCTCTCCTCTCTCTCTCCTCTCTCTCTCTCTCTCTCTCTCTCTCTCTCTCTCTCTCTCTCTCTCGTGTCGATTCATTAGCGCGCTGGATCACAAGAGGAAAGATGTTAACTTCCTCACGGATACTCGCGACGAACGAAGAGCTGAGCAAGCTACACCTTCGAGGCCGTGATTGAGACAATAATGCTCGATAATAAAATGCATGCTGTTCGGAAGGCTGTTAACGTACAAGGTATTTCATGTTCGCGCGCATAACAATAATTATAAATTGAAGAATGTCATTGCACATCGCTGTATTTTCTGAAAATAAAACGTGATCTCGCTTACGTTCCACCGAACTTTATAAATGCACATTTCCCATTTCGCAACATAATAATATTTGAAGTTTCCGGTCAGACACATCGTATCGAATCACATGTTGCATATTGCAACTGTTGATTAATTGTCAATTATTATTAATCAGCCGTCATAATGATATTTTAATATGATGCGCCTCACCGAAAATTATTTCAAATTATTATTATAATTTCACTATTATTTTAATTAGAAAATAAGACTGTAGGTTAGGTTCAGAGACCACGTTCGTATAAATGCTAATGGCGCGTTATCGTAACCGCTGACAAGTCATTCTAGTCTAGTCATTCTAGACTCTAGTTATTGCAACCTTTCTGCATATCTAAAGAACGAGACAAAAAAGAAATACATCAATGCTAAAGCAATGATAAAACAATGATAACGAGTTCATCTTATAAATAACTTAATTCTATGAATAATTTGAATAACATTTGTATAATCAGTAACGTATATTTTAGTATATCAGTAATTGTATATCCAGTAACGTATATTTTTGGATCATACGAATTCCTTTGTAGACATTAACATAAAGCTACTATTATATTATGACAGAAATGCATTGCTTTCACACAAGATCGTTCTCTCTATTTCAATAAATAGTCAATAAATAATAAAGTAATCAATATCGCGTACAATTAAAAAAAATCTCAGTAATCCAATTGCGCCAAATATTAAGTCTATTATACTTTGCTATTGTCCGTACATACCTGAAAACAAAGTAGTTTCAGACTTTGTCGTCTTTTCCCTTTTCATCTCATAAAGAAATAAGTCGATAAGATCCGCTTCGGCTCCCTTGTGATATTGTCGTTTGTGCTCGTTAATGGTAGCCTGATATGTGAAACCAATTAAAAGTATTATCAAGTAGAAAAAGAGAACGAGAGGTTGTTGGAGATTAAAATGTTATTCATGTTTTTTCTCGTTATAGCTACTTATTTTTTTTTGCTTGTGCTTTACGTAACGTCGAATTTTCTCGTTTCCTGCTACAATTCTTTATATATTTGCATAAATAAATAATTCTTTTCTCGTTATTGCTACTTATTTTTTTTTTTTCTTATGCTTTACGTAACGTCGAATTTATTCGGTTTCATGTACATTATCCAATTCTCTGTATTTGCATCAATACGTAATCCTTTTCATTTTAAATTACTCAAATTTTCTTCATCTCGCTATTGCAAATTAAAAATGGGGAAAATACCGTTTTTCAGCCAAAAAGGCGACATTGAACTCGAGAACGAAAGAAAGGTGGTAAATTTAGCTGTAAATTTAGCCAATCAAACACTCTCAGAAGACTAATAAGCTTTATTGGTGACTCAAATGGTTACGGACGTCACATACAATACATGACGTCGCTTGCGTCATGTACAAATTGGTGCAAAGTTAAAGGAACTCACCATTAGCAGATTCTTTATTTCGTTGTTCAAAGAAATGAGAACATTATATCCGGTCGCGTCGGGCATGATGTAACGGAGCCATGGAAATGACGAGAGGAGTCCTCCACTCAAGTCAAAGAGCTGCGCGCGACGTTCCAATAATTTGTTAAATTGATGCAGCCTGTAAATATCGCAAATTCGATAGACATTTATGACACAGCCAACCAGTCAACTTATCCTTCTCGCTCTTTCGCGCTCTTTTGCGATTGGTAAAACACGAATCGGAAGACTGATAAAAATAAATTATACTGTATATTTGCCCAGTTTCTTTCGTTTTGAGATTTGAGATAATAAAATTACGTATTAAGAAAAGAAAAAGGTGTCATCTTTTACATGTATGAGATGTACACATCTTACTCAAGGGCCGATTATTGACAAGAAGCGCTTTAAATTACATTAAAGAAATTATAAGCAAACGTATAAGAAAAGGCAGCCGATAATTGAGAAAAGTTGAAGTACTACACAAACGACCGGTTTTTGATATTGATTTTATAATGGTATAACACATACTTCGTGTCATTGCCGAGTTGGTCTCCAGTTAATAATGTCCAGAGAACGTTTATCACAGCCGGTATGATAGCATGTTTCACGTATCGTACACCGCCTTCCCCCAATTTTTCCAAAATAATCTCCAACTCACTCCTAAGTAATTCTCTCATTTTTTGTCTAGCGAAACCCACATTCTTTAGATTGCGCACCGTCCAACCACGTAATTCCTTCCACTCCGGGCCGTCGTTTAACGTGATTCCTGATCTCAATAACCTCAATTAGTTCGATAATTATATAATTGATATAATTCTGCGGGATTCACTGAATTGCACGTTCTCGCAAAACTTCTACTCGAACATGTGTGTTCGCCGAATATCAAGATCTCTCTTCAAAATGTCACATCGCCGAATAAAAATTGTCACTTAGTGTTTCTTAAAAAAAAAAACAAAAAAAAAAGAAAAATAAAAAAAGAATAAGAGTAAAAGTAACTTCTCAATCGGACTAAAATGTAGTTCACAACACTTATCGGTATTCGTGAACGGTATTAAAGGAAGTAATACATCTTTGATGTTGAAAAAAGTGTCTCAAATGTATCTCGATGAAACAGAAGTAACGATTCAGTATTTCAGTGTTAACATTGACGATTAACACGTTGACTGCCACGTCAAATTTATATGATGCTCTCAGTGGGGCATAAGAGAATTTTTCACTATTCTAAGCATATAATGACAAAATAATAAAAAATATGGTTATACACGATCATGCACTTATCCATAGTGCGTTTATCTTGTTGGTGGTCACAGGTGAGGAGAGACCACCGTGAGGCCCCTTGGCCTCGGCACTCTGTTACTCTTGATAACTGTTTTTGAATATTTTCTTATAAAATATAAAAAATGACTATCTACGACGTTTGCGCGATAATGTATCGCGCAACTGTACATTCAGAGACAATGTCATGATGATCTGACACAGTGTCGTGATGAAAACGAGGAAGCATCAGCCTCGTCGATTATAACTGCCCGAACAAGATTACGACATGAAATGCAAAAGAAGGAAGGGCCAGCATACCTGGTGCGAAAATTTTGCAAAGTATGTTAAATAAAAAAAAAATGTTGCAAATCGTGGTTCGAAAAATGCTGAAAGTTGGACAAAAAAGGTCACTACATACTGCGGAGATTGCAATGGCCAGCCTCATTTGTGCTTAAGATGTTTTAATACAATACACCGTACTTAATTTTTGTAATACAATATATAATGTTTTAATTAAGATCTTGATTTGTTGAATAGTGAAGTTTTCATTTCATCATAATATTATCTAGTTAGCTATGATGTTCAAAATTTTTTGGTTCACGATATTCATTTTATTTTATTACAAACTTATTGCAAACATTTGAAGCACTCCGGTCACTGACGACTATCATGGCTTCATCGAGGAAATCCCCATCTCCGGTCACAGGAGACCAACGTGGCGGTCAACGTGTTAAAGGAGGGTTTACGTTTAATATGAAACAAGGAGGATCGTCATACCTTTTTTCTTGCCAAAATTTCGTATTTTCGTGAATTCATTCCAAGGACGTCCATCGTATTCTTCTTTATTAAATACCTGCTGAATAAGCTTACTATCGGAAACAACTATGACATCGTTACCGCCTAGCCGTAAAGATATGATATTACTGCCATAACGTTTGCAGAGTTCCAGAAAAGCGTAATGTTGTCCGCCGAGTTTTCGACTCAACATATGAACATAAGATTGATTACCGACAAGTGGCCAAGGAAAAGGACCTACAAATCCAAACAAATTTTGTCTTCAATATGACATTTGAATTTGAAGTCATTTTGTTATGATAAATATTGCATGTATAAATAAAGTCATCGAATTTCAATAATCGTTGATTACAATAACAAATATAATTAATAATTAATAACTACGCTCCATATGCTAATTGACACTCATTTTATCTGGTGTAGTTGTATAAAAAAGACAAAAAATAAAATGCAATATGTATATATTAAAACAAATAAAAAATACTCCGATTTCTTATCCCGAATAATCTAAATTTAAAATTGCTAACAATCAAGTGTGAAATGAGTAAGAATGAGTTCCATTTTTTCAACATTCCCAACATTATTATTTATTTTAGTCGTTATAAGAAAACAGATTATGTCCCAGGAAAGAAAGATCATATATGATTATATACCGGGTGTTTCAGACCACCCGGTATATCGGGTTGCCCGATTTTTTCATTTTAACCCGACATTTTAGAGAAAAATATTTCAGACAAAAGTCGTAGGACTTCAAAAAATCTATTTACTACGACGTTATGAATTTGACCTTGGGATAACCTTGAAAAGTCCAGTCAAGATCAACATAAAAATCTGAAATGGAAACCGCGATTTTTTATTACACCTTCTTTTTCCACCAATTAATTTGAACAACTTTTGTCTAAAATATTTTTTCATTTGCCTAATATTTCTCTAGATATTGAAGGAAAACTTAATAACTTTTTCAATATTTAACTTACGATATCTCGCTAACTAGTTGTCGGAAGAAAAAGTGATACTAGACTTTTTTGCTCTATTTAGTCTCAAGAATATATTTTTACAATAGTGCCATAACTTTTGTTAACTTGCTGATTTTTGGAAATTCCAAAATCATCAAATTAACCAAATTCAGGGCGCTATTGGAATAATATATTCTTGAGACTAAATAGAGCAAAAAAGTACCACTAGTGCCACTTTTGCTTCTGACAAATAATTAGCGAGATATCGTGAGTTAAATATTGAAAAAGTTATCATCAGGTTTTCCTTAAATATCTCACAAAATATCAGGTAAACAGAAAAATGTTTCAGACAAAAGTTGTTCAAATTAATTGCTAGAAAAAGATGATGTAATAAAAAATTGGGGTATCTATTTAAGATTTTTATGTTGATCTTGACTGGACTTTTCAAGGTTATCTTAGGGTGAAATTTATAGCGTCAATAAATAGATCCTTTGAAGCCCTATAACTTTTGTCTGAAATATTTTTCTCTAAAATGTCGCGTTAACGAAAAAATCGGGTGATCCAAGTAGTCTGAAACACTCGGTACATAAAATTATATATGACTATATATATATATAAATTATATGTAAATTTTGTCTATATATATCGTCACATGTATAATCATATATGTTCATAAAGAATGATGCTAAATAAAAAAAGAAAAAAAATGTTTATTCAAATCAATTTATCAGAACATCAACATCATATGCTACCATCATATGCTACGCATAAAATTTGATCGATTATTTATATAACAGTATTCTTTTTGCCGCAGACATTATTATGTACGATTAATTTTCTAAGTCCGTGAGATGACTAATATAGTCATCGCTACATGTACGCCTCAGAAAGTCGTGCGGATGCCTTAAGGTATCGCGAAGTTATTCGCGAAGATTTTCACAAAGCAATATATATTTCTCTTTATCTTTTTATTCCAATATTTAAGTCTTTATGTATAATTTTATTTTGTATAGAGAATATGCTCGACTTGCTGGGAATTGGAGTTAAGGAAAAATTCGTCCGCAAAGGGTTAATTATGACCATATATCAGGTTTGTAAATATGAAACCGGAATTTTTGTATAGAAAATACACGTTTATTGTATGAAAATGATAAAAAATATTTTATTCGAAGTATTGCCCATCGCTAGCTATTCATTTTTCCCACCTGTCTGACAATTTGTGGATACCACGCCAAAAAAATTGTTGCTCTTTTGAGGCAAACCAGTCATCGAGTCATTTTCGTACATTTTCGTAAGAAGTGAAGCGCTGCTCAGCAAGTGCATGTCCTATCGATCGAATAAGTAGTAATCGGACGGAGCCAAGTTTAATGAGTAAGCCACATGCGAAAGTATTTCCCAACTAAACGCGTCAATCGTTTCCTTGACCAGTTTTGCTGTGTGCGATGGTGCATTATCATGAAGCAAAATCACTTTGTATTGCCTTTTTTGATATTCTGGTCGTTTTTCACGCAAAGCTTGATTCAAATCGATCATTTGTTGTCGGTAGCGTTCAGTAATAACGGTTTCGCCAGGTTTTAGCACCTCATAATAGATCACACCCTTCTGATCCCACCAAACACAGAGCATTGTCTTCCGTCCATAGCGATTTGGCCTTGCAGTCGATGTCGATGGTTCGCCTGGAGTTACCCATGATCTTTTACGCTTAGGATTCTCAAAATATATCCACTTTTCATCGCCAGTCACAATTCGATGGAGAAATGACTTTCTTTTGTATCTGGCGAGCAACATTTCGCAAGTGGTTTTTCGGTTTTCCTGCTGTCTTTCATTCAGTTCACGTGGAACCCATTTTCCCATTTTCTGGATCTTTCCCACGGCTTTCAAACGTATGGAAGACGGCTTCTCGTGTCACATTTGATTGATCCACGAGTTGTTGTTGCGTTTGAGCGTCATCCTCATCCAACAATGCTTGCAATTCGCTGTCTTCAAACTTTTTCGGTGGTCTTCCACGCTCTTCGTTTCTCACGTAAAAATCGCCACGTTTGAATTTTTTAAACCACTCAAAGCACTGTGATTTACCAAGAGCATGCTCACCGTAAGCTCCGACAAGCATTAGATGCGATTCTGCAGCAGTTTTCTTCAAATGGTAACAAGAAATCAATGCTGTCCGCAAATCGTTCAGCAAGCTTCCAGGCACAAAATTCGACATGTTCAACGCTATTACAAACTATGCTGTTGCATAAAACTTGTATTGTCGTGAGTTGAAAATCTTTGTCAGATGTCAACAAGTGGAAATGGCTCTAATGACGCGGTTTGACGGTAACTACATTGACAGTTAGGGCCATCTATGGGCAAATTTCGGTTTCATATTTATAGATCTGGGTACCTATTATGGAACTCGTCGGAATCGATTCCGATCGAATTTATTTCATTATTTCCTAGATTTCTATTGTCTTTTCTAGGGGAAACGGAATTATTCCGATCGGAATCGATTCCGACGAGTTCCATGATAGGTACCTTAGTATATGGACAAAATTCATGTATGATTTTTTTTCCGGAATAAAAAATTGCTGTCGACAAACTCTTTTCGATTACATTTTTTACGTACATTTTCTTTCAAATCAATATCACGTTATTATTTACAGATTATTGGACATTTATTTTACAAATCACTACACGATGAAAATAGCTAATAACTGTAACGTACAATAAAACAGATAATTGTGTTATTGTCTCCGAATTATCTTCTCCTGTACGAGACATAAAAGTATTAGTAAACATATTACCTGGCGGGAAGTTTCTCCTCTTCCGTGTTTGCTGGGCGATGTAAACGAGTAACAGAGACAAAGCAATTAAAATTGTTGTCAACATGGCGCCGTGGTTGGCAATTGCGTTGCCCGTGTATTTTAAATTAAATTCACTCTTAATGAAAACAAAAAATTAATCGTCCGTAACAATATTTTAATACGATTTAATATCGTTCTTGCTGTGTTTGATTATAATTTGTCACAATTATAATTTATCAATTCTTCATGCAGAACTACAGAGCTTCATACAGATCTCACGGATCGCTGTAATTGTATAACAAATTATTTTTGCACAAATAAACCGGGTTTGCCTATGGTCAGCGAATTTGGCGTCTTGCCCGTTACACTGGCAGTAGGGACTAAGTCTGTATCAACCTCGCTGTAGTAGAGTGGGTACTAAGCACGCACATTCACAACCAAAGACGACACGATTTGTCAGTACGCATGCGAATTGACACGTTCAGCTCACTAAACTCAGATCGCATTTGAGTCCTGTAACTCTTAGCGACGCATTATATACCACCTCTACGATTCTACGCGTTTTTATGATGAGTCACGTTAGCTGCCATAGTATCATATCTTTGGTATTATATCTCAAAGGAATTTGTGATCGATTTTCATATTTTGTCCAAGCTTTCAACTACATGAAAAAGTGACCTTTGCTATTCTTTTTTTGCTAAAATCACTTTTTTATACAATTGGAAGCTTGGAGAAGATGTCAAGATCGATCATAATCATTTCTCTTTGATGAAATAATGAAGTGTAAAATCATGGTAATAAGTATTAATAAGGATGAAAGGAAGGATTAATATTTCTTAATAAGGATGAAAGGAAGGATTCATATTTCTTAATAAGGACGAAAGGAAGGATTAATATTTCTGAGATGTGTAAAAACAGCTGTATCGTTGCGTTTCTACACCGAATAGTGAAGCAAACGAAAGAAGTCCGAAGTCGGGAATTTAAAGTTTTTTACGATTTAGCTATTTCGTTGAACCATCGTTGTTGAGAATTATTAACCTCTTGCGCTAGAATGACGCGCTACGCTCGTCGCTTGTTGTTTGTGTCCAAAGTAGGAATGACCTGCTACACACGTTACTTGTTGTTTGTTTACTAGCCATTTTTTATTTAATTATTTATTTATTTGTTATATGATGTATTTAACGCTTTATATGAAGTGCGTAAATAAATATAAAATAACTTAAATATAAAAAATAAATATAAAAAAATATATAAAATAACACCTGGTTTGGTGACGCGACAAGCGAATCTCATGCTGTACACAGCGGACGATTCTCAGTTGAAATCGCCGCAGCTAAAAGATTGGCCACATTCAGCGCAGAAGCGCTTAGTGATTATTATCTATGATTGAAGTATTTTTTTAGATCTTTAACGAATCCAGGACAATAAGAACCAATCAGGAACGATAATCACTTAGCGCTTAGTAAGCAGCTTTTTCTGCTGAACGCGGCCATTAATATATATTATTAATCCTATCTGTATTGATCTAAATAGTGTGACTATATGCATTTTTTTACACGCAATTTGTTTAATCTGTTTGTACAGAAACGATTTCAAGTTCACTCGACAGCTCGCTTCCAATCGTTTTGGACGGGTTCATCACGCGGGTACCGGTCACTAAATTTCCAGCGCAAGAGGTTAAAGGGGGAATTACACGCAGAACACCGTTTTCAAGACTATTTTTACGAACTTTTTTAACAAAAACGGTAAGATCAATGGCTCGACTTGAAGTTTTCACAGTGTATTCATTAAAGTTCAAAGTATAAAATAAATTTTATCGAATCACAAGAACCGATCCAATTTGTAATAATAGATAAAAATGTAGTAATCCGCTTGCGAACTCTATGTTTACTGTCGACATAATTCCGGACCTCTCACTACTTTGAAACCAAAAACTAAGAAAGATTTTTAAAATATACGGTTGCCATTATATTCGTACTAAAATGAAGGCAATGAAGCCAAGTTTGGAAAAATAATGTCTGTACAAAAAAAAAGTATCGAAAATGAAACTTCTCATCTTGTAATCATATTTAAAAAAATGGATAAAATAAAATATAACTGTGTTCGAGATAGGGGCGGAAAACTCTGTGTCTACTGTATATTGCGTAAAAATTTCAAGTTATTAGGTTTTTACGTAATGTTAATGATAATGTTAATGTTAATGATAACGAAAATAGTTTAGAAAAAAAATTATGTTTCTAGATAAATGCGTTTAAAGTCCGCCTAGATTGGAAGTATACCGCCATTGTATTTTCAACTGACTTTGTTCTCTTCCATCGTAGATATATATATAAATTGTTTAAATTATTTATGAACTGTTTCTATATGTTACTGTGTAAAAATCAAAAGTATTCAAGATTCAAGATTCAAAAGATTTCGTGTTATCTACACAATAATCCAATAAAACATAAAATATTATGACAATGTCAGCTAAATTATATGGTACGAGTTATGTTATGTTATGTGTTATTTTGTTATATAACAGAGCAATTATTATGTAAGATACCATATGATTTAGCTGACATTGTAACATCGATGATACTTATATAAGCAAACGAATTCACCGAGTGAGTTCGTTTGGAATTATATAAGTAAACGAACTCACCGAATGAAATTCGCTTGGAATTATGCTTGTGGTCTCGTCCGAATGGATACTGTAGTAATGTCTTCTGTACGCGCACTTCTCAACAATCCACATCCCTGTCAAGAAGGAAAAAAGGGGGCGCACGCGTCACCGCTTTCCCGCGCACTCGCACGCGCCACCGTTCTCCCGCGCGCTCGCGCAGGACCATCTCATTTTTCAGAACGAAAACAGCAAATCGCTCAATGTGAAGACCGCGGGTGGGAAAAAACGCGGATACTGTGGGAGGGAAAGTCCATCCGGACGAGACCACAAGCATAATTCCAAGCGAACTTCACTCGGTGAATTCGTTTGCTTATATAATTAAGCTCTGTGGTCTCGTCCGGATGGATACTGTAGATGTTCAGAAAGCGATTTGCAGAGGAGGGAGGTGAAAAGAAAATAAAATAAAAAATAGCGCAACTGGCCGTAAAGGGGCGTATTAAACTGCAAGGAGGCAGTCGCAGAATAACAACAATAGAAAAATAAACGTGAGCCTTAAGCGCGAAGAACGGAGTTTGTAAAAATCTCCGAGTGGAGGATAGGACGATTGTAAAAAACGTGCGAAAACTTGGGAGGAGCCTGACCAACCGGCCGCACGTTTGATTATATCTAAAGCTACTCCCTTCTGCACCGCCAACGAGGTGGATGCGTGACGGGTACTATGCGGTGTAAACATATCAGTTTGGACGCCGCATTCTCTAAGGCCCGCTCGCAGCCAGCGACTGATCGTTTGGGTGCCAACGGCACGATGCGAGCGTACATAAGAAATAAAATAGGAATCGCCCGAGGAAACACGCAGGTCCTGAGTAACTTGTAAATAATGCTTGACTAAGGAGTAAATACACAAACTCGCGTTATCCGGGAACGGAGAAAAAGAAAAGAAAGGCTGAGAACGTCCGGGCGCAGAAGTCTTTAGACGATCCGGGACTTTTATAATCTTTTCTGACAGGATTATCTGCGAAAGGCGGAATGAGGTGAGCGTTTGCGCACGTTGACCTGTGCCAAGAGCTAGGAGCAAGGCCAACTTCAGCAATGACAGGTGCTGGATCCCAGATAAAATCATAGCGGGGGCGGGGAGGCTTAAGCATCCCTGCCCCTTTACAAAAAACGTTTAACAAGAGCATGGTTACCAATTTCGCTATATGTGATAAGAGAGACGGCACTACGGGCCATATTGAGTGTCGAATTCGAGTGTACGAACGGACACGCATGAACTCGCGAGCGAGGAAGTCTAGAAATTGCTCCGGAGTTGGTGAGAACAGAGGGACGCCCGAGGAGTGACAATAAAACCACCAGTAGCAAAGGGGGGCGAGAATACTGACAAATCGTAGAGTCCGTTAACGAAGCGACAGTAGTCCCCACCGCACTGGGTGATACCCGGCGGTCAAGAAAAACTAGCCGGATAAGCTCCCGACCACCAGGGAAAGCGTCCGCCAGGCCGGATGACAGTCCCTGAAAAGAGAGGAGAGCAAATCAGGAGCTGGCGTGAAGATGAGCGGCGTCCCGACAAGAAGACGATTGAATAGAGGGAACCACGCTTGAGATGGCCACGAAGGGACGACTACGATCTCCTCTGCGCGGTCATTAATAATTTTACTAAGGACGCGCGGTAAAAGAATAAATGGGGCAAAAGCGAAGAATTTTATATCTGCCCAGGATAGTGTAAATGCGTCTACCGCCACAGAGCCTGGGTCAGGAAACCACGAGACGTAGGAGGAACATTTTGCATTAATAATGCAAAATGCAAACAGGTCCACGTCAAAAGGTCCAAATGCAGTCAAGATCTTCGAAAAAACGGCGTGCGACAATGACCATTCCGTGTCCACGCTGACGGCTCTTGATGCGCTATCAGCGATGGTATTACGAATAGAAGCAATGTAAGAGGCAAAAATGAAGATGTTACGGTCTTCGCACCAGGTCCAGATTTGCCGCGCCAACAATGTAAGGTGCGGGTATTGCACCGAGCCGAAACGATTGATATAGGCAATAGCCGTAGTATTGTCGACGCGAAGGAGAATCTCGCAGTCTCGAAGATCTGCTGCAAAGCACTGCAAAGCATAAAAAACAGCTTTGAGTCCAAGAAAATTTATATGACAGGACCGTTCAGACGCCGACCACCAGCCACGGGTATGACGTGATCCACACGATGCACCCCAGCCGGAGAGAGAGGCGTCCGAAGAGATTTCGCGGGTAGCGACCCCGGAACGTATAGTCTTAGCCTGATGGGGGTTAGAAAAAATGGAAAACCACCATCGGAAGTCACGTTCAAGATGAGAAGGAAGACGCATTGTGGCTGCATAACTGTCACCAGAACGCGCTAAGGCGAGAAACTTTTCACGCTCGAAATCCTTGATGTGTAAGAGGCGATATTCTACCGCGGGACAGACGGATGCAAGGGAGCCGATCATGCTTGCGAAGTCTCATATGCAACAGTGGGACCTCGTAGAAAATCGAGAGATCATATGAAGTAGCGCATCTCGGCGTGTCGGAGGGATCGCGATAAATTGCGATACTGAGTCGAAAATAAAAACGAGATAGTGGCAATGTTGTGCAGGTACAAGTTAGGATTTCTCATAATTAAAGAGAAAACCGAGCGACGTAAGCAAAGACAGAGATGCAGTCAGGTTACGAAGGCAGTCGACTCTCGAGGCGTCGAAAAAGAGGAAATCATCCAGATAAACAACCGAACAAAACCTTGGTCACGTAAACGGGCCATGACGGGTCGTAAGAGCTTGGTGAAAATGTATGGCGCCGTAGAAAGTCCAAAAGGTAACGCGGTAAATTCGTAAGTGACTGAACGCCATTGGAAGCGCAGAAAACGGCGACAGTGAGTCGCAATGAGCACTAAGAGATATGCATCTTCTAAATCGAGGGTCGACAGCCACGAGTCCTGAGTCCTCAACTGCACAACTGTACGCCAGTCTTCTAACTGAAAATGCGGCGGCGACAGATAAGTATTCAATTGTTTGAGGTTTAGTATAAAGCGCATACCTCCCGACGCTTTCTTGACGAGGAAAAAACTCGACAAGAATTGGTCGGGGGAAGAAGAGGTAATAACTATAGCTCTCCTTTGGAGAGCAGACGTGAAATTTCGGCATCGCAAGCCGCCGCAACAGTCTGAGAGAAAACGGGTTCTGATAGTGATACCCGAGGTGGCGGTAGGGACACGAACGGGATATTGTATCCACTCACGGCACCCAGGACTTCCGGGTCGCTGGTCACTTTTTCCCACATAGACTGAAAAACAGCCAATCGGCCCCCAGTTCTTACTTTTGTCAACGTCTAGTCCGGGAGCGAGAGCGAGGGCGATAACCCCGGAGGCGGTTTAGCTTCGGTACGGCCTCTGACTTGCGAACCGCAGTCGTCACCCGTGGAGCAGGGGCCCGCAAGTTCCCTCGACGCACTGGAGGCGGCTGAGGATGATTGTGAGCTGCCGCCGTCAAGGAGGTCATCTGCGATTTCGAGAGGTCTCGTCCTGCTTTCTCACAGGCTTGCGCAGATCTGAGATGTTCGGCGAGTGGTGAGCCAAATAGCCATTCGTCAATAATCGAGTGGTCCACAGCTGATTTGCCGACAAAAGTGAGGCACGGCTTGATGAAAGCTTGTCTGACTAATGAGAGGCGGAACTGGTGGTTCGCCAAAAGATGAATCGCCTCCGCCATTTTTGCGAGGGCATCCTTCACAGGGGCATCTTGCGATAGACTCTGAAAATGGCGTAGAAGATCCGAAAACCCTGAGTCAATTGCGTTAAGACAAGCGCCAACTTGCTGTTGATCCCGCGTCTGATGCTCATCTCGTTTTAGAACGCTTAAGCGTTTCCCGAGTGCTGAAACAAGCTCTTGGTTAAGTTTGGGAGGACCTAGCTGCAGGAGCTCTCCCTGAAGCTAAACAGCAGAGCCGCGCGAGTGTCCTCCTTCAGGCCGGAGTAAATCTCACTGCAAGTAGAAGTGAGGATGAGTGGGTCCCATGAAGTTTCAAACGCAGCAGCAGGAGGGCCGAAGAGTTCATTCGCCAACGACGACATATTCTCCTTCTCGGAGTCGTCTAGCTCCAAAGGAAGTGGAGAAAAACCCGGCGAAGGAGACAGTGGCTGGCCTGCTGAGAAAGAAGAAGCATGGTCAGATAGAACAATCGGATACGTGCCTTCGGATAGCGAAGGCAACGCACCTGGTACGCCGCCCCGTTTCTCAAGAATCGGATGCTCATCTACCTGCGAGTCCTCTGGAACGTCGATGAGAATATCGTCTAGCTCCAAAGGGAGTGGAGAAAACTCGGCGAAGGAGACAGTGGCTGGCAGAGGCTGGCCCGCTGAGAAAGAAGCATAGTCAGATAGAGCAATCGGATACGTGCCTTCGGATAGCGAAGGCAACGCACCTGGTACGCCGCCCCGGTTTTCAAGAACCGGATGCTCATCTGCCTGCGAGTCCTCTGGAACGGCGATGAGAGCATCGTCCACCAAGGTTGGGCCAGCGACCGGCACCGCAGCGACGGGAACAGACCGGACGTCGTCGGCAGGCAGAGATGCGGAAGCCCGTTGGGTCTTCCTGAAGGCCAAAATATCGTGCAAGATAGTGGCGAGATCCGTCCCCGACGAGAGGGAAGCATCGCGTGAGGAAGCTCGCGGCCTAACCTCCAAATCACGTTCGCGCGAGCGACTTCCGAGGTCACCGTTCGCGCGATCTATCGCGAGAATTACGCCGACGCTTCCGGGAACGATGACTCTTATGTTTAAGCATCTTGGAGCCCCACCAGGAACAAAGCAGATGAAGAATAAATACAGCATATACTGCACACAAAAACAACGAACTGTAGGTTGCACGCAACAAAAACACAATGAGGGTGCGGTCCATCAATCGCTACAAATGCTTCGAAGCGTTTTTACTTCTGTCTCTTTCTTCGTTTGCATCCGAGAAATAGAACGAGAAAGAGAAACGCTTCAAAGCATTTGTAACGGTTCCCTCCTAGTGACTATTGGTCCTTACTATTAGATCCTTACATTCAGACCAATAACGTTGATAAATTATTCAACAGTTGCTCAACCGTTGAATGTCGTGAACGCACCCAATTCTTACATTTTGAAAAATCAGTAGCGGAGGGGTAGATACAAGTCATTCAAATGGGAATGTGTCTTTTGCAAGGTATTGAACAGGTATGTATATTAAATTTTAAGTGAAACCCTATTTATTTAGTCACTAATCGCTCACTGAGCGGTTTTCTCCGTTGAACGCAATGATTGTTGATATACTTATGTCATACCACGTATATTTCATTTCTCGCCTTTCGTTGTGAGTTACTGCGCAAGCGTGTTCCGCAGGCGGAGCAGCAGCTCTCATCTTTTTCGAGTCGGGATGCGTCCCGAAAGTCATTAAAAAAAAAAGTGACGACCTTTATGTCCGCGACCGTACGGTTTGCGTAATTATGAAAATTATAAATTTAATTTATTTTATATTTGTGTATATGTCTGAGAAAGAAGGAGGAGAGGAACAATATTAATATGTAATTGCAAAACAATTTTGCTTAGTTGCAAAAATATATTTGAATACAATTGACCGTATATATTTGTACGCTTCACTGAGAAAAAAACTAACAAATAAATCTATATAAATAAATTTGTATCATATTTGTATAATAATTTGTACCATAAATACACTTGCTATTCCCACTAAACAAACAGTAAACGTTATGTATTAGATACATCACAAATATATTTAATGTCCGGCTGAGAAACGTTTCTGAGTATTCTATCATGAATATTTATACAGCCCACTAATTCTTGTCCGCTGCAAATGAAGTTTTAATATATCAATGAAATTGTACGTACATCAAATCTGGTGTTAGGCGATAAAGCTCCTTAAATTGATTATTTGATAAATCAAAAGGATTTTCGGTGGCTCGTGAAAATTGTTATTGTGCTTTTCAATCACGGTGTTAGATACAATATTCTATCATTATCACGTCTAAACCCAGATATGCGAGAGCCATTCTAAAATAGTCAAACAATTACTTTACTAGAGGGGCTCAACAATCTAAATAAATTCTCAGATAACAGAAAGTTTAAAATGAATCAGACATTAAACATATGTTGTATATACGTAACATTTACTATGTGTTTAGTGGATTTATATTGCTTTGGAAATTTGCATCTTTATAAATTATAAATAATAAGTATAATTAAATATTAATATTATTGCAGAACTACAATCAATTTATATTGCACTAGATGTAAATCTGAAGATAAAATATGTAAAAAAGTAACATTTAAATTTAAATACTATATCTAATACTATTATAATTATAATGTCAAATTAATATCAAAGTAGTAGTCAAATAATAGTAAAAAATATTAAATTATATAAATACTATATTAGGACGGATTACATTTGGCAGAGAATTAGTCGTAGTAGTACTTCGTCTAATTTGTTAGGAACTGTTTAGCCTGAAAATATAATAAAATATTTCAATACAATGTCAGTAAAAGGAAAATTTAATTACATTAAATCGTTATTTATATGACATTACATCAGTAAGTACTTCAATCTTTCATTTGTTGTACTAATCCTTCAGATAAGTAGGCAATAAGTTTTCTAAAACTGTAAAACTGTAAGTTTCTCAAAAACTCGTATGCGTTTACTGTCGTTAATTGCTTGTACAGCAGCAGTATCTGCCAATTTTTGTACAGCATGTGCAATTTCAGTCATTGCTTGTGCATTTGTCTTAGATACTTCTGCTTGAATTTTAGCAGATTCAGCATGCATCTGCAAACATTTTTTATGTCACAAATTGTTTGCAAGTTGTTTTTACAAATCTCATTCTACTGTGGTGCGACGGAAATGAAAGAGTACCTAATATCTAATAACATGTTTTCTCCTTTATTTCGACAAGAGGTCAGAAACTTTTTTAGCAAAGAAGAATTTAAATAACTTATTATCAGATATAATTTTCAGCGAGGATATAAAATTGAAGATTGTGTCTTACCATTTCAGCATCAGTGTCTTACCATTCAGCCTGCTTCTGAGCAATGGAAACTGTTCCTTTGTTGAAGACAATTCAGACGATCGAGCCCAATTACCTATAATAAAATAACAAATATATTTATAAATATTATATACAGCTCTATTGTGTTATAGAACTTATCAAACAAATAAATATGCAACTCATATAATTACTTTATATATATAGTCGTGGACAAGGTTGTCTTGTTTTTATTGATAAATTTCAGAATGTTGTCAAATGGACTAGTGAGAGCACTTATCTTTCCAAAAATAATTCTCTCATTGGGCTATTCAGTAACGTTCCATTATCATTAAAAACCGGACAACCTTATTGTTCACGACTATACATAATATAAAAGTTACAATTTATACGATAAGATTTTAACTCTACCTCTTATCAATCGTCTTGGAGAATGCATATTTTCTGAAAGACTTTTTGACTGTCTTGCTGGTTTTGCTACAAGGGGATATGGAGTATTCCTATTTGTCCTAAGAGATGAGGACGAAGCAGCCTTTTGAGTCCTTGATCCATAGTTTTCAAAATCCTTAGCAACATCAGAGTTTCCATTTTCATCAACATCGAATAAGTTTTTATTCTGTGAATAATTGTTTGGAATAACATTTACATCATCTATATTAACTGCAAATAAATGAATACGTTACACTTTGAATAAATCAATGTAAAAAATTACCTATATATTTATTATGCATTATATAATTTTAAAAACTTCAAGAATTAAGTCTCTTACCATCTAAATATTGTGAATCTTGAGAAATTTTCTGTGATATATCCGTACAAATGCTTATTACTTGTGGAGTTTTGGATAAAGTTGTTTTGTTTCCATGTTCCAATTCTTCCAGGAAATCCTATACACATAGGTAAATGAGTACATGTGTAAATATCGATTATTGCATTCATTGAATAAAATATGTTGTAACATACAATACAATTATTATACATAAATTCATAATTATATCGAATCACAATTATATGTATATATAGATAAGTAAAAATTACCTCCTCCTCAGGGATATTCTCTGCACAAAATTTATTTCCTTCCGCGTACTCGGGCCCTATTAATCCAATTATACGTTTTTCAAGTTCTGTCAATTCCGATTGCATTATATCTTTATTCCCTGTTAATGCTTTTGCTTTACATAAATCTCGTACTTTAATTGAAGTACGACTTTTTAAGTCTCTTCAACTTAACCTAACAATGAACTTTATATTATACTGCTCTTGTAAAATTATGTGAAAATATTAAATTTATGTATATGATATATGATTTATTTATACCACTTGCCACTGCTCAACGGTTTTTACTGCTCTTTGGTATGAATTTAATTCTTCTGTTAGTTCGATCCACTTCTTTGGCATTTCTTTTCCATGCAAACTATTAAATTTTCCTTCTGCGAGACCCATGTTTAAGTAAAAATAATTTATCATAAGTGTTAATTGCGATTGTGATGCTCTTGCAGTCCTTGCTTTTTTGCTGCAATGTAAAAGTTTATGAACGTCTCCGAGAGTTTTTGCAACATTGTTATACACGATGTGAAGTGTGTATTATTACAGAAGGAAATTATTTCCAGCAATTTATTTAAATAAGTTTTTATCATTACTACAATATTTTATCATAAACAAAAGAGTTAACGTCTCAGGAAAGAAGAGTTTCAGGACTTATGTTTATATGACTTTTTATAATCCTTAAGAAGAGTAGAATACGGTATCAAAGTTTATAATACATACACAATACAAATATTATAATACATAGATAGTTTGTGACATTTTCGACTTGATAAAATTCCTACTTTGTCCACTTATTTTTCTTTACACAAGATCCTTCTAGCTCCTTGCAGTTGGTGTTCAGCAATACCGCCACAGCGATGAAAGTCTGATAATAAAATAATATCAAAGAGGCAAAAAAGAAGGTCCTCAACTGCGAGCATCCGCGAACAGATTCTATTGTCACAAAAGATACTAATAACAAACTTCTGTATTCACAGATCATCTTAAATTAACTTTTGCATATTGACTTTCCACAAGAAGCGGGTCCAACGTTTGGTTACGTTCATAAAATCATCAAAACTCATCGAAAGTTCATAGAGTTTAACTGTTTAAAATCTGGCAACGTTGTATAGTTAGCGAATTATTTCGGTCCGCTTATAACGATGTTTGCAACGATTATAATCGTTAAGATCATGTTATAGAATCACCCATAACTATGATCGTCGGTCATGCAAGCGACATATGTCGGTAATTAACGATAGCGATATTTATCGTTAAACAGTTACGGAATCCCGCTACAGTAAGTTGTGGAACCAGGCTTTAAAGAATCACACTACTGGCACATCTCGAACACGCCGCGCCGGGCTGTGCCGTGAGCGCGGGCGGTGCTGTCCGCTGCCGGCCAATCTTACACACGTATAACATGTATTAATAACCTAAAATAATAAAAAATTAATAACCTAAAAAGAAAATGTTGGATCGTAAAGTTGTAAAATTCGGTATACCATTTATGATTTTCGTTATTGGGGGATCATTCGGCCTTCGAGAATTTACAGAACTACGGTAACAATAATTTATGTACTATTTAAAAATGCAGTGAAATTTAGTGTATTTCAAACTTACTTGTGCCGGCATTTTGGTGTTTAATAAATTTTTTAGTTACATATACAAAAAAACTCGATATATAAAAGATGAAGTAAAGGGCACGGGAATTAAGCTAAAACCATCACAAGAAATTACATTAGAAAGAGAGTATGAAAATTTGCAAAAGGTATGTATTTCATAAGGTTATTTAAAAACTATAGTTCTTGCTAGGGTACATTTTTAATATATAAAACTACTATTTAGCAAATTTTTAACTTTTAAATCTTTGTTAAGAAAAAAGAAAAAATGTTATTTTCTACATCATTTACACCGTTATATTATATTCTTCATTTAGGCAGACCTTGACAACTGGGAAAATACCCGAATAAAGAGACCATGGCCTGAATAGTCATAGAATCTTAGATTTTCTCTAGATTCTTTACTCGATAAAATCAGTACAATAATATATGATTGTTTGGTCTTCAAATTAAATATTCATTGTGAGCTCATTTCTTATATATTATGTATAGTATACATCTGTAAATACATATGTATCTCGTCACAGTTATAACAGAATGTATAAAGATAATATAATACAGTACATATAGTTTAACATATAGTGGTTAGGATATTGGTAACACTCTTATATTATCACATATGATGGTTTATTCTGCATCAAGTAAGAATAATTTTGACCTATTATTAATTCTCAATTGGCAGTGTATATGTGCAACTGTAAAGTAATACAGCTAACAATACAAAAATAAGAAAAAATTGGCCTTTCCTACAGTATTTATTTGCATCATATTTATGAGATTAAAATTTATTTTGAATAAACACTAATTGTGTACTCACTTACAGAGCACATAAGTCATTCTCTCACAGTTTAAATACACACACATTGGAGCTCTACTCACAATCCTTCATTGAACGCATTTGAAATAAAAAAATCGATCTATCAATGTTTATACATATCTGATTTTTACAAGACCAGAATATGGTCCAGAATTAAATAAATTTATAAGTTTAATAATTAAGTTTGATGTTTAAGAGTCGACCTGTGGAAAGGAAAAAAGAATTTATAAATTTATTTTTGAAACTTGGCACGAATAACTACAGCCTTATGCATGCTGCACAAACACAAGAAAAAAGAAATATATTTCTGTTCACCTTTTTTGAAATCCGTACATGCTTAATAAACTCTGCTGGCTAGGAACTGATGATAACTGTTTACTTTGACGTGTCTGTTTTGTTAGTGATTTTATTTTGGGTGAAACCTAAAGACAGAGAAATTTAATAACGAATTATAGCTATACATATATATCATTAGTGTTGTTGTTGTTATTATTATTATTATTATTAGGCATAAGTTTAAGTTACCAGATTGGGTGTATTCTGTTTCTTGGAACTTTCTGTTCTTTTACGCGGAGTGTATTGACAATTCTTAGTATTTGACCATTTGTACAAGTCTTCTCGTAAATTGCTTGTATTCTTGTGATTGATCAAATCATCAACAGGTGTCATATTCGAACTTGATGATTCTGATACATTATCTGAGGTATAACTGTCATTAATTCTTGTACATTGTATCGTCGACGATATTTCGGTTATCCTGTCATCAGAATATGACTTTTCGTGAGCATTTTTATTGAAATTGATTGGAGATTCATTTGGATTCACAAAGAACGAATCATGTTTTGCTGAGACAGTACTTCCTGCAAAATCTAATTCTTTGTGACTTGTTCTGCTATATATATTATGCGTATCGATGTTCCCGTTTGCAATTACATTGCATTCTGTACTTTCTGAGTTAATATCTTCAATGTTATTATCTAATTTGGGCACGTCATGGTTTTCGTTATCCTTCTTGGAGAAATATTTGCTTTCTATTATAGTATTCTCGTCTATAATCGTTCGCCTTACGCGCATTAAATTTCTTCCCCTTTGACGATAATTTCCACTGGATAGAACACTGGGTGAAGTTGTGAGTTGCGATACTCGTTTAATAAATGGATTTTTTTGCCTTGACAATTCTGGTGATGTATTATTTTCTAAATCCAACATTTGTTCTGATTCCTGTTCAGGACTAGCAGTTGATTTCGTCTCTTGATCATTATAGATGTCTAAAATATTTTGATTCAAATTCTGACGTTCTGAGGTATTCTCACACTGCGAACTTAGATTATTATCAAATTTGGATGGAACAAAATTGTCCTTTAAAGATTCCCTTTGTAAAATCTGTTTTTTTCCTACAGTGATGATAGATTTTACTGCACTTGCAAAAGACAACGTGCGTCTCTTCTCTTTCGATCCATTTTCCAATTCATATTTGCTTGACCAAATACTAGCATGATTCATCGTTACTCGCCCAGTTCCTGTACTTCGCTTCCTTTTTCTCTCCTACAATGTACAATAAAGTTTAACAAAAATTTCCTTTTTTTTGGATTTAGCAATACATTATTTCTAAGCCAGATCACATATAATTATGACACAGTAACATGGTTTAATCACAATTAAATTTCCAGTTACTTACAATTTTGTCTGGATTAAAATCATGAAGCATTTTCAAAGTGCACGGATCGCAATTACCAAGAGCCAGTTGTAAAGCTAAGTCTGCATCTAATTCTTGGCCGGCATAACATAATTGATCTTCAGTAATATCAGCTGTGGGTGGATTCAAACGCACTTGTTTTCTTTGTAATGGACAAAATACTAATTGATGTCTAAATGTTATATCTGCTAATATAAAAGCGTCTCTGTATTCTTGAGTCACTTCTAATGACTTCATATTGAGAACTGATCCAACACGTGTTAATGCCTTGACATTGAATTAATATCATTTATATGATGAAGCTTTGTTACATATTTTGAAAATAGCATAACAGCATTTAACTAACCTTATGTATATTAGGATCTGTATTTCTTGTGATAAATTTTCGTGCCTTTCCTAAACCAATACCAGGGAGAGAAGGAAGGTAATCACAACCAGACAAAATACAAATGTAACGAAATTTATCCATGTTGAATTGCTCGGATCGCATATCCATTGCCAAATGTAATAGGTCTTGTTCAATCAAAACTCCATGTCCATTAAAATCCATCTTGAATAATATCTATAATAAAGCAATTATAGTTTCATTGATGAGGATGAAATACGATTATAGTAAATCAGTAAAAATTATATTATTTCTTGAAATTAAACCAACTTTTTTGCATCCAAATAGTGTCAAGTCACTGTCTTCTGTAATAACAACATCAGCTATACCACTAATATTTAAATACGCTAATTGTGCATCAGCTTCATAAGGAGCTACAATACAGTCAATGTTCTCACTCTGGCAATATTTGATTAATTCTAATGCCATTTCATGAGTAATATCTATAGCTCGTTTCAACAAATTCTTTCCTTCAGCATCCTGACCCATTTTTATCAATTCTAGTGCTTTGCGGCGATTCATCTGTCTGGCCCTAAGAGATGACATAATTGTATAAATTTATAAAAATCTTTTGATGATTTTATATAAAGGTATTATAATATAATAATATAATACTCAAGAGAGAACGAAAGATCATGATTCTTTTTACTTACTCTCGTCTCTTGACTTCCGTCTTTTTTTTAGCAGGCAGCTGTCGACCGTCAAACACTAAGATCGGTTTGATATCATGTCTTAAAAGCATATTTATAAATTTCATGCAATATAAGACATACCTATAAAAAGAAAGAGCATCAATTTTAACGAGAAAGTGGGGAATGTTACAGAGAGATGAAATGTCCGAGATATAGAGAATATATATCAACATAAATAATATACTCAACGCATTCGTTGTTTGTCCCATCATTACTTTCTCAGCGCAAGAAAATACACCTTTGTGTAACCAACAATATGTATCGATCGCAACGACGCCGCCGGAAAATTCGCTGACATTGGTTCTTCTGGAAGCTTTTTCCAAAAACGGCAACAATCCCGTAATACCCATTTTTATAAACTTGTCTAATTTATCACGATCTGCTGAGAAACAAACGAACACACAATTATCTTGTGTGTAAATACCAGTGTAAATATCCTTTCACGTTGCCGCCAGATTTCAATCGTAATTTATATATTCACTAGAATGTGGATCGCATGTGTAGATACCGTCCATTGAGAGATTTTAATTGGGCGAACCCAGCGCGCGTAACGTCGAGTCTTGTAACTTACTGATACTTCGACAATCGATAACAAGCAGGGTGGGTAACGACGGGCATTCGTCGAACATGCACAGTGCACTCTATTCTATGGTCTGTTCTTTGTAGCTGCACTGCTGAACTGATGCAATAAGCTAGAGTGAGAAAACCTATATTTGTCTCACTTTAACTTATTGCACCAGTTCAACAGTGCAGCTACAAAGAACAGACCACTAGTCTGGGTATCTATTATGGAACTCGTCGGAATCGATTCCGATCGAATTTATTCCATTATATCCTAGATTTCTATTGTCTTTTCTAGGGGAAACGGAATTATTCCGATCGGACGGAATCGATTCCGTCCGAGTTCCATGATAGGTACCCTGGATTATTCAGATAACATGCGAGTGCAGCACTGCCTTTAGATCGCAGTAGACATATTTGAACCGTCCTCCATTACTGCTGAACTGGGCGCTGCATAGGAGAACAACTCAACAAGCAACGCAATTGTGCATAGAGGAATAAAGTATAATATTATGACGGATTCAGAGCGGAGACAGAGGACAAGCCGAGCGAGGACTATTCTCCGGAATGGTAAGTGCCAATGGACGCGAAAATCTATGAGAGAAATATCGCGCACGCCTGCGCGTAAAATGCGCACTCGATTCGACGAGTATGTTTCATTCGCAAATTCAAATCGAGCATAAAACGACCGATTATGGAATCGGTGGCGAAGGAAAGGAAGGGCTTTTAGGTGGTAGAAGTAAGAGCAACGTATGTAAGACTGAGATTGAGAAAACGTTGTTGCATTTCGTATAATTGCGCGAGATAAATATATAAAAGATTTTCTTGTCACATGTTGGTACAGTCAATATATGCATATACTCGCAATTACGATTAAAATCTTCATTTTTGTCAAGTAAGATTAATCGATGGCACCGACGAGAGAGAAATTACAGTCGGGAATGTCAGTGCCCCCTCTCCCCCTCCCCCGATTATCGCCTCGAGGCCTCCAGACCCCACCGATAGCCGCGAAACTTTGCCCTCGGATATGAATACTTTGCATTCTTTTTTTCTTTTTTTTTTTTTTTCTTTTCAACGGAGATATCGTCGAAGACGTCGAGATAATAGTCCCGTTCTATAGTCACGATCATCCGAGTCGAATTAAAGATTATCGACGTTATGAGAGAGTCGTTTGAGTTCCAATTCGATAGCTTTGGGTAAATCCCGTCCAACTTGAGCGTCAAAATACTCCCTCAAGTCTTCGACCTCCTTCTTCCAGAAGCTCTTTGGCAGACGAAACAGTTCCGTCATGTCCACGTCCTCATTGAGATTTTTTATGTTGATGGATCCCGGGGTCGGCAGCAGGCCGATAGCCGACTCCGCGGCGATGTTCTCGCCGTCGATCCTCCGAAGAATCCAGTCGAGGACACGGGAGTTTTCGCCAAATCCTGGCCACAGGAACTTGCCGTCCGCGCTCTTCCTGAACCAGTTCACGTGAAAGATCGCTGGCAGTTTAGCATTCTTCATGTTTGCCATGCTTAACCAGTGCGACAGGTAATGCCCGAAGTTGTAGCCAAAGAACGGTCTCATCGCGAATGGATCGTGCATGATTATTTTACCCTGCAAAGCACGTCAGGCTTGTAACTTCAACTCGCTTCGTTCCTCTCAGTGTTCACGATCGTTCATTCGAACGATCTCGCGTTCTAAACTTTACCTATATATATATATAATTCTTTTGGATTTAGCGCAATTCTTATACGATATATACCTTGTGCTCGGCGGCAGCTGTAGCCTCGGATCTCATCGAAGCGCCGATGAAAACGCCATGCTGCCAGCTTCGGGCTTGATAAATTAAAGGCACACCCTGAGGCCTTCGGCCTCCAAATAGTATAGCGTCGATCGGGACACCGGCTGGATCTTCCCAAGCGGGATCGATAATGGGACACTGCTCAGCCGGAGTGCAGAATCTCGAATTGGGATGCGCGGCCGGCGTTTTGGATCCTCTCATCCAATTGTTGTCTCTCCAGTCTACCACCTATCGCAAAGTATCGGTAATACATTGCAAACTAATGTCAGTGTAATTCACCGGCACGTCGCTAATTACCTGAACGTCGTTTCCGATCTCTTTTTCCATTCCTTCCCAATACACTCCTCCGTCGCTGGTGGAAGCCACGTTGGTGAAGATGGTGTTTCTGAAGATCGTCTTCATGGCGTTGGGATTCGTGGCCGAGCTGGTGCCAGGCGCGACGCCGAAAAATCCGTTTTCCGGATTGATGGCGCGCAATCGTCCCTTGTCGTCGAATCTCATCCACGCGATGTCGTCACCGACGCACTCGATCTTGTAACCCGGTAAAGTGGGCTGCATCATCGCCAGATTCGTTTTGCCACAGGCGCTCGGGAAAGCTGCGGCGATGTAACGCTTCTTGCCTTTAGGATTCGTGATGCCCAGTATCTGAAACGGAGTGAACGCAAAACCCTCCTTATTTCATTTCCTGTCGCAGGACAGGTCATAGTCCCGTTCATTTATGACGGCAATTGCTGTCGACACGGCAAAAATATCAGCGTCCTCGAGAAAAAAATGGAGAACAAAATGTGTATGCTTTAGTTCCCAATAATCCACGCGGTATCTCTCTCTCTCTCTCTCTCTCTCTCTCGAAGAATTCCCGATAAAATAACCGGTGATACTCGATATATAAATTATACGACTCGGTCGATCGATGCGCTCGAGTGATAAAGCCGCTGTTTACCTCGTTAATAATGAATAAGCGCGATATCGCTCGTTATCGCGGAGCCCGGTGATGCTAGGGGAAAGAAACGAATTACATTGAATTCGATTGGACAGATACCATCATCCTATGTTCACGATATTCACTGCCAGCACTGAAAATCTATAATATATGTGACATAAACTATATATATATATATATATATTTTTTTTTTTTTTCAGTACTGGCAGTGAATATCGGAACGCGGCTGAATCGTATTCAGTCAGGCACACGTACGAGCATATGTTCGGCAAGCCAGCCTTCCTTCCTGGCTATCGTCGAGCCGATGCGAAGCGCGAAGCATTTCTTCCCCAGCAAGGAGTTGCCGCCGTAACCGCTCCCGTAAGACACGATCTCGTTCTTGGCAGGTCGGTGGAGAATGATCGTCCTCTCGGGGTCGCACGGCCACGAGTAGTTGATGATGGTCTTGGAATCGTGCCTCGGGACGCCCACCGAGTGCAAGCACTTGACGAAGTCGTCGTTTCCCAGACTCTCGAGCACCTTACTGCCCATCCTGGTCATCACCCTCATCGAGCAGACCACGTAGGCAGAGTCGGTGATCTCGATGCCGATTTTGGACAGCGGCGAGCCCACGGGCCCCATGCTGAAGGGAATCACGTACATGGTGCGTCCTGCAACAACAGAGAGAAATCAGTTATCGTCGCGTTCGCGGCTAGACAATATCGAGCAATATTCATCCGCGAATTTCATTCTCCGACTTTTTCAGGCTTAGATAACATTGTCGTGTCAGCATTATAGCTATATATAGATATATTTATATAGATGTCAAATGACAGATCCCGATGAGATCTGCCTTCTCCGATCGGACTTGCATCGAGATAATGAGAGAAAGAGGGAAATTCCATTAACCTTTCATGCAACCCGGGAAACGTTCCAAGATAGCCTCGTCCATGTCGTTCGGGGAGATCCAGTTGCCGAGCTCGCCGATTGTACCCTTGCGCGGTGTAGGGATGGTGTCGTTCTTCACGTCGGTGCTGATGAAGGTACGTTTCTCGACGCGCGCGACATCCGCAGGGTTCGTCTTAGCCAGCCAACTGTCGCGCGTTGAAAACGTACGATGTAGCAAATTAACGAGTCGCACGGCAGAAATGAAGAAAACGAGCAAATCGAACGCACGGGACGTGCAACTCACCAGTTTTCGTATTTCGGTAGGTTCTCGATGGTGCCATTCTTCTGGAGGATCTTCAGTAGCTGCATGTATTCGGAGTCCGTGCCGTTGCAGATGTAAATGTCCTTGGGACAGCACAGCAAGACGCATTCCTCGATGTAGCGGCGTAGCTTCGCCGAGATTTCGAGCGTGGATGCATTCAGTAGCGGTGTCTTGCCGATGTAATCGTAATCGTATTTGATCGACGGATTTTTCGCCGCGTGGGTCACCAGGAACTTCGGGATTCTGAAAAAAAAAAAAGAAATAGAAACGGCGTGTCCCGTTTTTCTCAAGCGTTTCTCTCACGATCCGCGCAGCGTATCTGTGTGTCGCCTACCGCCTAAATTTGCAGTTTCCCGTAGCAAAGTATCTTTTACACGCTACATAACAAGAAGGGGAAGAGCGAACTACTCGCTTCAGCGTAATATGCATTGAACTTTACTTTTACTTTTACTACACGGGCCAACGGTGGACGACTCTCGTCGCTGAGCATTGGCTCGTGGTAACAGGCGGGGCCCACCGTACGTTTGTGGCACTATTCGTTCGCACAGGTCACTCTCGGCTCATGGCCGTCGAAAGCTTGCGAAACGAAAATTTTCCGCATGCTGCAAAATGTGACACTGTTGCGTCAGGGGGGCCCTCGATCTATCCAAGCGAGAGAGCGCGTTGAGTGCGCGCTGTCTATTGTAGCGAAACTACGTCATGTCTCTTCTCTCGTTCGTCGCGACTTCTTTGTCTCCGCACCGTTGCTCAACAACCTCGTTTGTTGCAATCGTGATTTTTATCGTGCGTCCCGCAATAAAACACGCGGAAGATTTCAGGTGGACTTCGCATCTCTCGGTTAGAGGTTTTAATTCGCGGCTCGGCCGTACAGATACGAGACTCTAAAAAACTAGAAAGTCGCGATAAGCGGTGACCTCCCCTCCGCCTCCGTCAGCTCCTCCTACCCGATCTTGCCACTGAGGAAAATTCGATTCCGAATTGCTCGGGGAATCCATCGTCGCTAGATAATGCGATAGAAGTGGGACACGCTCCGCGTGTTACTTTGTTCTTGACGTAACTTTTTATTTATAGAGCGCGAAAGCTTTCACGTCCGCCACCTATAATTACGTTCTACAAGCACCTGCGATCAGCTGCTCTCATTGGTCTCTTTGCGCCAGACTGATTGTCTACCCGAGCGAGCCTATTTCACCTTCTATCAGCGGCGTTCGCGGCTGGTCGCGCGCGCTCACGGTTGGCTCTTTAAATATATATATATATATATAGAGCGAGTGAAAAGACTTCTTGGGAGATATTTGCAGTTAAAATGAAAGTGCCGAGTGCAAGCCGGAGTGCTAACGCCGTTGTTCAAACGATGCGATACATATGCAAAAATAGCGAGAAAAAAGACGATAACTATCAGTTCAACAAGTAATAAGCTTTCGTTTGCTTGGCTCTAATCGTCCGGAGATTCTCTTTAACATTTCAAATACAAAACAATTTGAAACGCAAAAGTGTGTAATTATCTCAAGCATTTACATATTATTATACGCGACATCAAACAGACCACGATGCCGATAGCAAGAATGTGATACCATTTGCGGCAGCGTACATTTTTAAAATTATCATTTATCCTCGAAGCGGATCCAGACGACTCGGGTCAAAACATTTGTTATTCTTTAAATGTAAATGCCGTCTCCTTTCTCTGCTTGCTGTGTTGTGTCGTTCGAGTAACACAACGTCGGTTCTTACGTTCGTCTTTGATATTTTCACCTGGGCTCTCTGACTATTCTCTGAGATTCTCGAGAAATGATAGCCGGGAAAAGGGAGAAAAGGTTCCGCTGAAACGAGTCCGCTCAAATTGGAAAGCCCGCTTACTTCGAGCTCCCTTCCGTCCGTCGATCAGCGTGTAACTCTCTTAATCGATAACATTAACGATCGTCATCTGTTTTCACAGACGAGGACGAGAATGTGGACGGGCTACTTACGGTGACTGATGATAGATATTGACGGCGTGCGGCATCTTGCGAGCTTTTTCGTTCCTGAAGGCGGACGGCGTTAAAAGATGTATGGAACGGGTGTTGATCTTCGTGACATGAATCGTCCGTTCGGAGATGCTGCCCCTGAAGCCGGAGTCGAGGAAGAAGTTCCTGCTGCCGTCGAACCGTCGCGAAATTCGCGTCAAGTCCTGCCAGCTGATACGGTGGAGTTTGGGCGGCATGTCGTCGTACTTGTCGGAAAGGCTTCTTTATATGCGATATCCGAATATATTGTGCGCGGACGATCCCCCAGCGGTTCCCGACCCGATTGGTTGATGAGCAATGTCACCGTTGAACCAGCGATAAGATAGTGGGGAGCGCGAACGTGATCCGTGATCGTCCCGGAGCGATTAACGGCGAACGTCCGCGATTCGCGCGAACCCGCGAAACAGTCGGCCGAGGTGGTTTACGTGGCAGCCGAATGCACTTCCGAATGGCCACGCTACCGCTTTCCTATGGCAGCTCCGCACACGCTCACTCTCTTCGCTCGGAATTCGGACTGGTCTCGATAAAGAGTTATGTAGTTGAAAATCAAGCGACTCGCGCGCGCCGCCGAAGAGAGAGAAAGAGGCGTGTAGCGCCTTTTACGTCACGAGCGAGTCTCTATGTCGAGGGGCGGGAAAAGTGAGAAAAAAAATAAGCGGGCGGACTTGGGTTGTTCGGGGCGAAACGGGTTTGCAATATGTCGAGCTATTAAATGACAAAGGAGACGTTACATACGTGCGTGTTTGTTGTGTGTGTGTGTCTGTGTGTATATATATGTGTATACGTGGGTGCCCGCGATTGTTGAGTGTCCACGTCTCGGGAAAGCAAAAGTCACGGATAGCGGCGATGACGTTTAAACCCGCTTTCGTATTAAATCGGAATCAACGCTCAGACAGTGATTTTATACCGAAAGCCGTTAACCACTCTCGCTGTTCTATTTTTGCGTGACTGTGTGCGTCTCGCTTACCGACTTTCAGACTTTCCGCTATCTGCCTCACGCATACGCACACAACGCTCGCTCGCTCGCACGCATGCATGCACGCACGCACGCACGCACGCACGCACGCACGCACTTACGCGCGCGACTAACTTACACACGCACCGCCGGCAAACGGGTAAGACCACTATTCGCGGCTCGCAATTCACGCAATTATGGGCTCGGACGAAAGGAATCGTGTCTTTTATTCAGCGGCCACCGGCCTACTCGACATTCCGTGTCACAAAACAGTGATAAGTGATAAACACCCATAAGAGATTTTTATTTAATCATGTTTACCACTAGGCGATATGCGAGAGGGGAAGAGAGAAAGAATTATAGCACCGGGTAAATCATATCATTGTCATCCGAAGTCTCGTTTACGCACGTTTGCGATTTGAGATATTCAGTCTTCCTGATAGTCTCGCAATATCTCAACACCTACGCGCACTGATAATGTAAGCATCTTAATTTATGAACTTGAAAAATTCCACGCGTATCTGTGTCCTGTGTACGCATATACGTACGTGCATGCGTGCGTACGTGCGTACGAACAAGTATATGTACGTGTGAAAAATTATATACGTTTACAAAAATATACATAGAAAATTACATATATATATACAGGAAAGAGTGGCTTTGTTCTCATTATGATAAGATAAAGACGACGGGTGCGCATGACATTTTCATTATAAAATGGACTTTATTTCTTATCTTGAAAAGAGAAGACGTAACTATATATATATATATATATATATATGTATAATATATGATACTTATCAAATTGTGTTTCACTGTATCAATCATACCGTGGAACAAGGTTCAAAGGAAAAGGTACAAAGAGGATGGACTGTGAAAAGCACTTCACCGTTTGCCATTCTTATTTCATGTCTCGTCGCGAGTACATTCGCGACGAGTGACTCGCGCGCACTTCCGCGTTTTAACGCGCATCATCGAACAGTCTGTATTGCAGATGAAGAATTCAAAAGGGGAAATTAATTCCGCAAACTGGATGATCGGGAAGCCAGCTAGACGGACACGTTTCATCGCTGGAAATAATTTGCGTAATCGCTAGGTCGTCGCGATTAAATCCGTACGCGTGAGAAAGAAAAAAATATGCGGCGTTTAGTGACATTAGTGTCGCAGCAGGTTACACTATAAAAATAACTGTTATTCCGATTCTATCGAGAGTGTCCCACACGGCCGTATAATATTGCGAATACTAAGGAAAGAGAGGAGAAGGAATCAAATCCCTCCTCTCTCTCTCTCTCTCTCTCTCTCTCTCTCTCTCTCTCTCTCTCTCTCTCTCTCTCTCTCTCTCTCTCTCTCTCTCTCTCTCTTTCTACAATACCGGATAATACCGGCGTTATTCAGCTCGTTTAATCGAATTTCTTTCTTCTTCTATCTCTCAGTCAGTCGGCGCCAAATTCTCTATGACCTAGCGGAGGTAGCGGTATTTCCTCCGAGATATCGCGCGCGTCAGTCTTCTGTATCTTTCCGTCAGTCAAATTGCGAAAACTTAATCGGGATTAATTTAGAACGAAGGAATGCATTATATTGATTTGAGAGCGCTGAAGATGCGCAGCTGAATGGCTCGCGTGTAACGCATCGAGGGTAGGCCGATATGGCGCTGCGGCAAAACTAATTAAGCGATTATTAACAATCGCTTCTTGTTTAACACGAGTGAAACAAACGGAGTAAATGATGCAATAGCATTTGGAATTGCCGCGCGATTGCCATTGTACACGCCGGAGAACAACGTGCACGTATGTAGCTGGCGATGAAAAAGTTAAAAGGGCACGAACGATAGCTCGCGGAGCATACATCTTTTTATTTTTTAATGAGCGCGACTTTGTCCTTTCGCCGTTATGTTATCGTGGAAAATATCGGATTTATATATTATCGCATCCGGTAGGTGGACTACGGACCAGAGTCAGGAGCGGCTCCCGTTACATCGTCAATAAAGCGGCGCCCGTCAGTAACGGCTCTATGATCGACGAGCGACTTAGATAGTCGATTAAATTTGTCAAATCGCCGTTAATTCGGCTAATACGATACGACACGTGGACACTGCTAAAGCTGAAACTGCTAAAGCTGAAACTGTTTAATAACATTTTTGGTAACACATCTTGATAATATTCACGAACGAAACTCTTCCGTACACACATTGCAACGCAAGCGGTATAATAATTGTTGTAACTGTACGAGCGTACGCTTCACCATTCCCCCGATATGACGGAGCGGTTCGCTATATGAATTATTGTGAACATCGATAGTTCCACTCGATAATTGTTATTTAATGACTTATTTGTATGCGATGTATGCGACGTAGCCGTTTCTATGTGCACGTTGCGTATACATTTGTTCATACTCACAGACAGGTGTTCCACCTGTTGCTTACGCTTACATACATTCACATAGTTCACATCAGTTATCAGATGTTTTTAATTTGTTTTTTTTTATCGCTGAAAATCCTAGAATTCCAATGTACAATGTCGTTACATTAATAATATTTTACTCTTCTACTCGTCTACGCTGCCGAATCACGGACTCGCGGATGGCGAAATCATGCATAACAGTCGCACAAACACGCGCAAACACATATTAAGTGGCCTGACGTATCTGGAGGCTCGCCCGTGTTGGCCTACGACTTGCTTATCAAGAATATTGCATAAGAGAAGGCTCGACTTGGCATGATGTATATATCGATACCGATTTCATAAGAAAAAGGAGGGGATGAAAGAGAGAGGGAGAAAGGAAGAGGATTTAATTATTATTTCGCCCTTGTGTGTAACGTCCATTTTTTTATATTTTTCTTCCCTAATTAGTCAAAGTAAGTATATATATATATATATATATATGCAAAGAGACGTTGCAGGAAGAAGACACGTGTTAAAGTAATAATAACAATAATTGTAAGCGTAAGAAGGAAGGAATAATTGTCACACTGTAATGTTATGTATCAGGTATACTCCTCTCATCATTTGTTTTACGTAGAAAACACAGAAATTATACAGCAGAAAATTGACGAGAGAGCGAAAGAGAGAGAGAGAGAGAGAGAGAGAGAGAGAGAGAGAGAGAGAGGAACGCGCTTACGCGGTTTAGTAGATGGAATATTGTGTGAAACAGCTGACACAGACCAAAGATAGCGAGAGGAACGAAACGAACACGCCACCTTCTATCTCCCTCCACTCGCATAAGCATTTTTTCACCTTCAGATAACTATGTAAATTAACACGTGTAGTGGGAACGTGAGGTGGCTCAAGGAAAGTCTTTTTTACTGCAAACATCAGCTACGATTTGCAAATCACTTGTGACTATGATGTTTCTTTTCTCTTCTTCGGCTTTATCGCGAAATGCTCACTTAGCAGAACGAAAACACTTATAACGGCTGATATACATATATATATATATATATATGCGCTCCGTTGCTTAACGTATTTATAATGAAGAAGCCCCCCTGCGACGAGTTGAGCAATTCCCGAGCGGCATTATCATGGTCTTTAACCTCCGCACTTCGTAATAAAGAGGAGCGATCTCCGGGGACCGACGCTCTATTTTTGAATCGAATATTACGAAACTTCATCTCGAGTAGCCGCGATGTTGCAGCGGAATAACTGCAACGTCTTTTATTTATTTCGTCAGTTAAAAGATCGCGCGGGTGAGGGGAGCAGAGAGGGGAGGACTGTTTTTCTGCTTGCTCGCGATCTTTGGGGGCTCGGCCGCGCGCACAATCCTTCCTTTACGACAAATATGCAAGTTGGAAACTGCGTGCACGATGTTTTCGAACATTCGCTAAATAACGATCGATCGTTACTTCGATTATTTCGATTGCCTCGATTGTCTCTCAATTGTTAGAGAAAAATATATCATTAAGATCGATGTCGTAATTTATAAAATATATATCTCGTATATAAATCAATGGTGCCCTCCCCTCCATTTACGAAATCGTTGACGTAATCCTCTTATTATTAATTAAAGATACACGGATAAGTTGTCCCATCGGTCGCATCTCGAATGTCGAAGCTCGAGGTAATTGCAGAACACCGACATTATCGACCGATCGCTAGCTGCTCGGTACAATTCCGTGGTAGTTTAGCACGCGCGTAGTTATCAGTTGCGCAGGCTGACGCACGAATCGTTCGATGCGCATGAAACATAAAAATTTTTGCAACGTCTGGTTGTTGCTTTTACATCCGGTCGATTCGTCCAGAAAGAGAGACTTTTTGCTAAAAAGTGCAGGAAGCACTTGAGAGTGCACACGTTCCTCGGATCGTAAAGGCAACCGCATAGATTCTTTTTAGAATGAGCCCTTCTCAATGAGTCTCATGTTCCGCGGCATATATCAGCTGTTCAGTGACAGTTCACCAATCGTAGAGACTGTAGGAACTATAGAAGCGTCAAAACAGAGGAAGAGGTTTATTGTTTGGGACACAAGTGCAACATGGCTATCTGGTGATTAATAATCGAGCGATATGTCAATAGACAAAGGAGCAACGCAACTCTCGTGAAGAAGTGAAAGCAATTCTCATGATAATTCGAACCACTTCGCGCGTGGCGTACAGTTCCGCTGTTCCGAACGAGGCAATACGAGAAAAGAGATAAGATGTTGGAGCTCGAGGTGGTGCCCGAAAGGTCTCTCGGATGCGAGCAGTGGGAATTTATTTTAGGCAAGTGACGAAACGTGTCGGAGAGAGAAAGAGAGAGAGAGAGAGAGAGAGAGAGAGAGAGAGAGAGAGAGAGGGAGAGCGACGAGTGTGTTATTGTTATGATCTTCGCGCGTGACGCGCGTTAAATCATTCGCGTGAAATTTTGCTCAACTTAATCGCGTCAGATCACACGAGTAAATGGAACGATCTCACAGCTGATTGCGTTCTTGCGACATCGGCGACCGTACATAGCTACGCATTACGACTCGCGTCGTCCAGTCCCTACTTTTGACCTGTTTGCTTATTTGAATATTAAGATTAATCAGTCGAACGACATCACATACGATTGCTATTTGCTTATTCGTTTGTCGTCATTGGACATCATCGTTTGACGATAGACACGATATAATGTAATATAATAATTCTCCTTTCGTACCCTGTGTATTTTTGACATACTTTACCTATTACATCAGCATGTACGCTAGTAAACAACAAATATATTGCGATAAATGTATAATCGATATAGACGATACGCACGGATGTTTATGCCTGTAGCATAAAGAATAAAATAAGCGATAGACGTAAGAACCAAATGGAATGTGGAGGGGGATGATAAAATATAATACAAAGTAATATTCATTATCTGTTCAAATATTTGCAAAATACATATGCTGATTTATCTCCAAGCTTTAGTTTTGTGACTATACTTTTGTTGTAGGCATGCATTTTTCCCAGTCAGTATCAATAATACAATCTCAAGTCGGTATCATAAGAGGGGTACAAGTACTTTATAGCGACAGTGTAAGTATATACTTGATACTTCTTCTTAGCAAAGAATTTTTGTACGTGTGCAAAATATTTCAGAGCTTCTAAATATACAAACCAAATGTCAATGCTTTAAATACATAGACAAACAATTAATGAAATGATACATTAAGCACCGAATGTGTATTTGCAGAACCCGTTAGATGTAGATCTAGTGATAAATTTACCTCATGATGGAATTCGGCTTATATTTGATCCCATTGTACAAAGACTTAAGATAATTGAAATTTACAATATGAAGTTAGTGAAACTGAAGTATTGTGGCTTGCCGTTCAATTCGCCGGAAGTGTTACCTTCGATCGAACAGATAGAGCATTCTTTCGGAGCCACCCATCCTGGTGTTTATGACAGCGAAAAACAGGTATGCAATTGTCTTTGGCATTTGGTCACAAGTGTGACCAACAATGCAAGATTTATTAAAAGAACAGAGAAAAGTAAGTAATAAAACGGTACAAGTATTATTTGTGTGGTATATGCAACATATTCATACAACTAGAGTATTCATAATAATGAATTGCAGGTGTTTGTACTAAACTTTCGGGGACTGTCCTTTTACTTTCCCATCGACTCAAAGTTCCAGCCCGGTTACGCTCATGGATTAGGCTCGTTGCAGTTCCCCAACGGGACTTCTCCTCTAGTTGCAAAAACGGCGATTTATATCGGAAATATGCCAGCTAGTGGTAGCAGTGAGGAACATGGCTCGAAAGCACCGCCGCCACCTTTACCACTTGTAATTATATTTTTAAAATCACCTCGATCACACACCTTCGTACGATCCTTCAAGATGAAATGGAACGATCGCAATGATATCGTCGTTAACATATTTGCTTTTCAACACAGGTCTGTTATCATAACAATTTGTACTTAGAGAAAGCTGATATCATTAGAGACAAAACACGCACCAGAGGGCTCAAATTGCATCTTTTCACAGAAGGTAGTTCCGGCACGAGAGCACTGTTGGAGCCGAAGAAACGATGTCTAGTGAAAGAGGTTACGCTTAGACAATTAGACTATATTAGAACAAATTTAAATTTAACATCGTGTTACTCAGATATCTAAAAGTATTGGAAAGTGACTCAGGTTTTACATGATATGATTATGTGATCATCCTTCATCATTTCAGGTATTATTCGGTGACACTTGCGAAGATGTTTTAAGCGCGCTTGGTGCTCCGTCTAGAGTGTTCTATAAAGCGGAGGATAAGATGCGCATCCATAGTCCACACGCGCACAAGCGGGACAAAATAAGACGATCAGACTTCTTCTATAATTATTTTACTTTAGGTTTGGTGAGTATATCACCGCTTTGCTCGCTTTATTATATTTATCCTCTCCTCTGCGGATTCTACGTTTTTTTACATTTTTATCATTCTTCACAGGATGTCTTGTTCAATGCCAAAACTCAATGCGTAAAAAAGTTTGTACTTCACACCAATTATCCGGGACACTATAACTTCAACATGTATCATCGTTGCGAATTTTCTTTAACATTGCCTCCTGAGAATAATTCCACGGAATCGGGAAAACTGATTGACGTTTCTCCCTCTCCTGTTACAGTGAGATATTTTAGTTCTTTGCTACGCCTCTTTTAACGAAATACTCTATATACCTACTACGTACTATCGACGAGAGTCCCGAATCCGACACAATCCGACCAATATCTTGCTTTATAGATCACTGCCTATACAAAATGGGATAGAGTGAGCGAGCAACTAAAGGCAAGCGCGCGCCCTGTGGTGTTGAATCGTGCATCTTCGACAAACACAACCAATCCATTTGGTTGTACTTTTTGTTACGGTATACGGGATGCAATTGTCGAAGTTATGGCAAATCAACATATCGCGAGTGTAACTTTATATAGAGCAGCATGACGTTGATAATTTACACGAAATAACGCATTATGTTGCGTAACCTGAGACAAGTATAAAGAACGATTATTATATATACAGGATAAAGTCGTGTTTTATTTTCTAACGTCTTAAATCTGACGATTAAAGGTAAGAAAGAGAGGTAATTAAAATAGGACTGTTCACTTTAGCTGCACTTTTTGCGATTACGGTATCTCAGTCGTATCTTTCTCTCGACCTTCCTCCAAACGTATATCCAATCGTTTAATTTTAAGTGCAGAAAGTGTTACAAGAGAGATGTAACTAAAATGAACAGTCCGAACTAAAGTGAAAATGGTCATATGTAAAGTAACGCTTGCTGGGAACGTATATTTGTGAATTACTGTGAATATAATTTTGAATATACATTTGTAAACGTATGAGAATATATTTTACACATTTTACGAGCGCTAATACACTTACAAAGATACGTTTGAAATTTTTATCCGTTATTAGTGAGCATGTTTTGCCCAACATGCCCATAAAATACTGAGCTTTTTTCTAAAATTAATATTATCACGATTTTAGAATACAAAGATGTTATAACAATAAGTTGCGTAAGACGTAAATGTTAAAATGATAAAATAGTAGTTGTGGAAGATGTATAAAATTCAGATATTACATTTCAAGACACTTATGTAGTAACATGTGAGGTAATGTATCATTTTTCTGCAGATATTTTCTCACAGCTTCAGACATGCTTGAGTCATTTTTTCGAGTTGATTTTATCTTAACAAAAATTTCATCAGGGGAACTGCCCTTTCGTATGACTAATTATAACTGTGAATTAAATTAACATTAAACATCTTAAATAAGCAGTTAGTTTCTATTGTGATTAAATGAATTTTGTGACTTATGTGTTCGCACATATAAATATTGATATCATTTCACCTGTATTAAGAAAATACTAAAATACTTTATATCTCATTAAGAAATAAGCAGCTGTTAATTGAGAAAAGAAATTATTATTTCGAGACCTACGTATTTATGTGAAATCTGCATTTTATCTTGTTTTCTGTTAATGAAATAGGAAAGTAGATTGCAAGGTACAAAGACATAGCAACCTTCAACTAAATTTAATATGGCATCTTCATCCTTCGTTGTCGTACAATCATAATAATAAGACAGACAGAATTATAATCGAAATGATTTATATTCGTAAATCTTTTAATCACACAATTATAAAAATAAAAACGGAAAACTAAGTGAAAAATAATATATAAATTTTTATAGATGAAATATTCTTTCTAATTAATTGTAAGGATTGTTATGACTAATTAACATATAATATTGTCCTTAGAGGAAATAACGGAATAAATATCCAACTTTCGTAAAGCAAATTTTTTAATATGGATATGAAGCAAAATATTGAAATAGATAGAAAGAAGTGGGAGAGGGGGGGGGGGGTGTGTGCGTGTGTGTGTTAATAATTATAAAATATAAAGCTAAAAATAAATACGATTACATTATAACACTGCGATTGATATTAAGGTTCTTCGGTAAGTTATATTAATCATTTTGAATTACGACGCTACGAGCGAGTAAAATGTAAAGAAACATAGGAGAAGAAAGAATTCTTGCAATCAAGATTCACACAAACATATTGTTTCGTCAATAAAATTGTATTGACTAATGAATAAAAAAGTAGCTGGCTAAATTATAAGCTGTCTTCTTTGAGAAGGGTGTTTCTTTGAATTGTGAACCGTTTGTATGACACTATTACTGTATTTAATCGCTTAATTATGTCTTTACGTAACATGAATTGGTGACAAAATTTCTTTTAATTTTTCTTTTCTTTGCAAGAATTATTCGCTCGTAATTCATTGTTCTTTGCTCGTTTTTTATATTGTAATGCAGGGTAAAAACATCAAGAACTTTTGATCGCTTATTATTGTAAACAAAATTGACAGAAGAATCCAGTATAGAGAACAATTATACATTACGACATATATTGACATATATTGATTGCTTCATCTTTCTCTTTATAAAAAATTGCAAATTTTCACTTCCAATACAAATATAACATAATTGGGTGATAACAAAATAAGAAATTATAACGATAAAATTAAGAAATAAAGAAATATAAAAAGTATGGATTACATTATCTAATGTAATAAAACATATTTGTTGTATCTATGCGTATCCATTTGTTGAATTATTTTTCACCTTTTTTCTTTATTCTCATATACACTTTGATATGATCATAGGTGGAAGAAGAAAAAAAAAATATATATATATATATATATTTGCAATTCTATACACATATATTGTATATATGATTAAAAGTAAATATATTGTATAAGATGATTTGTAATTAAAGCATTCTTCCTTGTGTGCAATGCGGTTTCTGTCGTTTGAATATCCCACGTTTTATTGATATAACCAACTTTCCTTAAGTTGGCAACGACTATTTCGTGAGGGTTTGCATCACTGTAACTGCAGAAAACGCTCGTTCATTCGAGACTTTCCCGCCGAAGAAATATATACGTGCGCATTTTAAAATGGATGTCAGAGATAACGAGAATGCCCGTCCTCATAAAAAAGGTTAGTCTTACGAGTACGTTACGTTCGAACGAACGAAAGAGAGATTCAGAAAGAAACAATTATTCTCATTATGATAAGTATTCATTAATGATAATTAATGATAATTAAAGTAGTCATTATGATAATTCGGTAAGTCGCACGCAGGGAAGGATAAATTTGCTCTTCCATCAAGTGTCCCGAGACGAGTCAAGCTTGCCTGGCAGATCTTTACAAAGGGCCACTGTCCGATCGTAAGAGACATTGAGGTAAAAAAGACACGAAGTTATTTAGGTGCAGCCAAGAGATGGATAACTTTCCCCGAGGACGAGTCGATCGTACGTAAACGCACGGTTGTGCAGGAGCAACAATACGCGTACTTAATTTCGATTAGACGTCAGACTTCTTGACAGAATAATTAGCGGTTTGTCCTCCGTCTCAAGCAAAGGTCTTTCCGGCGGAAGTGTTTTTACCGAAGGTACAAATGAAATACGACGTTGAGCCCAAGTTGCTGCCGCGTAATGTCGAAATGGAGAGAAGACGACGAGCGTACAAGAATGTGAAAATAGAAGACGCTCTAGAAGCGGAGGGTATCAAGCCTCGTGATATATTACCGCTCGATAAAATTCGCCCGTTGCTCTCACACGAAGAGAAATACGACTTGTACTCCAAAGCGAACTACTTACCGTTGGAGGTGTTCGACGATGAGGAATACGATTGTAGGTGAGAGATATACGTTATCGCGTGTACTGACTTCGCACTTGGAGAAAAGGAGTACTTTACGAATCTTATTTATTATTATTTTCGGTGTTGCCCATCGTGAACGCAACGAAAGTGAATTATTATCGCGGTTGACACATGCTTTACGATATTTTGTAAAATTTAGAACGGCGGAAGAATGGATAAATTTCGGCATCATCGATGGTATTCGTTATCCGTTACCGGCTACGGTGTTTATCGAGAAGGCTGCGCAAATGAACAGGATACTTTATCGAGACCGTCACACGTTGGACGAGTTGTTCAGCTGGACTGAGGCTGCCGTGATGGACTACAACAGTGAGAAGAAAGTTTGGACCGTTCTCGCGTTGGACGGTTCCAAGCGAAAATTTGTCCTACCCAGGATATACGTTAGATTCCATGGGGAAGATTCCAGAAAATTCGTCCAGAGAGTAGCAGCCGCCGTTAAACAAAGACGGATAGCCGAAGCTACTATTAAGTTAATTTGCACACATTAGCGTCACATTAATAATAAATCCTTAATTAATTAATTTACATGATAAATCCTCTCAAGTATCTGAGAAAATCATTATCTATTCTAGGATATGTAGATGATAATGATGAGAATGACAAGATGATAGTAAGAATATGCAAAAAAATATACATTTGGTACTTTTATATGGATTTTATCACATATTCATGTGTATATGGGGCGAGGGAGATTATTATTAATTATCTGTTACATTTTTTAATCCTATACCGGACTTTTTGTCCTAGATACCACTTTTATTTGGACTGCATGCGAGTGGACGGTATGCCGGCTATTGACGAAGAGCAACAGAAAGCTCGAATAATCGTGTTAGCTACTCGACAAGGTTCCATTGATCGCATGCCTGATCATCTTTCAAAGGTAGGTGCTCACAACACCGCTCGTTACTTTGATCAGTGACCTTTTAACTCGTGACATTCAGTTGATGGACGAAATCGTGCTGGAGTATCGTCGAGTTATGTGCGATCTGATGTGGCGGTCTCTTCTGGAGAAGCAACCTGATACATTTAATTTTATCGCATGGAAAGAAATTAATGACGTCTGTGATATTACGATACCGGAAGTGGGGAAAGTGTCGGTTCACACCGGCATGAAGGACTTCGCGGTATTTGCGAAGAAATTTTCGTGCTCGAGCGACATGCGATGTTTTTCACGCGAGGTACTTTTGTAGAAAACCAAGAATCACTTCCACTGGATAACTCTATACGTTGTGGCGGAAGTGCACGAGGCCATGCAGTGCGTAGTCGTCGAATGCATCCACGTGTTGGGTATGACTCTCTTCGTTTCGAATTACGGAAAATCGATGCCTCTGTTGGAATTTGAGTTGCATCAGAACCTGGAGACGGGCACGGTGATAAAGTACCTGAAGGAATCGTGGTTGGAACGGATCACGCAGTCGGTTCGCATGTGTCTGCGAGATCTCGGGAAAGGATGGTTCAACCTCGAGCAGAGAAATCACAAGATATACGACGTGATGAAGCTGAAGAAACTTATGGATGTTATTGTGCTTCGAATGCAAGTTCGTCGAGTTACATTTGCAGCATTTGCAGGTAAAAATGACCATTGAGTAAATTAATAATTAATTTGCTTGCTCTCTGCAGACGGCGTTGCGAGATCTCGTGTACAAGTCGATTGCCCTATACGTAGAAATGCTGACGGCTCCGGCGGCACGCACCTTGAATGTGAACGAGGATTTTGTCTGGGGTACTGATCTCATAAATACACAATTTAAGTCTCCGGCAAATCCTATCTTCAACGTCGACATCTTGATGAATAACGAAACCGTCTATTACTCAACCGACCCGAAATCGTTCGAAGTATGAACATGGCTCGATTAATTTCATGTTCATCGTTGATACGTGTTTGAAAAATGAACCGACGAATTAGCAGTGCACTTTACATCGATTTCCAGGAAATCATCGTAACTTTGTTGGACAATACTCTGAGCGAGTGCCATCGCGTGAAACAGGTACATCCTTTCCTGCTGCCATTCCTGAAGTTTCCCAAAGATCTGTTTCTCAGTTCGGTCGGCTTGCTCGAGGAGAAGGTTTGCGAGGCGCGAGATCGCTTAAGGATCGCGTATAAAAAGTCTGTAATACCTTTAAAAGCGTACGCGAACGAGTATCGTCAGTATCTGGAGTTTTTTACATTGAACGTCGAACAATACATGAAGTGAGTTTGAATGGAATGGCCTCGTGGACTGCAAAAGAAGCGCGAAGATTGATGTCATGAAGATGTAAAAAAAAGCATCGTTCACTCATGTTTTTTCTCGGCTTCGTCACTTTTCGCAGGGACTTTAAGGAAAGCGATCACACCGCCGTGGAAGTTAAAGACGAAGTGTCCTTCCATCTGAAGATGAAATCGGCGCTCGAGAACGCGCTACCGAACGAGATTGTCATTGGGCCTTTTCGTGTGAATGTTCAACCGCTGAGATGTCTCCTCGTGCGAAAACGACAAGATTGTAGCACACAGCTGCTGACCATGTTCGCCGAGAGCTTGAGGGCGCGAATCGACGTTGTCCTGGCTGATTATTCGCGAATCAATATCAGGCTGAGGTCACCGTGGCGCAATATCGAACACTTATTCGAGGAACAGGACTGGATGGCGACAGTACCGCTGGCGATGAGACCCCTGGATGAAACTGTGCAGAAATTGACGCGCGAATATGACGTTCTCGACTACTTCTGCTGGAACCTGCCCGATCAGGATTTCGAGGCTAAGTGGCAAGCCATAGGTTCCTCTCGCCAAGTGCGATTACTCGTGAGAGTCGTTAATCGCTTCCCACGCGGATTATAAACAAAAAAAAAATGCATTACGGTTAATGTAAAGAATGTTAAAATAATATTGTTTTTGGTGTATTCATGCTAAATCACATAAAAACGTCTTCTCCTGAATATTCGCACAGATGGAAAAGGCTGCAGAACGTTTCGCTAGCGAGTACGACAAGTTCTACAAGTTGCAAGTTCAAGACGAAATCATGCTGGCGGAAAAGGTAAACATACTCGTGGGAAACGTCGCGAACGTAACACTGCAGACGGATATGGACAGGGTACACGAAACTGCGATCGAGGTGAAGAGAATCGGAAAGATGATGAAGGAATGTCAGGAATTGAGCTCACTGCTGAACAAGCGACAGGAATTATTTGGCAAGGAAATAGTGGTGTTGGATCAACTGGACGAATTGATGAAGAAGTTCGAGCCATATCTAACATTATGGGTCGTTGCATCCGGTAATAAAAGTCCATGTTACGTAAGAACTAAGTCTTTCAGGTCTCAACGACAATATATCTCACACGTATCATTGACTCCAATTCAAGTGGTTGCAATTATCTGTCTCGTTTGAACGCGTTACGCAGTAACGCAGTAACTTTGTTAACTCTCGTAACAGCTTCGAACGAAATATTTGAGATTCTTCTATGTTCCCGAATATTGCCGCACAGATTGGTTAAAATGGCAAGAGATATGGATGGAAAATCCTTTGTTGAACATCGACACGCGTCAGATCGAATCTACAGTTGCTGCCCTGCAGGAAAGCATGTCTCGTTGCGCGGAAATTCTGCAAGACAATCCAAGTAGGTGGATATTTCGCTCAGTCAATTGAAATTTAAATTTCAAACACGCCACACAATATATGGTAATTTACGACTTGTCGAGAAATTGCTACATTCTTACGGCAATTGAGGCGTTGTTTCTTGTGGGAACAGAAGTGGCAGCCGTTGCGCATATCGTGATGGATCAGATTGAAACGTTTAAGCCTTACATCGGCGTGATACTGGCTCTGCGCGAACCCACGATGAAGACTCATCATTTCGAGGAACTTCTCAAGAAAACAGGAATACAAATGGCGCTCACTACGACATTAACTTTCAAGAATTTACTCACTCTCGGTATAATGGAATTTGAAGACATCGTGAAGACCGTCGCGAATGTTACGCGAAGGGATATTCCATAGAAGGAAAAATTTAAGATAAAATTAGTGGGAAATAAAATTTTCCCTGTAACAATCCCTGTAATAAATGGATCAACGATAAGATTCTTCATAAATTTTTTTGGAAACGATGAAAATCTTTTATGCATGTTATAATGTGTATACACGTATACAAAAACAGAGAGGATTTTCTTCTCTTAAATGAAAAGTTCATGAAATGCGCATCGGCTCGAAAGCTTTCGATCTTGTCTTCATCGGTGAATGAAATCGGATTTATGTCGCGGCGTTTGTTAATGCGAGCATGAGTGGTCTCGCACGTGTGACGAAAATTGCACGATAAATATTGGTCATTCACTAAATTAAAAAAATCTTTCGGCTTGTCTCACTCCTTATCTCGGGAGTGCGACATAACGAGACAACAAGATGTTTCTCAGAGTTTTTGGTTATGACTGAAAATCTGATGATAAAATGAACCAACTAAATAAAGTGTGCAAATTTCTTTTTTCCTGCGTCTATTATTTCTCTGTTTCAAAAATATAAATTATTGAAGTAAAGTTGAATCCGTGCATTATCGATTAATCTTCGATTAAGGGGAAACATATTTACACGTGTTTACATGGAAAAAATGAAGATATCAAGTAAATACGCAATAACACATGACCAATAGCGATTGTTCTGTCGACAGATACGATAAAATGTCGATTATACAAGTAATCTTCGTGTAGATAACATGATTAATTATGTTATAAAATATTATTCAAGGTAATTCCCCGCGTAACCAAGTTGAAATTCATGAAATTCATTTATGCTATATGGAGCAAGAGCCAATGCAAAATTGTACAAGAAATCCAACGGTGAAAAATTTCAATATATGCACATAAGTGACGATACAAGCAACTGGCAAAAAATTTCAGAACGGCGAAGTTTAAAATATATATAATTTAAGGAGATGCGATTTGTCATATACAGTAAATACGTAAGCTGGGCAAAGAAATATTACATCTCATATAGTTTTATGTTTTATGCAAGATCTGATTGGCAATCGCAAACTGACTTCTAAGAATTACGAGTCTAATCGATCAAGTACTTGCGTCACGATTCTCAGATTTTTAATTGAAAGTTCAGCATGTCAGGAGCACAATAGTCGAAGTTATTTTATTAATCGTGTCGTCAATTGTCGTGTTTATTCATTTCTAGCAATATATTTTTCTTAACGAATGTTTTTTACTTGCTTCACTTTCGCGTGTATTATTTTTTACTAAAAGAAATACATGTTTTGAATAATGCGCTATTTATTACATATGCCGTTTTGTATGTTAATTATTAAATTAATGAAATATTGCAAATAGGTAGCGTAGGAATATCACAGTTTGAAACGATGTGAATAAAAATATTGCCATTCTAACTGCTTCTCTCTTTCAGTATATATGTACAACAATATAGTTAGGGGCATGACAATAACACACAGGTATTCGTATATATACATGTACATGAATATATATAAAAGATTTCATTAACATGAATAATTATTTTCAGAAAGTGCTATATAATGTCTCTACTAGTAAAAGTAAAAGTAAATAAAAGCAGATGTTCCAAGAGATAAGCGTCAAGAAACGATTCCACATTAAAACATGATTCCACATTAAAACATGATTGTGTTCTGAGAAATAATAGCAAAGAGTATTTATAACTCGCACATGTCATGCGCTTCTTGATTCCCCACCGACATGATAGCATATCTATATGATATAAAAATTGTTATTGTCAGAATATATATCACACTTCCAATAGTCACTGCAGCTCATACTAATCAGAAAAGCGAAACTCACGGCTGCAGTTACTTCAAAGTTCAACGTCGATCTGTGTGATTGCGCGTGCTGTGATTGCTTCCAATTTTGGAAGAAGGTAAAATTGGCAGCTAGGAAGGCCAGCGGATCCGGAAATGTTGCAAAAGTGTGAATAACGTTTCATAACTGAATACGAGGAAGAAAGAAAGGACAAAAACGATAGACACAAGAAATCAACAGAACTACGTTGAGAATAATAACGTTTATTCTCTTCACTTGTGACCGATCCGGACATTAGTCTCACAATGGTGATCACAATTCTAATTGTCGTGCTCCTCACGGTGTGTGTTTATCTGTACAGCATTATGAAGACCAAAATGGCACGCTTCGAGGAGCTGAATATTCCACATGAACGCCCGCGAATGTTCTTGGGTAATATGGTACCTTTTTTTCTCGGACGTGTGTCTTTAGCGGAGAATGTCCAAATGCTGTACAAACGTTTTCCAAAAACAAAATACTTTGGCTTTTACAATTTCATGACGCCGACCTTTGTGATTCGCGACCCAGACCTCATCACTTCGATCGCCATCAGAAACTTCGACCATTTTTGCGACCACCGTAATTTCGTGAACGAAGAGCTCGATCCAATAGCCAGCAAAAATCTATTCGGGTTGCGAGGTGATCATTGGCGCGAGATGCGGAAGCTACTCAGTCCAGCCTTCACGTCCAGTAAAATGAAGATGATGTTTGAATTAATGACCGAGTGCGCCGACAATTTCAGCAAACATATGGCCAACACCTCCAAAATCAGCAGGACGATAAATGTGAAAGCAGAAATGTGCAAGTACGCCAATGATGTAGTGGCCACATGCGCCTTCGGCATCAGCATGGACTCATTCAAACATCCAAACAACGAGTTCTACCTTTTGGTCAGGGAGGCCATAAACTTCGAAAGCAGTTTGTCTTTTAAATTTTTCCTGAATATTAACTTCCCAGAAGTCGCGAAATTTTTCAAAGTACGAGTATTCAGTGAGAAAATCGTGAACTTCTTTAAAGAGATTGTCAGCAGCACAGTAAGGATCAGAGATGAGAAGAATATTACACGCCCGGACATGATTCAATTGATGATGGAAACCAGGGACAAAAGTACCGGGCCAGCGTTCGATATCAACGAGATGACCGCTCAAGCGTTCGTTTTCTTCATCGCTGGATTTGACTCCGTGTCATCGGTAATGTGTTTCTTAGCACACGAGGTCGCGGTGAATCCCGATGTTCAGAGCAAACTGAAAGCTGAGATCGACCAAGTCCTCGAGCAGAACGACGGAAAACCCACTTACGAAGCCATAAATAGCATGAAGTATATGGATGCTGTGATAACCGAGTGTCTAAGGCTGTATCCGTTAGTGGCTTTTGTCGACAGACTATGCGTTAAAGAGTTCGAATTACCACCGTCGACTCCAGACAGCAAGCCGGTTACTATAAAAGCCGGAGAGAGCGTTTGGTTCCCGGGTTACTCATTGCATCGTGATCCCACTTATTACCCGGAGCCGGACAAATTCAATCCAGACAGATTCTTGAATGGCCACACGAACATGTCGGTTTATTTACCGTTTGGTATTGGGCCTAGAATCTGCATAGGTAACAGATTCGCCCTAATGCAGATGAAAGTGATGCTATTCTACGTTCTATGGCGATGCAATCTTGAGCCCGACGCCAAAACTAAAATTCCCATGGTACTGAGCAAACATACGTTCATCATGCTGGCGGATGGTGGTTTCTGGTTGAAAGTACGAGCGAGGGAATCGACAGCTTCCGTTGAACGTTGAATGAATGCTCGCCGAGAGGGCGGATGGAGAGGTGAAGATATATAAACTATAACTTTAGTAACATTTACTTTAGATATACGTGTCTGAATCGTCGGAATTAACGCACTTAAATAAGTTTTACTTTGCATGTTTATCATTTGCATATTCAGTAAAAAGTAGCTAAGGAATACAAAAATGAAAATTTGAAAAAGAAAATTCATTTGAAACTATCAATCATATAATTCGAAACTTCTTTTTTTAACTAATAATGTGAACCTGGTCAGCTTGAATCATTTTCATCATGTCATCTCTTAACAGAAATCGCGTATTTAACGCTTGCTATTAAATTTGATTGCGAGTGATATTTGCGGTGTAAGGTAGCGGCTGTTAGGGTTATCACGTGGAATGAACTTGAAATGTTATTACGCATCGGCGTGATTTTAGCTCTATATAAACCTAGATAAGAGCTTATCATTTTAAGAAGCTTTTCGAGAGAATCGACATATAAATGGTGCTCAATACGACATTGATTTTCAACAATTTATTCACTCTCAGTGTAACGGAATTTGAGGATATCGGAAAGACCGTCGCGCGGAGGAATACTCTATAGAAGGAAAAATTTAAGGTAAAGTACTGCGAAATAAAATGTTAATGCTTGTAATTAATGAATCAACGATAGGATTCTCTACAAATTTCTTTGGAAACGATGAATCTTTTATGCATGTTGTAATGTGTATACCGATACACAAAAACAAAGCGGTTTTATTTCTTCTCTTGAATGAAATGTGCATCGGCTCGAAAGCTTTCTCTTGTCTTCATCGGTGAATGAAACCGGATTTATGTCATGGCGACTATGAACGCGAGCGTGAAATGCGTCTTGCACGCGTCTTGACGAAAGTTGCACTATAAATATTGTTCATTCTGTATATTTATCGGGTCTTTCGACTCGTTTTACTTCTTATCGCGGTAGTATAGTATCAGCAAGATCAACACGAGACAACAAGATGTTTCTCAAGGATTTTGCGCATTTACGGTCGCCGTCGAAAATCTCATAATAAAATAAAACAACTAAATAAAACGTGTAAATTTCTTTTTTCTTGAGTTTTCTATTGTTTCTCTGTTTCAAGAATATAAATCAATAAAGTTGAATTCATGCATCATCGACAAATCTTCGTAAGGTAAAACTTGATTGGGGTGTAACATGCGTTTACACATATCTGCATGAAAAGAATGAAGTAAATACGGGATGACATGACAATAGCAAAATATTTTCGATAGATATACTTTCGAAACATCGTACAGAATGTGCATATAATATATAATACATTCTGCATAATTGATACTTTGTCAAGAAATACGATAAGATATCGATTATGCAAGTAATCTAATGTTTTGAGTCATTTTCACACGATAAATATTGTTCACTCTGTAAATTTATCAAGATATTTTTCGGCTTGTCTCACTCTTTACCTCGGGAGTGCGCTATTTGCAAGATCAAAGAAACAATAAGATGATTCTTAGAGTTCTGTGCACTTACTGTCGTGATTGAAAATTTGATAATAAAATGAACCAACTAAATTAAATGCGCAAACTTCTTTTCCTGTGTCTACTGTTTCCCTCTTTCAAGAATATAAATCATTGGAATGATATTGAATCCGTGCATTATCGATTAATATTTGATTGAGAAAGAACGTATGTTTACACGTATTAATATGGAAAAAATAAAGATACGAAGTAAATACGCGATAATATGATCAGTGCCGTACATTTTGTCGACGGATAAGGTAAGATATCGATTCTGCAAGTAATTACAAGTAAGATATCGATTCTGCAACTTTGTATGTAAATAACATGACTAATTATATAATGAAGAACTGTTCAAGGTAATTTCCTACCTAACTAAGTTCAAATTCAGTATGCTATATAGAGCAAGAACTCTATTAAAAATGGAATATCGTCAATAGACCTCTGTGCAAAATTTCAATATATGCAAATAAGTAGCGACATAAGCAACTAGCAAAAAATTTCAGTACGGCGTTTAAAATATAATTTAAGAAAGTGCGATTTGTCATATACAATAAATAATAGTAAGCTGGGCAAAGAAATTTTACATATCATGTAGTCTTCTGTTTTGTACAAGACCTGTTTGGCAATCTCATACAGACTTCTAAGAATTATAAATCTAATTGAATACTTGCGTCACGATTCTCGGATTATCAATTGAAAGTTCAGCATGTCAGAAGCGTAGTAGTTAAAGTCGTCAAGTCATTAATCATGTCGTCAATTGTACTTATTCATTTTCTGCAATATACATTTCCTAACAAATATTTTCTACTTGACCCGCGAAAGCGGGTCAAGTAGATATTACTTTTTTGCTACAAGAAATATACATTTTGAATAATGCGCTATTTATGACACATGCTGTCTTGCATGTTAATTATTAATTTAAAGAAATATTGCAAATAGTTGGTGTAAGAATATCATAGAAACGATGTGATTAAAAATCTTACCATTCTAACTGCCTTTCTTTTCCAGTATACGTGTATAACAATGCAGTTAGCGATATGACAATAACGCACGGATATTCGTACGCATCTATACGAATGTATAAACCATTTTATTAACGGTCATTTCACGAAAAATTCTTTCTCGGAAAGTGCTACATAACCCATTAGCCTCCCATTAGTCTCCGTTAGTAACAAACAAATGTTTCAAGCCATATAAGCGTCAAGAAACGCTCCCATGTTATATAATATTCTGTTCTGACAATGATGCAGGATATTTGCAGTTGGCATACGTTGGCTGGTAATACGCTTCTTGCTCATCCACGCACTTGATAACGTATCTGTAGCTTAATATAAAAGTTGTTATTGCGAGAATAGGTATCACTTTCCATCGTTACTACAGCCGATACTAGTCAGCGAAGCGAAACTCGCGTCTGCAATTTCTCAATAGTTAAATATCGATCTGTGTGATCGCGTATGTGCCGTAATTGTTCCCAACTTTGGAAGAAGATAAGATTGGCAGGTGGAGGAGGCAGCGGATCCAGAAACGCTGCGAAAGTGTGAATAACATGTTATAACTGAAAACGAGGAAGAAAGAAAGGACGACAGACTCAAGGAATCAATTACGTTGAGAATAATAGAACATTTCTTCTCTTCACCGGTGACTAATCTGGAAATTAGTCTCACAATGATGACCACAGTCCTACTTGCAGTGCTCTTCACGGTGTGTGTTTATCTATACAGCATCATGAAGGCCAAAATGGCACGCTTCGAGGGGCTAAATATTCCATATGAACGCCCGTGGATCTTCTTGGGTAATATGGTACCTTTTCTTCTCGGACATGTGTCTTTAGCGGAGAATGTCCAAATGCTGTACAAACGTTTTCCAAAAACAAAATACTTTGGCTTTTACAATTTCATGACGCCGACCTTTGTGATTCGCGACCCAGAACTCATCACTTCGATCGCCATCAGAAACTTCGACAATTTTTGCGACCACCGTAATTTCGTGAACGAAGAGCTCGATCCAATAGCCAGCAAAAATCTATTCGGGTTGCGAGGTGATCATTGGCGCGAGATGCGGAAGCTACTCAGTCCAGCCTTCACGTCCAGTAAAATGAAGATGATGTTTGAATTAATGACCGAGTGCGCCGACAATTTCAGCAAACATATGGCCAACACCTCCAAAATCAGCAGGACGATAAATGTGAAAGCAGAAATGTGCAAGTACGCCAATGATGTAGTGGCCACATGCGCCTTCGGCATCAGCTTGGATTCGTTCAAACATCCAGACAACGAGTTTTACCTTCTGGGCAGAGAGGCCATAAACTTCGAAAGCGGTTTATCTTTTAAACTTTTCCTGAATATTAACTTCCCAGAAGTCGCGAAATTTTTCAAAGTACGAGTATTCAGTGGGAAAATCGTGAACTTCTTTAAAGAAGTTGTCAGTAGTTCGGTGAGGATCAGAGATGAGAAGGGTATTACACGTCCGGACATGATTCAATTGATGATGGAAACCAGGGACAAAAGTACAGGTCCAGCGTTCGATATTGACGAGATGACCGCCCAAGCGTTCGTTTTCTTCATCGGTGGATTTGATTCCGTGTCATCGGTAATGTGCTTTTTAGCACACGAGGTCGCGGTGAATCCCGATGTTCAGAGCAAGCTGAAAGCCGAGATCGAGCAAGTCCTCGAGCAGAACGACGGAAAACCCACTTACGAGGCCATAAATAGCATGAAGTATATGGATGCTGTGATAACCGAGTGCCTAAGGATGTATCCGTTAGCAGCCTTCCTCGACAGACTATGCGTTAAAGAGTTCGAATTACCACCGCCGACTCCGAATAGCAAACCAATTACTGTGAAACCTGGAGAGAGCATCTGGTTCTCGAGTTATCCGCTGCATCGTGACCCCACTTATTATCCAGAGCCGGACAAATTCAATCCAGACAGATTTCTGAACGGCCACACGGATAGCTCGATTTATCTGCCGTTCGGTATTGGACCTAGAATCTGCATAGGTAACAGATTCGCCCTGATGGAGATGAAAGTGATGCTGTTTTACATTCTGTGGCGATGCAATCTCGAGCCCGATGCCAAAACTAAAATTCCGATGGTACTGAGCAAGCGGACGTTTTTTATGCTGGCGGATGGTGGCTTCTGGTTGAAAGTACGAGCGAGGGAATCGACAGTTTCCGTTGGGCAATGAATGCTCTCCGGGAGGGCGGATGCAGGGGCAAAGATATATAAACTATAATTCTAGTAATAAATATTTTAAATATGATACGTGTGAATCGCCTGAATTGTGAACTTCATTAAATTTGACATTTCATGTTAATCATTTGCATATTTAATAAAGAATAGCTTAGAAAGACAAAAATGAAAAGTTGAAAAAGAAAATCCATTCGAAGCTACCACATGATCATGTAATGATTGAAAGTATCTTCTTTTTTTACTAAAATATGAACAGTTTCAGTTTTGAGTTATTTTCATACGATAAATATTGTTCACTCTGTAAATTTATCAAGATATTTTCGGCTTGTCTCACTCTTTACCTCGGGAGCGCGCTATTTGCAAAGAAACAATAAGATGCTTCTTAGAGTTTTGTGCACTTACTGTCGTGATTGAAAATTTGATAATAAAATGAACCAACTAAATTAAATGCGCAAACTTCTTTTCTTGTGTCTACTGTTTCCCTTTTTCAAGAATATAAATCATTGGAATAATATTGAATCCGTGCATTATCGATTAATATTTGATTGAGAAAGAACGTATGTTTACACGTATTTATATGGAAAAAAAAAAGATACGAAGTAAATACGCGATAATATGACTAGTGCCGTACATTTTGTCGACGGATAAGATAAGATATCGATTCTGCAAGTAATTACAAGGAAGATATCGATTCTGCAACTTTGTATGTCAATAACATGACTAATTATATAATGAAGAACTGTTCAAGGTAATTTCCTACCTAACCAAGTTCAAATTCAGTATGCTATATAGGGTAAGAACTCTGAAATGAAAAATGGAAAATCGTCAATAGATCTCACGGTGAAAAATTTCAATATATGCAAATAAGTGGCGACATAAGCAACTAGCAAAAAATTTCAGTACGGGGTTTAAAATATAATTTAAGAAAGTGCGATTTGTCATATACAATAAATAATAGTAAGCTGGGCAAAGAAATTTTACATATCATGTAGTCTTTTGTTTTGTACAAGACCTGTTTGGCAATCTCATACAGACTTCTAAGAATTATAAATCTAATTGAATGCTAGCGTCGCGATTCTCGGGTTATCAATTGAAAGTTCAGCATGTCAGGAGCGTAGTAGTAAAAGTCGTTTCATTAATCATGTCATCAATTGTACTTATTCATTTTTAGCAATATACGTTTCCTAACAAATATTTTCTACTTGACCCGCTTTCGCGGGTCAAGTAGATATTACTTTTTTGCTACAAGAAATATACATTTTGAATAATGCGCTATTTATGACACATGCCGTCTTGCATGTTAATTATTAAATTAATGAAATATTGCAAATAGGTGGTGTAAGAATATCATAGAAACGATGTGATTAAAAATCTTACCATTCTAACTGCCTTTCTTTTCCATTATACGTGTATAACAATGCAGTTAGCGATATGACAATAACGCACGGATATTCGTACGCATCTATACGAATGTATAAACCATTTTATTAACGGTCATTTCACGAAAAATTCTTTCTCGGAAAGTGCTACATAACCCATTAACCTCCCATTAGTCTCCGTTAGCAAGCAAATGTTTCAAGCCATATAAGCGTCAAGAAACGCTCCCATGTTATATAATATTCTGTTCTGACAATGATACAGGATATTTGCAGTTGGCATACGTCATACGTTTCTCGATCATCCACGCACTTGATAACGTATCTGTAGCTTAATATAAAAGTTGTTATTGCGAGAATAGGTATCACTTTCCATCGTTACTACAGCCGATACTAGTCAGCGAAGCGAAACTCGCGTCTGCAATTTCTCAATAGTTAAATATCGATCTGTGTGATCGCGTATGTGCCGTAATTGTTCCCAACTTTGGAAGAAGATAAGATTGGCAGGTGGAGGAGGCAGCGGATCCAGAAACGCTGCGAAAGTGTGAATAACATGTTATAACTGAAAACGAGGAAGAAAGAAAGGACGACAGACTCAAGGAATCAACTACGTTGAGAATAATAGAACATTTCTTCTCTTCACCGGTGACTGATCTGGAAATTAGTCTCACAATGATGACCACAGTCCTACTTGTCGTGCTCTTCACGGTATGTGTTTATCTGTACAGCATCATGAAGGCCAAAATGACACGCTTCGAGAAGCTGAATATTCCACATGAACGCCCGTGGATCTTCTTGGGCAATATGGCACCCTTTTGCTTTGGGCGTATGTCTATGACGGAGACTCTCCAAACGCTATACAAACGTTTTTCGTATGCAAAATACTTTGGCTTGTACAATTTCACGACGCCGGTCTTTATGATTCGCGACCCAGACCTCATCACGTCGATCGCCATCAAAAACTTCGACAATTTTTGCGATCACCGTAATTTCGTAAACCAAGAGCTTGATCCAATAGCCAGCAGAAATCTATTCGGTCTGCGAGGCGATCATTGGCGCGAGATGCGGAAGCTACTCAGTCCAGCCTTCACGTCCAGTAAGATGAAGATGATGTTCGGATTAATGACCGAGTGCGCCGACAATTTCAGCAAACATATGGCCAACACCTCCAAAATCAGCAGGACGATAAATGTGAAAGCAGAAATGTGCAAGTACGCCAACGATGTAGTGGCCACATGCGCGTTCGGCATCAGCTTGGACTCGTTCAAACATCCAGACAACGAGTTTTACCTTCTGGGCAGAGAGGCCATAAACTTCGAAAGCGGTTTATCTTTTAAATTCTTCATGAATATGAACTTCCCAGAAATCGCGAAATTTTTCAAAATACGAGTATTTAATGAAAAGATCGAGAACTTCTTTAAAGAAGTTGTCAGTAGTTCGGTGAGGATCAGAGATGAGAAGGGTATTACACGTCCGGACATGATTCAGTTGATGATGGAAACCAGGGACAAAAGTACAGGGCCAGCGTTCGATATGGACGAGATGACAGCCCAAGCTTTCGTTTTCTTCATCGGTGGATTTGATTCCGTGTCATGGGTAATGTGCTTTTTAGCACACGAGGTCGCGGTGAATCCCGATGTTCAGAGCAAGCTGAAAGCCGAGATCGAGCAAGTCCTCGAGCAGAACGACGGAAAACCTACTTACGAGGCCATAAATAGCATGAAGTATATGGATGCTGTGATAACCGAGTGCCTAAGGATGTATCCGTTAGGAGCCTTCCTCGACAGACTATGCGTTAAGGAGTTCGAATTACCACCGCCGACTCCGAATAGCAAACCAATTACTGTGAAACCTGGAGAGAGCATCTGGTTCTCGAGTTATCCGCTGCATCGTGACCCCACTTATTATCCGGAGCCGGACAAATTCAATCCAGACAGATTTCTGAACAGTCACACGGACAGCTCGATTTATCTGCCGTTCGGTATTGGGCCTAGAATCTGCATAGGTAACAGATTCGCCCTGATGGAGATGAAAGTGATGCTATTTTACATTCTATGGCGATGTACTCTCGAACCCGATACCAAAACTAGAATTCCGATGGTACTGAAGAAGCGGTCGTTGATGATGATTCCGGATGGTGGCTTCTGGTTAAAAATACGAGCCAGAGAATCGACAGCTCCCGTTGCACAATAAATACTTGCTGGGAGACCGGATGCAGGGACAAAGATATATAAACTATAATTTTGGTAACAATTACTTCAAATATGATACGTGTGTATCGCCTGAATTGTGAACTTAATTAAGTTTTACTTTCCATGTTTATCATTTGCATATCCTATATATAAAGAATATGCTAAGAAACGCAAAAATGAAAATCTGAAAAAGAAAATTCATTTGAAACTATGAATTAAATAATTCGAAACTTCTTTTTTTTTTACGAATAATGTAAACCGAGTCAACTTGAATCATTTTCATCACGTCGTCTTTTAACAAAGAAATCGCGTATTCAACGCCTGCCATTAAATTTGATTGCGATAGCAAAAATTCATCAATTGTCACATTTGCGGTGTAAGGTAGCAGCTGTTAGGCTTATCATGTGGAATGAACTTGAAATGTTATTACGCATCGGCGTGACTTTAGCTCTATGCAAACCTAGATAAGCGCTCATCATTTCAAGTAGCTTTTCAAGGGAATCGACATATAAATGGCGCTCAATATGACATTGATTTTCAATATTTTATTTTCCCTCTCGGTGTAACGGAATTTTAAGATACCCTAAAGGCCGTCGCGCGGAGAAATACTCTATAGGAGGAAAAAGTTAAGGTAAAATCACTGCGAAATAAAATTTTAATGCCTGTAATAAATGAATCAACGATAAGATTCTCTACAAATTTCTTTGGAAACGATGAATCTTTTATGCATGTTGTAATGTGTGTATACCGGTACACAATAACAAAGCGGTTTTATTTCTTCTCTTGAATGAAATGTGCATCGACTCAAAAGCTTTCTCTTGTTTTCATCGGTGAATGAAACCGGATTTATGTCGTGGCGACTATGAACGCGAGCGTGAAATGCGTCTTGCACGCATCTTGACGAAAGTTGCACGATAAATATTGTTCATTCTGTATATTTATCGGGACTTTCGACTCGTTTTACTTCTTATCGCGGTAGTATAGTATCAGCAAGATCAACACGAGACAACAAGATATTTCTCAAGGATTTTGCGCATTTACGGTCACCGTCGAAAATCTCATAATAAAATAAAACAACTAAATAAAACGTGTAAATTTCTTTTTTCTTGTGTTTTCTATTGTTTCTCTATTTCAAGAATATAAATCAATAAAGTTGAATTCATGCATCATCGATAAATCTTCGTAAGGTAAAATTTGATTGGGGTGAAACATGCGTTTACACATATCTGCATGGAAAGAATGAAGTAAATACGCGATGACATGACCAATAGCAAAATATTTTCGATAGATATACTTTCGAAACATCGTAAAGAATGTGCATATGATATATAATACATTCTGCATAATTGATACTTTGTCAAGAAATACGATAAGATATCGATTATGCAAGTAATCTAATGAGCCGTTTCAGTTTTGAGTCATTTTCACACAATAAATATTGTTCACTCTGTAAATTTATCAAGATATTTTTCGGCTTGTCTCACTCTTTACCTCGGGAGTGCGCTATTTGCAAGATCAAAGAAACAATAAGATGATTCTTAGAGTTCTGTGCACTTACTGTCGTGATTGAAAATTTGATAATAAAATGAACCAACTAAATTAAATGTGCAAACTTCTTTTCTTGTGTCTACTGTTTCCCTCTTTCAAGAATATAAATCATTGGAATAATATTGAATCCGTGCATTATCGATTAATATTTGATTGAGAAAGAACGTATGTTTACACGTATTTATATGGAAAAAATAAAGATACGAAGTAAATACGCGATAATATGATCAGTGCCGTACATTTTGTCGACGGATAAGGTAAGATATCGATTCTGCAAGTAATTACAAGTAAGATATCGATTCTGCAACTTTGTATGTAAATAACATGACTAATTATATAATGAAGAACTGTTCAAGGTAATTTCCTACCTAACTAAGTTCAAATTCAGTATGCTATATAGAGCAAGAACTCTATTAAAAATGGAATATCGTCAATAGACCTCTGTGCAAAATTTCAATATATGCAAATAAGTAGCGACATAAGCAACTAGCAAAAAAATTCAGTACGGCGTTTAAAATATAATTTAAGAAAGTGCGATTTGTCATATACAATAAATAATAATAAGCTGGGCCAAGAAATTTTACATATCATGCAGCCTTTTGTTTTGTACAAGACCTGTTTGGCAATCTCATACAGACTTTTAAGAATTATAAATCTAATTGAATACTTGCGTCACGATTCTCGAGTTATCAATTGAAAGTTGAGCATGTCAGAGGCGTAGTAGTAAAAGTCGTTTCATTAATCATGTCGTCAATTGTACTTATTCATTTTTAGCAATATATATTTCCTAACAAATATTTTCTTTTGATCCGCTTTCGCGTATAGTATTGGGTGAGTGCAAAAGTTCGTGCGGAGTTTGTGAGTAAAAGTCACACAGTGATTAGGCAAACAAAAATCTTTATTCAATCAATGATATATTCTCCATCGTTTTCTATAATCTTTTCCCAACGTTCTGGCAGCATACGGATGCCTCGATCATAAAAACTGCGCGGTTTAGATTCAAAGAACGAAGAGACGCCGTTTTTTAAGGCCTCCAAAGAGTCAAAGTTTTTTCCATTTTAATAATTTTGCAATGACCGGAACAAGTGATAGTCAGATGGTGCGATATCAGGAGAATATGGTGGATGCGTTAAGACATCCCATTTCAGGCTCTTCAGTTTGCGCAGCGTCTTTTTCGAAACGTGTGGTCTGGCGTTGTCGTGATGAAAGACGACTCCCTTGCGATTTGACAAAATCGGACGTTTCTCTTTTATTTCTCGATTCAGATTGGTTAATTGGCGACAGTACTTGTCCGAATCAATCGTTTCGCCAGCGGGGAGAAGCTCGAAATAGATTATGCCCTTGCAATCCCACCAAACAGAGAGCATCACCTTCATCGGGTGCAAACTGGCCTTTGGCATTGCGTCACCATGCTCACCTGATTGTTTCCATGTCCGTTTGCGCTGAACATTGTTGTAGAGGACCCATTTCTCATCACCCGTCACTAGTCGATCCAAAAACGACTCGTTATTGAGCCGCCCGAGTAAAGAAACGGCTGCAGAAATTCGCTTGATTTTGTTCTTCTCGGTTAGCAAATGGGGCACCCATATATCGAGCTTCAAATCGAATCCCATCTTCTTTAAACGCCGAAAAGCGGTTGATCGGTCAACGTTTAGTGCTGTAGCAACTTCTTCTGTTGAAATTCGCGGATTATTGAGCACTAAAGTACGCAAAACATCGTCATCAATGTCAGAAGGTCGACCAGAGCGTGGCTCGTCTTCAAGGTTAAATTCTCCGCGCCGAAATTTAGCAAACCATTTTTCCACAGTTCGTTTAGCTGGTGCTTCATCCTGATAAACATCCTGAATGTTTTTTACGGCTGCGGCAACGTTTATTCCCTTCCGAAACTCGTAAAGCATAACATGCCGTAAATGCACCTTATCGATACTCATTTTTAAAGTGATATTTCTCGAAGCAGTTTGTATGAAAACAAATGATTTTTTTTTTAATAACAGCTGAAGACGTCACCTTTCCAACGTTATATAATATGTAGATGGAAGTATTAATGACAACACTTTACGACGCTTATAACTCCATCTATTGAAACTCCGCACGAACTTTTGCACTCACCCAATACTTTTTTGCTAGAAGAAATATATATTTTGAATAATGCGCTATTTATGACACATGCCGTCTTGCATGTTAATTATTAAATTAATGAAATATAGGTGGTGTAAGAATATCATAGAAACGATGTGATTAAAAATCTTACCATTCTAACTGCCTTTCTTTTCCAGTATACGTGTATAACAATGCAGTTAGCGATATGACAATAACGCACGGATATTCGTACGCATCTATACGAATATATAAACCATTTTATTAACGGTCATTTCACGAAAAATTCTTTCTCGAAAAGTGCTACATAACCCATTAGCCTCCCATTAGTCTCCGTTAGCAAGCAAATGTTTCAAGCCATATAAGCGTCAAGAAACGCTTCCATATTATATAATATTCTGTTCTGACTATGATGCAGGATATTTGAGTTGGCATACGTCATACGCTTCTCGATCATCCACGCACTTGATAACGTATCTGTAGCTTAATATAAAAGTTGTTATTGCGAGAATAGGTATCACTTTCCATCGTTACTGCAGCCGATACTAGTCAGCGAAGCGAAACTCGCGTCTGCAATTTCCCAAAAGTTAAATATCTGTGTGATCGCGTATGTGCCGTAATTGTTCCCAATTTTGGAAGAAGATAAGATTGGCAGGTGGAGGAGGCAGCGGATCCAGAAACGCTGCGAAAGTGTGAATAACATGTTATAACTGAAAACGAGGAAGAAAGAAAGGACGACAGACTCAAGGAATCAACTACGTTGAGAATAATAGAACATTTCTTCTCTTCACCGGTGACTGATCTGGAAATTAGTCTCACAATGATGACCACAGTCCTACTTGTCGTGCTCTTCACGGTATGTGTTTATCTGTACAGCATCATGAAGGCCAAAATGACACGCTTCGAGAAGCTGAATATTCCACATGAACGCCCGTGGATCTTCTTGGGCAATATGGCACCCTTTTGCTTTGGGCGTATGTCTATGACGGAGACTCTCCAAACGCTATACAAACGTTTTTCGAACGCAAAGTATTATGGCTTGTACAATTTTATGACGCCGATCTTTGTGATTCGCGACCCAGATCTCATCACGTCGGTCGCCATTACAAACTTCGACAATTTTTGCGACCACCGTAATTTCGCGAACGAAGAGCTCGATCTAATAGCCAGTAAAAATCTATTCGGCCTGCGAGGTGATCATTGACGCGAGATGCGGAAGCTACTCAGTCCAGCCTTCACGTCCAGTAAAATGAAGATGATGTTTGAATTAATGACTGAGTGCGCCGACAATTTCAGCAAGCATATGGCCAGCACGTCCAAAATCAGCAGGACGGTAAATGTGAAAGAAGAAATGTGCAAGTACGCCAACGACGTGGTGGTCACATGCATCTTCGGCATCAGCTTGGACTCGTTCAAACATCCAAATAACGAGTTTTATCTTTTCGGCAGGAAGATCATAAACTTCGAAAGCGGTTTGTCTTTTAAATTCTTCATGAATATGAACTTCCCAGCAATCGCGAAATTTTTCAAAATACGAGTATTTAATGAAAAGATGGAGAACTTCTTTAAAGAGGTTGTCATCAACTCGATGAAGATCAGAGATGAGAAGAATATTACACGCCCGGACATGATTCAATTGATGATGGAAACCAGAGACAAAAATACCGGGCCTGCGTTCGATATCGACGAGATGGCCGCCCAAGCGTTCATCTTCTTCGCCGGTGGATTTGATTCCGTGTCATCGGTAATGTATTTCTTAGCACACGAGGTCGCGACAAATCCTGATGTTCAGAGCAAGCTGAGGGTCGAGATCGACCAAGTCCTCGAGCAGAACGACGGGAAACCTACTTACGAAGCCATAAACAGCATGAAGTATATGGATGCTGTGATAACCGAGTGCCTGAGGTTGTATCCGTTAGTGGCCTTCATCGACAGACTATGCGTGAAAGAGTTCGAATTACCACCGCCGACTCCAGACGGCAAACCGGTCATTGTGAAACCCGGGGAGAGCGTTTGGTTGCCGAATCACTCGCTACATCGTGACCCTACTTATTATCCAGAGCCGGACAAATTCAATCCAGACAGATTCTTGAATGGCCACACGAACATGTCGGTTTATTTACCGTTTGGTAAATAAACCGACATGTTCGTGTGGCCATTCAAGAATCTGTCTGGATTGAACCTAGAATCTGCATAGGTAACAGGTTCTCCGTGATAGAGATAAAAGTGGTGCTATTCTATCTTCTGTGGCGATGCACTCTCGAGCCCGATACCAAAACTAAAATTCCGATGGTACTGAGGAAGAGGATGTTTGTCATGCTGGCAGATAGTGGCTTCTGTTTGAAAGTACGAGCGAGGGAATCGACAGCTTCCGTTGGCAATGAATGCTCGCCGAGAGAGCGGATGGAAGGACAAAGATATATAAACTAAAATTTTGGTAACATTTACTTTAAATATGATAGATGTGAATTGCTTGAATTATGAACTTAATCAAGTTTTACTTTTTATGTTTATCATATATGCATATTCAATAGCAAAGAACTAGCTAAGAAACGCAAAAATGGAAATTTGAAAAATATAATTCATTCGAATTTTTTAACAAAGAAATTATATATGCCACACGCTTGCCATTAATTTTGCTTGCGATTGCGAAAATCCATAAATCACATTGGCATATTATCACATTGGCAGTGTAAGCTGTTAGACTTATCATGTGGAATGAACTTAAAATATTATCACGCTTGGACGTAATTTTTGGGTAATCTATATATATATATATATATATATATGTGTGTGTGGAATGTGATTATATATATATATATATAGATTACCCAAAAATTACCCCCAAACGTAATAACATTTTAAGTTCATTCCACATGATAAGCCTAACAGCTACTATCTTACACTGTCAATGTGATAATTTATGAATTTTCGTAATCGCAAGTAAATTTAATGGCAAGCGTGTGGCATATGTAATTTTATATATATATATATATATATATATATATATATATATATATATATAGAGAGAGAGAGAGAGAGAGAGAGAGAGAGAGAGAGAGAGAGAGAGAGAGAGAGAGAGAGAGAGAGAGAGAGAGAGAGAGATTCATATATGTGTTTCGTGAAAAAGCATGGTACAACTGTAGGTTTTCATTGAGAGTTGCTACTTTAAACCTCTCTGAACGGAAAATTATTGAATTTAGAGAGTCGTGCCTATTGAGACTTTCGTTCGAGATGTTGAGGACCATAACATACTTCAATTCCATCTAATTTAACCGAGGAAACATTCCCATAAGATCTGTGCAGAGTCCTTTGAGGATATCGTGATGGCTGACGTGAATGTTACGCGAATGTTGTGCAGAAAGATATATAGAAAGAGAATTTAAGATAAAAATCTGTAGAAAGAGAAATTTAAGATAAAATCACTGAGAAATAAAATTTTAATGCCTGTAATAAAGAGATAACAGATAAACGATTAGATGCTTCACAAATTTCTTTTGAAACGATAATTTATTCACTTAAGTGTATACCATGTATATAGAGGCGATTATATTATTTACAACGGTCCAATTTTTTTGCAAATTCAAATGAACCAGGCATACTAATAGTAATACAGATTACACGGGAATAATAAGATAGTTACACAATTTATATATAATATATAGTTATATAGTTATAATTATTATATAGTTATGATGTAGTGTTATTATACTAATTATAATACTAATATAATATAGTATAATATAAATAATAATATGGTTATAATTAATATCCGATAAATATTCTTGCATGTATGTTGTAATGTCTATACACGTACACAAAAGCGGACAGGTTTTATTCTTTTTCCCCAATAATAAAGCTTAAACGAAATATGATGTAAAAAGAGGACATCCGGTGATTATTGATAATTTGGAAGGAAAATTAATGCACATTACAAAAACCGGTTTCGATTACTATGGTGCTTTCTCATACACTTGGTAGCCTTGCGCAATATCGTTCGCAGACAACTACGAAAGGCGACGCCGTACATTGCATATAAAAGGAAGTTGATGCTAAAGTTGGTGTAATAAGGCAGCATGAATAGCTGTTGCAGGCACCACAGCAGGGCCGGCGTCTCCTTCTCCGCCAAGGTGAGAAAGAACACGCATAGACGGATGATGTAACTGAAAATGAGATGAGTCGTTTATAAGTTAAGCGGGGAACCTGGTTTATAAGGTCAAGATTTTCGAATTTTGTTTTTTTTTTTGGCTTAATTGGTAGTTAAACTATTCATGAATATATTCCCAAAGTTTCAGAGCCCAATTCGAAATATTTTAAAAGTTATAGAACACATGGTGAGTCAGCGTCGCGCAGGTATACGAGCGCTCGGCCGGAGCGTTCCTTTTGTCCGGATTTAACCCATTCGAATCATATGACGACCTCAGGTCGCAATGCTACAGTGCTCTGAATAAATGCATGTAATTCTGTTATTCCGTTATAGATGTCGTTTGTATGTATTCTAATGTAAAGAGGTGACATCAGGTGAACATCAAGTGAAACTGTTTGGCAGTGCAAAAAGTGTGGTGTTGCTCTATGCGCATGATCATGCTATTAGGGGATTTGAATATGATTCCTCAGCCAACAGAATAGGTGTATAAATATGACATCATTTGGTTAATACTCGGCAGATGTTTGTCTGAATAACGCAAGACTTATACTAACTATTACTCTGACAAGTAACACTACCCAACTGTCATTCACCGATTCCAATGAAATTTGGCACGCACGTAGAACATTGAAAAATATTGAACACGTGTTTTTTTTATATCGGCTGACAACGCATTTTAAGGGTGAAAATCACTCCTTGATCCCTGAACATGAAAGCACTATTTCAACCTTTTGTACATATTACATGTGATTTCCGTCAAACTTGTCTTTCATTGAACCAGTCAGTAAGGGATTTTTAACGTCGCTGATTACTTGATCTGAAGATAAAATTACAAAATTCAAGATGGCGGACCGAAATTGTAAAAAGATGGCTGATTCAAACCAATTTTGGTATCTGGAGGTTTCTGGGGCCTCTAATTACGAAACTGAAGTTGGAAGTCAAAATATCATGCGTTTGTCGCACTTTATTATTATTATTATTATTATTGTAATGTGTTTTACTTGTAAGATTTTTAAGAAGGTTTATTGTAAACTTCCAAGGATATTAATTATATAAGATATCTATATCTATATCTTATCAAGATGTGTCAGAATATCATTACATCTTCCGCTCGGATACTGACGGATAATAATCTTTTGGAAGACCAACTTCCTAATCTGAGAAAAACTGACGCGACAGGTCAATTTTGAATACCGATTCATTATTAAATTCAGTAAATGTAATTGTCTGAGGCAATATCCTTCTTCACTGGTACAATTTCGATCTGTCATATTGCGTCATATTCCACCATCTGTCATATTTCCCGCAGATTGGCAACTCGGTTGGCGCTCTTTAGATTAGAGATACATCACGGCGCCATTTTGCAATTATTTTACAATATAAAAATTTCTTTTACATCCTTAAATAAGCAGTTAAATATTGTGAAAGTTTTAGAAACCTCAAGTGCATTATTGTCAATAAAAAAAATTCATAAAAATCCCCTTTCTTTTAGCCTCCTAAACCAGGTTCCCCTCTTAAAAGTAAAGAAATAAGTACGGAAGTTGAAAAGAAGTAGAATGAATAACTAAAGACATAGAGGAGAGATAGAACAAAGTAAAGAAATATGTAAAGGTTGAAACCTTAACCGCAGCGTGATGTATACCCATGATGATGACGATGATGTTCTAGTTTCAGCTTTAGTCCAAGAATTCGCGAAAAGTTTATCTTGCAAGGTAAAGACAGAGATATCGATGCATTGCTCACCTGGGTAAATTCAGTACTATAAACACAGTGCTGATCAATAAGAGCACCTTGGTGGTGCTTTGGTGGCCTGAGAAATGATGCGACTCCGTGATATTTGAACTTCGATGGTGACTCGTGCGTTGGGGCAGCGAAGGTGGCAACTCAGGAATGGGACGTTGTCGTTCCGCTCGGCATTCCGGCTGACGTTCTGGCATCGACGGGAATTCTGTAAAGTCAGAGACAAATTGTTTTGCTTTAACTTTTCGAAACACGCACGCATACGCATACGCAACACGATGTCATCGTGTGGATTTGTGATTTTCCATTACACAAGAATATTTTCCACCCCATATCCGTAGGATTTTCTTCATCAAAGCTCGCTATCCCCTTCATCGAGAGATCTTGAATCTTGAAGTTTCAGTAAACCTTACAACTTACCTATAAATTCGAGAACATTTTCGTCCTCCTCCTTGTCAACCATGCGCGTCGGCCTCATCCAAACGTTGTCCCATTGGTTGGAGTATATGTGGCTCATCTTCGGGGACGGCGAATGACTTGGCGGCGGTGTGGGAGCTGACACGTACTTCGAATTCCCGATATCTGCGAGAGACAAATTGTTTCTTGCTTGAATTTTTCTAAAATACAGACTTATATGCACATAAATTAAGCGCTCCACGAGAGGCTGCGAAGACTACATCTGCCTGTGCCACAAACATTCGATCCTCGCTCGAGCTCGACTCTCGTTGGTGCGAACTAAAGATAGCACGCTTGTGGACAGTGGAAGGATTAATATATAGTTGGCCATTGTATGTTGTTCCTAAGCATTTCATAAGAAGAAGTGTGTATGTACGTGTATGTACAAAATCTAAAGTGCACTCTTCAGCGAGGGACTTCAATCTCAGCAGACTAACCCACCCATCGATTCGAAATATCTGTCGCTCTCCTCTTGAAGAGCGTACCATGATCCGAGCCATACGCAGTCGTATCGTTTCGCCGATGAAGGAATCGACGGCTGGAGCGACGAACGAATCGGAAGAGAAGGAGATGACGGAGTCCTCAACGGACTCGCGATTTCTACGAAACGCGAAACAAATTGCGTTACTCCACTTCTTCGGAAGAAAAATTCCAACGAGACGGAGACTTGAGTATCTCACGTCGCGACAGACCCACTTACCAATCGATTCGAAAACATTCTCATCCTCTTTCTCCTCGACAAGGTACTCCGGTCCGGGCCATACGCAGCCGTATCGCCTAGTGGACGAAGGGATCGACGACGGCGGGAGCGACAAACGAATCGGCCGAACAGGAGTTGACACATACGTCCGCGGACGTTCGATTTCTGTGAACGTTTTGTTTGACAAAGTCTTCTTTTCAAATAGACTTACACATAAGTATTCCTTCTATCTGCACACTTAATTTCGTTAGTTAATATACTCTGGAAAAAACAAGAAACAAAAGAACGGTGCAACACGTTCGTTATTCAGATGTTATTCCAGAGTTTTGGTAACTTCTTTTTTTACATATGACAACACAAATTATTTATTTCTTTTACATAATTATGTGCGACATGCTTTGTTTCATAATGAGAACACGGAACAAATTGTTTACTATTACACATGTGCGACGTTAATAACAAACGTGTTAGTCTTGTATCACGATAAAGCAACCAACTCACCTGTCGGCTCGAAAGCTCTTTCGTTTCTGTCCTCATCGGGGAATGAAACTGGATCTATGTCGCGGCGTCTATTAATGCGAGCGTGAACGGTCTGAAAATTACAAGTACAATATATATTGTTTATGCTGAATCTAGACTGATCAAGACTTTCGACGTGTTTCACTTTTTTTATCCCGAGAGCACGCTTCACAATGACAAGATAACGAGATGTTTCTCAACGAAATCATTCTACACGTTTGCATTCACGTATAATAAAGTAAATTTTAAGTAAATTTAATAAAAATGTTTAAATCTCCTCTCTCTTGTCTCGTGTTGCTTCTCTGGTTCAAAAAAGTAAATCCCTGAGGTAATTAAAGTTAGATCTGTACATCATCGAGTAATCTTCAATGTAAAAATTGATTCAGATGAAACATATCACGTAATCACGTAATAATATTTACACATGTATTTGCGCGGAAAAAATGCAGATACCAAGTAAATATGAAATGACATGACTAACGATAAAGAATTTTCCACAAACCGCAGTATCGTAAGAGATGTTTATACAGGGAACATCCTGTGTAGTTGGCGTCTTGCATTGACATATTGATAATACATAACCTAACCTCGTATATCGTTTGCGACAGTAATCTTGCATAATCTTGCAAACGTAACAGAATTGATTACATACTAGTATAGCAAGAAATAATTCAAGAAAATTTCCTACATAGTCAATCAAGTTGAAATTTAATATGCTATGTAGAAAATGCAAAAGCTAGTGGAAAATTTCATGACAAAAAGCTTTAATACATTTACTTTACTACATACTTTAATAAATACAACATAATAATGACATTTAATAATACAACATAAATAATGACATAAGTAATCAAGAAAAATTTTCAAGATGACGAAATGTAAAATATAAATCAAGAAACGACGCAATTGATCAGATATGTAGTAAGTGATGCATGAGCTGGACAAAGAAATATACAGTCTATCCCAGATACGATGAGACTGGTTCCATCAAAGTTCTTAGCGCAGCGATATCTATGAGTGAATGATGGTAGGTGAATGTTCGATCCTTCATCTACTTAACCTCAAAATTTGAGCGAATTTGGTTGATATTTCACTGTGGTTTGACATTTTATGTAAAGTCACTTTGTGTACGTCGGTCGAAAAACCAACATGGAACATGTTTTAAATTGGGTAAAAGTGGTGCAGAAACGTACGAAACGATAAAAAATGTGTACGGGGATGAATGCATGTCCCGTGCGCAGGTTTTCCGTTGGTTTGGCCGATTCCGTGACGGTCGTGAGGACCTTGCAGACGATGACCGAGTACCGCCGCCAAAAACCACTCGCAATGAAGAAAACATCGAGAAAGTCAAAGAAATTCTTCGAAGCGACCGCTGTGTGTCTGCGAGACTCATCGAAGAGGAAACTGGGATACCGAAAAACAGTCTATCGAATTTTGACCGAAGATTTGGGCAAACGGAAGGTTGCACGATAATGCACCATCGCACAAAGCCATCATGGTACGTGAATTCTTGACCAAAAAAGGCATCATTGTTATCGATCATCCACCGTATTCACCTGATTGGCTCCGTGCGATTTCTGGCTATTTCCCAAACTGAAATTGCCGATGAAAGGAAATCGTTTCGATACCATCCCGGTCATCCAAAAGACTTCGACCGCCATACTAAAGGCCATTCCAGCCGATGAGTATAAACAATGTTTCGAAAAATTTATTGAACGTTTCCAGCGCTGTATTGACTCAGAAGGAGACTATTTTGAATAAACAAGAATAAAAAATCAAAATAATAAACGCTTTGTATTTTTTTTAGACCAGTCTCATTGGATCTGGGACAGACTGTGTATTATGTTAAATACATATTTCGTTTTATAATTTATAATGTCTGATTAGCGGTCGCATATAAAGTTGACATAACATAGATATTGCATAAGTTGTGAGTTTAATCGATCAAAGATTTACGTCACGATTCCTAGACTTTTAATTGGAAATCATGCATGGCAGAAATGTAATAATCGAAGTCGTTTACTACAAGTCTTGGAGTCAAACGTACTTATTGGTTTTTAACATTATATTTTTCTTAATAAATGCTCTTATTTTATTTCATTTTCGCCTATATTGTTTTCCGCTAGATACACGTTTGGAATAATTCGCTATTAATAACATTTATATGCTGTCTTATATACAAATTATTAAATTAATGATATATTAATTGATTGATTAAATTATAGGAATATTGTAAGTGATACAAGAGTATTACATTTTGAAATGTTGCAAAGAAAAATCGCCATTCTAAATACTTTTTTCATCAGTGTATATGCAACAACAATTAGCAGTACATTTACTAACACACAGATGTATATGCGAAACACGAATACGCACGAAAAACGATACTTAGTTGAATGGAACAATTTTCTGATAAAATATGGACAATATGAAAAATTTCGGTTAACGTTATCAAAATTCAGTTCAAACTATTAAAATTTTTGAAGAGCTTATGGTAAATATTTAGAAGTATACAGTCAGCTCCGATTTTAATGAGACTAGACTCATTCGACGCGTTTTTGCACGAGAGACAACTTTTTCCTGTGGCAAAATCGTCTCTCAGTTCCGCGAAGCGAGACATGAAGCGTTAAAGCAGATCATAATTCAAGTTAGGAAAGCTGTTATATCGATGAACTTTGGCGACATAAACATGCCTCGTAACTAACACAAACTTCCTGAGTAATATGCAAAAATTTTAGTCCGTGCTCACTGTTCGTTAAAAAGTTATTAACAAATGAAGTTAGTGATAAGAGTTTGCATCGAGCATGTGTACACACACACCGAAGGGGGCGTGCGGAGAGGCCTTTGGCCCCCAACCCGCACCCCTCCCTCGAGGATTAACGGGTGAAACTCGCTTCATATGGAAAGTCACATGTGAGTTTGCGACTTATTGCGACTTTCCACATGAAGTGAGTTGCACCCGTTGACCCTCGAGGGGAGTGCAGGAGGGGGCCGAAGGCCCCACGCACGCCCCCTTCGGTGTGTGTGTGTGTGTGTGTGTGTGTACACATGCTCGATACAAACTCTTATCACTAACTTCATTTGTTAATAACTTTTTAACGAACAGTGAGCACGGACTAAAATTTTTGCATATTACTCAGGAAGTTTATGTTAGTTACGAGGCATGTTTATGTCGTATTAAGAAATTGCTATTATTGGCAGGAATAATGTACGACACGCACTTCCTAGGCGACGTATGTATTGCTGAGCAATGATATCACAAATCGGTGTTTAGATATGTCAACATCAAGGTCACGGAACACTCGGAATTAGTTACGAGGCATGTTTATGTCGCCAAAGTTCATCGATATAACAGCTTTCCTAACCTGAATTATGATTTGCTTTAGCGCTTCATATCTCGCTTCGCGAAACTGAGCGACGATTTTGCCACAAGAAAAAGTTGTTTCTCGTGCAAAAACGCGACGAATGAGCCTAGTCTCATTAAAATCGGAGATGACTGTGTACTTCTAAATATTTACCGAGCTTACAAACAAAACTCTGACATTTTTAAACAAAATTTCTGAGTTGCTTATACTTTGCCAGAAAATTAGTTCATTCAATCAAACATTTCTCTAAATGTGTAAAAGGTTTTATTAACGGACATTTCGCGAATAGCATCTGCTAATAAAATATTACATAGTATCCTCTAGTTAACCACAAGTGATATGTTCCAAGTGATGTAGCAATGCATCTCAAGAAACTTTCCTACGTAAATTCGTATGTGAGACACTCTCACATACGAATTTATCATGTTTTGACAACTGTAACTTTTAATATTTACAGCTTGTGCATATCATGCGTCTCACTTACAGATCATTCACTACGTTGATAACTACGTTTCTGTATCTCTATATAAAACTCGTTTCTGTGAAGAGAAGAGAATTATTCTTAATCGTTACTGTAGCTCATTAGTGAAGCGAAATTCGTGACTGCAATTTCTCAAAAGTTTAACGTCGATCTGTGTGGTCGCGCGTACCGTGATTGTTTCTAATTTACGAAGGAGATAAAATTGGCAACTACAAAGGTCAGCGGATCTGGAAATGCTGTAAAAGTGTAAATAATGTTTCATAACTGAATACGAGGAAGGAAAAACGAACGGAAACGACAGATTCAAGGAAACTACGTTGAGAATAATAACGTTTCTTTTCTTCATCCGAGATCCGGGATCCCTTCTTCTGGGATCCGGAAATTAATATCACAATGGAGCCCACAGTCCTGCTTATCGCGGTCTTCATGGTGTGTTTTTGTCTATACAACATCATGAAAATGACACGTTTCGAGAAAGTGAATGTTCCACATGAACGCCCATACTTCTTCTTAGGCAATATGGCGCCCTTTTTCTTTCAACGCATGTCCATGATGGAGAATATGGAAAGACTGTACAAACGCTTCCCTAACACAAAGTACTACGGCTTTTACAATTTTATGACGCCGACCTTTATAATACGCGACCCGGAACTTATTACATCGGTCGCCATCAAGAACTTTAACAACTTCTGCGATCACAATAGTTTCGTAAACAAAGAGCTCGATCCGATGGCCAGCAGAAACATATTCAGCCTACGAGGCGATCGTTGGCGCGAGATGCGGAAGATTATCAGTCCAGCCTTCTCGTCCACTAAAATGAAGATGATGTTCCAACTAATGTGCGAGTGCGCCGACAACTTCAGCAATCACATGGTCAATAACAAGGTCAACACAACGGTGAACGTGAAGGAAGAAATGAGCAAATATACCAACGACGTGGTAGCCACATGCGCCTTCGGCATCAACGTGGACTCGTTTAAATACCCGAATAACGAATTTTATGTCATGGGCAGGAATTGCGTAAATTTCGAAACCAGTTTATCTTTTAAATTTTTTCTGAATATACACTTTCCAAATTTCGCCAAGTTCTTCAGAGTACAAGTATTCAGTAAGGAGGTCGAGAACTTCTTTAAAGAGATTGTCAGCAAGACAGTGAGCGTCAGAGAGGAGAAGGGTATCACACGCCCGGACGTAATTCAACTGCTGATGGAAACCAAAGACAATAATAACAGACGAATGTTCGACATCGACGAGATGACCGCTCAGGCGTTCGTCTTCTTCGTCGCTGGATTTGACACCGTGGCAACGGTAATGAGCTTCTTAGCGCACGAGGTCGCGGTCAACCCTGATATTCAGAGCAAACTGAGAACCGAAATTGACCAAGTTCTCAAGGAGAACGGCGGAAAACCCACTTACGAGGCTATAAATAGCCTGAAATATATGGATGCCGTGATAAACGAGTGTCTGAGATTGTATCCGTTAGGAGGCTTCATTGACAGAATATGCGTCAATGAGTTTGTATTACCGCCGCCGACTCCAGGCGGCAAACCAGTCACTGTGAAACCTGGAGAGAGCATCTGGTTCCCGAGTTACCCGCTGCATCGTGATCCCAAGTACTTCCCGGAGCCGAACAAGTTCGATCCAGATAGATTTCTGAACGGCCACATGGACAATTCGGTTTACATGCCGTTCGGTATTGGACCTAGAACCTGCATAGGCAACAGATTCGCTCTAATAGAGATGAAAGTGATGCTATTCCACATTCTATGGCGATGTGATCTCGAACCCGACGCCAAAACTAAAATCCCCATTGTACTGAACAAGAAAACGTTCCTCACGATGATAGATGGTGGCTTTTGGTTGAAAATACGAGCCAGGAATCGACAATCTCCGCTGCGCGATGAGTACTGATGAACGGATGAAGGGACAAAGATAAATTATAAGTTTTGTAATATTTGCTTTAAACATAAAACAAACTGTAACGCTTCAATCATGAACTTGATTAAATCTGATAAAGAATGTTTAAGAGACGCGAGAATGAACATTTGAACGACACACGAAGAAGAAAATTAATTTTAAACTATCAAATATATAGTTCGAAATGTTCTTTTTTTCTTGATATGTGAACCGTGTCTGTGTTCTCAGTCATTTTCATCATGTGATTTTTTAATAAAAAGACTGCGCGTATCCAACGCTCGCCGTAGAAGAAAAAAAGTACCAATACTTAGGACAAAAATCCTATCCTAACTGGGGTTGTTTATTTATTTATCCCTCCTGTCTCTCATTTTTCCTCAACAAATAACACACGTAACGTCACATATCACAATATTGAGCAACGTCTAGATTGCTAGATAATTATAAATCAAGCAGTGAATCAAGCAGGCATGGTCTGTAACAGAGCTGGAGATGATCTGCACATTTCGGGCGAAATTCAAGAGGTAACACTTACCGCCCCCCTGCACTAGGCAAAAAAAAATTGAGTACGTATCTCTAAAGCTGGATACAGACTTGAGCACGAACGCGCATGAGGCATGAGCCGAGGCCGCATGAGCATGCAAGTGTGGACGTTGGTCCGAGGCGCGGCAGATTGCCTCGGATGACTCACCGCGCACGAGCTCGGACTGAGCCGAGCGCTGTCGGTCCGTCGAAGATCATTCGTGCTCGGTCAGGACGCACTCTCGAGCACGCGTACGGAAGATAGCCGCGCACGACACGAAAAATTAAGAACAGAAAACTGCTGACTCCGAACGACCGGAGCAAAGTCGAACAGTTAACCTCGACTTGCCTCATGCGTTCTCATGCGGAGACTTCAATTTTCAATCCGAGGCATTCGGTGTGCAAGCCTCAGCTTGCCTCATGCGCGTTCGCGCTCAAGTCTGTAGCTTAACAAAATTGCTTAACAAAACTAGTTTAGTTGAGGCATTTTTTAATAGCAACCAAATATCTTGTTTTATATAACAAGATATTTAGTTGTCTCAACTAAATATATTTTTCTGCTTCGTTCTCTGGACCAATTGATTTTGTTCTTAGACTTCATATATAAAAATTAAGCATTTTAGTTATTTTATCCGTTAGGAATTACATAATAACGAAATATTATTTTACATAAACTAAAATAATGCCCGATGGGTACTATTTTGTCTTTCTGTGCACTAAAATTTAGATTTTATATATTAAGAAAAAATTATAGTATTTTTTAACGAAATTCATATAGTTGAAGCTTTTTGGTTGCTATAACAAAAGTATTACGTTATACGAACGAACCGTAAGGTTAAACAAGATATTTGTTTGCAGGAACTAAGCAGTTTTGTTGGGCATATTTTAACCAAATTATTTTGTTGTTACAACAAAATTTTGGTTCACGCAACAATACACTTTTCCTAGTGTGCCATCGCTCCGCGCTTAGCGGTCGAGGCGACGATCGCGGTGCGTTCAGATCCGTCGCTGTATAAGAAATCAGCTGGAGCATCGCCCTCGCGTCATATTATCATTAAAGTCTCTTCCTCGTTTAATAATCACTTTAAAATATATATGTTTATGTGTTTTATATATATATATATATATATATATATGTATATATATAAATAATGCATAAACATATATATTTTAAAATGATTATTAAACGAGGAAAAAGTTTTAACGATAATATAACGCAAGGGTGCGCTCCAACTAATTTTTTATACAGGAACGGACCTGAACATACCGCGATCATCGTCTCGGCCGCTGAGCGCGGAGCGACGGCAGGGGGAAGGGGGACGGTGGGTGTCACCTCTTAAATTTCGCCCGAAATGTGCAGATCGTCTCCAGCTCTGGTCTATAAAGATGCATCGATTGCACAAATTTCACTGTTCATTGTCAAGTTGTCGTAGCATTGTCAAGTGGCGGTAACCGAATATAATCCGAATGTGCCATCATAATTTATATAATCGCGAATAAGAGAAGCTGTGCGCCAAACACCATACACCTTTATACACATATCCTCGCGGGCGCAACCCGCGGGGACTGAAGAGTCACGCAAACGATACTCACCGGGATGTCATTGACATAAGCGTGGTCATTGACGTCATTATGTTCGCTCTCGGTGTTGGTAGGGCCTGCGCGGTTCCGCGCGAGCAGTCTGCGGAATAACAGCAGATTCTTCACGATCATAGTATTCATCACGATGATGCCCACGATCGGCGCGATCAGGCTGATAATGCTATCGACGATGCTGATGATCCGCATGGCTTCCAGGTGCTCGATCTTCAGGTCGCAATATTCGTCGCCGTCCTCGCTCTTCACCACCCCAGCAAAGAAGAAGGCGTACATGTGGAGGAGCATGGCGACCAGCACCAGCACCAGGGTGATCGACTTGGCCCGCTCGACGGTGCATATGTACGGCCGATGTAATGGATACCGAAAGGCGATGTACCTCTCCACGGTGAAGGCGACAATGAGCCAAATGCTGAGCGAGCTGCAAACCGCGCTGACGTAGACCAGCGTCTCGCACCAGCCTTCCTTGTTGAACACCTGCCAGCCGACCGTGCTGTTGAGCCATACCAGAAACAGCGTCACCAGGAAGCCGGAATCGGCGATGGACAACGCAGCCAAGTAATAGCTGGAGCTGCGTGTTCTCAGCTGCGTCTTCAGGAAAACCACGCATGACAAGAGATTGCCCACGAAGCCCAGTAAGATGATAAGCGGTATGTAGTACATGTGGAAAAAGTCCAAGAGGAAGCAGAGGGACGTGGAGCTGTCCAAAGGTTCCAGTTGCTCCGTCATTTCCATCTCTGAGTTATTCGGACGTACGGTGATCACTTCCCGATAAGGTGACCTCGGAAGTCGCGACAAATCGCCAATCGACGTAGGTATCTGACTGATACTCAAGCCACCTCTCTTCCGGAGACTGAACATAGTTCCGGAGGCTTCGGCGCTTCTTGTTCTGAAAATTTGTTGAATCCGCTGAGCTTAACTACAGCTTCATGCGTTTATTCGCACTGGATGTACCTTGCAAAGTTGTTAGACTCGCTACACTAGACATTCATGGATCCGACGTCGTTGAAGATTGGACGAGCCGAGCGGATTTGGATTTTGACTAAATTATCAGATATTACGACTTACCGTCCAGTGAAATCGCACGGTTGCGAATTTGTGAAATTTTGCAAACAAACAAAGCTCCGCCGATTAATCTTGGTTGAGTCGAGAAGAGAGAGTCGTACTTCGGCAGCTCAATGGAAGCGCCGCGAGGTGCTGATCGGAAAATATGCGCTTCATGCGATGGCCAAGCAGCGTTTGGTAAACTCGGAGTGCGGTCTTCTATGCAAAAGCACCCCCGTGTCGGCCGAAAAGTTCCTCCGCATGCGCCTTGTAGATCATGACGTCTAGGTCGCCGACGCCGACGCCGACGCCGACGCCGACGCCAAACGCTATCCAGCAAATACATCTGCGACGGCAGAAGAGAAGGGGACATTATTTTACCATACGTTTTGTCTATTAATTCCGAAATATTGGGATAAAAACAGCAAAGACGTATCCCTTTATCCATCTTCGAGGAATGAGGCGTTCGTCATGAATGAAACCGAACATGGGTCCAAGCTAAACTTTGCGCGTACTAATAACCCAAATAGCACACAACGTGTTATTATCATCGCAAAATCGCGTTCAAATATCTATCTGGAAAGTGTCTTGAGCCATTCCGAGTCCAAATCCAAAGTCTGATGTTACACCCTGAGAGAGAGATAAGAAAATGATCGATGTTATTAAAATTATATTTCTATAAAACAGGCCCGCGCAAGAATGACAGGCGAAGAGCACGAAAAGCTGATTGATACAAATCCGTACTTGCCGCCGTAAGTCATCATCATTTTCAAGATGCAAACGATTAAAGTTGCCATCGCGTGAATATCGCGTACACAATTTTGCAGCACTAAAATGTATATACGCGCGTTTTACGTTTTCCGCTTCCGAAGGGAGAAATTTTCCGATGAAGAACGGTTCGACTGCGAACAAGCACGCCTCATCGAAATATTCCGTTAGCTTCAGCTGGCATCTTAGCGCAGTCAGAACGAGCGCACAATGTGTTTTTTTTTTCCTTCTTGGGTCGTCAGGTTTTCTTCCATGCCATCGGTATCCACCACACCCAAGCGCTTAACCGTGTGACTCCGTGGAAAGAACGAAGCCACTGCGCGGCCAACCGCTCTGTTTGCTCACATCTATCCCGTCGTCGTAAATCGTGCCCACTATAAGTTACCTGAATTCCATTTACTCGGCCAATAACGGGAACCATAACCGCTGCGCCACCCTTTGCGAGACCTTCTATGTACTTTTCAGTCAAGGTCGACGAGGTGGGTCAGTATTTAAACACCATTCGTATCGAGCACATTCGTAATCCTTTAATGGAATATTTTTTCCAGCTACACACAGCTAGGGTACGCAAGACATTGTTGAGTGATTAAATTTTCAGAATCGGGAGCGATACCATTATCATTGCGTTAACAATGTGATCTTACCCAGACAGCACTACAATGTCCGAAACCGGGACATAAGATGTCCTTCAGACATCTTTAAGATGTCTAGGTAGATACTTCCGGGGGTCGTCCTGAAGACGTACCTTTGGAGGTTTGTGCTGTCTGGGGTCAGGGGGTTGTACGATCTTCACTCTTATACATTACTGTACATTTGCATATATTTGCGCAAGATTGAAAATCATAAAACGGCAGTCTAGTGAGTATAAGATACATATTTTCGATATATTTTGGAACGCAGTATCTTCGGTACTGCGAGCTATATCGTTTGTGGTCTTGCGTGGTAATTATAGTTGCGACGAAAGCTAAAATAATGGCAAACGGTGTCTAAAGAAAAGTCTGAGCGAAGCATATGGCGCAAGATCGTATGAATAATTTCGTGAAGACGTAGAATGACAGAAGTAGAATGCACAAACAGATAGATAGATAGATAGATTCTATGATAAATACTATCCCAGACAGCACATATGTCCAAAACTGGGACATAAGACGTCTTTAAGACATCTTTAAGTCGTCTTTAAGATGTCTGAAAATAAGACATCTTTAAGTCGTCTTAAAGACGTCTTAAAGACGTCTTATGTCCCAGTTTTGGACATTGTGCTGTCTGGGTATGTTGGAATCGTTGGAATACACGTACATTTCCACGCTACATCATGAAGGGTATTAATAATTGAACAGCGAGCAGGTTGATCTTGTTTAATTTTATCGTGCCGATCACACACGTAGTGTCGTGTATTAATTTTTGTTCAATAATATTTATTCTCGCAATAAAGTTTCAAAATCTTGACAGGTAAAGAAATACAATATATATAGAACGCATTTCGATATACATTATATAAAGCGCTCAATGCAGACTGCTGTTCGATGCGCCATCTGTGGCCATTTTCATTCAAACGTGGAACTATTTAGCCGTACTCATTCTCAACGTCGGTAAAATAGATTTTTCGTGTGTGTCTATGCTACGTCTATAGTTTTTATGAGAACATTAACAATTTTAATGAAAACCGCTCAACACTTACACATTTCACCCAGCATAAGATACGTGTTGTTTATAATTTTACCCTAAGATTACTCTAAGGTTTAAGGTTACCCTCTGGATGTGTGTCAAATTTCATTCAAAGAGGAAACGTATACTCTACTCTACGCGGATATATCTCTTTTACAATTAAATGTATTATTATATGTCAATGAATAAAAGAAATTTGTCTGACAATCCCGGACAACATAACTATCGCTCCGACAAAAATATCGTAGAGAAGATGTCCTCTTGATCTGATAGCCATTGTAAAAGTAGCATTTATTATTCCGTACGTAGATATTTGAGTTACAGAGAAAAAATAGGTCAACATAGTGTTACGCAAAATAACGTATGATTAATTTATTTCATGATTTCCCTGTCGTACCGTCACACTCGTGCGTCGCGATCTATCCCTTCTTTCCCTTTTCGTTCTGCCTGACTGGCAAAGCCTCATCCAAGCCTGATGTCCCTCGGGACGGATACAGTCCCGGCAAGAACTTTTTCGACCTGATGCCACCATACAAGGTGTTAAGGGGAGTCCTTGAACGGCCACGTGGTAAAATCGAAGCGCACGTCTTGGCGATACTTTTCGCCGGTGACCTAGAATCACGTAGGCCCGTCGAGTTTATCCTGATCGTCCACCCTCTCGCCGGGGTCCAGACTATTGCGGCAACTGCGAAGCGCAACACGTCAATAATTGCAATATAGCACAAGGACACCTGTTTACCTCGATCGGTGCGGCACGGCGGCGGCATGATGTCGTTCGCGAGCCACTTTGCCTGCAACAATCACAAACGTGATTGCAATTTATACAATGACTGCGTATGACGTACAGGAAATCCTTATTTGTATTTCGTTCAGTCGATCGATACGGACTATTCATTTGTATCTCTGTTATCCAAAAGAGAAAGGATCTCCCAATTTTAGGGAATGACCACGAGTGGCCAATGGTACACACATTAGTCATTCGAACACATATACGAAAGGGAAAAAGTTTTATGGAATATCAGCGAATCACGAAGACGATAGAAATGCTTTTCCAACTGAAAGCAACGAAAATGCGTCTACTTTCTCATCTGTTGGAGACTGCTACGCGCATATTATTATTTTACTTTTATTTACTATTTATTTACTATTATTATTTTAATGTTATTTTACAAAATAAGCGATCCAATTCCAGAGGGACGAGGGAGAGAACGGTGGCGCCTTGTACAAGGAATCCTCCGTATTGTCTCCGTATTGTCCTACTTCCTCGGTACCACGCGCCGTTCAATTTGCACGATTATCTAGCCACGGCTGATACATTGAAAAGCGGGCGCGCGAATAGTTCTAATTACAAGAGAGAGAGACAGAGAGACAGAGAGAGAGAGAGAGAGAGAGAGAGAGAGAGAGGGGGAGAGAGAGAGAGAGAGGGAGAGAGAGAGAGAGGGAGAGAGAGAGAGGGAGAGAGAGAGAGGGAGAGAGGGAGAGAGAGAGAGAGAGAGAGAGAGAGAGAGAGAGAGAGAGGGAGAGAGAGAGAGGGAGAGAGAGAGAGTGGAGAGCTGAAACGGCACATGCGTCCCCACGCCTGTTGCGCTCGATTCCTCGGCTCTGCCACCCCGCAATCGTCCCTTCGCTGTCGCCACCCTTGCTGTCCCCGCCACGATCGACACCATCTCCCGCCACTTTCTCTTTCGCGTCTCTCCTCTCTGCGCGCTCGATGGCTTCGTTTGATACATCCCTGCGGATCGCACGAGTTAGGGCAGCTCTCTCTCTCTCTCTCTCTCTCTCTCTCTCTTACTCGCCAACTTTCCACCCACGCTACCTCCACCCTCCACCCTCCCGCCCGCGCATTTTACCACCATTCGCTGATACCGAGTAGTCTCGCGCATAGGAGCCCAGTTACTAAGGTATAAGTAGCAAGTACAATAGCAGCACCCAGCAGTCAGCACCCACTTGTTGGCTGGATGACGACACGACGTGATAGCTCGTTGCGGCCGCGCTTGTGACGACCAGCGCTCGTCAGCCTGAACGACGACGACGACGACTACCTGTGCGATCGCCCGAGCAGCAACGAGGAACAATCGGGGGCGACGCATGTTAATTAGCACAACGGCTAATTGACGGGGAGCGCGCCAACGTCGGGCACCGCCAGTTGCGGCTTGTGTTACAGACGACGGATCGCAACGTGAGTCCCACACATGAGACCCCACTTCCTCCTCTCTTTTTCCTCCTTCGCTCTTTTCGTTCTCCGCTCTTTCGCACATTCTTATTCTCGTCGCGTCGTCCCTCACGTATCGTTCCAACGTCATTCTTTTTCGTCAATTATCGAGCGTGCGCGCGTGCCTGTGACTGTGCGTATTGCGTTAGAATGCGTGATTGGGTTCCCCGGAGTTGGTTCCCAGCCGCTCGAAGCGTGATACGTTCTGCCGAAGGAGTCGTCGGCTCCTGGTGGTGGTGGTGATGGGGGGGACGGGGAGGAAGGGGCCTCTTTGCAAATTGTTCTTTTATTTCTGCGTCGTGCGTCGTCCTTCTTTCTCCTTTTCTCCTTAATCAACGCTCTCGAGACTTCGCTGACGACTCAGCTCGACGACAGCCCGTCTAAATTTAGAAAACATCGTAAACACACTAGCTGCGTTATATCTGGACATATGGGACATATCGCTTCCTGCTGCTTTCGCGGAACAACGTCGCCGATATGTTATCGATAAACGCTGCACAGACTGCTATACGTTGCTATGTAAACGTCAAATCGTCCGAGCGTCGATTTCAACGTCATCGAGAAAGGTGGAAGGAAGCGCTTGTGTGCTCGCGCTACGAGCTGAGTTCCGCCTGATTTATGTATATACACGGGCTAATCGAGCGGGCTGAATTATTTAATTATGATCGAGCTACACGCATGAGCGACATGAGGCATCGCGCGCGCAGGAGGCCACGAGAGCTTGGTTATTCTGTTATTATTAATAAAGTGATGTGGGCGCGCGGTGGTTTACAGTACGCACCGCAAACGGCATGCAATATCGATACGTGTCACACATTGAGCGCGTCATCGATCAATCAGTAAAGGGCCGGCAACGTTCAATTTATTTGCGCGTTCTTTCTTTCGCCTTTTTGCGGGGGAGGGGCGGTTTGTCCGTTTGCTTGGCTTTGGGTTTGATTCGCGGCGGCGGCCGCGACAGCAAGGAAAACAGACTGCTCGCGAAAAGGTACACCGGCGTGAAAGGTCGCGGCGTCACCGCCGCTCACCACATCCCATCTCATACATCTGACTCTTTGTCTTCGCTTTCTCTTTTTGTTCTTCTCGTCCTCACTCGCGCGCAAAAGCGACTCTTCGAACTCTCCAGCACTTCTCCAGCGACTTTGTTCCTTTTTTAACGCCGCGCTCGCGCGCGCGCCGCCGCCGTTAATAAGACGAGTGTAAAAGAGACTTAGAGCCGTGTGCGCGAGGTATGCACCATGGAAATATCGATTCTGATGCAAATATAGTCACTTTCGTCGAGAGAGTTCCTTTGTTCCCTTTACCGCGGTGAACCGTACGATGACGATCCGCACGCGCGACGAACAATGGCAGCAGATAGCAAGACGCCGCGCCGCGGCGGCGGTGGCGCGCGGATTTATTGAATTTTCCGCGAAAACCCCAGCGACTCTGCTTCTACGGATTTTCGCTTGTCGCGCGAGCGAGCAATTCCGCGGTTTGATTCTCCGCGCGCTGTGTTACGGATTTATTTTCAGATTTTCTGACGACACACCGGATCACCGCACCGATCATCTCGCACCGGAGATCGACGAATCTAAATGCAGAATAAGCCGCAGCGAAATGTCCTGGTCACGAGGCAGATGGGTTTGCCCGGATGATCGACAGTTGAAGTTCCGGGCTAGGTGAGTCCGCCAAGGGTCCGCCTGCGATTTCGACGAAACCTGACGCGCTTCTAGAGTGACCGATGCCGAAGAGAGATACGCGCGCGCATTCCTTTTTGTCAGTCGGGAAGCAAGTTTAGGGACTGAAGTTGTCTCTCCCTCCCCTCTCAAATTTCATCCTTTTCGCGCTATTTCGCGTGTTGAATTGTGTATGTGTAATGGAATCTCTCGCATGATACTTAGGTTGAACAAAGGATGGTCCCAAAAAACGAAATCCTTCGAATGCCTGTGGCCTCATTATTCAAATACTGCCGTGAATCGTAGCACCCAACAACCTCCCTTGCTCACCGAAAACGAACGACAAATGATCATTCAGGTAAATCTCGTGAAATCCAAATCGCGTGTTTCAGCTCTCGACTCTCTGACTGATACTTCAATGGGAACAAAAGAAACTGTGAGTACATGACGAGACTAAGCGTCCAAAGAACGCATCACGGGAGCGGCTTCGATCAAGCTTTGGAAAATGAGAGAACAGAGAGAGTTTCCGATCGAAACCGATCCGGTGATTCAGGAGCGACAGTGAGAGTTTCTTTGCAGGTGATACAACGGGACGAAGCTCTGGATCTGTCGGAGCAGAAGCGGGTGGGCAGGCTCGTTGAGAGGCTGAAGAATGTGAAGCAGAACGTGTCGTCGGCCACGTCGAGGCAGAGAAGCGGCTGTGGTATACGCTGCCGTATGAACGGCCGTTGCGTTTGTTCCTGCGGCCTTTGCGGCGACAAATTTGGCATGCTGGGGGCGAGCGGGAACCTCTGCAAGGACTGTCGCAAATACGTGTGCCAAAAGTGCGGCATCGAGATCACGAAGCCTAATCTGCTGGAGGGGAGCAGCAACGCCGACGAAGAGGGAAGCAAGGCATCCACGCGAGGTTCCTTCAGGTTCCTCCAGGAACAGGCGGTCGTGTTCCGTCAACGTATCATTCAATGGTCCCATGGGAACGCGCACAGAAAGTATCTCTGCCTCATCTGCGCGGAAACCAGGGAGATGTGGATGAGGAGCGGCGGCTGGTTCTTCAAGAGTATACCCAAGTTCATCCCACCGAAGAAGAAGGTACGAGGAGTCCGTGAACGACACTCGAAGTGTCGTGCCGATCGTCGAGATCTCGAAGAACGCACAGTGGCGTCTCGCGTTAAATATATATTTAACAACAACTTTGTCCTGAAATATCAAAAAAAAAAAAAAGAAAGGGAAACGCAATAATGAGTGGTTTTACAAAGCGGTTTTAAAAAGAAGACACTTTTGTATTCTTCATCGACTCAATGGCGCAAACTTGTGCGTAGGAACGCGGATGGACGTCGACGTGGGCGATCAAAACAAGTCAAAACAAGTCGTCGGAGTCGACCGATCAGCAAGACACCTCGTCGGATGATGAAACTGGACGACTCTCGATGACACGTGGCCATCCTATCTCGCCCACAAATCTGCCGAACAACCGCACTCCTACCAAGTCAACCATCTCCAGCCCCGTGCCGAGCAACACCTCGTCAACACCGAGTACACCCCGAGGCAAGTCAAGCGGTTCCTCACCTTCAGGATACCGCGAAAATGGTCCCGACAGGTTGAACAAGCCCTGTCTGTCCCAAGGTGGTCAACTGTCGCCCACGGGCTCGAAAGGTACTCTTCGTTCATCCGTGAGCGGTAGAAGTCCGCTACAGCAACGTGTGTCCTTTGTGGACGACGAGAAGACTAACGAAGCTGAGAATGACGAGGTGGAGGCAGTTGAGGAATCGAGTAAAAACACATCCATCTATCTAAGTCGATCCAGAGGCCCTAAGATACAGTCCCTAAGGTACGTAATAAATACGATAGTAAGCGGCTTGGAGCGGATGGCAGTTACCCAAATTTATCTCATCTCGCAGAGTAAAGACGCCATTGACGACCACGTCGGCGGAACAGGTTCGAGAGGAGAATAAACACCTAGAGATAAATGCAGAACGGAACGGGAATAAGTCCTGCCAGGACCAGGACAGCTCATCCGGTGACACTCGAAAGAACAGCCAAGTCGTGTCGCCAAAGATCCAGACTCCGGAGTACCCACAAGGTCAGTGATCATGTCTCGTGACTACGACAGAATAAGAACCGTACAGCTTAGTGTAGTGTAACGTCGTTCGACTGAATGTACACAACAGAAAAAAAAAACTCAAATTCCCGTACCGAAGACAGAAACAGGACAAGACTACGGAACCCTAGAGGTCTTCCTGCGATATGACCCAGCGGACCAGTGCCTCCGGTGCAGGGTGGAGTGTGCGAGCGGCCTGATGCCTATGGACATCGACGGTTATGCTGATCCCTTCTGCAGATTGAATATACTACCCGTGAAGAAGGCAACGATGAGCAGACTGGTGCGAACGAAAGCGGTACACCGCACGCTCAACCCTGAGTTTCATCAAACGGTGAACTTCAATCGCACGTCAGAAACAGACGTAAGTAGAAGATCAATAACCGAGCAACAAGCACCGCGACTGCACACACGGATTCATATTGGGAATCTGTCTTCCGTGCTTAGATCGCAACCAAGGCGTTACATATCTTAATCAGCCAGGAGGATCCATTTGGCGAAGACTTTCTGGGCGAGGCGAGATTCCCCCTGCACGAACTGCGGCCGTACGAAACAAGGCACTACAAAGTCTCTTTGCAGGAACACTATCAAGTATGTGCATCAAATTGTCTTAAACAAAAAGAGAGAGAGAGAGAGAGAGAACATGTTGATGTAATTCAGAGATGAGCAGAGACAGATTCTGCGGAATTGGTCGATACAAATCTTAACAATGACCTTCCCGATTATTCCGCTGCGCAGGTAGACAACGAAGAGGATACCTGGGGCATGTGTCTCAGTTGCCGTGGAGTGATCCAGGTGAGCCTCAACTATTGTACGCGTCGAAGAGCGCTATTAGTTACGGTGCACCGTGCCGCAAATCTCCTTCCCATGGGCAAAGACGATCTTTCCGATCCGTTTGTCAAACTGGCCCTCGTCGAGGATGCGAACGATAAGCTTCGCCAGCAACTCCCAGACTCGTCGATTGCGCGTGCCACTGCCAAGAAGATAACCACGAAGAAGAAAGTCGAACGCAGCTCGCAATGCACGAGCATCAGGCGAAAAACTATGAACCCGGAATGGAATGAGGAGTTCTCTTTCGCGATCGCCTCGACGGAACTGACAAAGTTGACGCTGTGTCTCTCCGTCTGGGACAAAGTCTTCCTCAAGAGGAACAATTATATGGGTATACTATTCGTTACAATCAGTGACAAGTTTTCCTTGTCGCTCCTTAGTCTTCTCCCATTACTTTCTATCTTCACATCGAGACAAAATTCCAGGCGGCTTAATGCTGGGTTGCGGCAGCAAGGGTGCTCGTTTGCGGCACTGGATCGAAACCATCAATTCTCCGGATCATCGTCACCTGGCGTGGCACAACTTGGCGAAGATCAACGTGCCAATGGAATAACGACCTCATCAGGCTCGAGGAGCAGGACTGAACGAAACGCACGGGACACACGGACTCTATCGGTAGATTATGCAAATATGCATACTACGCGTACATAAGAGAATGCGTAACGATATACAAATTGTGTATAAATCATAGAAAATCATCGCAATGTAACGTGACACGTGACAACATATTAATACATGCTGATGGAACCTTGCTCGGATGACAAATTGTGGATCGTTCTCAGGGACAACGGACACTTCGACGACGAGAACTAATCATTTCTATATCATTTGCATTGTGAAAGTGTTTGATTACTCACATTCCAGAAATATCACCTCTATTGGGATTTTAAACCAGAAAATTTACTTTTGAAGTCAAGAGTATGAATATATTACATCTGTATAATATATATGTTGACACATTATTTTTTTTTTAATTAATGAAAATATATATATATTATCTTTTTAGGTACATTAAATTCGTGAGTTTCAGCTTCCTTATGTGATTGGATTACGAATGGATCATGTAAACTTTCAACGGTAAAATATGTGCCAAAATACAAAATGTGATACTCTAGAAGTGATTTTATATATAAAAAAAAAAAAAGCTCATGATGTAAGTGCCAGTTATTGGTTCCTCTGAGTTATCATATTTGAACTGCTTACACCTCTTCTGATCTTTGTCAATCCTGTGGAAACATATAACATTATTATAAAAAGAATCAGTGTTATAGATTTTCATAAATCTTGCAAATTTTTAATGCAAAGTGTATATCAATACTGAATAAAGTTTTATTAATAGCAACTGAAGGTATGTAGAGCTGAAGTAAGATAGAAGTATGCGCACAAGAATCACAAAACAAAAAATCTAAATAAATACTATTATCTTAAGGGCACAAAATGGCATTTGTAAGATAAAATACAAAATCACATAGAAGAGAAAGAAAAAAATAATATGACTTTTTGTTACTATTTTTTGCAAATAATCTACATTCGTACTACATGAATATGCGTGTACGATGTATACTATCAATAATTCCAGTGATCTTAAAAAAACTGATTTTAATTACATTGTCTCTCTCTCTCTCTCTCTCTCTCTCTCTCTAATACAATAATAATAAACATAATTTGTAAACAATGTCCCATTTATTGTATTCATTGCCCTAGCAAAAAGTATTATTAACAAATAAAATGGCCAGTGATCAATTGATATTATTCTGCTAGGGTTGTTTATATGTTCATACACTATGATTATTGATTTGTTGAATAATGAGAAACGTATCATATATTACCTCTTCCATTATGCATAATTTCATGACTTAATCATAAGACCGTGAAATTCCACAAGAAAAATATATAAAATATTATCTCTGGTTCTGACTCTGACTTCAATAAATGGCTCTGAGCAGCAGAGCTATTATACTCTCTCTTACGCCAGTCAACGGTTAGGAAAGTGAAAGAAAAACAGGGACAACGCGTACGCAGTTCCCACGATCAAAAATATGCGTAATTACAGGAACCGCCACGGAATCGAACAAAAGACTTTGATATCATATCTCTATCTTCTTCGCCCGCAACGTCACTGACAAGATACTAATACAGACCGTTGGTCTTACGGAATTTAGCGTACCAGAAAAATCTTGCTGTGCGCTAGCGCCCTCTTAGGGATATCATGGCAGGAATATAAAACTATAGCTCGAAAAAAACATAGATGATAACAAATACGGAACAATGGGAAAAAAATATCGGAAAGTATCGACACCAAAAACAGGCAGAGTGCGTATGTACATATTTTTATTTATTTTTGTTTCTAAATATTTACAGCAAAGTGTTTGTTCATCGGCGCTCGACCTATATTCGACACTCCTGCGTTAAATTTTATCAAATGATATCGCACATAGAGATTTAAAAAAATAAATAATAAATAATAATTGATAAATAATTAATGAAAATTAATAAATCCCTATAATATTTATGTATCTTAATATTTAGTAAAATCAGTGCAAGAGAATACCGAAAAGTAATGAATGTCGCAACGAATGTCAGCTACCAGACGTTTTCTTCTATACGGGATGTCCTAAAAAAATTGTACTACAGTTCGTAGGAGTGGTAGAACGGATTAAGGCAAATAAAAAGATCCCATGCTGTTTTGTGATATTTGCAATAATTATCAAGTTATTAGTTATAAAAATCGGATAAATAAGCGTGCGCTAAGATGGTAAAGGAGGAGCGTATAGGAATGAAACCGTTCTCGAATTGTAGCGCAACCCAGTCGTTTTAGCAACTGTTGCCATTGCACGGCGAGGGAAAGGACAATGTGTCGTTGCACATTTGCTTATCTATGCGCCACACCGCGCCTGAGCTCGATATAGCCGTTAAATAAAAAAAATCGAACGACCTTAATAATAAAAAATATCAAAAGATCTTTCGACTCTTCTATCTTAAAACTATTTTACGCATATTTACAATATGCGTTATTTCTGCTGTCTCATAAGATGTAATTTTAATTGCAAATATTTTAACTAAATTTAGTGACTACATCGATACAAGCTTAGACGCGGTGTAGTGCGGAGACATAAGAGCGGCGAGATAAGCACACGTGCAGCGACGTGATGCCCTTCACTTCGCGGTGCGACAAAATTGCTAAAACGACTAGGCTATTACATGTCCCTCAAAATAGGCATTTGTTTCCAACTTGACGTCCTCATTCGAGTAAAATCTTTTACCAGCGAGCCACTGCTTCAGTCGGGGAAAAAGGAAATAGTCGCTGGGGGCCAGGTCTGGAGAATACGGGGGATGCGGGACCAATTCATAGCGCAATTTCTTTAATTTATCGCGAGCTGAGTGAGCTGGAGCATTGTCTTGGTGAAACAAAAATTTTTTCTTTGCCAAATGTGGCCGTTTGACCTTGACTTCGTCGTCCAATCGATCCAGTAATGTACAGTAATATTTTCCAGTAATATTTTTTATTGATAGTTTTACCATGTTCAAGATAATCAATGTATATTATGTTATGCGCATCCCAAAAAATACTGGTCAAAACCTTGCCGGCTGATTGTTGTGTCTTCGGGCGCTTCGGACGGCTTTCACCAGGCAATAACCACTCCGCTGACTGCCGATTGGACTCCGGTGTATAGTGATGGATCCATGTTTCATCCATTGTGACAAATCGACGCAAAAACTCCTTCTTATTGCGGTTAAACAGGGCCAGATTTTGCTTTGAAAGTCGAACACGTTCCGCTTTTTGCTCAATTGTCAAAAAACGCGGCACCCAACGCGCGCAAAGCTTTTTCATTTGTAAATATTTCATGTGTAAATATTCATGAATTATATGACCAACGCGTTCCTTTGAGATGCCTATGATGTTAGCTAGCTCACTCAATTTCATTTTGCGGTCATTCAACACGATTTCACTGATTTTCTGGATGTTTTCTGGAGTAACTGCCTCATTTGGCCTTCCTGAACGTGGTGCATCATTTGTGCTCGTACGGTTACGACGAAACTCAGCAAACCAATATTTGATGGTTGAATTCGGTGGGGCAGATGTGCCGTAACATTTATCAAGCCATGCCTTTGCTTCAACAGTGTTTTTTCCCATCAGGAAGCAATATTTAATCAAAACACGAAATTCACTTTTTTCCATAGTAAAGATAAATTCAGAGGTAACGTCACTTCGAAAGCTATAACTTGTACACGAGTCAACGAAATGTCATGAAATATTTACAGCATCTAAGTTAAGGTTGGTACTCTATAGGAAATATAAGGATTTTTAGTTTGTGGTGCCATCTATATGTCAGGCCAAAGACTTTTCAGCCCATGTAGTATACCTAAGTAGAAAAGAAGAAGTCATGACGACATCAAAATGACAAGAAAATGACCGGACTACGATGAAAAAAAAGAGTTTTCCTCATCATTTTGATGTCATTTTAATGTCATCGTGATTTTCTGTTCTACCTGGGTAGCCCGAAAACTCGACTCAAGTGTTACTCCCCTATCATTTCGGCGCACACTCATTCATCCGACTTTGGAGATTTGCGAACTATTCGGATTCGAATCGAATCGGATCTAATGTAATTCGATTCGATTCGAATCCGAATAATACGAATTGGAATCAAATATATTATGCGTGCATCAGCTACAAAACGGGCCATCCAAGCCTGTACGTTTGAACCCTTAACTTGTCATTAATTTAACTTATAATTAATAACTTAATTATAAATTACTTAAATATTTAAATGTATATTTTACTTTAAGATGATATTACAATATCAATATTCCCTTTTATATTAAAATCTTCCATCGTTATTTGCATGTTTAATAGTCATGTTAAATTTTTTAATAATTCGATTCGATTTCATTCAATTCGATTCGAATTCGAATTAAAAAAATGAGATTCGATTCGACTCGATTCGGCATGAAAATTCTTAATTCGCATCATCTCTATCCGACCTATGATCTCCTATGATTAATAACTTGACAATTACTGCGAATGTCGCAAAACGGCATGGAACTTTTCGATTCGTCTTAGTCCGTTCTGCACCTCGACGCCAAACTGTGGTACTCTATGGAACTGCTCTATGGAACACCCTATTTGTTATATGTACGTACATACATATCACACACGCGCAAGGGTGTGTATAATAATAATATTTTCAGGAGATGGAAAGCAAGATTGAGAGATATTTTTAAAGCTCTGAATTAAAGTAATTGCATTCCAATTTGTTATTTCGACAATCTAGTATTACTATCAGATTAATGTTTATGTAAATATTCCCATTAAGCAAATTGAGCGTGGATTAGTAGCAAATTTGCGACCAACATCTCATATCTAACTGTAGCCATCTGCGTCTGAATTCAGCTCGTGTTTTGGCAACAGCGAGTCTGCTGACATGATTGGACAGCAAATTGGCAACAGAAACCGAGCAGTTCCTGTCGCCGAACTGCATGCAGCAAGATCTACTAGATTTTTATCACCGCAATCTGCCGTCAAACCGTTGGCAGGCTCTACGCAAAATCTATTCATTTACATTACCTGTCAGCAGATTCTGTCATATTTCAGATGGCAGTTTGGCAACATAATCTGATAGAATAAATCCTGCGTAGGACATTGTTCTGTGTAGGACATTGTTGATGCCCTTTTGGCATCAAAAGTTTGCAACAAGCTCTATTCACGCAAGTGTAACTACCTGTAGTGCAATTCTGTAACTCGTTATTAAAGTTAGTGACAGTTTCGTTATCGTCGCACAGCTTTTATACCGTAAAAAAGCTGCGCAACGATAACGATAACGAAACTGTCGTTAACTCCAATAATGAGTTATAGAATTGCACTACTGGTCATATCACTTTTCAGATATTTTAACTACTTGCTGATTTTTTTGTATAGTCTTTTTGTTACGCGTTACATACGTAAACTATTGCTTTACTTTTCATAGCTTTTATTAGGCTTGTTCGTGTTGTGCTTCAACTTTCCGCACTTTTTGCACTTAGGACGAGACAGACGTTATATATATTCAAACGCTGTCCAAACGGTGTTCCAAGAACGAAGGAATCGAGCTGGGCTTCTCAAAGAAAGGGAGAGGAGCCTGTTCTGCCTCCTGTTTGGAATACAAAAACTTATCCAAGGCTGCGACAGTCTTTAGCATTATCTTGTCGACAATCACATTCATATCAGTGGGATGAACAATAATTGGACGAGTATTACGTTATCGTAATACCCGTCGCTCAATTCTGCAACGTTCTGCCATCTAGAGTCTCAAGATCAGTTTGAAACACAGTGGCTGGGCGGGAAGGTAACGAGGCGTTGGACACGAAGATAGATGTCAGCAGTGGTACGGGTGTGGAAAGAAAGGGGATGAAAGTAGTGTATAAAACGACGAGCGGCAGTGTCGCGCATTCTGTCTCATGACAAGTGTGAAAATGGCAACTTGATCTAGGTGGTAGTATACTGTAGGGCACTTTGTACACAGAAGAAGAGAGAGAAACGATCGCGCTCGCGAACGAAAATCGCGCGAGGAGAAAGAGAGCGAGATTAAAATCGGTACGGCGATCGTCGATAGAAAGATATCGAGGGAAAGAGAAGGATAAAAAAGAGCAAGTGAGAGAGGCAGAGCGAGAGCGAGAAAGAGAGAGAGAGAGAGAGAGAGAGAGAGAGAGAAATTGAGAGATCGACCGATAGTGAATCACGCGACGACGACGACGACGACGACAACGACGACGACGACGACGACAACGACGACGACGACGACGGCCAAAGTACCTCTTCCGTCCTTCTCCTTCACATTTGTTTATCTATCGATTACATTCCGTGTATCAAAAGGCAGAGGCGCCGGTGCTACCGGATGCCCGGTGGTTCGCGCTCCAATAGCAAGTGGCCTTGCCCACGTCAAATACGCCGGCTCGCGACACGACCAACACTCCCTACTGGGATTTGACAGCTCCGTTCTTTGGCTCTATAATCGGGCGAGGAGGAGGACGACGACGACGACAGCGGCAATCATTTCACACGACGCGCACCTTAGACGCACGACGACTGTGGAAATTTTGCGGAAGGTGCAGTACTAAACGCAGGTAATGTACGCCTATACCTACTTCATCTATGCATGCTCACGTACGCGTCTATGTGTGTACGTGAATGAAACCAATCAGCCACCACCTCGTATTCGCTTGTGTGCGCGCGCGTGTGTCTAAATCGAAAATCATTCAGAAAGCACATCGAACGGCTCGACCTAAATACAACGACGAGTACGGACACGCGAAACTGGTCATTAACCTGTCGCTAATTTTCTCTCTCTCTCTCTCTCTCTCTCTCTCTCTCTCTCTCTCTCTCTCTCTCTCTCTCTCTCTCTTTCTCCTTCTCTTTGTCTCTCCTATTCACTGTGCAAAGATCCTGCTGTTTCTTGTTGTGTGTATCATTAGTATCCGCAATTAATTCTCGAGAATGTTGCGGTGTTGCATCAATTTTTTCTTCTTTGCTCGGTTGGGTAACACACTTACCTGCTTACTCGGTAAAACAGTAATTTTAAGAGAAAAAATTGAATGATAAGATTCATTATGCGCTCGAAATAACAACGAAGTACAGACTAACTCGATTGTTATCCAAGTAAAACATAAAATAACGATAAAGCATCAAAGTGACGAGAAAATGACGAGGAAACATGCTGACAGGATGAATTTTTTCGTCATTCTGATGTCTCGTCTCGTCATAATTCCGTCATAATTCCGTCATCTGAATATAAATATTAAATATTCATGAGCGCGCGCGCGGTTATCGGAAGTTCATGGCTAGGCAGAACGGAAAATTACGGTACAATTCTACACGTTACACGTCTCACGTTACAATGACGTTACAATTATGTCAAAATGATGATTAAGAAAACTGATCATTCATCATAATTCGGTCATTTTCTCGTCGTTTTGATGTCGTCGCGATTTTCTGCTCCGCCTGGAGATGCTTTTGTCCGCAGCACCGGTAACGCTTTTCTCGGCAATCGAGAACGTTGTACATGTTTGCTTTAAGCTCTGGTGTGTATGAAAATTTAATCAGAAGTTGATACGATAAATTGATATAATTGATAAAGGTTTACGCAGTATATACTCTCGTTGTATAAATAGGACAATACTAAATGAACGTAAGCTTTGCTATACAAATTTCAAAATCTCAATGTCCAAAATACTATATCTAACGAATGCGTGTTGACAAATTTTATAGAATATCCGTTAAGACATCAGCATTTTATCTGGATACCAAATAAATGAAATATAATTTCCAAGTAGTTACCATACACTCCTACGTAACGAAATTTCATGTCACGCGAGGAGAATTATTTTTGGAGTTAGTCGCGCAATTTTAATAGTTTTTACGTCGTTTCCGAGAAATGTAAACTTTTAACTGCTAATTGTCCGTTTAAGGAGTTAATTTTTTTAACGTGTTACTTTATAAGAATTCCACTCCGTGTTGATGTTGGATCATTAAAGGCTTGCAAAAATTTGTTGAATTCTCGATAATATATGGTATATAATAATTGGTTTAAAAGACCGATTGTTTTTAGGTAAAGAATTTAAAGGATATTATATATAAAGACTGATATTTATTTCTGAAAGTAAAAGAAAACATCGTGATTTCGCGCGAACCTAGTGAGAAATATAATGCACAATTCAAAGCGAGGTAAAGAAATCAGCGAGTGCAGATCCGGTAAATTTTTACACATGAAGATATTAATCATTTAACAGAATTGATCAAAATTAAAACGACTTATACATAGAACATTATTATTACTATGTCGTATAAAATCATTTGCATTATGGCAGGATTAAGAGAAGATTTACGGAAAAACTAAGAAAAACACTATCTCCAATTTGCAAAAGTTAAATGTTCATTCGAAAATCAAGTGGAAAATAGCATTGCACCATGAAGTATAATATTTATTTAGAATAAGTTTAATTTGTCGAGTATGCAAAATTACGTATATGATACGTCATATGAATAATTTACTGCGTAAAGAGAGCTATTTAGCAATTCCGTCATGAAAAATATTGCAGACAAAAACAACTAGTCGCGTTTGAAATAGTTTCAAAACGTTCAAAATATTTTGCGAACGGACGCGACGGATCTTGTTTGTGAAGTTAATAAATACAACTGCAACTTTGCATGAAAATTTTAATAAATATTTACATTTCCAGTGTTGCATTTGCATCTGTTTGTGACATATTCATATGCATAATAAAGATATTTGTAAGTGCAATATTAATTTGTTTAGTAGATCCATCGCTGAGGCAATAAGCTTACCACAAATCAGTAATCAATAATATCACTCCGAAAAAAATTTAATTCGCGAGAAAATTTAATCTCACAATTAGCTCTTGTTTTTTCAATAGTTTTACCAAACTTCATGAAAATAAATCGTATCTTCTTTTTAAACTTCTTTCATTATCTTAACTTTTTTAATTATATTTAATTATTACTTTTTCAATTACATATTTTCTCAAGATGTGAACAATGATCTCTTTGAATAAAGCGGACGATAACCAAAAACATGGATAAAAAATAACTGTGAACTATGCAAAAGATTTATGTTGACTTAAATATAAATCTTTTGCATAGTTCATAAATTAAATATAAATATAAATATAAATTAAATATAAATAAAAAGTATATAAATATAATGATATCCTATTACTATATCGCTATATTGTAATTATATATTCATCTAGATCTATAATCACATTATCATGTTACATAAAATATTATATGAAAAAGAGTCAAGTGATGTTATTACTTAAAAAGTAGTAATAAAACTCGTTTGATTTGCATTTTTGCTTATTGCGTAGTTACGTAGTTATTACAATTTACTTTTTCATCATGAGATTTTTTCGTTATTCCGATCTCGTCGTGATTTTCTGTTCTACCTGCGGAAATATTTTCGAAGAAGTTTATCCATTTAAATATTCATTACCGCATTGAGCTCGTTGACGTAAAGTAAAAAAAAATAAGCGCGAACGCGATCTTCCTCAGTGAAAGTTTGAATGTCTAATTGCGTATACGAAGAGCAAGATCTTGAAACTTCGTGAGGTTAATATCCTTCTGGCGGTTTCATTTGGATGTTATCTGTTGGATTTACCAGCGTTATACACTACTCAAAAGAATTATGGCATAGATAGATAATTTATTGCCGAAGTCACTTTCAGAGTAATTATTTACTGTTGAAGTGACGAACCACGGGATTCTTATCCCTTTTATCACGGACACACACACACGCACATGCGTGCACACATGACCCGAAGGCCAAAAACAACGATATTTTTGAAGGGCTGTAACTTTGCGAAAAAAAAATTGTAGCGACTCCATTCTTTTTTCAAATTGAAGGGGAGGATTTGAACTTTATGACGATGCAAACGGCATCCCTGAGAAAAAATTACCCACGTCCGTGCATTCCGTCAAACTTTGCAATTTTCAGTATATCAAACATGCCCTCAGACGTCAGGAATTACAGAAGTAGGGGTGCATCGCATGCAAAAAATGGAGATACATTCTTAAAGTAGAGACTTGAAGCTTCATTTTGAAAAAAAAAAAAATCATTAGTCTACAATAATCTTTCGCGAAGTAATCGCCAGTCAAAGTTGGCCAATTCTCGGCAATAAATTATCTACGCTATAATTCTTTTGAGCAGTGTATTTCGCGTACGATTTGTATGTTTCTTTCACGACGCAATTGCGGAACGATATCCAGGATATCCGAATCACGCGATCGTTCGTTTGCTCATTCGTCCGTAATTCAATGCCACGAGTGGAGATCGCTAAGATAATTTCTTTATTTTTCTCCGATGCTGCATAAATCTCATAAATTTTTTGCCTAATATTATAAACTCTATATCAAATTGGTTATATATAATCTTATAAACATCTTATAAACTGTAAATAAATTTGGTTATATATAATCTCTTGAAAAAAAAAGCCGATGTGTATGTATCTCAAGCAGAACAAACATGATGACGTCAAGATGACGTCAGGATGATGAGAAAAATTTATTTTTTGGTTCGGTCATGCTCCGGTCATTCTTCTCCTCATTTTGACGTCGTCATAATTTGTCGTTCTACTTAGGATCTCGATAAACATGAAAACAAAGAAGAAAAAAAAATCCTGCAGCTTGTTGCAATATATTTTATTTTTGGTTGCATATTTATCCAAAATGTAAACATCATTACATTTCATAAAACATATCCAAAAGACATCTTTTAAGATATGACAGGGAAATAAGAAAAATAAAAAGTAAATCGTCCAACGTGACACAGTATTTTTTACTTGTGACTTTTTGGCTAAAAGTAACGGCAAATATAAACATGCACGATAGCTGGCTGACCTTCATTTTCGCGAAGGTTGGTGAATACTTCTGTATTAATGTTTATGCAATGATCCACATACTCGTTGCATTCTTACGTTCCGCCGAATTTAGCAAAAATATATCGTATCCAAGAAAAAATTTACTTTTTAATCATTCTCGGTAGATATATTTTTTTCATGTTGGAGATACAGGTTTCGTTGTGAGACTGATCGAGATAAAAGCTATCGCAGTCTTCAATCGTCTGACTGTACTGTATTCGCAGTTAAAATATTTATTCGCGCTGAGCGCAAGTTTGAGCAAGTTAACAATGTGCTAACTTTGACACGATTTCAAGCACCTTTTGGTGCAGCGTTTCCTTGATCTTTCCTCGGCTCACATCTTAATTCTTTCGCAAAAGTATGCCCGAAAGAGACAAATTCCCGACGTTATCGTATTGTGTACGTATTGTGTCTGTAGTTTGTAGTACCGGCGACTTCAATCCTGACAGCACCTCGAGCGGTTGCTGCATCGCGTGAGACCGAACGAGCAGTTCGGATTGGCGTATTCGTCACTCACGCGTGCGTCACTCATGCGTTACTGCGCAGCCGCGTGATGACACGCGCGCATCGTAGAAAGAAAGACCGGTTAAACACGTGCTCGCCACGATTATTTCAGCGCGATTCATTGGTTTGCATTGTTTTAGCAAACGTAATGCCCTAGTAAATATTAGATGAAGCATTAATAATGCAAAATGTCATTAGTCAGCTATGAATACGGCGCTTGTCAACATTATTCCGTTAGTGCCCAGGCAGAACAGAAAATCATGATCGACATCGGAATGACGTGAAAATGATGAGAAGAACTCTGCTAAATAAGGTCGATCTTCTCAAAAGTATATGACCTTGACGTATGTTGTTAAGGACATGTTTCTAAGTGTTATGCAAAAAGTTGCAGCCTTCGCTCATTGTTCGTTAAAAAGTTATCAACAAAAGAAGTTGAATAGAATATATGTAATTTTCAAACAACGCGTGTACATATACTTTACTATACTTTATAAAATAATCCATAGTCGGATAATGCATCTCGAATATACATTAAATCTCGATATATATATTAAAAAATGTTAAATGCATATAAGCAGGGGAGATTTCAAAGTAACCTCCTGCTTTTAGTTTTAAGTATTAAATGTACGCTGTGTCGAAAAATTACGCTCGATTAATGAAGCTTCTTTTGTTAATTTTTAATAAAATTTTTTAATAAAAAATGACCGCCAACTGAAACTTTTTTTTAAGCTACTCAGGACTATATCCTTGATAATGTATGTGAAATTCAAAGTCATCGACGAGGTGTCCCTCAACACATGTATGCGTAATCACCGAAATTTCTTTTATTAATAATTTTTAATAAGCAATGAGCGATGAACTTTTTGCATAACACTCAAGAATATGTCCTTATCCAATATATCAAGGTCGTGGACTTTTGAGGAAGTTGACAGGAAGTGTATATTTACCAAAACTGTTTTTTTTTTCTTTTCATTATGATTCCGTCATTTTGATGCCATTTTAATGTCATCATGATTTTCTGTTTTGCCTAGATCAGGGGATTGCGCCGATACTGTTCTTCTGACTCTCCCAGTGAGTGGGTACAGCTTTGAAATTTCTAATCAATCAAAACATCAAGCTTATGGAATTCGAGCGCCGTTTCCTTCATGTTTAGTGGTTTTCAATATACCGGATTCCGGTGAGAAGTCGCTCCGTGGAACACGATACTTCGAATCGATATCTTTGAAATCGAACGATACGAATATAGTCTCTTTAATTCCGTTAAAAGGAAAGACCGCCTCACGTGCACGTTCTCCAATTTCCCCGAGAATAATACTCCAGTCTCTCTGGAGAAATTTTCGAAATTTCTCGATAAACATGATAATGTAGTTTTTCGTCGAAGCGACAACCCAATTTCTCACTTATTGTTAATGTTTGTTGTAGGATCGTCGGAGAGACATCGATCTGAAAAGCATCGAAAATGAATAAGGTAGATTATATGGAGGTGACTCTCCCGAATTATTCCTACATCTTCAACTTCGAGGAGACGTTCAGCCACTATGAAACCAAGGTGTGGATGATGAACAATTGGACGAATTGCTTCTATTATTGCGGGCTGTATATGATTCTGATATTCGGTGGGCAACACTATATGGCCAGCAGACCCAGATTCGAACTGAGAGGAATACTGTGTCTTTGGAACACGCTATTGGCTACTTTTTCTATCATCGGCTTCACCAGGACTGCACCTGAACTAATTCACGCCCTCAGACATCACGGTCTACACCACAGCATTTGTAATACGAGGTTGGTTGTCAGTTTGTTTCGTCTAACTTTGACGGTTTGACTTATCTATGTTTAACATAAGTCTTCGATCAAGTTTTCTGGTAGTGTTAGATAAACGCAATTACTTGCAATTTATAAACTTGATATCTTATAATAAGTATCAGACGACTTCTACTTAACCATACATTGGCCTCAATTTAGAAAAAAATGTTTTCATATTAAGAAAATGTTACATATCGTTCGTCGCGTTCGACGTCCAACAGGCGTTAATATGCATGTTAAAAGTGTAAATAACGCGAACACACCTAATTTACATAATTTACATAAATCATGAATAACTAAACACTCTCCCTGACTATTTATTTTCAAAGTCAGTATAGATTGATACGTGAATAAAGTCAAACCAGAAGTGACCTCTCTTAATAATTTTGTATTAGTAATAAGTCCGTCGATACATACGCGCAACAATAATGTAATTTGAGATACCAATTTTACGATTAACTTTATTTTAGACACATCACTCGGAGCTTATTTCGATTTGTTTTTCCTTCAAAATTATGCTTTTAATTTTAACTAGCGAAAGAAGTATCGGTTGAAATAAAATTAAATTTCAACAGAAAAAGAGAATTCAAACGACCCAACGTAAGATATTGCGCGAATATAAATTGTTTCCATGATGTTGTGATCAACCAATTATTTTTGGCGATGAATACACGTAAAAATTTGTATTCGCGATCTTGGGAACGACTTTCGAAAAAAAAAAAAAAACTCAATTTCTTTTCCTTCCTTGAATCAGAAACAATAATTATAACGTATAACGTAACGCTTGTTACAAATTTAATATACCTATCCTTTCTTTCTTTTTGCAAAAAATAGACTGGTCAGATAAAATGCAAAATATCTTAATCGTATCTATTATATATATATATATATATACATATATATATATATATATAAAGTAATTCAATTCAACGATGAATAATCTCGTTGTAGCTTCATCGAGCAGAACTGCGTATCCGGTTTCTGGACATGGATGTTTGTGCTGTCGAAATTACCCGAGCTCGGTGACACGATCTTCATTGTGCTGCGCAAACAGCCGCTGATCTTCCTGCACTGGTATCACCACATTACCGTGCTACTGTATGCCTGGTTTTCGTACTCGGAATACACCGCGTCTGCGCGATGGTACGTCGTGATGAACTACTGCGTCCACTCCATCATGTACACCTACTATGCCCTCAAAGCGATGCGATACAAACCGCCCAAGGCGATCGCTATGGTGATCACCACCTTGCAGCTCATCCAGATGGTGATCGGCTGCGCCATCAACATATCTGCCTATCAATATTTGGAGGGCGGCCATGTGGACTGTCACATTACCCGCATGAACATCCACTTTAGTTTCGCGATGTACTTCAGCTATTTCGTCCTGTTCGCGCGATTCTTCCATAAGACGTACCTGGCCGATAAGAAAGCCAAGAAGAAGCACTTCGCCAACGACGCACCCAGTCACATCGATTACAACGACAAGCTCAAAGCCAACTAAAGGCGGTATCTGGCACACAAGAGCGCCTGGGCGCTCTTACTTCTATTTATCTCTTTCCCTTCTACCTCTCTTCCTCTCTTTTCTCATCTCTTCTTTTCTCTCTCTTCTTTCTCTTTCTCTGTTTCTTTTTCACGCCGCTGGTCGACGTAGCCACGCATTCAGGATCTATTTGTTTAAAGAGGTGCTAGGGTTTAACGGCTTCTTTAAGATGCGCGTGGTCTTACTAAGTGATCTGAATACTTTAGACACTGGGATTGGAAATTGTTACGTTTACATTAGGATGCTGAGATCTTAAAGTATATATAAAGCCTAAAGCCTATAGGACATTTGTAAGTCTTTAGGATCTGTAGATGAATCTTACACTTTAAGGATTTAGATTAAGATTCTACTAGACTTCGTGTACATAGGATCTACGTCCAATCTTCTCTACGTTCAATCTCAGAAGTCATAGAATTATGAAGATTGTAGATCCTACGAGATCTCCAGAGTCGATAGATCCTAGAAATTGTGTTTCTTTAAGGCGGAACGACAAATTATAATTTATTTGGTAATTTATTAACTTGTGGTTAATTTATTACTTTACTTTATTAATGTTAAGTCTTCAAATTTGATAGAAGCCGTATTACCCTAGAAGTTAGATCCTGGCTGCGGTATCTCTCAGGATTCTTACATCCTAAGATCCGTAAGGTAGGACTCGTGGGGAGCACAGAATCTACAAATGTCCCAGAGTCTGTAAATCCTAAGATACGTATTTCGTACGTCTTATAGGATTCGCAGAGACAAATGAATTCCTAAATTTCCGATTTTATAGAGCTTAAAAGTCATTAGGATTTACAGGATTTCTAGATCCTACGGTCCGTCGCGATCCTAGAGTATAAGTTTTCAGGATCCTTATAGGTCGTAGGGTACTAGATTCTAATCGAAGATCTCCAGTCAGTGTCCATGATGGACATTAATTAATTAATTAATCAATCAATCAATTGTCTAATTAATTAATGCGTGTCCATCTGCGCGCGGAGGGTATTCTAAACAAAAGATTCTCTTGGGAAAAGCAGTGATTTTTCTGGTCATTTTTTTATATATGGTGAAATGTTGCAGGTAAAGAGCTGCTTTCGCATGTAATACATACAAACATATGTGGAAACGTGTGCATACGCGTTTCTCACATACGACCGGCTGTTGCACAATTGTTATGATTTTGTTACTATATGTATCTTTTGCAATTAAATATTAACATTATTTAATAATAACACTGGACAACAGAAAATAATCCTTTTTTTTCATGTCACATGACTTACTTTAAATTAACGTCTTTATTACATATACTGAATTTAAATATACAGTCAGATTTTCCCCAAAGTCTCGCCCAAAGTTTTTAAAATATTGTAACAATTATGTTGCAGAGAATATATAACTTTCCGCACAAACAGATTATATTACCTTAATTACATTATCTTATTTAAAAAATGACAGTTTCTTCTGTATGTTTTCTTCCATATTTTGCCTCTGGAATGCCTCCTATCTTGAATGTCCGACAGTAGTAGTTTGCTAACATAGTAGGGCTACACTTTCTCTGGTAACGCTTTTCCATAGATTAGATGCCTTTGGTTAGAACCATTCTCCGTGTTATGTATACAAGGCGTCCTACTTTTAGCGTACTATATTTTATGACATTCCTCAGTCAGTTTGAAGTTGATTTGTCCGGGAGTGTTCTTGCAATAAAAAAAAACTATGGGTGATAGAGAAAATCGGAGTACACATTCGAATTTAGCGCTCAAAGATACACAAAAGACGTTTAAAATAATTCATGTGACAAAATGTTGAATAGTGTAATTTATGATCGGATATGTGTAAATAATAATCTCTTACCGTAAATCCTACGAGATACCAAATATTCTAAATCTTACCTTTAATAATCCTACAATATTCTGCTGTGCTTCGATCCAGAAATGCCACAATTTCCCGCGTTTCATAACGTGATAAAAATCTTAAGAAGAAGGCCTTCCAATAAACTAGCACGCGTCGAAAAGAAAATATCTTGCTCAATCGATTGAATATGTTGGCTGTTTGTAAAGAAATGCAGACACGCAGATAAAAATCTCAACTTAAATAATATATACGTAAGTACGAGAGGGAATTTCTCAGGATTATTGTTTGATAAATGAAGATGAACAAATTTCTTTTGAGATTGCACGTAACGAGTAGTGTTCAAATATCGCATGATTGGTCGTTAACTTATCGTTAAATTAAAATATTTCAAAAATCGTATTACGTATTTATTTGATATTTATTTGATAAAGAATGAATTTACATCGTAAAAAACAAAAAAAAAGCAAGTGCTCTACTATAAATTTAAAAATCGCAGTAACAATTATTTTTTTTGTATCAGAAAGTTCGAAAAACCTTGAAAAAGAAGAATACCAAAGAAAGATTTTAGTGAAAATTATGCGTAAGATATTTTGTATTTGATTTGACGCGTTTTCTTTTTGTATTTGATTTGACGCATTTTTTTTATTTGATACGCACAAATAATTATAACCGCCAAATTATTGTGAAAGTATGTTTGTTAAAAAAAGAAAAACACTGCCTATGCATAAACACTTATTGTGCATATTGCTACTATTTTAGTTCTGAATTTATACGCTGAATTTCGATGAGTTACGATACTCAGTAAAATTACGCAAGCTGTTACTTTTCACTTGTAGATAAGCACAGAGAGAATGATTCGGTAACACCGCGTTTTATACTATTCTGCGTATTCTCCGTATGTCCGATTACTTGACGTTATACCGTCGCCACTTACGTAACTTATCATCATTTCGCGAGATCACCTTTGTACCTTACATTCCAGTTAACATAAATAAACGAGCGTTCCTTTTTTTTAACGTGACTGGTTTTCCTTGGGCAGCGGACAGGATTTTTCTTTTATTAACATTAAGACATCAATATTATTTCTAAGAACTTGTCGAATGTCTTGTAATTTTTTTTCCATGGAATAGCAAATTGAAGTGGCATAGAATATACCACATTTCTCCATTATTATAATTTTATATGATTTATTGGCTAAACTTACTATTAAACGTAATAAATATAAAATTCATTTTCCTTCAGATTTTAATCAACAACTTACAACAAATGACAAATTGTAGTTCAATAAAAGTCATAATTTTTCTTGCGTTCGCAATATAGTGTTTAGCATGCATAAAATTGTATATGACTCACATGTATACGCGATCGTACGATCTTTAAATAATCGTACCGTTGCCAGATGTCAACGGTACAAGCGATCATGGGATGAAGGTGAATAGTATATGCGCTTGAATTTTTATTCCTGTAAAGATTACAACTTTTTTAAATAGACGTCAAATATAATCTTTGTAATTAATTATCAGAGATAGCCGTACAATAATAACGTTGAACACAGCCTATCAACTTCCCATTAAATATTTGTAAACAATTTATCAAAAAGCTTGAGAAATTTTCTTATATCCTTGGAAATATTCATATCAATGTGGAGTATTTACAATAATTTAATTTTTAATTTATTAGTTTCAATGTGGGTATTATATCTATTGGTTTCAATATCAAAATTTCTAAAAGATTTTAATATTTATTATATATTGAAGTTAGATGAATTACCTTCTTGCTTTGTCCCCAATCCTCAGAAATATATGTCAAAAAATCTCTTAAACCTCCAAATTCTGTCCTGCTTTGAGGTGGATCATTTTTTGGTATTTTCGGTAGTAAAGAGCCCATCTTAAACCTAAATTCTTCCGCATTAGTGGCTCCAGAAATCTTCCAGATTCCATAGAAAAGTAAACCACATCCTGTGATAGCATAAAACGAACCCCAAGCAAGAGCTCTCAGTGCCAATGAGGCTCCAGTTTCATGCAGCCCTTGAACACTAGAGATTCCTTTACCAAAGTATTTTGGATCTTGCTTTCTGGCAGTTGCTATTGCTCTTGAAAAGCCCGCGAGAGCAGAAATGCCAGTAACAGTGCTCAGGAACACTACAGCTACAGAAACATTAATAATTTTATTAAAATAATATTAATATATAATTATGAACAATCACAAGAAAGTGGTCATTAGGAAAAAAAAGATATGATAGTAAATCTCAGCATCATGAATTATGAGATATAAATTATTAACTGCAAGATATCTATATTTAAATGATACAACTACAGAATGAAAGGTAATTAAGTAAGAAAATTCAATATCAATTTTATACGAACATGAAAAGTTCATTTCATAGTTTGGAATAATATTCTAAAGTAGTCTTTCTACCAATTATCTCATTCGTGACTGATACAAGGTGAATGACACAGTAATGTGTCATTAGTTAATGTATCTTAGATGCAATACTTTGAGGTTGTAATATGTTAGGTTAGGTTGTGTGAATAATTTATAGCGATATTAAGTAACATGAATGTAAAGACAATTGGATAGAACATAAAAGCGAATTCCATAGGTAGGGGATGAAATTGAAGGAAATAAAAAAGTTACGAACTGATTGGTTATGTACTAGGTCGTATTAGGTACTATATTAGTTATTGATATACGTGCTAGGATATATAATATATATAGCTTAATACTTCTGATTACATTCTGCAACAATTAACACTCCGATCGTTCATAAGTCAAGGCTTTTCGTGTATTTGTGACTTAGGATGAACGTTACAAAATAGTGCTATTTTTGCTTCTACAAAAGTGAGGTTAACTTATAAGGAAATAATATTCGTGTATAAATGTTTTCTTATGTGATTTTTTAATGAGACTTACCATAAATTCTTTCCTTATATTTTTCAGACTTCGTAATAGATGTTTTCATAGGATCTATGGAATCCGCCATCACGTCTGAAGAAACATAACCAACGGCGACATCCGCCATTTTTAAATCGCTCAGATTCACCCTTGGGTTACTCCATGCGGGTAACTACGTCAGAAGTGGTCGAAAGGGCCGCGGACCATTTTTGTTACAAATTAAAACGGGAAGAGGTTCTTCAAGAAAGTGTGACGTTCAGATAGATCGGGTGCGAGTTCTACAAACTTTTGGCGTAAAATTGCACGTACAGAAATGGAAGGTAATCACTTTACTATGCTTCACTAGATTCAAAGTATATTTCCTCCCTGTTGTCCATATTCTAAAAGTTGCTTGACAATCTTCTTCTCATTTGTATATTGCAGGCGAGACAAAACATAATATCGATAAACTTGTCGATGATTTGAAACATGCTGTGAAGCTTGAAGCCTCGACTGAGACTGAGACTGAGAATAAATGTCCTGATATTGTTCAGATATTGGATTCTGTAGTGAACGTTAGCAAAACTTCAATCGGAGGTATAGTGAAAAGATTATATAGCAATAGACATATTGATCTGTATTTAATTTGTGTGATCATCTTTATATTTACTACTTTTTTTTGCCCCGTGCTATCAAGTTGTATGATTTAATGTTATACTATGTTAAGATATATGTATCACACTCTGTTATTTGTGCTTCTCTAAAGAATGATATATATAATTATAGAAACTACTGAATTACTCATTGATGAAGTTTTCTTGATGCTATTGGAACACAAGTCTAAACAAATTGTAGCGAAAACAGCAAAAGCTATCGCTGAGATAGCAAAAACCGAAAGAGGGAGAGAGAAGTGCACAAGTGTAGAGTTAATACGAGCCTTGATTGGTTTGCTGAAGGAAAAGGATATAGATGTATTAACGCAGACCTCTAGAGCTCTAGGAAATATCTGCTATGAAAATGGTAATTATAATACTTGTATCTCTTCAAATTTTTCGTATATACTCTCATATATTACTCTACTACTACTACTACATTATTCTCTACAACAGAAAATGGCAAAAGACTGGTAAAGGAAGAGGATGGTTTGAAAGTAATCCTAACGGTTCTTAAGAATGGCATCGCGTTAAAGAATTCCGAGGGCGCTAGCTTCTTACGGAATGTAGCCGCTGGATTTTTGTTAAATTTTTTGGTAGACCAGGAATCATTGCACAAGAAGGTAATAAGGCTATATTCATACATATATATCACGGCTAATGATCCGTAGTAAAGTTATTACATTACAAGCAACAGTGGATGATAATTTTAATCGTTAGACGCGCTTTATCAGGCACTCGAAGAGGATACGGTACCGATTATCTGTAGTGTTTTGGAAGAGGATGGGACCAATGGCGGTGAGGCAGCTATGCACGCATTACTTACCCTCGGCATACTGAATGACGCAAACATTGTATTCCTCGATGAGAGATTAACAAAAATTCTGGTCAACATACTAACCAGTGATACTTCCTCTGAGCTATCCGAGATGTGTTTGGAGCTGTTACATGGTCAAGCGGAGGATGGCAAGTCACTGATAATTTAATTACTTATACTTAGAGCAACGACAAGTTCATTACCCCACTGTTGAATAATGCTGTTAATAATGCGAGCTATCTCATGTGCAGAAAAAGCAAAGCTGCTGCTGGCCAAAGCGGGAGTATGCGAATTGTTATTGAAACTGTTAGAAAAGCACGGGCCACAGTGCAACGATGAAGAAACTCGATCCATTTTGAAAGTTGCCTGCAATCTGATCGTTCTTATCTTAACAGGAGGTGAGAGAGCCTGAGAAAAATGCACATCTTCAGAGTTCGCTTGACTTCGACTAACATATTTTTATTTGTTTAGATGATAGCATGAACTTCCTCTACGACAATAGCAAGGGTCCTGTCTATAGAAAGCTGGTGGAATGGCTGGAGAGTGACGACGAGGATTTGCAGATCACTGCAGTTTTGGCTATGGGTAACTTCGCGCGCACCGATACGCACTGCAAATACATGGTCGAACAAGGCATACATCGGGAGCTGCTGAAGCTACTCCAGAAGAACGACAGCAAGTCTGGCGATATCAGATGTCAGCACGCCCTGCTTAGCGCCCTGCGCAATCTCGTCATACCTGCGGACAACAAGTCGCTGATACTGGCCGACGGTCTGATCGACGTGCTCTATCCTATGCTAGATATCCCGACTTTTCCTGTCGTCTTCAAATTGCTGGGAACGCTCAGAATAGTCATAGACGGCCAAAGTAAGTGCGCGTTGGTAAATCTTTCTCCAAAGATTTTAACCTTTATTTATTGTACATTCAGCGTTGAGTAACGTAATTTTTATTTCTGGGTCACTCTTTTTACATTTTATTGAATTTATTGAATGGAAAAACTGAACACACACAACGGAATTGACACGGTGAACAACGTTAACGATTGCGCAAGTACACTCTACACTTTATATCTTACATGCTATTTTAGACAATGAAACACTCGCCTCTGATATGTCCAGAGGGCCAAGAGTGGCCCTCCACTTGGTAGAAATGTAAGAATACATATGCTTCTTTTTTTAGGAGAAGCGGCGGTGTCCTTAGGACGAAGGGAAGACTTGATCGAGCGAGCGGTTGAGTGGTGCAGTATCGAGAATCATCCTGGCGTTCAGGGTGAAGCGAATCGGTTGATCGCTTGGCTGATAAATAACAGCAGGTTCGTTTCCGATAACGTCGCTAGTGCAATCTCAGAACTTTATATGCACCTTTCAGGGACAGGCAAATCGCTCTGTCGATCATCAAGTACGGTGCGGTGCAGCATCTAGTGAATATGCTCCTAGCGCAGCACTCGTTGATGCAAAACGAAGCGATCCTGGGCCTGACGATATTAACGAGGATCTGTCCGGCGGAATCGGAGGAGCTGCTGATCGCAGCGGATTTCGGCCGTAACATGCGCGAGTTCTTCGAAACGCGCACTGATAATCTCGACATACACATCATACTAAATGCACTGTCGTTACTGAACAGTGTCGTACAGTCAGGTACAGAGACATCCGACATGATTGTTTGTCGATTTATTCCTACGATTTGTTCCCTTCTCTTGTCGAAGGTATTATTTAAAAGAAACAAAAGTTTACGAGCGATTCTGTGCTAATTTTGTGCTGATATGACGATCCCGTATCCTTTCGTTTTAGATCAACTGAAGGAGCATCTAAAGAGCTGCGAGCTCGCCAGCACGTGCAAGAATCTGTGCTCGAAGGAGAACGAAAACAACAGTACGGAACTGCGGACACGCGTCAGCGCGCTTTGCGCAGCCTTAGGAACGAGTTTCGATTAGAAGCTGTCGGACCAATTATGACTTGTTGTGTGTCATGATTCCTCACAAGGAGCATTAAGTTCGCGCTGCCATTCCCACTGGATGTATCTATCTTCCATCATTCCAAAGAGCCGTGCGAATCTCTCAAATGACCAAAAACATCGCCAACTTGATCCATACAGATTGCAAAGTGTATTTTATTTATCGAGAGAAATACATATTCTATTGATGTACGTGCCGCCTTTCCGAATCACTTCTCTTACGTCGTCGGTCTCACGGTAGAAGTAGAAGAAGAACTTTGAGGATCAATCAAGCGTCAGCTGAAGCGTCTGCTTTTTACTTCTTTATGTGTATATCATTCTTAGATTACACAAAATCGTTTAGAATTTAGCTATGTTACCTTGGAATGTTAATCTTGGAATCTTAATGTATTCTGAACAATCTCAAAGTACTTAATATTTTATCTAGATCCTTATCAGACTCTACTTATTCTTTATCTTACAACTGCTCTCTGAAAGATCAACTTGGGAGTATAAGTCTGTTGCATAATTGAATACGTATATCTACAGCTGTATAAATGTCCCACCGAGAGATATTTATTGAAATAAAATCGAAATATATAAAATAGTTGGTGCAAGGTGAAACTCAAGATGTACATTCTTCAAGGACAATGCATAACAGCTTCCCAGCTACTACATCAGTACACCCAGCGGCAGAGGCACCAGTGTCTCTCTCTCTCTCTCTCTCTCTCTCTCTCTCTCGAAGTGCCACGCCATGGCGCGCCAGTCGCGTGAGCTGCCACGTAATGTGTGTGTGCCGCTCGTTTGCTCACGAATTGGTACGCTGTAATATTTGCGAGATCGTTCGAAGGAATTAAACGGCAACGAGGGGCGATGCGCGGGTCTGCATCCGGCCGTTCATAATTTCGGTGTCGCACCCATCGCGAAGGTGAGTAGGATTTGAGCAGGTGCTCGAGTAGTGCCCAGACAGCCTTTTCCACTTTAACCTTTCGGCGCGCTGACAGTGCGCTTTAACTCCAATCCAAACGTCAATCTGCCGCAGTCTACACTTTCCTCGTAGTTTATTGAGAACGTTAATTGACGCACAGTTAATCGCGACGCGTGATAAAGCTTAGTTCTTAGCTCTCTGTAACTTGTCCAATTTACAATCTTTATAATGTTCCGATGGAGCTTGAACGAACTGTTCGAGCCCTATTTTGTGACTCTTGATGTACAAGAGAAATTAAAATAAAAACTAGACGTTATATGTATTTTCTGTGTTATCATTACATACCTTGGACTTGCTTTAAAATCTGACAATGATAAATTTTGAACGTGACAATATACAGTCACTTATGAACTTTGAGTTTCTTTCTTACATGTATTTAGAAGAATCTTAGTACATTTTCTTAGACATATTTGATTGCAGTGACTTTTAGAGGGACAGAATGTCACAGTCAAGCGGTTACCAGTATCCACTGTATGTAGAACCCAACAATACTTTAAAGAATAATCCATCACCTGTAGTGAATGGTCAAAGTTCTATACCTCAACAGAATGGTATGCAGTCTCCTCATTTTAATCTGACCGGTAAGTTTTTTTTTTTTGTAAACATATAGCTGAAAAATCAGTCAAATAATATGTCAAGTCTGTTTCAAAGTCTATGTTATCAGAATATTGAAAATACTTGTGACTTGTTGATGACACCTGAAGACGATAATAACTATTACTAGCTATTAATTTACTTTATATTTTTTGGTAACGGATCTTATCTACAGAGATATTTTTGAAATTGTAATAGCTCAAACTGTTGTTCCTAGGTACACCATCGTCGCAATCCTCACGTGATCCATCCAGGGAAACTTCTAGAGATCCATCACCAACCCAATACCTTCACAATCAATATCGGCCTCAGTTACCTCGACCGCCAATGCCACCAATAACTGGGCCACAAAATTCTAATATATTGTCCTCACCACCTAGAACGTCACAGCCATTTAGTCCCATTAACCCTTATGGTGCACATAGCCAGTATGCCACTAGCAGTCATCAAAACATTGGTGTGTCCTCAGTTGCCTTGGTAACCCAACCTAGCCATGAAATTCACCATAGATCCATGATTCCCCCGAATCAGATGCCTCCACTGGGGAGAAATCTCGGGTCAGAATCTGAAACTTTGACACCTGCGGATATTGTCAAATCGGAATTTGCTAAAGTGAATCAAAGTTACCAATGGACAACCAATTCTCCACCCAGCAGCGTTTCGCAAGGCACTATAGGCATTTCTGGCGCATCCGGTAACATCGATAAGACTAGTCAAGTCTCTAAAGATCAAACAACAGGCAGTCAAGTGCCATTTACGAGAGTGAATCAGCCGTCAACACATGATCAGAGTCATCCTATTTCTTCAGCCCTATCCAACATTAGTCTGCTTTCTCCAAGCGTCATTCAACATTCGAGTCAAGACAGTAACATGCAGCAGGATCCACAGACTTCTAGTGTACAACTATCAAGGACTCGGAATGTCCAGGCACAATCGCCTATTGATCCTTCCGAAAGTTCAATTAATCCTCAACTCAGATATGGAAGTCAGCAAAGCATATTCAACGCATCTTCGACACCGCATATGAGTTCTAGCACGCAAAATTTGTTTTCCAGTAGTTCACAACAAATTCACAATATGGCTGCACGAAATCCGCAGGATTATTGCCCTCAGCCTTTGAAACATCAGTCTCAATTTCAATCTCAGTTTCAACCTCAACCGCAGCTTCAACCTCAGCCTCAACCGCAGCTTCAACCTCAGCCTCAACCGCAGCTTCAACCTCAGCTTCAGCCTCAACCTCAGTCTCAGCCTCAGCCTCAGCCTCAGCCTCATTCTCACCTTCAGTCTCAACCTCAGCCTCAATCTCAGCCTCAGCCTCAGCCTCAACCTCAACCTCAACCTCAACAAAGTCTACTCACTGACCAAATGGACCCTATGGGACTGGGAGGTGTTCCTCAAGGTTCGAATGTATATCAACATTTAGCTGGTCAGAGAAAGTATCCGCAACAGGACACTGCCAATACCACGATGCCACCTCCAAGGGCTACCGTGCCGTCTTCAGGAATTAGTCAGTTACATGCGAGACCACCGTCGTCAAGGATGCTTCCAGGACATCAGATGGTAAGCCTACTTGAACTTGGGAATAAAACGTGATACGCAGTTTATGTTTCACAATACAAATTAACTTTTATTTTTAGTACGATACTCGTTCGCACTATCCCGGCTCGATGACGAACGTTCCTTTAGACTCATTAAATAGAAGATATCCTAATACGTATCCCGACCAATTAAATCAGTTAAATAATCAGATGAGCAATTTGAACGTGGCACAGAGTGGCTTTGACCAATTATGGGTATTTATATTTATTTAATTGCATAGTTAATAAAATTTGTAACATGTACATAATTTAATTTATAAATATATTTAAACTACATTACGCTATCCTGTTTCTCAGGGTTCGGTAACGGTAGACCTCTTACAAGGCAGGAATATACTGCCGCCTAAAAAAGTCGAGCCACCAAAGATTAAGTTACATCAGGAATTGTTAGACACTGCAAATTGTAGTCCCGAGTAAGTTTTTTCATTCTTTGTTTCTTAGATTCCAGATATTTAATTATCTAAAAAGTAAATTATACCTTTTTGATGTAATCATATATCTAAGATGCATGAGTCGAAAGTACAAAGATCTACCAAGTTAATAGTTTAATGTTAACTATTAAAGCTGCTTGACATATAGAGTCTTTTGTGACACACACCGAATGATTACAGAATATTCAGATGTACGCTGACCAAGGTTCCCGATACAAATATGCTTCTACAGAAGTCTAGATTGCCATTCGGTGTACTGATACATCCTTTTAAGGATTTAAATGTATGTACCTTAAAATGCTAGCGCATATTTGGAGTTGTGAGTACATGGCCTTGTGAATGCGAAATGTAGAGATTAGAAGGAGCACAGTCTCACCATCATCCTTTTGATCTGCCGGCATACTCACCGGCGATGAATTTCGTTTTTCATTTTATGTGATTTCTTTTTTCATTTGTCAGCAGCATTTGCCGGTGATTCAGTGTAATACGATCGTGCGCTGTCGAGCTTGCCGAACGTACATCAATCCCTTCGTTATTTTCATCGACATGAAGAGATGGAAGTGCAATCTCTGTTTCAGGCTAAATGAACGTAATACATTCGCTTCACATACCTATATTTATCACTTTAGCATGGCTTTGCGAAATTGAAATACACTTGCGTCTTGTTGTTGCAGTACCCGAAGAGTTCCAATATGATCCTGTAACGAAATCATACGGTGAGCCCGCGCGACGGCCAGAAGCTAAGAACGGCACGATAGAGTTCATTGCGCCGAGCGAATACATGGTTAGTAATTATTTTTCCATTTCTCTTGCATGATTAATGGAAACAAGTCAGAGAGTCATTCAAATCTGAATGAAACGCATGTCTCTCCTTCTCGTATTTAAAAAAAAAAAATTCTTTTTAATTCGAATTTTTTTCACTTCCGACGGATTTAATTAAGAATTCGATGAATTCCAGCTCCGTCCACCTCAGCCCGCAGTCTATCTATTCGTCGTAGACGTATCTCGTCTCGCGATAGAAAGCGGCTACTTACAGATCGTCTGTAACACCATCATCGACGAATTGTCGCGTCTACCTGGCGACAGCCGCACTCAGATTGGTTTCCTCGCCGTCGATTCTGCTCTACACTTCTTCAGCATGCCCGACAATGTCTCGCAGCCGCATGAAATGATTATGCTGGACATCGATGACGTGTTTCTACCGTGTCCGGAGAACCTGATTGTGAATCTGAAGGAGCGCGAGGAGCTCGTCCGTGACCTTCTTACTCAGCTGCCCGTCAAATTTCACGGCACTCACGACACTAGCTGCGCTCTCGGCGCCGCTCTTCAAGCTGCCTATAAGCTTCTCTTCGCGACTGGAGGACGCGTCACTGTTTTCCAGACATGTCTGCCTAATCACGGTCCAGGAGCCTTACAGTCACGAGAAGACCCCAACGCTAGAGCAGGCAAAGACGTGCCGCATCTTAATCCGGCGACAGACTTCTATAAGAGATTCGCATTGGATTGCAGCGGACAACAAATTGCGATTGATTTGTTCCTGTTGAACAGTCAGTACAGCGACCTGGCAACTTTATGTGAGTTTGAGTGATAAGAAATATAGTATATCATATTTTTATTATCTATTTTTCAACATTGGGCATGCGTACATATCACTCAGAGGAAACGACCATTATTTTTTTTTCATAAATCATTGAGAACTTTGATAAGCTATAATTATCAAACTAACGAGACAAAATATAAATTTTTACTCGTGAGAGAATACCTCTTCCGTACTAGTGAATTAATACAATGTTAGTGAGCCAACTCGATAAAATCGTTGTCGAACTACTTTGTTATGTCCTTAATGTTTACGACCCTGTTAAATTTCATAGCGTGCATGTCAAAGTTCACTGGTGGCTGCATTTTCCACGTGCCGTTGTTTCGAACTTCAAAGTTGCAAAGCGCGGAGACATTGGAGAGAATGCTTCGCCGATATCTGACCAGAAAAATCGGCTTTGAAGCTGTAATGAGGATTCGTTGCACTCGTGGTCTGAGCATTCAGGCCTTTCACGGTAGCTTTTTCGTACGCTCGACCGATCTCCTTTGTTTGCCAAACATCAATCCGGACGCCGGCTTTGGTATGCAAATTGCTATCGAAGAGAATCTTTCTGACATGCAGAGTGTATGCTTCCAAGCAGCTCTACTCTACACTTCGAGCAAAGGTAATCGCTTTTTCTCCTTTCTCTCTTTCTCTATTGTATCTCACTATTTTCTTAATATTCTGATTTACATCTTTTTTTCAAGGTGAACGAAGAATCAGAGTGCATACGTTGTGCTTGCCAGTTGTAAAAAATCTATCAGATATTCTGCATGCCGCTGATCAACAATGTATAGTGGGTCTCCTATCGAAAATGGGTAAGTCAAGCTCTTGATATGATATATTATATTTAAATAAAATGAGAACAATAATTTTCATTCAGAGGGAGAGATTTCTCCCTCCCGCGATTGTAGATTGTTACGAAGTCGCAATAGAGAATTGTTGGATTAATAGATATTTGTATGAATAGCTGTCGATCGGTCGCTTCAATCGTCTTTGTCGGATGCCAGAGACGCGTTAATAAACGTCGCCATTGATGTCCTATCTACGTACAAATTGCTACAATCCAGCGGCAGTGGAAGACTTTTAGCGCCGGAAAGCTTGAAGTTATTGCCGTTATATATCATCGCATTATTGAAAAGTGTAAGTAGTCGAGTTCGAGTTTCGACAAACGAGACACTATATACGCGTCCGTTATTAGCATCGTCGATCAACATTTTTGCAAACTCGCAGGTGGCATTCAGGTCTGGCACAAGCACACGTTTGGATGATCGCGTGTTCGCCATGTTTCAATTGAAAACATTACCCTTGGCGCAGCTAATGCAGATGGTTTACCCCGATCTGTACCCGGTGCACGCACTCGACGACCGCAACGCTAAAGACATCGAAGGCAAGATCTGTCCGCAACCGCCACGGCTTCATCTATCTGCGGAGAGACTCGACGCTAGAGGCGTCTTCCTCTTGGACGCCGGTGACAAGATCTATATCTACGTTGGCAAGAATGTCAACCCGGTATTCTGTTCGGCAGTATTCGGAGTCTCAGCGTTTGCGTCTATTTCAGAGGAATTGGTGAGCATGTTTATATATCACTTCTGTCAATTACGCGAGAAATCGTATGGACCGAAATTTATAAACTGATCCTATCCCAACCATGTTGATGAAAAACGCACTGAATAACATGCCGCCTTAAATTTCCGTTGTAGTATGAATTGCCGGAATTGGACACGATAGAAAACGAACGGTTGCGGCATTTTATATTCAGTTTGCAAGAAGAGAAACCGTTCTGGGTACCTATACAGATCATCAGGTAATCCGATTCTTCTTTGTTCCTTTTCGTATGATGATGAATTGACTTTGCGATGAATGAAAACAACAAATCAAATATAAATAGGATATAATTGAAGATAATAATTGAATAAATGAATTGAGACGATTAAACAACTGTATAAATTATCGTAAACGATTATTTAACTACTCTACTCGTACGATCGTTTGTTTATCGCACAGCATATATGTCTCTTTTTTGTTACATTTCAACTTGTCCGTTGCTTTCTTTCGAAATGCTTACGAATGCATTTTACAACGCGGCGAATGATGTTTCAGGGAGGATAGCCATTTCAGGACATTGTTCATCGAGCGTTTAATAGAAGACAGGTTCGAAACGGCGCTTAGTTACTACGAGTTCTTACAGCATCTCAAGATACAGGTGAAAGAGTGACCGATCTGATTCTACTGGGAGTCATTGGATTCATGAGTCATAAAGTCGCATTAAAATGTGATTAAGAATTGTGCGCGAATCATCATCGATCGGTCGTGGGTTCACATAGGAAATATCGGGGACGAGTGGTTTCAAAAACTATTTTGCCATACGCAGCAGTGATAGCCTTACCGACAGACACTGACGCATTTAAATATGGTAGATTGTAATTATTGTTATTATTAATACTATTATTACAATTGTTTACCATCGATATCTCTGATACACAAGGATTCGCACGTTCTCGTTGCGCGCGTCCACTTGGGATAAATATGTATAACTTCTTTATATACGCTTGTGCTCGTCCAGTAAACGATAATATGAGTTTTTACGATCTTGTGCTATATCCGTAGCACTTTTAATTCGTGCAATTTTTACCTGGACAATGATAAAATCTTGATTAATCCATCGAACAGCATCGATATGACGAGTAATTTCTTTTCTTTTTCCACGCGGAATATTTTTAGACTATTTTGTCTCGTTCTATGCAAGAGATAGAGAGAGAGAGAGAGAGAGAGAGATCCTGTATTTGCGATTTGTAAAATGCAGAAATTAATCTTACTTTATTTATTTATTTTTTCTTTTTTCTGGAATAAAAAAAGTGTTAGTTACAAATTATATTAGGTAAAAGGTGTTAGATCATATATATATATATATATATATATATATGATCATATATATACTTCTACAAATGTTTGATATAAAAATAATGATGAAATTAAATTGTTTGCTGGGCGAAAGTCGCAAAGCGGAAGTATTTCACGGTGATAAGCAATGCACACTTGCAATTTAATCACCTGCAGGCAATAAAGAGGGTAATAGCTGGAAAGGTCTTATACAAAATGATTAATTCTACGTTAATTCGCTCGACAATGACGCGTTAATCCATATTGTAAAATTCAACTTTGCAGCGAGCAAAGCCAAAACAATTTCAATCGATGATTTCGAGCAGTCGACGAAAGTTGCACAGTTGCAATTGAATTACTTAAATAATTGTACACAGAAGGAGGAGGAGGTGAGGGATAATTCCGCGATAATGTAAAATATTAATAAATTTTTGAGAGGAGGAAAATTCGCCTGTAAAGGACTTTATAATAATGAGATAATGGCGAAGAAAAGCACGCTTATGCGAATGTTGGTAAAGGAAAAAAAAGGACTAGATAAATGAATATTGTAAAATAATCGCGCTGCTCGCTCACCCAGTGTTGATACTGCCAAATAAGATTTTCTGGCATATTGTTCTTTTACGATTCGCCAAAGGGTAAACAAAAAAAAAGCATGCGGGACGACATGATCTATATAATTTAAATACTTACCGATTGTGTCATTAAATATCGGTTCTACTATCAAAATATGTATATGTATATGTCTATATGTGTATGTATATACATATATATACATATATATAATTTATATATATATATAAATTATACGCATTATTCGAGAGAGACGACAATTGTATGTACATCCGTTCGCATCCTCTTTAACCCATCCTTGTGTACTGGTTCATCGCTATACTAACTCGTCGATCGTATCATCATAAAAGCGTTTTAGCGTTTACTTTCAATTAATGCCGATATGTGATCAGCGATTTTTAACTTCGTCTACAAGATTGGCTCAAAACAAATCGCGCACAGACGACGAATCTCGGTTCGTGAACAGCTCGGACAGGGATCAGACGAGAATTCGGTGACGGGAAATTACATCTCTGCTACCGTGACCGTGAGAACATTCGTCTGAGCACTCAGCTTGATTAAAACTAGATTGAGATAACCAAAAACAAGAGACAAGGGATTAGGAATCTCGTACAGGAATCTTTCTGTTCCTGCAACCGACTTTTTCATTTGGTCCCTATTCTCGTCAGACAAATTATCAGTTACACCAAAGGGATAACTTTTTCCATGCACTCATCATGTATACGCCGGTCTTTTATTTCAGGATATACTGCGTCGCGGAATTCGTAGAGAACCAGGGTCGTGAAGGAGAGAGAGAGAGAGAGAGAGAGAGAGAGAGAGAAAAATTAACAGTGTGCCGTTCCGCGTTCCCCGCTATAGCGATTGAATTCCCGCGAGAACTCGCTGATGCTAATGCTGATGCTGATATTGCGTCTCGATGCATTTATTCAACAGCGTAGAAAAGATAACGTCCGGTATGAAATGCAAATTGATCTGTATCAGTCATGTAGACATAACATCGATGTATGATAATCGTCCCTACTCCAGCTTGCTAATATCGGCGTCGGTGGTGGTAGCGTACGGGTGAAGACGACGGCGGCGGTGGCGGCGGTGGCGACGGCGGCGACGGCGGCAGCGTCGGCGCTCGGCGTTCGGCCGCTCGGAGGCGTCGGCCGTTTGACTGACGCGTTATCAGTAGTGGTACCGTCGTGAGCGCGAGCAGGTGAAGGCCTTCGTCGCGATAGCTCTGCCCGACGACCTGGTAAGCCTTGTGTTTTGACTGGCATCCCTTCCCCCGCCCTTTTTGCTGCCGCATCGACCCGACTGACGATCGGACAGATGGTGCGCGGAAACCGCGCCGTAATTTTTATCATCCCTTTCTCCGCGTGCGATCACCGCGGCTGGCGGGGGCGACGGCGATGACGGGGACATTTACGATGTTCATTTTGCGGCTGACAAAACGCAGAGAATGGGCTTCCCATTCCCAATGGGCGAGATTCAAATAGAACATCCACGAAGGTGGTAGGAGAGAGAAGAGGATAGAATGGGGCTTTCGGGAGGGCAAGCTATAGCATGTCTTGTGTTTGAGAAATTCGTATTTCGGGAACACGATTTCGCCTACCGGATTCTCTTCACGTTTCGTCTGGTCGATCAATCGCGAAACGCGCGACTCGATCTCGATCTCGATCTCGATCTCGATCACGAAGTGTCCGAATGGCAGCTTCGTTGTGATTTCGACAACGAATGTAACTAATTAATTCAAAAGATGGCGATCTGTAATTACGAAGGTGTACACACATACGTGCGCGCGCGCGCGCGTGGAATGCCCTAAATATTCGGAGGAACGAGCCGGAGAGCGCAGATTATCCCGAGATATGTCGGTGTTTTAATTATTTAACCGCGCTCGTTGCAAGCCTCTTGAAAGCTCGTCCATGATAATTGACCGATCGAAGAATCAGCGGCGAGAGAAAAAACTGAATGTTCGTTAAAGCGATTAATTGCGAACATCGAGGTATGTCGTGTGTGTGTGTGTGTGTACCCGGCGAGAAAATCTCACGGCACGATTCCGTGGTAAGCATTGTAAACAAATGCGCGGCCGAGAGATGCGCGAGGTGCGAAGGTTGGCGGAAGGTTAATTGCTCGGCTCTCCACCGGTCGAACTATGTTTAGCGACAATCTCCTCCAGGAGGATGGTATTCTTCTATTTTTATCTTATCGTGCGCGGGTACTTTTCTCCCTCTCTCGTACTTTTTCTCTCTCTCTCTCTCTCTCTCTCTCTCTCTCTCTCTCGCAATAACGATATCAGTTTCCATCGGCTGCGATCGACTCGTAGACTATAACCCTCTTCAAAGCCCTCGTACGATCCTTCAAGTGGTCGTGATCCGATTCATCCCTAAAATTTAGTCGTTCACGCTCTCTCCCCCGCCCCCCCCCCCTCTCTCTCTCTCTCTCTCCTATTCGTTCACTTTCGATATCTTGAGAGAGGCGTTACCTTGCCGCACGCATCACGCATCACACGACGCTTTTATTGCTATTATTGCAGACGAGTGAAAATTGCGTGCTGATGAGATGCAGTCGCGAGATGCGTGTCCAGGGTCTTTAATGATCCTCGCGTCTCGCGCGAGGCAGCGTCCGCCGCGACGCAAGTCTGTCTCGTTACCGGCAACTCTCCTGCCGGTCTCGACTTGACCTATCGCGTCGCAAGGACGCGATAATTTGTGCGCGGCACACTCGACAGTGTTAAAGAGCTTGTTTGCCATGTGCCTACCGTCGTGGCTGAACGTTGTGTGCGCGCGCGCGTCAAGTAGCAAACATTTGCACATTCAAACGCGTTCTCCACTTTCCTCCGCCTCCTCCTCTTGCTCAGGATGCAACACGTAATCTGATATCCATGACCAGGAGAAGCTATCCGTGACGAGATGTTATCGCGTGATCTGCATGAATCTGCAAGAAGGCTGAGAAATCTTTTCCAACAGACGGCAACAAGAATTTCCTCGATCGCGGACGCGCTCATATCGTGTAGCGATCAATCGCCGCGATCGATCTCGCTTTGCATAACGGACATTTTACATCCTCACGAACCTGAGTCTCGGTGAGACGTGTTGCGCGCAAGCTCGAATTCCCGCAAAAATAACAATGGCCACGAGCGAGCTTGCTCCGCGTGCGCCTCGGGTCAAAAGTTCACGTTAGCTCGCGAGCGATTTCGTATATACAAGCTGCGATCCACTTCCACCTCCGCCGCCGCCGCCGCTACATCCGCGTGCATTCGACAGGCGTTGATGGAGATTGCGTCCTGCAAATTTCAGATTACTAATCGACGTGTGTATGTGCACCGAAATGCAAACTCGCATTCGCATTCCGTGACACGGGCGGCCATGCGCGTGCTGCATCGCAACGCGAGAGTCGTCCGAGCGAGCGACGACTCGGACGAAAAAATCGATACGCATCGCGAAAGCTCCGAAAAGCTGCTCGCTATCCTTGTGCGTAATGTGCGGCACACGCACGCTCCGGATCCGTAAAAGGAAAGCTGGATCGATTCGCCGTGGCCGTTGCGCGACCGCCCGGTCGCTCGCGTGCGTCAGCGAGAGAGAACTCTCGCCGGAAGCTCTCTCCCGGCCCCGAACTGCTTCTCTCCGAAGCTGAGGCTGAAGCTGAAGCCCGAAGTACCGAGAAAATCGCGCGAGAGTCCCGCGATTTCGCGATCCGCCGACCGGCAGCGATATTACACCTCGGCTATTCTCCCTTTGCAGAAGGTCCCCGCCCTTAAAATGGGAACATAGGACGCGCATGTACCAAGGGTCTTGACAACCTCCCTCAAGCCCTGGCATATCTCCGGCCCGCCGACTATCGACGGCCAACGACCAATGAGCACACTCGGGATAAGTACAAACTAACGTTAACGCGATCGCAAGAAAGCTCGCGTTAACGATCAGATCGTTTCCGCAGCTCGCCGATCTTTCGATGGATCGCGCGACGACCGACGGGGAACTTATCGGCGGCAATCAAGGGTATCATCGCCTAATCGTAATTAGCGATTCAATGTAACGCTCGTTGCACTCGCAAGCGAAGACAATCGTAGCTGATTAAAAGAATAGTGTTATCGAATTATACATATATATATATATTAAATAGATATATAATATACATATATATATATATATATATATATATAAATCTCTCTCTATATAAATATATACGAACGAGCTACAAATGGAAAATCACGATCTCCATTATTTGTTGAGCATGGATTATTATTATATATTGTTTAATCACTGATCGCCGGATCGATCGAGTATACTTATATATCGACACACGAGTACCTTGCGAGCGATAGGAACGCTCCCGAAAATTCGGAATCGACGAGAGACATATCTGAGAGTTCTCTATTACTCGAGAGACACACGCACGATATTTTGAGGAGCGCCTGACACTTGGCAGACCTCGCGTGTCGCCGAAAGTTCGACTGAAATTTTAAAATCTGGTCAAGATCAAGAATTCTTCAGTCAGTTCACGAGCACACTGTCGCACACACACACACACACATCCGAGCATCCGATAGTAGAAGAAGAATCGAGGGAATTGCGCAATCCAGTTGAAGCTTTAGGACTCGCACGTCCGAGTGTCTGAGAATCGCGCTGGACCCGAGGACATCAAGAATTCAACATCTGTAGAAAGGACATCCGTGAGAGATTCAAGTCTCTCTCTCTCTTTCTCTCTTTCTAATGACTGACGGAGACGACGATCGAGCGACGCAACGTATTGTTAGGGATCGGAAATAAAAATATCTTGCAGGCTGCAGAGGGACGCGCGCGCTCACGTTGATACGAATGTAAACAGTCGTAGCAGTCGTGACGAAGCGTGTACCGGCGGTGTACAATGTAATTATCGCCTGATTCGCGTCGGCAAGCTCAGCAAATATGAATCTCGAGGTGGAGTTGATCGCTGGGGTGATTAAGGGCGGCCCACCCCCGGCGCACCTACCAGCACCGAGGCTCATCAAAATATTCATCGCCGGCGAGAGGAACGGTGAGTTTGAAATTTCAAGCAAAGTTTACCCGCGGACGAGATAGAGCGAGAGCGAGAGAGAGAGAGAGAGAGAGAGAGCGAGAGAGGGGGGAGAGAAGGCAGGAAAGTTTCCTTTACCAACGTTTAATCGAATTCGTTTGGCGATTGTGCCGGCTAGACTTTCCGGAAGAGCGCAAACAGCTGCTAGAGGTGGTCGGTCCGGAATTGCAATCGATCTACGATGACATAGGAATCGAGGTCAGTGCGCGAATTCATTTGCTTTGACGACTTCGAGCTCGTGATCAGCACCACCACCAACCTGCGACGGCTTGACTTTTGCGCAGGTGCTCCTGGTGGACATGCAATATGGTACCAGCGACGACCCGGACGCCAACCCACGTCTCGCGGAGTTTTTTCTGGAGGAGATCAGCGCATCCCATCGACATTCCAGGGGATGCTTTCTTTTGGTGAGAGACACGTGACGTCCGTTCGTCTCGATGCTCGCCGCTGGTCGATGTCGTGGAATTTTTTTTTCTCACCGGCGTGCGGAATGTCGAAAGTAGCGTGCGACTTTACATATTTTCCGGTTCAACTGCGAAGTAATATTTTATTAACGGCTCATACCATGTCGGCATGAGGCATAACTTCTAACTCACGCTTCTTTTTTCCCTTTATTTTTTGTGCGTGCTATCACCCCATTTTTATCGCTGCGTCATCCTCCTCCTTACCCCCGTCTACATTCGCGACGGAACATGCGTCTGTAACGCAGAGGAATAACTCGTCTTCATTTGTTATCCTTTCAGCTGTTGGCAGGAACAGAATACACCGCAGGATGGGTACCTACGGAGCTGAAGAAGACCACCTTCCAAGCTCTTCACGCGCATTGTGTCATTCTCGAGGATTATTACGAGCACAATGGGCAGTCCTACGTTCTGAAAGCAAACAGGTAACGTTGACGTTTAGAAACTCTTCTCTCTGAGAGCTCTTCATCTTCGACCTACTAACGAGTTGCTTGTAAACAGCGTGGAAACAGCTCAGTGCGAGTGGCAAAAGAATCAAGAGCCGGAGCTGCGTCAAGGACTGAAAACCGCCGCGGAGGCGGCGATCCAGGAGCAACCGGATAATCAAGAACTGAGGTACATACTGAGGAGCACAGCGGAACGGCAGCTGGAATACGGCCTAAGTAAGTGTCGGAATTTCAGATTCTTTGGAGCCTCGAGGATTCCTCAAGAGCCAGCGGCCTGTACCCTTCCTTCTCGTAGACATGAAAAGAGATCGTGAAAAAATAATAAGTAAATTATCAAGATTCTCAGATGAACCGTGAATTGTAAATTAAGAAAAGCCGACAAGTTCTTATTGTTTAATTTGTAGATCAAGTAGATTTCGCTGTCGGCATCTCGAGTAGACTGATGGTGGCTTTTTCTCCTTTATTCTGCGGAAATCGTGAAACTCGTTTTTTTTTTTTTTTTTTTTTTTTTTTCGACGGAGTTTGCGAGCCGTTGCGACACGGGTATACGTAACAATCCATGCGCGTCATTTCCGCAAGTTTGTAAATAAGTAACGGAATACAAATCGGGATATCGGCGCTGCTGTTGCCGCCGCCGCCGCCGCCGCCACCGCCGCCGTCGTCGTCGTCGTCGTCGTCGTCGTCGTCGTCGCTGTTACCGCCTCAGTAGCTGTCAATATTTGATGAATTCCTGACATCGCAGTTGGCATGGCCTATCGAGCCTTGTTCGCCAAAAATAGGAAGATCCCTTCTAGGTCAAGCATCGGGCACGTACCGCTTAAATTATTCCCCGTGCAACCGCGCGCTCTTACGGCTATTCGCCGCAGGCATATAACGCACACTCGCCGTATTGTGCGTTCAAACAAAGAACGTAAAGACTGGAAATCGAAGCGCTTTGTGCAGAACCGCGCCGTTAATTCTCTCTTTCCCGGTCTGGAAATTTAATTGCCGCTCGCAACGGCTTATTCGTGCAATCAGTCAGTCAATCGCTGGATCAGTCGACGAACAATCGTTTATGAATATCGCCATGCGCCTTACGCATTAATTAACTGAAGATCGATGCGCATTGCAGGTATATAAGGTATATAAACGAGTGTATTAATAACGAGCTCTCCGAGAACGAGTTTATTGCAGAGTTTATGCAAAGATAGAATCATCCAGACGGAGAATTAGATAGATAGGGATAGACAGAGAGAAAAAGAGAGGGAGAGAGGGAGAGAGAGAGAGAGAGAGAGAGAGAGAGAGAGAGAATTTGTCAACGATAACGGTAGTAAGATGTTCAATAGCTGGCATTCTGCCAATTTTTGGGCACTCCTGCATAGATTTGTTCAAATATTAAGATGTAAGGGGGAATTTATTAACCCTTACAACCTGGGAAGCCGCTATAGTGGAATCTCATATTTTATCTAAATTTACTCTTTGACATACGTAGAGAAAAGTCCTGATTTAAATATTGTAAAAGTCATTCGAACGTTTACTAGAAGGTTTAATCATCTATTGATTATTTCTTATAATTTATTTCTTTCATTCCACACTCCTATACACCTCAATATTGAATGAAATCTGTAGAAAAAATGTCGGGGTTGCGTTTCACCCTAATTTCGGACTGTTACATGCGTGATGCAACACCGACGATTAATCGACGATGCATTCCCATCAGATCTGGATCAGCAGGGTTTGGGAATAATGGCCGTGATCCGCGAGTGGACGGGCGACGATGCGCCGACGTGTGCACCGAAGGCTGACGAACTCAAGACTCGTGTCGAAACGGTCCTACCTCACGAGAACGTGTTACATTTACCCGTGGAATACTGCAACGGTGGTATCGACGCTGACTACAACAGCCACGACAATTACCTCGGCAAATTCCGCCAGCTCATACTGGATAGGCTCCAGCAGCTGGTGAACATGTCCGTAGAGGTCGACCCGGAGATCAAAAGCCGCAAGAAGATGGTTCAGGAGGTTTACGCCGAGAGTATGGCGCATTTCACGCTCCTCCGACAATTACCATTGGCCGACGAGAGCGACGAGACTGTGGAGCTGGTGAAGCAACTTATCCTTGCAGGTGCGTAGCTCACAGAAACTCGTAACATTTCTCCCGCAGGAATATGCAAACAGAACAATCGTATCCGTAACAAACGTACACCGCAGGCAAGGAGCATAAGCACGGACCCATCCTGATCTACGGGCCCAAGTCGTCCGGCAAGTCATCCATCCTCGCGCGTATCTACCAGGATTCACCCAGCTGGTTCGCAACGCCGACGCTCCGCGTCGTCCGACTGTGCGCCTCGACGCCACGTTCCGCCTATAGTTTGGAGCTCCTTCGCATCCTTTGCCAGCACGTCGGTTTTCTCGCCGGTGACAATGACGGCAATCTGCCGCGCGACGCCTCCTTCGATCCGCTCTATCTCAACAATTGGTTCAGCCTCATTATGCGCCGCGTCGAGGAGCATCCTCTGCCGGATCAGCTAGTCATTCTGTTCGATGATCTCCACCGTTTCCATCCGCTCGAGTGCGACATCGTCGCCGCGCTGTCATGGTTGCCGCTCACGCTTCCCGCGGGCGTCCACTTCGTCGCGACTACTGCATTACCGCCCGAGGGGATGCGTCTGACACCGCTTCAGAAAGATCGTCTGCGCGCCGCCGACGTCCTCGTCGACCTCACCGGGCGCACGTGCATGTCATCGCGTATCGACACGACCCTGGAACATCTGGAGAGTCTAATCGGGCTCGACGCGGCTACGCGGATCGCTTCGGTTCTCGCTTGCACTGAATACGGCCTGTCGGAGACGGAGATACTCGAGCTGATCATGCCGACCGGCGGAGAAGGGCCGTTACTCTTGCAGGAGAGTCAATTCAACTTTGCGACCTGGTGCCTGGTCAGAAGAACGTTCGCGCCGTGGCTCAGGGTGAGCGACACTAGTGTCAGTTAACAAATTGATACGTTGATACGTCGATGATGGTCAACCATGACCAGCGCTGCAATAATACCGCGTCTCATTCATTCACGTAATGTAACCAAAATGGTAACCAACCGAGCGCAACAAATCAAATATGTAACCGATAGAGAGCCAATAAAACGAGTTAACGAATATGTACATCGCGAATTGCGTGGCAGCTAGTGTGCTCAAACTCGCTTTGTCTCCCGCCTCCGACATTTGTCGGATATCCTTGTGTTATCATATCGCAATCTCAACTTCATGAAACACCATTCCAGGTACGAGTGATGAGCGGCCGATTGCTGTTCTCCTGGCGCGGCCAATGCCGCGAGATCGCTCTGAGGAAGTATCTCTCGAATCAAGATATTTCCCGCGGTTACTACGCCGAATTGGCCAGCCTCTTCTTCTCCGAGGACGCTGACGACAGCTCGGACAAATCTGCCGGCAATCCAGCGGCCTCCTCGCCACCCGCCAAGGAAACACCGTTTCAAAGCGCGCCGCGAAGCCAAGATGTCACATACACACTGCGACACGTCGAAGAAGCGTGGTTGCATCTCCTGCGCGCCTCCGACGTCGACAAACTGAAGAAACTGGCCGTCTGCGCGTTCGACTTCCTCCTCGCGGCCGTTCAAATGATCTCCGTCAGCTACCTCCGTTGTGTTCTCGAACACGCGAGGCGGTATCTTCTAGAGCGCGACCTGGAGCTTGTGTATTATGCCGTGAGGAAGTCCAGCGACGTTCTCACCAGGGATCCTCTTCAGCTTGCGGCGCAGCTCATCTGTTGGTTGAGACCGGTCGCCGAGGACGGCGGTGACCTCGTGAGTTTCTTTTGTCATCTATCGATAAGGGATGAACTCCATGTCGTAAACCTGCGGATAGAGAAAATCTGACTCAACCTGCGTCTTCAAGGTTAGTAGAATGGTCATGGCGGCTATGGCTTGGTGCGACGGTTACACCGCGCCTCTGCTTGTGCCCTTGAACGGGTGGCTGCAGCCGCCTCTGCCGTTGCAGATCCGAGCGCTTACATGTCCTCAAGGGGTCAAGCTGATTGAAGCGGCACCATCCGGCCAGCACGTCGTCGTCGTGCCGCCGCAGGGTGATGCTCAGTTGTGGCACGTCATGTCTGGTCAGCTCGTCCATACGTTTAAAGGTAGAGAAAGATAGAGAGGGAAAGAGAGAGAGAGAGAGAGAGAGAGAGAGAGAGAAAGAGAGAGAGAGAGAGAAACATAGCTTAGCTAGAGTAAGTGGGTGAATACTCGGAATGCTTCTCTCATTTATTTCGACCTATTTTTACTTGTTTGTCGTTCACGGAAATTCACGGCATCAGCGTTAATGACGATTATTGCTGTTTAATATTCCGTTTTCTTCTCATTTCAGGACACTCCAGTCCCATCTCATGTTTAGCCGTCACCCATCAGTCTCAGTATTTGCTAACCGGCTCTGAAGACACTTCCATCATCGTATGGGACATGAAAGAACTCGTCATGAAACGCCGGATTTGTGAACACATCGCGCCTGTCCTCACTTTAACCACGGCTCTCAACAACTCGGTCATCGTGAGCGGTGGCGAGGATTCCAGAATCATCGCTACCAGCTTGCTCACCGGCGAGGTGCTGATGAAGGTCGATCATCATCGTGGCCCTGTCACTACCATTCGCGTTAATTCAGCCGGGGAAGTCTTGGTTTCCGGGTCGGCCGACAGCACGGTGTGTCTGTGGTCTTTGGAAAGTTTCACCCTTCTCAACAGCATTGTTCTTCCATCTCCGGTAGCCATGCTGGATGTGTCCGCAGACTCGGTTTTCCTTCTAGCTGCTTGCGAGAATCAGAAGCTCTATTTGAGATCTTTGGCGACGGGCACGGAGATACACACGCTCAGAGGACATCAAGGTCCGGTTAAGAGCCTCTGTTTGGCAAAGGATTGCAGAAGAGCCATTGCGGGAGGCATCGAGGGCAGAGTATCCGTGTTTGATATGCACAGTGGGAGATTGATCAAAACCTTACCCGCTAATCCATCAACGAGCGTCACTTCGGTCAAAGTGAGTGAAACGCGATGGTGATTTTACCGATTCGTATTATTATCCTTATTGTTTCTTCCTTTCGCACTGAGGTGACTGAGAAAGACGACTTTCTCATAACCGGCGGAGGAGGTCGTGTGACATACTGGAGCTTCCGTGGCGAGGAACCACCGCCGAAACCGCAAAAACCTGGCAAACAAGACACTCTACAACCGCACACTGCGCCGATATCCTGCTTGGACATCTCCAGGGACGGTGTCATGGCTGTCACCGGCGGCGTCGACTCTCTGGTTAACCTCTGGCAGCTCAACACTCACGAGTTGTTGTCTACCTTGGAGGGACATATCGCTAGCGTCACGTGCATTGCGTTTTCCGCGTCGGGACTCTTCGTAGCGTCTGGTAGATATCTCCATGAAACCCGTCCCAACGTTCACACCTTCGACGTATCAACTGATAATGACATGAAGATTTATGTACATTCTTCTAGGATCTGAAGACAAGACAGTACGTGTATGGGGCTTAACGCTGGGCCTCGTTGTGGCCACTTTCAGACACCAAGCGCCGATAACTGCTGTCACTGCTATGCTAGACGGCAGGAGAGTAGTCAGTTCGGATCGGGCTGGGACCATTAGAGTCTGGGCGGCAGATAGTGGCACACTGATACAATCTGTTTGCGGACCCGGGCGATGCTTCGCTGTCGCGTCTGACATGAGGTAAAGCACCGGGAAGAGACTCGCGTGGCGGACAACGTGCGAATTCTTTCTACCTCAAGATCCGTGCTTTCTCTCTTTCACTCTCTTCTTCTCTCGTACTCAAAATCGTCTCTCTTCGCATTTTTACATTTCCGAGCTGTAATCTCAAGAGCCATTTGTACTAACACTTCCTCCCAGCTCAATCAATCGATCACTCCAGATACGCGGTGTGCGGATCCGACGATAACCAGGTGCGCATAATCAGCTTGGGCGTCGGTCCCGAAGAGAAGCATCAGGTGTCGCATTCGCAGGACATCACGTGTCTGGTAGCGACGCCGGATTCCCAATATCTGATCACCGGTTCGCGCGACATGAGCCTGAAGGTGTGGCAGTTGGCTGGCGGCAAGCTCTCCCAGGTCTTAGTCGGCCATACCGATCATGTGACTTGCGTGGCGGTCGCGGTGCTCGACAAGTCTATAGTGGTGTCCGGCTCTCGAGACGCTAACTTGATCGTCTGGGACATCAACACCGGCGCTGACTTGCACACTCTCACAGGTCACCTGGGTTACGTGACCTGCGTGCGAATCTCGGGCGATGGCACTCTAGCCGCTTCCGGCAGCGAGGACAAGAGTCTCATTGTCTGGGATACCAAGAAGGGCACTTCGCTCAGTTCCATCATGCTACACGTGCCGGTACTGGGTGTCGAGATATCCACCGATTGTTCGAGAATGGCGGTGCACTTGTTGGAACACAAGTGCATGCCTATTCTCTGTCTACACAATACACCCGCGCAGTATGTCAAACTACCGCCGTACGTGGCGCCGCGAGATCTCAGGCCCCCGGGGCCGAAGCGGCCTGCCAGGCGGTTGTTGAAAAAGGAAGTGTCTTTGGATACTTACACCTGGCAGCGGAAATACGGGCATCTTACGTCAGGTTATCGATCGTCTTTTTTTACATTACCTTAAATTGACTTGACGATCTTGATGTGTTATATCTGTAAAAATTATTTTACACATGCAACACGGTAACAGGATTACTTTGCGTATACCTTCAGGCATTATAGTCTCAAGCGTCGAGGAGCGCCTGAAGCGTCGCTTCAGCGTGAGCGCATCGATGGAAGAAATCAGTAAAGCGGACTTGAGTGGCTCACAATCCGGGCTCGGACCCGAGCAAGCCGCTTTGGCGCAATCCCAGCACTTTGACCAATTAGAGGCGCTTTGGAACAAGCAATCTCCGCCGCCAAGACCACGGGGCCTAGCACGAACATTGACGAAACAAAGCTCGCTTCAAGCTACTCGGATATCGGATTCTGAAGAGGGTGAGCGCGTCCTTTGTTAGGTCACTAGGTGTCTAGTTTCTCAGAAAAACAGATAATGTAGTGACTTTTCTGCTATGATCACTTAGACGAATGGCTTATCTTTTTCTTCTTAACTTAGAGTATGAAAGAGTCAAACATTTTGAGAATGATATGGTATTGCAGATGTACCGGATTAAATGGCAGAATACTTTCCATCGCCGATTCTCGGCTGATCGTCAAGTATATTTAAGCTACAAAATGTCCTTCCATGTCATTCGATGCAATAAATAAAGATATATCAGAGGTATTAGACTAGCAACAACACGCAAGTCTTGATCCTTCATCATATCCGCGACTTTACAGTAGCTTATGTTCATCGATCCAGAGAAAATTCTAGGCTTGTTGAGTTTCCCGTATTCATTTTGCTTTACTTTATGTGTGTTGCCTTAATTAGTAAGGTTTCTAACGTTATTTATACAATATCGGTATCTGTTAGATCATGCATAATTTTTATGTATCTTAATTCATATATATATATATATATATATACTGCATATTCTTTATATATTATACATATAAACGTTAATATTCTCTAGCATTATTCTATTAACTTTTTGCTTGCATGTGTGCGGTTTGATAATATTCCGCGATGATCTTCCACGCTTTCGATGCCATGAAGCCTTTGGGAGGATCTTCGCCATTTTTGGCCAAGCCTGATACATATAAGGAGAAAATAGTGTTAGAAGATTGAAAGTAGCATAGATGTGTGTTTCTCTAAAGAAAAGAAGTAGAAAATAGAATGAGAAATAGGAAATAGGAAAGACATTTACCACGCATTTTGGTGCCGGAAATGAAGACGAAGTCTTGCCGTCGTTCAGCTTCGAAGAAGGACATACTCTTCGTCTTGGTGTCGTAAGCGGCCACCCTGAAGGGAATGATCTCGAGATTTTGCAAACCTGGTGCCATCGAGAGGACACGTGCGCCATGCGTGTCGTCATAGAGATTGCCATCCGGAGTGGAGGACTTGTCAGGATGAGGAACGCCTGCGGGGTCTCTGCCGACGATGTAGAAGTTAGCACCAGCCATCATACGACTTTTGGCATGCCATTGCACCTGAAATGCGTCAATTAGACAAACAGTAACACGTTTATTTATGCGAAGCTCTTAAAACAAAACGGCTAAAAACTAATTCTCGTTATCCGTTTAAGTGGCAGCAAACAGGAGTCTGTCAATCCTCCGTCAAAGCGTCCTTTAATTCTTTTGTACTCACACAGTTACTGTCCGTTACTGTCGTGTCTCAATCATCCCGATTCAATCGGGTCATTCGAAAGAATCGACAGACTCTGGTTTCGCTGTCGCTGTTTAGACTGATAATGAGAATTAACCTTAACCTTAACCTTAACCTTAATCGGCGTTACCTCCGTAGGGCCGGCGTAACACATAGGACTAGGAAAGATAGCGAGAATCGTGTCCTCGTGCAGGACACCTTCCTCGAGAACGGCTTGGTGCTGTCGTATCCTGACAGGCAACGGAACGTCGTCGTCCTTGGTCCAGCCACCAAGAGGATGAAGCAGAAGCACCGGCTTTTTGAAGCCACGCTCCTCGAGGAGGCGTCTTCTGGTATCCTGAAATATACGAAGAAGATTCCCTGACATGTCAGCTAACGAGCGAGCGTTCTCGCAAAGCGACTCGTGAAACAAGATCAGCGCCGAACCTGCATCAGCAACGCGTGCCCGTTGTGTATCGGATTTCGCAGCTGAAAGGCGAAAACCGCATCAGCGCCCATTTCTCGGCACTTGGCCTTGATCTCATTAGGCGTCAGCCTGTAACGATCCAAACCATCGTTCCAGCGAATCTTCTCGAGGACTTCCAAGTCGCCACCGACCAACCAGTCGCCGGACTCCACGATCATTTTCACGTAGGGATGCCTGGGATCATTTGTGCCGAACTGCCGGCAACAACGCTCCTCTTTGCGATGATGGTAAAATTCTGGCTTGCGCAAGACCGCTAGGTCTTTGCCCTGGTACCTGAGAACAAGCGTGTCTAAGCCGGAGCAACGCTCCTTATCGCCGGTACTCACAGCAAGAACGATGGGGATCGACTGATTGATTTGAACGCCCTTCTTGTACAGACAATTGAAGTGCAACGTCTGCGAAAGAACAGAAAAGGTTTGTTTTCTACTGCTGAGGTAGTGTACACTTTTAGGACTTAAAGAGAGGCAGACACATAGTCGAGACGAGGAAAAAAGAAGAAAAGAGAACCAACGCAAGGTAGTGTAGTCAGTTAAGCAGATACTTTCTGAGTCTGTAATAACGTTGTCTGTAACGATCAAATGAAGCCACTCAGCCAAGCAAGCGTGAACCTTACCTGGAGGTACTCATCTTCCCTCATAAATCCTTTCAGAGGCGCCGCCCATCCCTCAGCGAGAATCTGCAGCCACTGCACGTCCACTTGACCGATTTCCAAAACCGAACAAGCGGCAATTTCCCTCCGAATGTCCGCCAGTCGGTCGTCACTCACAAAGAGCTCCTCGAGAGGCCGCGTGAAACCATAGAATTCCGGTATGATTTGTTTGCGCTGGAGAAAGTCGATGATGCGCTCTGTGGATTGCTGAACGCTCGTGTTCTCCGTGTTAACAACGAGGTCAGGCTCGGTCGGCACGTCGTAATTCTGGTCGATGCCCGTGAAACCTTTGATAAGACCTTGACGCGCCTTCTTGTAGAGTCCCTTGATGTCGCGGCTCTCGCACACCTGCAAGGACGCTTCGATGAACACCTCGAAGAAGGGCAAATCGGCTTTCTCGTGGATTTGGCGGGCCATTTCCCGGTCCGCTGCGAATGGCGACACGAAGCTGCAGAGGGCGATTACGCCGCCGTCGGCGAAGAGTCGCGCGACCTCGGCGACGCGACGCACATTTTCCTCGCGGTCCTCCTTGCTGAAGCCGAGATTGCAGTTCAGGCCGGTGCGTATGTTGTCGCCGTCCAGACTGTACGCGGGGATTCCCTGCTCGAACAACCAGGAAGCCAGTAAATATCGAGTAATAATAATGTTGGATCGATGTTACATAATAGTTATAATTTGCCGCTCGATAAAATAACCGTTATGTCGGAAGAATCGGAAGAACGTTCCAGACAGCAAAAATATCTAGAAGACATCTTAGTGATGTCTTGTGACGATGTTTCTGCTATTTGATATATACTAAAGATTCTTTCTTCAGCTAACGTGGCGAATAGAGAATGATGAAAGCAACAGCATCGTCGTAACATACTCGAGAAACGAGGTACTCCTCGAGCTGGAAGGAAATGGAGGTCTTTCCGGCACCCGACAACCCGGTCATCCAGATCGTGCATCCGCGAAATCCTTCGACAGAGCCGATCGCTTGACCTCGTTTTTTCCTGGACACGTGGTGCGCTTGCGACGTCACATTCGTTGCTACCGTCTGCCCCTGCATTTAAACATAGTTTTCTATTTCAGCGTCGTAACTCACCCGACTTATCCGTTAATTTGACGACGTAGCGAAACGGTAAACGTCGAAATCTCGCCTGTTAACTTGTAATTCGTTCTCACGCAGGATGTAATCGGATATATTATCCGGTCATGACAAAGTTACACTTTGCTGCCTCACCTCTCTCGGCGTATTCGAAATGCCCAAAATCGGTTGTGCGAAGATCCCCATTTCGTTTCAGTCACTCTCCGTTCAGTTCAGCTCGGCTCTCAGTTGACCGATGATTGTCTGGCTCTCTTGTTGCGATAGCATCAACTGTCGTCATGTAATTGCGATTCATTCATCGTGCACATCGTACATGAGCGTTTATCTCGATCATTCCGCGATATAAAAACGTGATAAGAGGAAATTGTTAATCTTTATATCCGCCGTGTATGTGTTGTAGTTGATGGATCAACTTGCGCAACCGGAGCGCGCGATGTACTGCGGAGAACTGATCTCTCGCGCCACGTTAAATGCGCGTGAAAGTACGAAGAAAGTTACTTTCATCGTCACAAATTTCCGGAAGACCTCGAGCTCGTGCCTATTGCAATATGAGCGCACACATTCACAGAGAAACATGTAAATTCCATTTATAAGTATGATATATATACTTATCGTATTTTATGTTACGTCAGAATTGCTGGACAAACACGTGCCGAATAAGCAAGTTCATTGTTTCGTCGTTATTTTCAAAAATATAAGAGATAATTGTTATCTTCGTTTTTTAATCCTCTCGTACGTAAGTAACTACGATACTTATCTGCAAAAGACGACGTTCAATATTAAATGGTTTGGAATTCGAAATGCCACAAGAGTCACGTTTAGTAGAATAAAATTGTGAACATTCGCAAAATATTGGAGCGACTTTAGGAGACGAAGATGTCAAACGAACGCATGTGGCTTCGTGAAAGAATGTTTTTTCGTGTCTGAAATATATTTTGTACAATCTCTTCTTTACAATATTTATGGATTTGTAATCTTATCGATTTATCCTCGAAAGCAATCAGATAGACAGACATGTTATCAATAATATGCACGCATTCAAAGTATATCTTATGATACCATTGAAGCGGCATAACATGTTTATAATACGCTTGCTGTAAGAAATACGTATTTATTATTTCAGACTTTCTGGAAAGTTATCGTGTTCGCTAAGATAATCTAAAAAGGTAATATAACGTTAGATAACATTAAAAAGAAATAATTATTTAATAACATACTCATATAGCACCCACACACACACACACACACATATACACATAATATAAACCTTTTTATTCCATACACGCAAATATCTCGAAAAGGAGAATTTTCTTTTTTCAAGAAAATGATTTAGACAAAAATTTTGACTTCGAAGGGGAAAAATGATGATATTATCAATTTAATTCTAGATAGCGTCACTTTAGAGATTTCATCATTTTTTTTTTTAATAGAAATCTATGTTTTTATTTCTTTATCAACGGCATCTTGATGGCGCTTGTTTAGTCGTTTCAGCATTGGGGCTTACGAGAATACTAAAAAATATTCTATACCATTCTTATGTTGATAAATATGTTAATATGGAAGATGAAGTGTCTGCATATCATTTTCAACAGATTCTCGGTAGCATTTATTTAACTATCTGGCCGTTGAGAATTAGTAAATAACCAAAACATTCCTCTCTTAAACTGTAAATGTGATACACAGCAGATTTGATTTGAATTTCAAAATGTGCTCGCGATGCATCGTATTGCGATTTATTTCGCGGTCGATCTTATCAATTCAGAAAAATTAACATATAGGTATTCATAGTTGGATCTTATATATTTAAGACCGTTTTAAGGTTATCTTCAGATACTGTATAAATTATTTCATTGGCTGTAGGGTATCTGAAGATGAACTTAAAACGATTTTAAATATAAAACTTGATTATGAATTCCGGCCTTAAAGCTTGTATGATTGGGAAAGTTTTCTGTTTCTTTTCGAAGATAATTGAAAATTTTCCGATCGTAAAGCATTAAGCAGGTTAATATAAGAATGTGTGAACTCACCTTTATAAGATATCACTGGGAAAGAGCGCCATTTTAATGTTAAATAACGCCTAAGGTATTACGCGAAAGAAAGGTACGTACATATAATTATATGCATTTATGTCAAAATAGCACGCTGAATTTTTGCAAGTTTAATATTCAACTTAATCTAATTTTCTTTTGCAATGATTTTTATGATGACTTTTAGTTTTCTATCATAAATAGTCGGTGATTATACAGAACACCCACTCACCTCCGATATCGACGAAAAAATATTTAATCGACGCGTCTTTGCAAGAGAAACAACTTTTCTATTTGAAAAAATCATCGCTCTGCCTTGTGGAGCGAGATGTAAATTGTTAAATTTGATAACAATTTAGGTTAGGAAATCTGTCACGGAGGCGACAGATAAGCAAGATTCCGGATGGGTTTGCAACTTTCCACGCGCAACGAGGGCGGTGCCCCCTTGCACCCCCCCGTGTGTGTACATATGTTGACACATTTTTATTTATTAAACATATGAATTTGTAGCTCATGTATCAGTGGTTATTAAAAAAAAAAATAACCACTAATATATGAGCTAAAAATTTATATGTTTAATAAATGAAAATGTCTGAAACTGAATATGGACAGACACACACACACACATACATACAGGGGGTGCAAGGGGAGCTTTCGGCCCCCCTCCCGCACCCACCCCATCCTCGTTGCGCGTGGAAAGTTGCAAACCTATCCGGAATCTTGCTTCGCATTAAAAAATGTCATTTATCCATAACTTTTTAATAAACAATGACAAAAACCTATAATAGGTTAATCAATAAGATATCCTCAATAACGTCAAAATTAAAGTGATTGGAACTGACTCCCCTATTCTAAATAATTACTTTTTCTGTATCCATTTTTAGTATATTGTACTCATCTTTTTAGTAAGGCGAAGGATTTAAAAGAAAATAAGAGAAGTGGCAGACATAGTAAGCTGAAATAGTAAATGAGATAATGTATAAAATGTAAATGAGATAATGTAAATGTATAAATGTAAATGAGATAATGTATAAAAATGACAGAGAAATTAAAATAGATATATAGAATATATTTGAAATAAGATGAACAGTTTAAATATATATAAAAGTATAAATATAAAATATATAAATATAAAACTAATAGATTTTTTAATTCAGCATTGTGTTGGCAGCTATAACTAAGTTTCGAAAATATGGCAATAATATTAATATAAAAAACATTAATGTATATAGAAAATGTTACTAAAATATGTATATAAGAAACGTGTTTATGTAGTGCTGGTACATGGCTCGTCGGATGTTTCTGGCTGATTCTCGGAAGTGGATATTGGAGGATATTCCGCGATGACATCAAAGAAGTTTTCAATTCGTTCCAAGCGGCTATAGGCGCGTTTGAAAAGAAATTCGCACAAATATCCTAAGGCATGATATTCTCTAGTACCATATCTTGGAATATTTCCACGAACTTCTCTCCAAACACACTCTATATGTTGTGTATGTGCACCTGCAAATGAAAAAGTTTTTTATACAACACACGTTTTGTTTATTCAAATATATATATATATTAATAATTTCAAATATATATTAATTAATGAAATATTTCTCACCACTTTCAGTATCGACAAAGTTATAAGAGTGGTTTACAGTCAGATGTTGGAAGCTTTCATTGCTTAAGCAATTATAAGACTTCCAACAATCTGATATAATAGTTGTTCCTGGCAAAATCCACTCTTTGACACATGCCAAGAGTGTCTCTACCGTCCGATCCTGCATGGGAATGATGAAAATCTTCTTCGTGTCTCGTTTATACCTTCCAAAAATCCAAAGACCTCGCAAAAGTCGACCACGATTGTATTTCCTTTTGCCAATTTTTGCTTCATCGATTTCGACTATGCGTCCTGGGCCACCAAGCTTCTAACTTGCTTGTCAGCCCAGAATACACAGACCTGTAAAAATTAATATTATTAATGTTTTGTTACACACATCTTAAAATGTTTGAATTAATATATGAAGATATTGAACCAGTCAACAATCCTGGGTGTCATCTTGACGTGAAAATTTTAACATTAAAAAACATACAACAATTTTGCATACTGTTGCCACGTCAAGATTACTGTCCCCGAACCATGTACCTGCTTTCGCACTTTTATCTGTATCGCACTGTTTTAATACACGTTTCTTATGTACATTTTTTACATAGTACCGTTTTCTACATCGATATATTAATCTTTCTTCATTTAGATTAATATCATTGTCACATTTTGCACACTTAATTGTAGCTGCCAACACACCATGCTGAATTAAAAAATCTATTAGCTTCGCATTACATTCACTCAAATGTCCAAATTGTAAGGAGCTTAACATTGTGCTGAGCTGAATAATATTAATGTTACTACAATTATGTAGCACTTCATTTGTTTTTGCATCGTACATTTCAAATTTCGTGCACTCAAGCATGCGCACGTAGCCACTGAACATGCACGTGACCACAGAGCATGCACATAACTGATCTGTTCTTTTTAGCTGCACTGCGGAACTAGTGCAATAAGTTAGAATGAGACAACTATATTTTTTCTCACTTTAACTTATTGCACCAGTTCAGTAGTGCAGCTGAAAAGAACAGACCAAACATCGCGGGACATGTATCTGTCGAAGCATTTTGTCAATGTAACAGATTTTCTAACCTAAATTGCCGTTAACTTTAACAATTAATATCTCGCTCCACAAGACAGAGCGACAATTTTTTCAAATAGAAAAGTTGTTTCTCTTGCAAAAACGCGTTGATTAAATATTTTTTCATCGATATCGGAGGTGAGGGGGGTATTCTGTATAATTACCAAAATAGTCATCTTACTAATGAATATTTTATCAAAAAATATTCAAATAGCATTAATGTAGAAGAGATATTTATATTAAGAGAGAATTATAGTTATTAATAATAATAATAATAATAATATTGCGATGTTACTAATATTATTATGGCATTATAGGTGATAAGGATATAATTGATAAGCATACATCATCCTGCAAGTACACTAGAGAAATGGATCTTGGAATGGACTATGTCGGAAGCCACATGGCCAGACTCATTAGGAAGAAACAAGATGCTATAACAGACAATAATCTCCGACAATTGATGGAAGTCGCGAAAACCCTTGGTGACATATATTTTGAGAAAGAGCAACCAGAGAAGGCTTTGCAGGAATATAAATTACAACTATGTGTTTGTGGAGATCTCAAAGAAGAGTTAAGCTGTGCAATAGCACACAGAATGATAGGAGAAGTTCATGTGACCTTGGGAGATTACAAACAAGCTCTGATACATCAAAATCTGTACTTGGAAGGTGCCAAGAATATGAAGAACCTAATAGAAGAGCAACGTGCGTTTGCCACTTTAGGACGGACTCATTTCTGTCTAGCTGAGAGCCTACTGGATCAACCACTGCAACGGGACGAGGCTTTAGCGAATGCAAAAACTGCTTACGTAAAGAGCATGGAGCTGTGTGACCAATTAACAAGTACAGATGTCAAGTTGGACGAAAGAACACTGATGCGGGCGAGATTGCTGCTGAATCTAGGGCTAACGCTGGAAGCGCAGAAGGAGACACAGCAGGCGATTGATCTGATCAAGCAAGCCACTGAACTGTGCGTATCTAACAATTTTCAAGAAGACCTGCACCGAGCATGCATCTCTTTGGCAGGCATATACGAGCGGCAAGGCGATCTCGAACTGGCATTGAACTATATCGAGACCGCGACTGCGGTGAACGACGTGTATCTGAAAGCCAAAGCGAAGCTGATCAAGGCCGAAACGCTCATGCAGTCAGGCCAATGGATGAGAACGCGCAAAGTGCTAGTCTCCTTGTACGTGGGTAGGCATAGTGGACTGCCGAAGAACATCATTCGTCAAGCGGAGAAGTACTTGAGAATCGTCGTGACCCTGTGCCGAACGGAGAACAGCCTCCTCGTCGAGAAGGATGCACGAGTCAAGCAGAAGCTGTACGAGACGTTGGGCGACGCAGCAGTGGCCGCGCAGTGTTTCAACAAAGGCGTTGAATATTACCAGCACATGCTGACTTACGCAGAGGAAACGGGCGAACAGATAGACGTCGCCCTGACGAGCTTGGCGCAAACGCTCAAGGATGCGGGCCGATGCGAGGAAGCGCTACCCTTCGCACGACGGGAATACCAGTTCAATGCCAACAACCCGCGAGAACGATGCCAATCGGCGCTCTTCTTGGCGGACCTACTGGCGACGACCAACAACGGCGGCGACCTAACGGCGGAGATCCAGGAGTTGTGCACTGAGGCGTTGCGCTCGGCGGAGAAGTGCAACGACGCGGAGCTGCGGAAGTCCATTGCGAAGGAGGTCGTCGCTTACCTGGAGAATATAGGCCGATTTGACGAGGCGGAGAACGTACGACAGACGGTAGGATTGACGGCGACGGAGGCGTCGAGCGACACAGAAAGCGAAGGGAGAGATGAGAGCGACAAGATTGGCGCGGACATCTGCCTGGAGGACTTGTCCGACGTAGAAGCTGAAGAGAAGAAAGTAATAACGACAAGCAAGGCTTGCCAAAGGAGAAGGAAACAGCGAGCGCCAGCGATCAAGCGAAACAAATTGGGCGAGACGCGGTTGCACAGAGCGTGCATCAAAGGCGACGTCAACGCCGTTGAGAAACTCTTGTCATCCGGCCACTCAATGAACGTCAGAGATCACTGCGGATGGTCGCCGCTTCACGAAGCCGCGAATCATGGCCACGTGAAGGTCGTGGAAATGCTGCTGAAACACGGTGCCAACGTGAACGACCCGGGCGGCGCATCCTGCGGAGGCATTACGCCGCTCCACGACGCCGCGTGCTGCGGACATTTCTCTGTGATGCAGCTGCTGATGCAATACAACGCGAACCTGACGCTCAAGACCCACGCCGGCGACACGGTGTTGGATTACCTGGAGAGCTGGAAGAAGCGTGTGAAAGCCAATCTGAGTCCCGAAGACCTGGTAGAGTACGAGACGATGCACAAGAAGCTCTCCGCTGTGATCGTCACGTCAGAGAGAAGGAGGAGAAGTCCCGAATGTTTGTGGACGTCGGACAAGAAGCTCGTGCAGCCCGAGGTCCAGAAGATATCACCTGGTGAGGATTACAAAAGAACGATAGCCAGTTTGAGGACCTTCAACAAAACCATCAAGATCAACGCAGAGTCCAGCAAGAGTGCCAACAAGATGTGCACGCCTCTAATCAACGAGGAGCAGGTTCTCATTGACGATTGGCTCGAAGACGACATCACAGTCGAGAGCACAGTTAAGAAGAGATCCACGTCGACTAGACACGTCGCCGCGAAGAAGAGAAAGTCCTTCACTGGTGACAGTGAAGAAAGCATCTCGAAGAGACTGAAGGGATTGAACAGTACCGTCGAAAGCAAGGAGGATCTCGGCAACATGAGCGACGAGAGTTTTGATAGCATGAGCGGCGAGAGTTCCGGTAGCATAAGCGACGAGAGTTCCGGCAGCAAGAACGACGGGAGTAACGGCAGGATTACAATGGTTGAAATACATAAGCAGCAGACCAAGAAGAAACGACAAGCGTCTCTGTTGTCGAATGGGTTTACCATATCTCGTACACCATCCCCGATGTACGACGACGACGACGACGACGACGACGACGACGACGACTCGCAGTCATCCCAGCACACATTACCGAGCTCAGAGCGATACAGTAAAGAACAAATATGGCTGAAGATGCTCGTGAAAGACGAATTGCTCACTTTCGACGTAGACATTTGCGAAAACAAGGAAGAGTTGCTGACGCGCATTGTGAATACGGCCGAATGCGAGTTTTTCAACGAGACCGGTTGCGTAGCGAAATTAACGTTGCAGCCGTTAAATGGTAATGTCGAGACAAAGGAAAGTATGTTGAAAACTATAAAAAAGGCCCCTAGATTGGAATGCGAGATAATCGAACTACAAGTTCCACCCATCCACGAGCGGTACAAAACTCTATGCTGCATCAGGAAAGCAACTCCCTGCGAGGACACGCTTAAAGGTCTCAAATCCTGTGAAAATACGTCCTCGTTTCGTGCGAAACTTGACGGCATGCTCGAGAAGTCGCTTGAACCGTTACTGAAGACTCTGAAATATGAAACGAACCTCAAACTGTTACAGTTGTCAGGCATCGATTTTTCGAAATTTGAGATAGGGGCTTTGCAACAGTGCCTTTCGAATCTCTCGTCTCTGCAAGAACTCTACTTAAAAGGCTGCAACATCCATTACGGTTATTTGCGCGAAATACGTACGTTGCCGTCTCAGTTGCGAGTCTTAGACTTGAGTTACAATCCGTTGAGCTCGAAGAGTCACAAAACATTGCAGAAATTAATCGCACCTCTAAGATATCTGCAAACTCTCGACTTGTGTTATTGCGAACTGGAAGAATTTCTCTTGCCGCTTGACAGTCCCAATCTGACGAGTGTCGACATTTCGTGGAATAAATTAAGCTGCGAATCGATAACTTCTTTCTTGGACAAGCAACTGTTTGAGTTGAAATTATCTAATACTTTGTCTTCTCACAGTCATCTCACCTCTTGTCTAGATGGACTGAACACGGTTCTATCACTGAACTTAGAATCGCTGGAACTTTCGTTCTGTGACATAAAAGATTCCGATGTAGAGTATATTTTAACACAACTGCCTAGATTGTCAAGACTGGAATTAAGGGGGAACAAGAATGTGACTGTGTCGTCCGCAAATATGTTACTGAGTCGTAATCCCACGTTAGCTTATATCGATATTAGTGGTTGCGACAATATAGCGAGTATTCCGGAAATAGGAGTAGTTATAGGAAATCCTAAAATTTGTACATTCCTCGCTAGCATAGAGTCTAAGTTTTGTGACTCTTGGCTTAAACTGTGGCGTGGCATAGCTACCGTAATAAAACTACCTCATAACTTCACAATTTTCAAACCAATATAACTTTTTATAAAAATTTACAGAAAATTCTCAAAGCCTAATTTACTTTTGATACACAAAAATATTTTTATTTATATAACTAATATTGTGTTTATAATCTGTATTATCTGAGATGCAAAAAGAATAAATTTTATTACAATATTTGTAGACAAATTTTTAAAACAAAATCACACATACACACATCTTGTATTAAACAAAATTCATAAAGCAATGTACTATTCCAACATGAGTCATATTTTTAACGGATTAAACTGGCTTGTAAATTGTAAAAAAAAACACAAGTGATAGTAAAAAAAATATATAAAAGATCTTTCTAAAATAAATCCCACAATTTGAGATGAATTATATATAATGATAGACATAACTTCATAAAACTTACAAGACTTTGTTATCTTAGATCAAAGGCATAACATTTATTGCCAATTTTGCATTGTATCTCATTGACGTTTAAATAATTATCCTCTGAATTTTCTGCGAGAAATACATTCAAACTGTGAGTGAGAGATGGCAAGATTTTCTTCAAGCATATTCGTTGGTCTCCAAGACACCAGAAGAAACTAATATGGTATGAAGTATCCTGTACATATAAAAAACACAAAATTTATAATCTAAGTATGAATTTAACAAATTTCATTGGTGTTAATTTTTATGAAATATCTGGTTTATGTTAACGATACTAGACAAGATACAATTTAATGTACCTTATAATACAATGGTAGTTGATATTCAGCTAATAAATTATCAAGAGCCTCTATTAAACACTTTAAAGTTCCATCATCATTCTGACAATAAATTCCAAGAAATGTGCGAGTTTTCTCTTCATTACAATATACTCTGATATCGGTAAGTTGTACAATAAATGGACTGAATTTACGACATAGTAGCTTCAGGTTTTCTGTAAATGATTCAATCCAATGGTATTTCAGGACCAAAGTACGACTAAGACTAATATGAAGCTTAGAAATAACATCGCCTTTGACCGGCAGATCTTTCAATACTGAATTCAACCAAGTACGTAGACAATCGCTGGCTGCATCTAAAATTGAAATGTTTTAATTTTATATCGTTATAAACGATCCAACCAATTGTATCAACTAAAGAAGGTCTTTTTAACTTTAACCAAATTAAGATTGCTTTAATAAGTATTGTTCATGTTTCCCGATGTACAAGTCAATGTCAAATTCAAACTTGGAATTAAAGCACTTACAGTTTATGTAAACCAACGTTGCCCAATTACCACGTTCGTGTTTGAAGCTTCGTATTCGTCCGTCATGATTCAACGGATCATCGATTATTTCTTCATGATGTGTGACGCCTTTCCACGATAAGATACTTTCAGGTAAAGCCAGCCTGTATTATTTATTAAAAATGTGTATTTTAATTGTCCAAGAGATATTACGTTCAATATTATATGCATGTAGTTGAACAAGCAATATAACCTATCTACTTGTTAATAATTTTTGCAGTATCTTCCTTTTTTTCTTCTTCCTGTCTATCCTCGTCACTGTCAGAGGTATAAGTTTGTATTAAGTGTAATCCGGCCATATCTCTCATCACTTTTATACCCGATATTTCAAATATTAACTATAAAATGTGTTAGAATTTCAGATACCGGCTAACAAACAAATCTCAAATTGACTTTGGGGACCTCGTACAGCAAAAGCGCGAAACTTCACAATGAGAATTTTTTAATCACTCATATCATATCTATATATTCTTATATTATGGTTAATGAACATTCAATTTTACAAATAAAAACGAAAATTGTGCACAATAAATAAACTTCGTTAATTCCGTATCAAACTACTGACTGAAAGTCAACCCAAAGGCCAACTTTTAGTGAATCAATCACAAAGATGTCGACTGACTGGATTGGTCAACTTGAAAAATAGATTGGAGTCTAAACGCAAATTGGTTGATCCAGTCATCGCCTCATTACGATTGGTCCATTGGTTAAAAGTTGTCAATCGTAAATTGAATCGACTTTCACAGTTGATGATTTAAAAGGGTTTTATGCCTCAATGGCGTTCAAATTCTTTTTCAAACGGGGTATCGTTAGGTCTCTCGAGAGAAAAGAATATAAGGATTATTGTGAATAAATACAGGATTTTTTATACGAGAGAAATAGCGCAAGTTATTGATAACATGGCAAATAATTTTGTTGGTTACGTCTGCAGCCAACTTTTTGTCCGAATAATATACTTTCGATGATGTTGCATCAATGCAATATTTTGTACAATAAAGTTATATCAGTAAAATTATGGCTGATATGGCAGCTGTTTTTTTGGGATACACATGCAACAATTTTCATTAGTTATTTGGAGAAGAGAAAAATGAGCGACGAGTATTATGTCAATTTATTAGAATAATTAACGAACTCAAAAGAAAAATTTGACTTGACAAAAAATGCTTTTCATCAGACCAACACCTGCATATCTGTGGAAAAAAAATGTTTTGCCCAAAAATATTTCATTCCTTCATTACATCAGGTATTTCTTGAATCATCCTTTGATCCGTACATAACACAATACAATAATTATAATATTCTCTGTAATTTATATTGGGGCGGTTATACTCAATATTTTTGGATAATGTTTTTGAGAAATTATTCATCAGGCTTTTTTTCTTTAATGCGTTTGTACATTTTGAGTTGGGCTACTAATAATTTCAAGGAAGTAAGAGCTTCGTCTCTTCGTCTTAAACGTTGTTGCAATACTCTTACGTCTCTCTTAAGTTTTGACTTGTCAGGTGACACAGGTAAATACCGATTTTCAACTTGTACTGCAGCATTAATTTTGCGTACCTATAACGCAAATAACCATTTAAATATTATTTGTTATAATCAGTCATGTCACATTCATGTCAAATGAACAATAAATAATAAATAGGAAATTATGAATAATGTACCGTTCTTAAATCTGGAATATTCTTAGGGCACTTGATACATCTAGCGTCGTTACAGAAACTTATGGGCTGACCACTATCAACAAGTTGCTGCGATGAACTTAAATTTGTTTCATTTGTCTATAAAACAGATAAATATATATTATGTAATCATACATGTTTTAAATATTTATAACAAACATTAAGAAATACAATACAAAAAATATATTGCGGAATTATTAGTACTATCAGTACTACTTACAGAACTATCAGTATCATCATCAGGTTCATCTGAACTTTTAAAAATAGTAGGTACAGCATCACTTTTAAGTTTCCTGCGAACGAGGCAACCTATTTCATAACAATGCTTTTTGAAATGTTTACTACAAATGTGAGAATTCTTTGTCCATTTCGGCAATAAATGTTTGGGAATGTTCTTAAGCCACTTTGCAAGAAGTTCCTCATTTGTAGTAGGCATTCTAAATGAAAGAAATCGTTTTATATGAGATATCACAGAGGTTAAGTTATTTTATATTTGATTTGTTTATCCTACCTATGAAATCCAATATCCATTAATGGATTCCATATATTTTTACAGTTTTTTAAAGCGCAATATTTCACCATTGTTATTATAATTATAATAGATCAGATTTTAAATAAAACGTTTTAAGCAAATTTATAATTCTTTATACAAATTTTACTAACAACAATAAGTTATATCGGACCTAACTGCAACATGGAATCGAAATTGTCTCGCTTGTCATTGTTCAACATCCAAGTTCAACATACATGCTGATTTACAGCAGAGGAAATAGTAGATCTGTTCTTTTTCGCTGCACTGCTGCACTGGTGCAATAAGTTAGAGTGAAACAAATATATATTTGTCTCACTCTGACTTATTGCATCAGTGCAGCAGTGCAGCGAAAAAGAACAGGCCTATGGATGCTTTTCAACAAGCAGCACAGTGGATTAGGTAACGCAAGATAATATGCAACCAATAAAAGAACTTTATGTTCCTTGTTGGAAATCACCCAATACAGGGCATCACTGGTCGATATTCCTCTCTATATTGTAGTATCGATGGTTAAAGGATATTCGCCATTTTGATTTGTTTCAACGCCCGGGCATTCTCTCGATTCTCCACATCTTCGCCGGTTAGTCGTGTTTCTGTTGATCAATCGCGGCACTTAATTTCTTAAAATGGCGCAGAACAAATTCAACGATCTCGCATCGCGTTTTGGCAAGGGCACGAATGGCGTGCCTTTGAGCGTGAAGGTCCTCGCTGCTGCTGGCGTAGCGGTCTACGGCGTTTCCAAGGCCATGTATACAGGTTAACTGCAATTTTATTCACATTTTTAGTGAACGTTGCAATAATTATATGATTGGTCTGTTCTTTGTAGCTGCATTGCTGAACTGGTGCAGTAAGCTAGAGTGAGAAAACCTATATTTGTCTCACTTTAACTTATTGCACCAATTCAACAGTGCAGCTACAAAGAACAGATCAGATATTCTCCGGGTTTCGTCACTCGTCCCGGATAACTGACAACTTTAAACGCCAATTTAACTAAATTACACGAGAATGTCTTTAGAATATATCTATGATGCTTTCTTCATGATGCTTTTCCCTTTAATTTCCTTTCTAGCGTTACCACATGTATCTTTGGTTATGTAATTTATGGTGTAACTGATATAATTAATTTCGTAAATTTTTCATGTTTAATATTGCTCTTTATTAATTTAGCTTTAGTTTCTTATTAATTTAAGGTAGCGGCAGACTGATTTTGATTAAATTTCAAGTGTAATATTTTTTATTTTTTCAACAAGTCTTGATAAAAAATTGTAATATTATTTGAGAATATATTAACAATACTAGACAAAACTTTTAAATTCTTATAATTCTCATAATTGGACAAAGTTTAAATTTATACTATGCAAATTTCAGTGGAAGCTGGACACAGAGCAATCATATTCTCCAGATTGGGAGGCATTCAGAAGGATATTATGACTGAAGGCTTACACTTTCGTGTACCATGGTTTCATTATCCAATAATTTATGATATTAGAAGTAGACCCAGGAAGATTTCTTCACCTACAGGGTCTAAGGATTTACAGATGGTCAATATTTCATTACGTGTACTCTCACGTCCTGAAGCTTCTACATTGCCAGTCATGTATAGACAGCTTGGTCTTGATTATGATGAAAAGGTTGATAATGACTAAATGAATAATATATAAAAATAATTTTTCTGAAATTATATGAAATCAGCTATATATATGTTAAAATATGAATATAAGTCATACAAAGATGCATTAATTTACAAATTTATAAAACTGGATTATATTTTAAAATACTTGAAATTAATCTTAAAACTGATCTTTGACAAACTTTGATATACAATTATGATTTTGAAATTAAATGAAGTATAATAAGTTTAGATTCGCTTACTTCAGGTATTGCCAAGCATCTGCAATGAGGTGCTGAAATCTGTAGTTGCAAAATTTAATGCTTCGCAATTAATCACACAAAGACAGCAAGTATCCAATATGGTGCGCAAAGAGTTGACAGAGCGTGCCCGAGACTTCAATATTGTTCTGGATGATGTTTCGATAACAGAGCTTAGTTTTGGCAAAGAATATACTGCTGCGGTCGAATCTAAACAGGTGGCGCAGCAAGAAGCCCAACGAGCGGCTTTTGTAGTAGAAAGAGCCAAGCAAGAGCGACAGCAAAAGATTGTACAGGCCGAAGGAGAAGCAGAAGCAGCCAAGATGATATCCTTTGTTTAAATTACAATTTGTCAAGCTAATGAGTTATTACTATTGATTAACTGGTTGCAATTTATTAACTGAAAAAAAAATTGACTCTGACAAGTACAAGCAAAAAGTATAGTTGAAATTGATTTTAACGACGTTTAGTTGCCGCGACATGTGTAGTTAAAATCAATAATTGAAGGATTTTTCGAGCGAGAGAATAATTGAAGTAATAACTCATAGCTAAACATGTAACGGTCGGTCACTCGAAGCTTCTTATCAAATTGTAATTACCTTAACTGCAATGCACCTTGGTGTAGCTGTTGGTCAGAATCCTGGATATCTGAAACTACGCAAGTTACGAGCTGCGCAGAGTATCTCTCGGACGGTGAGTACTCTGTGATAAAACGTCGTCAATACGAATTTGCTATTGAACATCGTATGAATGTAAAAAATGCTACGAAATTCATGTGATATGTCATTTATTCCTATGATAAATGTTTCGTAACGGATTTCTAAAAGAATCTTGCACTGTTAATATTTACCTTATTTTAGATTGCCAACTCCCAGAATAGAGTGTATCTCAGTGGCAACAGTTTGATGTTGAACATCCAAGATCCCGCCTTTGACGAGGGTTCGGACAAGTTGAAAAGTAAGAAGTAAAAAATTGTGGAAGGCTGTATTCTTCTCTTTTTTTATTACTTTTTTAAGTTAAACTTTAAGGACGGCATATTGTTATGTCACAATTATATCGATTGTTATGTCAATTATATCAAAACAAGGTGAATAAGATTTATTCATAGGTATTTTTTCGAACCCATGAATTATATGTAAATATACATACATGCATATATATTGTACATGATATGTATGTGCGTGTATGCGTGTTCCTGTTATATACTGTGTACCGTGTTCTCCTCCTCGCTATCCTCTATTATGCTCGCTCGCAGATATTCGTTCTCATTATTGATTGTCATTATTCATCCAGGATAAAATAGAAAGCTATGTTGGCATATACATTTTTTTTGTTTAACATGTTATAACGAGTTCATAATCATAAGTTACAAGATCAGATAACATAAACTAGATAACTAAATCAGTTCATTTAATTAAACACAGAGGGAAGACATAGACGTATAGTTTTCAAGTCAAATCGAGTTTTGCAAATATATTTTATTGGGGACACTCGTGCAAGAAAATAATATTTCTACGTTCTCGATTTTTCTTTCTCATAAAGAAAAATACCTTTTGATCTCTGTCGTAATGAATAGATTGTGTCATGATCATGATGGTATCTCAGATAATGTCGATAGAAATCTCTGTGATGGATATTTTGAGCTTGTTGCGGTAGGCTACATATGGATATTTGTAATTGCTTATGGGTAGATGCCCAACACTGGCTTTTTCAGGTCACGAAGGCGTGAGCTGGAAGAGTTGGGACGAGGCGGCCGAGCATGTCGTACGAAGCCTAAATACTGGTTCTCATCGAGCACTGCCCTCGAGTAGTAGCGCTCAAAGGCGCGACGATTTCGAAGTTCGAGAACGTATGCCGCAAACCCTCGTGGCCCCCTTCTTACTGGAGTCAGCCGACGATAGTGCTAAGCGGATAGTACCGTGACAATAAAAGAGAATCTGCGACGCGAGCATATCCTTTATCCGACATAATTCCACACCTTAACCACCATCATCCTCTCGAAGAATGTTGCTCTATTTTTTTTTATATTTCGCTAATTAAAAGTAGAATAAATAGTATGACGGATCGTGACATTTTGTTGATTCTCTTCCCGCTTCGATCGAATTCTTTTGTACACTTTGCATTTAAAAATATAAGTATACATACATTTTATTTTTTTTTTTTTTTAAGGTGTAAAAAAAGGGACGATGGATAACGCATAGAAGATGCAACTGACACAAATTATTCTGAAAACATAAGGAATCAAAATATAATAAAATAATATAATATAAAATAATATAATCTGTTGTATTCTTTATAAATGTTTAATATTGCGTCGTGATCACGATTATATACGTACTGTTTATTCTATTAATTAGCAAGTAATGTTAATATTAAGAACAATATATATATTTAGCATAAAGAAATAATGGTACTGATAATAATAATTGGACTGGTTGGAATAGATAAAAATCATTAAAATGTTGTTTGATAGCCTTATATTAGATGCTTGCAAAAATTCATATCAAAATTGTTTTGATTTATTAGTAACGATGAGATAACGTGTAATATTTTAATCAAAATTCGTTAACCAAGATCAACCAATAACGTTTAGCGTTTAGGGTCAAAAGTCTACTTTCTATTACCTGTTACTATTCGCTGCGTAAAAACTTATTTTTTTAATTTAAAGTTGGTCTTATTATTGCGCCAAGTTTATCGATATAATCAATATCGACAAAAAGGTGGTGTTCTTGATAATATCGATATATATTACTTTTCGATCTGAACGTTCCATCGTCGATTAGTATCGATATAATTGCACATGTAATTCGTAAAAATTCACCGTAAAAATTCACAGTTGCAGCTGCAAGATCTACAATTTGTTTGGAAAATTTAATTATTGCAAATAATTATTTGAAGCAGAGTAAGTATACCATACATTTAAATTGACCTTATCATTTATTTTGTTTAATGATGTTTGTGATACTGTGCCTAACCTTCACATATCGTGTCATATGTAACTGCAGCTAGAAAAAGATATATATATATATCTCTGTTTATGATGATCTATATTAATTGTATTTTGTCATCTTTTTATGTTGTAATTATATAATCTTTATATTTACTTTGCTTCCTATGTCAACATATGCTTTACAATTTGAAGGTTAAAAGTAAGGGCATAGGTATCACACATATACATGCACACACACACACACACATTATATATATATATATATATACACCATCACACACACATGTACATACATATTTTACTATCCAAATGAAATACAACATATTATTTATCAGTAAAACTTGAAGTCAACAATATATTTTAAATAGTTGGTGGGATGATGTAATATATTCATTTGTTGCTAATGATATATTGCATCATCTTTTTTAGATGGGTGAAGATAAACCTGCAGATTCTCCTGTAGCAGGGTAGGATTTAAATTTTATAATTATTTCTTAATACTTAATTTATTTTTAAATCTATTGATGTAAATATAAGGAATTTTACTTTATACTTTGTAAAATAGAAGTCATATTACGCAAAAATTCAATTTCTTCAAAAGATATATTAAAATACTTTTATTTTTTTACATATATAAAGAGATGAGATATCTAAAAAAGCACTCAAAAAACAGCAGAAGGAGGCAGAAAAAGCAGCAAAAAAAGCAGAAAAAAAGGCTCAGACTGTAAGTTCTATGACTATAAGACTATGTATTCTTATTGAGAAGAATATATGGAACTTTTCCTTTATTATATTTCATTATTTAGGGTATAAATGTTTTTACTATATGATATTAATATTGTGCAGATAAATAACATACATGTACAATTTTTCATTTCTCTCTTAAACAAATGATACGATAAATAAAATGTACTTTTGTGTTCTATATACAGCAGCAACAACCTGCGGAGGAATCCATGGATGTGTCTGTGGAATGTTATGGGCAAACAAATATGATTCAAAGTAAGGAAAAATTTGAGGATAGAAAGTTTAAAGCAATCAAGGATCTAAATAAAGAACTGGAAGATCAGACAGTCTGGTTGAGAGGTCGCTTACATACTAGTCGTGCAAAAGGTAAGTAATATCACTTTACTTATTTTGTACAATCAAAATTATAGTTTAAAAATCTTATTTTCAGGCAAACGATGTTTTATCGTGTTGAGACAGCAATCTTATACAGTGCAGGGATTAGCTAGTGAAGGATCAACCATAAGCAAGCAAATGATTAAATTTATATCCAAGTAAGTTTTATAGAAAATAAAATTCTCTTTTCAAACGTTTATATTTTCAAAATATATTCAGTATTGTATTATTATATATTCTTATTTAGAAATTCTCTCAGTTGAAATTAATATCATGTACATTCGTAAAATTAATATAATTGTTGCCCTGTTCTGTTCAGTATTACGAAAGAATCTATAATCGACGTTGAGGGTATGGTAAAATCTTCGCCGATAAAGATCGAATCGTGCTCGCAGAAGGATGTGGAAATTGAACTGAAATGCGTCTTCGTGATAAGCGCTGCAAAACCACAACTTCCTCTGCAAATAGAAGACGCTGCCAGGCCTATTAATGAAATGGATGAAATGGATGAGTCGACGTTGAACATACGAGTAAATCAGGATACCAGACTGGATAATAGAGTGTTAGATTTACGTACTCCAGCTAATCAGGCAATCTTTAGAGTAGAAGCTGGTATCTGTAAGCTTTTTAGAGACATTTTAACAAAGAAGGTGAGTCTAACAGCATTTAATTTTATTATAAGAGAAAGTCTCTTTTAATTTGATATATTTCCAGGGTTTTGTAGAAATCCATACTCCCAAGATCATCTCTGCAGCTAGCGAGGGTGGAGCGAACGTGTTTACGGTATCTTATTTCAAAAGCAATGCTTATTTGGCGCAGTCACCTCAATTGTACAAGCAGATGGCAATCGCTGCCGACTTTGATAAGGTCTTTACCGTCGGAGCAGGTATATTTTATTCGTTAGACGTTATCACAAACTTAAAGATTTTTTGCCAATGAAAATAATTATCTCTTTAACGTTTCACGTTAATGTGTGAATTTCAACAATAATTTTTAAACGTCGTCACACTAGTTTTTAGAGCGGAAGACTCAAATACGCATAGACACCTGACTGAATTCGTGGGTCTGGATCTAGAAATGGCTTTCAAGTATCATTATCATGAGGTAGTAGATACCATCGGACAAATGTTCACCGATCTGTTCAAAGGCTTGCGTGACAAGTTGGTGATATATATATATATATATATATAAAAGTATATTTTAGTGATAGATGTGAATGTGCACACATAAGTGTATTCTCACAGTTACTAAAGTTAACTTAATTGGTAAAGCTTTCATCAATTTTTATTGTTGGCATAGTTTTTTCTATTTACACAGTAGTAATTAATTTTGTGGGAATTTCATAGATACGCGGACGATATAGCAGCAGTAAATAAACAGTACGCAGTAGAGCCTTTCAAGTTCCTGGAGCCAGCTTTAAGATTGGAGTTTCCTCAAGCGATTGAGTTGTTGGCCGAAGCAGGCGTGACTTTGGGCGAAGAGGATGATCTTTCGACACCAGATGAAAAGCTTTTGGGAAAGCTCGTCAAGGCCAAGGTAAAATATCGGGAAATTTCAGGACAAATAAAATAACAAATTATTAGGAAGGTAGGAGCGTGCGCGCGCACAAACACACACACACACACACACACACACACACACACACACAATGCAATAATAAAACTCAAAAATTTTTTATGTAATATTTTGATCAACTTTGACATGATTTTTTTGACACATTTATTCAATTATTTTCCTCGTAATTAATATGCCATATTGAATTTCCGTTTGCTCACATTACAAATTTATTTCTTTTAGTATGACACAGACTTTTACATTTTGGATAAGTATCCACTTGCTGTGAGGCCTTTCTACACTATGCCAGACCCAAATAATCCTGTAAGTGTTCAATTGTTCCGATAATAACAATACATCATGTTTTATCATGAAATATTAATATTATTACTTTTCTATCTATCTTTAATCACAGAAAATTTCCAACTCGTATGACATGTTTATGCGAGGTGAGGAAATCATATCTGGCGCGCAGCGTATTCATGATCCAGAATTTCTCACCGAGCGTGCTAAGCATCATGGAATCGGTGAGGGAAGTTTTTGTTCATATAAAAATGTTAAAAATATTCTTCCAAAGGCAAAGAATGATAAATTTATATATTTATTTCTTCTGTCACGTGTCTTTCTGAAATCTTGGCATTCGTACGAATTTCCTCAATCACTCGTTTAGTAATTGAGTGTTTTGTTTCAGATATTGAAAAAATCAAATCTTATATCGACGCTTTCCGGTATGGCTGTCCACCGCACGCTGGTGGTGGGATAGGTTTGGAACGTGTGGTGATGCTATATCTCGGACTGGATAATATTCGCAAGGTGTCCATGTTCCCACGTGATCCTAAACGTTTGACGCCTTGAAAAATTTGTATAATTACGTTACTTTGCTGAATATAATTATATATCATGATGGAGTCGACGAATGTTATATTAATACATATATAAAAAATATATATATAAAAATTTGCCTAAAGTTTGTGATTTTTATTTTAGTAATCTTATGTTGGTAGCGTGCGCATTAAGTAATTACCGACAGAGCTGGAAAGTGAATATAATCAACGGTGACATATCAAGAAACATGATAGTATCTCGTACGAACTATATGCATAATTATTAAAAAAAACTGTGAGTGATATCAAAGAACACATTAAATTGAAACATTATAATGTATGTGCTACGATTCTAATCATATTTTTGCATCTGTTTATGTCTAAATATAACCTATAATCACAGCAACAGTGAGTACGTGTTGTTAGATTGTGCGATATGAATTTACTTATAATAACTACTTTGGTATGCATCTCATGTGATGTTGTACCATTTCTGATCAAACTTGTAAGTATTTTAAATATGTTTATGTATATTTATCATATAAATCATTTTCATATCATTATTCATATCATATTCATATCATATTCACATTATATCATATAAAAGTAAATAAATATATATATATATATATATATATATCAATATTTCATATTATTGCTGTATTGAAATTCTCAATTACACCACTCTGAATTAAAATTTTATCTAATAAAATATAGATATTATCGCGATTATACACGCGAAAAGATTATGATCGCGAGTTATGGGACGAACTAAAAAATTTGAAACAACAAATGGCCGAAATTTCTATGGTAAATGAATTTGCCAAGTATGCTAAGCTTCAGCGCAAATACAACAAAGCAGAAAGTATCTTAAAAGACAACAGTAAGTTTTTATATTTCTTGTTTAATATGTAAATTTAAAAATATATTGTAGTAATATCATCTTTTTATGTATCTATGTTTGTATTTATAAAAATATTCAAATCCAATTTTTTTTTCATACAGTAAAACAGCGGCAAAATTGGAGATTAAAACTACAACTGTCCTTAACTTGCACCTTTTACGTGGTGAATGTACGTAGGTTTCTCATTTAACATGTTAAGTGCCACATCGTCCATATTTGAATATATGAGTCTTTAAAGGTGATGACTCCATCATCTGCGTGTAATGACAGTGGCACTTAATGTTAATATTTACAATTGAATGATTTTTTTATATTTTAATCTTAATCAAAATATCTGTGATACTTTCAGCGAATATTAATATTGTTATTACTGTATATGTATAACAATGAGATAGTAATTAATTTACCAAAGGATATACTATGGCCAATCCAAGATTTATTAAGCTGGCCATCTCAACATAAGAATGGTATTTCTCTAACAACTTGGATCATTATTACCAACATAGGAATATCCTCATACAAAAATCTTTGTGATCTGAAGACTGTATAAATAATAGAATGGTTTATAATTTATTATCAATTCAAATAATACTAATAGCAAGTCGCTATTAAACATCTTTGTAATTTAACAAGAATTTATCTTGTAATGGAATTCCAACTATTATTTATCGAATAATTTATAGAGGAATAAAGGAGGAGCTTTTGCTACAAATATTTTTTATAACAATCATTTTTGCCACAATTTATAATTTTCTTTTATTACTATTAGATTATTGCATATGAAACAGGTGTTTCATTTGTGACGACTTAATATAAATATAATAGAGGTAAAAATAGAGATTATCACTTTTCCTATTTTTTCATAAATACTAATGTACTGCACATTTAATCGAGCTAATTATTACTGCACCCTGTACCAAGTCCAATTGCATCAAGTCCAAAACCAACTTAAGTTCGCGAAATTCGATTGCAAATTGCTATGTTTAAGCAAAAGCCACGTGTGCATTCTCCTGGTGTATATCTTGCGCTGACCAACATCTTGCAATTGTCTAAAATTGTCTTCTAACGTTTCTTTGCCATTTGAAAGGATCCGGAATATGTTCATCTATGACAAGTGGATGCCATTATTCGACGATCCATTAAACGAAACAATAAAATATAATTATAATATGAAATACTTGACGAAAAGATATCGGGACTGGAGTTGCGAAGATTATCCAGGTGATTACTTCGCTACACGGCGGAGTGGTGAGAGATCCTTTGTACGTGTAAAAAACATCAGTGTCCGATGGTATCAAGGATGTTAGAGTTATAGATATATTAACGGATAGCTCTGCATGCGCCCATTTTACATCCGGTAACCGTTCTAGGAATGGTCGGAGGTGTTCGTTGTGCTCATCTTGCAACTGAAATCGTGTGATTACAGCCGAGTATCATCTCACAGATTCGGTCAGTTACCATAAATCTTAGGATCTAAGTTCTCGATCAAAGTCTAACGTAAATTTGGAGAATTTGGAGAATGGAAGTACTTGAAAGAGAGCAGCCACTACGACTACACCGTCTTCGTGCTGTAATGCTTGCGAAAAATTCGCATATGCCAGACTGCGATGCACAATATGCATTTCCATGGGGTATCTACGATCATTGATCTTTAATTACTCTAATACTTTTCGCTATTATGAATTGTTCTCGTAAAGCAGTATGACCATCACCTCAAGCCATTCAGCACATGCTCAGCACCCCTGTTGTTTTTCGCACCCCAGTGAAAGTGCAGTTGCTCTATTTCGTACTGCTGATTTGGCTTCAACGTGGCGCCGAATACATACGGTAACTTCTCGCGTATCGCATTCTTGTTTATCGTGAGCTTGACTAAAAAGAGGTGCGCATACTGTCAGAAAATGCGACGACTTCCATAAGTATTGTAAGTCGAGGGCACACCTACCAGTTCGTCCGTCGTTTATAAGTGTTTGCGGCATTGGAAGAAAGTCGTGGTAGCCGATCATTTCGAGTGCTGGAAGCGGTAAAGGGATCGCCTTGGATGTAGATATAGATACCGGTGACTGCAGCTTACCCGCGCATAATTTGTGCGTCTTTGGCCACAAATGTTGTTCTAAAAAACGAAGCGCTTTGACGTAAATATTGATCTCTCATTAATTGAGTTTTCTGACAACAGTTAAGTTTTATGACAATGTTAGAAAAAGCTGGTGTACCTCTTTTGCCATATCCAAAGCCACTGGTGCTCGGCACGATGATGAAAATGACCCATGTCACTGTAGCATGTGAGATAATGCGCATTTTTGCAATTCTTATGTAAAAATTCACTATCCCAATTCACTATCCCATTAATAAAAATGCACAACATAAATATCTTGGTGTTATCTTTGTGTCGGAGATAACTTTCTTATTTTATTATTTGTCTACACGCACTCTGAATTGTGTCTCCGATGCAAGATACGCTCACGAAACTGTGAAACGGTTACGAAGGAAGGCATAACATTCTTATGAATGACTGAAACGTTTAGCACTGCATAAAGTATTGAGAACGAGTGTCCCATTAAGTATTCACGACAGTGCATACCATTGTGAATCGTATATATGTCACAGCTTTTTAAGTGTTGCAAACACGGGTTACTACACAAAAGCAGGAGCAAATTGCACCTTCTATCAGCTGAAATACACGTTAAAATGAAACTGTGCACATTTCATTGCGGCCTTTCTCTTGAAAAGAACACCCGATATCGCATAGTACAAATAAGAATCGAGAAGAGTGCATCTCTTGTAAGGTCATAATTATATTTATATCACACTTTGTTACAAAATATAAATTACAATAATATCTTGATACAAATATCTACAGTAAACATTTGAGTCTCGTAATATTTATTATAAAGTTTGAAATATACATATCACAGTCAGAGGCGCTCGATGAGAACTAATGTTGAGTGAAAATGTCAAATTGAACAACAGTAGAGAGAGAAAGAGAGAGAGAGAGAGAGAGAGAGTTCTCTAAATTATACGAAATCCCTAAAATCCGCACAAGCACAGAAAAGATTGCATCACATGCAATATTGAAAAACCTTAGCTACGAAGTTATATATGCGGAAGAAACGGAAATTTAGCTGAATATATTTGTAAATTATATAACATTCCAGGCGTTTATAACACCACTGGAAACTTTGTTGTATATTGATATTCTATCGAGATAGCCTCTTAATTATCACTGAATTTATCATCGATTTTCTATATCTCGTAAAGTTCTAAAACGTTTTCGTCTCTATAAATTCAGAAATGATAAAGAATCTACTTTCAAAAGTCACACAAGTGTTGAAAATTTCTTCCAGATTGATAAAGATGAAGAAATTTAAATTAGGTTAAATAGTTTAACATTCTTGCATTTATAAAAAAGATCCACTAAGAATTTAATTCACGCACCGTTTAAACTTTCTCCACGTTATCCTGTGCGGTGTGTGAGGTGACTTGTAAAGGTATCGAGAACAATTCTTCCCACGGAGGCTGTATGGAACTGATTACAGCCTCGACTGCACCAGGAGAGACGAACTCCAAGTTCCAACTTTCCTCGAGTCCTGCGACCTCATCCAGGAAGTTCAAAGTTAACGAAGTGTCACAGTGTTCCTACAGATATATCATTAATACGTTAGCTGATGCTGTATCTCTTAGATAATTAGTATTGTAACAACCAGCAACGATGCGTATACCGATCAAAAATCATCATTTTTTGTACAATATACTTTTGTTTGCAAAATCATCTCGAGCCGCGAATTGTAATTCGATTAAGCGATAAAAATAATCTGAGGCCACTAACTATCGCGATTAAATTGCTCATAGCCTGCTCTCTGGCAATCAAAGGCATTCGATTGCTCTCTGGCATTAGCCACTGGGCGTTGTCCTCCAGTATCACCAGTACAGAACCCATCACAATCAAGCCAGACAGCTTCAGCTTGACAGTGTCGCTCTGCTGTTTTAGAACCGCGAAGGAGAACATTGCCAATAATCGTACAGAATCTCCAGCCTGATAATTTGCAGTGCTAGTTAGTAGATTGTGCATCAAGGTACTGCAGTGCTCCGGAACGGTAAACTCTACTTCGCAGCTCGGAGGTAACTGCAGATCTATCGATACACAACATGTGAGAACAGCTCGAATGTCACTGTCAATTATATCCTAATTATAAGATTTCCTAAACACGCACAAATGCCGTGCACTTTTACATCATCATAAAATATTTTTTTACCTGTGATATAGAACAAAAAGTTTGACGTTCTCTGGAAATCTTGCAAGATGCAGAGCACCGTGATGCTCAGATGCTCCTCATTAGTTTTACCAGGTTGTTGCAGCTCAATCAGAACACCTTGTTTGAACGGCAATGGTACGAAGGATCTCAGTCTGTCCATCGTCCAGCTGACTTCTTTGTGAAGCCATCGTTGTGGGTCCTCTCTGTCGCAAGTTCATTTTGATTCTTAATCATAATTCTTAATAAGGCTCCGATTTCCCTTTTTACTATTAGTATTATTATTATTATTAAACTGCGCTCACCCTTCTGGCCCGTTAATCCTAAGAATGTAAACCTTAGATGTAGACAGTACTAGGCATCCAGGAAAAGTTTCTTGCATAGAATGCATCAAAATGTCTGCCTACGATAGATAAACATAAAAGAGAAAAAAATATCACCAATTGCAAGTTTCCTCGTGAGGATCTCTTTAGTTAAAGTCAACTGTCACTAACTGTCAGCTAACTGTTCTTCATATTCTCGACACCTTTTTGAATTTTTTAAAATCCCAATTTAATCGATTGTGCCAATTTGCGGTTTTCAATATATCGTTAGAGTTGCATTTGAACAATGTATATCAGTACCCTGAGAAGAAGGACTAGCTCTTCGTTCTCGTGCTCAAACACATTTAGGATGATGTGCAACTTGATTCTGTGATCTATACTGCTAAAATCGGTATATGAATATTGCACACTGCTACCGAAGAAACTCGAGGCCTCCTCGCCTTTCAACATTTTATTGCTGCCGATTTTGATGCTTTGGAGCAAACCTACGAACGAGAACGTGAATATTACGGAAATGTCGTTCATTGTTGCAACGAACATTGCAACAGTCTCTTATTAAAGTACTTCTAATATTACTTTATAGTGATCGATTAGATTACCTCCCAACATCGATGTCAAGTTTGTTACAGGGGCGAACGCGGTTTCCTTCTCGCCATCACTGCTGTGCGACTTCGCGTCAACATTTGCTGATTTAGCCATCTTATTTTCGTATGCTGTGCATATGCTGTCGGTCAACGAACCTGTAAATAACATCAGTCTATTAAATTAAATTAATACAATGTAACAACCGCTCTCAATAACAAGTTATACGACAGACAGAACACACACCCGAAGAACTACTTTCCGTAAGGCCTGCCATGACTGGTGTTACATCCGGAATTGTTATTAAAGAAGGAGCTATTGCGGCGCGCCTTTCTTCAATTGAGCGTTTCCGTTTTGGCGTGAGATTGGTCCTGCACCAATGAATATTGAAGCAAATCAGCACGGTATCAATTACGGTAGGATAAATGTAAACACAATTTACTAACTTTTGTGCTTCATCTAAAACTTCGATGCTACTCTGGCTAGGGTTGCTGAGTATTTCTATGTCGCTCTCGTACTTTTTCGTTTGCGCGTTTGCAGATGGCGTGGAGCCCCTCGACTCTTCTAGACTTGTCGCTGAACCTGACGACAACAACGATAGCACAGTTGAAAAGCAATCTCAATTATTCTCATTTCTTTTTTCTTAAATCAAATATAGTTCTTTTGAATCGAATAGAAGTTTGATTTTTCTCCGATATATAACGATACGTCATACTTACAAATGAAAAGTAGGAACTACAGGCGCTTAGAACGCCGAAAGAAAATTAAGAGAAGACTACGATACTGCCTGAATTTTTATCATGTGAAGAGACTTTAACCCTTTAGCCACCGAGCTTTTTATCTCAAGCTGCGGCCTCATTTTCAGACCAAAAGATGAGAAGGGATAGAGAGAGAAAGAGAGAGAAATAGAGCGAGAGAGACTCGACTTCTGACGGCTGAAGGCCGTTTACAGAAAGTATAGAGTAGAGAGTGCTGTAACGTAAAATTTACTATTGTGACTGAAGCTTACAGCAGACTTGAGCTTGAATGTGAGATTCGGAGTGCACCAGAGAAGTGGTGACGGATTTAGCTCCACCTTCCGTTCCACCTGCACCGGGATTAGTATGTTATAGTTCCCATCAAGTAAAACTCACAGACACGCATTGGGCTATATATATATATATATATATATATATATATATATATATATATATATATATCATATATATCATATATATTAATATACGTATTAACTAACATTAGAGCATTCACAGTCATTCGATTAATTGATCGGGTGCCGAATGGCAAGACTTAATTGCTTTAAGGCCAATCTATTAATTACGCCTTCAATACGGTTAATTGCTTTGTGTGAGCGATGCACGCATGGTGTGATCCGTAACTAATGTACGAGACACTAAGGACAAAAACAAAATATTCAATGCCGTTCAAACTACAACAATGTGTCAATCGACTCTCGTGTCTTTGTAATTCTTGCTTGCCACACGTGTCGAAAATTCAATCTCATCCTTTGTGTTATCGTTCTTTCAGTAACGACCCACAATCTCTTCGCAGTTTCTAATCATCGTTTCGCACAACTTCAAATTATGGATAATTGTCCAACAGATGCAAATTTAATATTGCAGATTAGAAGGATTGCGATACGACGGCCATCAAGAGCTACGCAGCTGATTGTATATAACTTTCTATATTCATTTTTTATCGAGCTTGAGGTACTCTGCATGCTGCGAGCACGAAGATATTGCTTACCGATACTGGAATATGATTCGGAGTGTTGCAAATTGGCACCCGCAAAATTCTCCGCTATTTGACTGTCCGCGTTGGGCGAAGTTTCCGTCTCGATGACCAAACTGCTGCCACAAGCGGGGCATTTAAATTGTTTCGCACCTGAAAGAATCGTTACTTTTGCTATTATCTTCAAAAAGGCGTCTGCGATGAACAAACCTGTTGCTGACGTAACAGCGAGCCTGACATATTCCGCGTCTTGCGAAAACTGCGTCGAACATTTCATGCACTTGAAGACTTTCAACAATATCGGCCGTGCTTCGAGCTGTTCACTGATCGTTGCTACAATTTCCTGCAAGAGATTTATTTACATTATACGGGAAAATATAAAATCGTAAAATTTGCTTATTTTCTCAATACCTTCGCATCATTCGGTTCCGCAAAATACCGTCTGTTTTCTCGATCTTTCCGCGTAGTGTCAAAAATAATATCAACTGTGGGTGACTTGCTTCTACCTAAGACGCAGGATAGCACCGAATTTGTTGACCAAGAATACTTAACTTTTCCAGTGGTCGTTTCTCTCTCTTTGATATCTCTGTAAAGTCCACGATAAAAGATGTCATATCTTGGTAGTATTACGGTAAATCATAAGATGTAATAAATCCGAGGAGTATGCGGAAGAACAAAGACTTACGCAGGAGTTATCGTCAGAAAGACATACTCCTTCTCATCGTCGTTCTTTCGCTTGTGGACGAGATACACATCTGCAGTTTCTAAAAGAAAAGAAAAAAAAAAAGACATCAGCATTTATGGACGACTGTAAAACAAGTTAGGTTGCAAAAATCTCTTAAACTATCGCACAATTGATAACATTGTTCGGTAATTTAATTTTACGTTGCGCGATCGTCACCTTCTTTAGGATCATACTCGATCACAGGAATAACTTCTTCCGTTTCCACAGACTCGTCCGGTAACGTTTCTTCGTTCTGAGAAATATCCTCTTGTTCAACATCCGCCTGTACTGCGATTTCCTGTGATTCAGACTCCTCGAGAGATTGTTCGCTGTCCATCATGTAAATCAGAGACTCGTGAAGAGATGATGTCGCGTCAACATCAGCCAAAGTCTGTATTCTCGTTACTGACAATGTAGCTGGTTGCGAAACGGAATGCAGACCCATGATGTCTTGAACAAAAGTCCCCGCGTGACTACTCAGCCAGTTGTCCTCGCCAAACCTCTCTCGGAGAGCTAACATGCGTTTTTTCGTCTCTAAATGATCGGTCGACATCTCTGGAAGAGAAAAAACAAAATGTAATTTGATTGAGAATGTCACAAAAATTAAATATCTTCCTTATTCTAATGGATTCAATTATTTTAATCAATTATTAAATTATGTCATTATTACATAGAAATAAAAATATATTTTTATATTGATACTACATCTTTTACTCAAAATTACCCGTATGAGAAGACGCTACCACATCGGGTAGTTGCTTAAACTCTTCAGTTTCTTGATCGGCTTCAGCGATGATCGCTTCTTTCAAACTTGGTTTCTTCTTACTTTTCGTCAAACTCTTTTCTAGATTTTCAGCTAACGATGTTACTCGATTATCGGAACTACTCTCACTAGGTTCGTACGTATTCACGAACATTGATGTACTAGTCGATGATACAGATTGATTTGCACACATTGTAAAAACTCGATTCTCCGCAACTAGTGCCTTCTCTGATTTTGAAAGTAATACATGATCTAAAACAAACTATGTAAAGATCGCTTAAATTTGTTGCAGCTGTTAGATTAATATTGCATTTTGCATTTTGTGAAGTCAATTATGTAATACTTTGCTATTCGACAGGCTCGGATGCAAATGTCTTAAAGACAGCATCCGATGCTTTGGATGATATGATAGAGGATTTCCTTCCAATGACACCCACAACAAGGCAGACATCTTTTGAAGCGGCCAGAGGACTGAATGTTCCGTTAAACAATTAAATGATAAGTCTAGTTCAGTCAGACATTCTAAAGCTTGAAGACCTGTGTGTGTGACAAACATAGTACTTATAGAATTAAAAAATGAACAACTTTGTAGTACAATAGTATCGCATTGTTGAGATGTAATGACTAACCATTTAAACTGTCAATGTAATTGTTCTTCAGTACTAACACTTGTAATGAATGTAACACTGCCTTGTTGAACGATGGTATACTTTCTAATTTGTTGTAACCTAGATTGACATACTTCAGGTTTGACAAGCAGGATATCTCTTCAGCACTAGTGATCATGTTGTGGCTTAAATCCAATGTTTGAAGCCAAGGTGCTAATTCTAAAGATTCATCCAAGCAATTTAGAACATTATGAGGTAACGCTAAATGTTTCAAAGATGCCCATACAAATCCGACACCAGCATCAGCTCCACATATCGCTGTAGATAAGAAAAAAAGAACTGTATCAAATATAAGTCTGAAAACTTTGGAATGTTGTGTGCTCTGTATACAAAAATTACCTAACAATTGACTGATTGTGGATACTCCTTTTCTTCCAGCACAAACAATACCTTCCAATTGACCTCTGATACTCTGTAGGCCTTTCACTAATTCGATAGGTACCTTCTTTAGCTCTAGATACTTTAAATGTCGGAATTTAGAAATATCAATGGTAACTTTGGGGTCAGAAGAATAATGTGTTACTTTTAGACCTATAGTCTTCTGCACAAAATCATGTAAAAATTTCACATCACGAAATATGTCTATCTTAGAACTATTGCACACATGAAATGAAGTTTCCAGATCTTCAGATTCTACTACAATCATTGAGAATGCTTCATTGAGGTTGTATAGCAATTTTGTTGATAATGATAATTTACTGGAAGCACTTAAAACCTTGTCACCATTTTGACGAAGGAGCTTAACCAGTTCTATTATATCCTGCATACTTAAAATATCATTCAAGTGGTTAGTCGTTGACATTGTGCTACTGACTTGCTTGCTATCATAAAACCATTAAGATCTTTATATTGGATTATGTTGATTACTTAATCATCACACAGTTAAGTATATTCTCACAAACATTTATCCTCATCTGAAAAAAATTATATATATTAGATTACAGAGGTATATATTTTTTAAATGAGTTTTATAAATATAATTTGCATTTAAGCAAAACCCTAATCTTCTATTCTCATATATATATATATAAATGTATACAAGATAAATTAAGATAAAAAGCTATTGAAATAAATCAATATAATAAATTAAACTACAAATCTAACATAGAGATAGAGTAACTTTCTGAAATATAACAGATCTTGCATATCTTTCTCTTCAGCTAGTTCTATATTAATTTTTAATATTATATAATCTGTTAGTCAAATTTTTTATATCAGTATTTTTGTCAAAAAATATTTCTACAATGCGCAAGATTAAATAATCATATCATAAATGAACAATATTCAAGTAAGACAAAGAAAATATAATAATATAATAATAATAATAATAATAATAATAAAATTGCGATATCACACAATGCGATAACGATTACGTGAAATGTATATTTATACGCATCACGTTGCGACTGAAAGCTTGTGATAAAACAATTTTTTACGCAGAAATAATAATGATAGTCATGTTATTTTTAATATTGTTTGTACATACTGCGCAATCATTATTCACAACACTCATGCCTACGTTGGACGAGATGCTGTCATTTCGACAGCAGGGTGTATACAGTTGATATATGCAATGAGAAACTTGAGAGTAATCATGCTGTAAAGGCGTTTGAAATACTTCTTTCTATGCGCCCTCTGAAGAAGTGGGCAAGGCATGTAATACAGTTCAATAACAGCCCGCCTACATAGATCGCAACATAGAAAATGTAGATCGCAGAACACAAAAATTGACCAATCATAGTCGATCATTTTCCTCACATTCGACTGTAATTGGTCAATTTTTGTTGCGTCCTGTGTAGACGGGCCGTTATAGGGGGTAAAGAAAACCTATCTTCAAATAGTATAACTCCATTGATAATAAGTATCATTGAGATGTATCGCACAAATGTAAGTATAAATGTTTTTTTAATGATATTAAACAAAATTGATTCGCTTTATCAATATCGAGATTGACAGAGTAAAACAGATTCATGAAGCATATATTTTGTAGCAAAATAGCCAATCCCAAAGAGGAAATACCGATAGATTCAGTCAGAACCGTCCCCCTGGCAGACAAACTACCTCTATGAATGTGCCAACAACAATTTCTGAGCAATTTAAAGAATCATGGCTCACAGTTATAATTGGATCTATAATGTTTGCTATTGGAATGTGTCTTTTATTTTGGAACGAGGTTTGTAACAGTCCCGTTATTAATTAAATGGTTCCAAGAACTTAATTATACAAATATAATAGTTTGTTTCTTTTAGGGGAGAGCTGTGAGAGTTGCATATTCTTTGGATGAGGCTTTGCAGAATATAGTTGTAATTTCTAATCCAACGGTATTATTGCCTGAGTATCAAGGCTGTTTGATATACTTGTCGGGACACTTGGTAATCTCAGAGCCACTAACGGAGCCAGATTATGGAATTGTTATGTCTAGTGTGAAATTGAAAAGGAGAGTTCAGATGTATCAGTGGGTTGAAATTGAAGAAGAAAGAAGGTAGTAAGAAACATAAAGTAGAACTTAAAATCAAAAGGTATACCAAAATTGGATCTTTATGCTTTTAGTTACGGTGGTATGACAGAAGATGAAAAACACTATTATTATACAACAGAGTGGAAGGATAAACTTGTAGATTCAGACCACTTCTACATTCGCACAGGTCATCATAATCCAAAGGAAATGCCAATCAAGAGCCAGTTGCAGATTGCAGATGAGGTAAAGATTGGTGCATATACATTTGGAGCAGAACTAAAAAAGAAGTTTAATGACTTTATGGAAGTTACCAGTGATGAAAGACCAGAACGAAAGGACATCAAAATGCATTCAGGATTGTATTACCATAGTGTAGATTTGTGGAATCCACAAGTATGTTGTTTGTAAGAAAATTTTGACATACATTGATTTTTAACTTTATTTTGCTTTTCATCTATTTGTTAAACCTCGTTGCTTTGCCTATAGGTAGGAGACATTAGAATACAATTCTCTTACGCAGGAAAAAGCGGAGAAGTTTGTTCAGTGGTGGGTTTACTAGAGAAAGATGTAATCAAACCATATTACACGCACCATGGTGAAGAAATTTTGTTACAGCGAAAACACAAGATTTCGGTCGATCAAATGTTCCACTTGGAGCATGTCCACAATTATTGGCGAACTTGGACCATCAGGTAATATATTACAGAAAGAAATATAAGTATAATATAAATGTTTCATACATTAAGATAACGTCACCTTACAACAAAAATTTGTATAATCTTATTTGGCAACAAAATATCAATATGGACAGTATGTAAAGTTTTGATTAATCAATATATCATTCTTATTATAGAGGATTAGGGTGGCTAGTGCTCTTTGTGGCAGCGACGTGTTTGGCAAATATACTAAAAACCATTATACTAAACTCGACATTCCTTTGTGGTATAATAGCGGTTGAATCTCTGACTATATCAGTGTCCATGTCCATCAGTTTGCTAGTGATCGGTTTTGCTTGGGTATGGTATCGACCAGTGATTGGTCTCTGTTTGGCACTCGCATCTATTCTACCTTTTATCTACTCAACTCTAACAACCAGATCTACATCCCAACAGCGTGAAAATTATAGAAGATTATAGATTAGATATATACGATACTTTTCTTTTCTTTTTACTTCTACTACTACTAATCATTTTTTTACTTAATTCTTTATATTTTCGACAAGATCGAATATAATTTATTGTGACAATATTTGTAATAAAAATATTTATTTATATTAGATTTTTTATATATCATATGTATATAATATGTCAAAAAAAGTAGTAAAAATATAAGAAAAGGCGTAAATATATCGGCATGTACCGGAATGTTTCTCATTTTATCAAAATGTTTTTTGTTTCAAAATTATTAAAACATTGTTTTATATATTATTTTAATATTTATAATTTATTATAAATTATCGATTAAATAACGAAGACTATTTTAGGACAATGTTTAACTTGCAGTTGTAGGTAAGGTAACTATATCTAATTTAGTAATTTTATTTTCATCAAGTTTTTTTGTTGGTTAACCTGACTTCACATAAAAATCGCCTTGCAGGCCGTTACCGAGTAAAGATGGCGGCGAACGGCGGTGTACGACTCTTGTTTCTCGGAATTCTTTGTATTTTTCTTCTGGAACTATGCAACGGCGCTGCGACGGACATCGAGTTGGACGCAAAAGCACAGCTCTTGCATCGGCTGGACAGTCTCAACCTTTTGCTTTACACTTTCCTATTAATCTTAACCGTTTTAACGATATGGATGTTCAAGCACCGCCGTTTGAGGTTCCTCCATGAGACTGGCCTAGCTGTCATCTATGGTGAGTCGTCTGCTATCAGTAGTATCCGATATATTATTTTCTCATGTCGAATTTAATCAACATTACGCCGTAAAAAAAAAAAAAAAAAAAAAACTAGAAAATTTAACGTTACTTTCGCCATCTTTATTACGATCGTGATAATTTTCAATCATCATATATCTATTGTGAGTCCTGCATGTATGAAGTGTCAAATTCCGAAAGTTTTAGTATCAGAGGACGCACTAAAACATCTCTCAATAATTAAGTTTTGTTCGATATATCTGTCAATGTAACTTGATTACAAAAGCAAGCTTCAGTTCTTGCAAACTTTTGCAAACAAAGATATTGCAAAATTCTTTCCTTCAATCACTTGGATATTATTGATATCAAACCAACATTTCAAGCAGAACAGTTTAATACATTTCTTTGCAATATTTTTTTTTCTATTATAGGCTTGATCATAGGAGCGATAATACGATATGGCTTCACAACAAGTAGTACTATTCTCCATATGCCAGTAGTTCCAGATAACAGCAGCAAGTATAATCAGTCCGTCCCACCGGATACATTATGGTTACGTTTCCCAGAGGATAAGGGTGGTGGCATTGTAAAAAACAAAACATTTGCATATTCTTTTCGTGGTGAAATTTATAAGGAAGATAACGAGATTGATTTGAAGGTGAATAAATTACTTTTGCAGTATGACTAAACTAATTTAAAAAAAAAAGTAGTTGTCTACTTGTTAGATTTTAAATATTAAAAAGATTCTAATCTTCTAAGCAGTATTATCATATATTGAAGTTAATATTATTACAATTTCTTTGGCAGGCAACATTTGATCCTGAAATATTCTTCAATATTATATTGCCTCCTATCATTTTCCATGCAGGATACAGTTTAAAACGTGTAAGTATGTTATTCTTATTTCTTTAATAATTGAAAAGGTTAACGGTATTTAGATGTATAACAATTAATTTCTATCTGTGATAAACTGTTGCAGAAATACTTTTTTCGAAATCTGGGTGCTATTCTTATGTATGCTTTAATAGGAACTTCTATATCAGCCTTTGTTATAGGGTAAATATTTTCTTTAAAGTATGTTATTTATTTGATGAACATTTAAAGACAAATATCAGATTGACAGACGCCTGAAGACAAAGCAGAAATTGCATCAATGTTAATTAGTGCATGTGATATCATTGATTTAGCTTATCTATGTTCCACATACTGCTAATTATAAAGAATAACATCTGTCTTAAATGGTTCGCTCTTTGGTCTTCTGTTATCTGTAAAAAAGATAAACGTTTAATACGTATATATGTATACATATATAGAGCTTTGATGTACGCCTTCATACAATTGATACCGCATCTCTCCACGTCGTTCACGTTCCTGGACACTCTATACTTCGGCGCTCTGATATCTCCCACGGATCCTTTGACAATAATATCCATATTTAACGACTTACACGTAGATGTTAACCTGTATGCCTTGGTGTTTGGTGAGAGCGTGTTGAACGATGCGGTTGCCCTTGTACTTAGCGGGTAGGTACATAAAAACTGAATATCTCGTAGGGATTCTATTGTATATTAAATTGAATTTAACGATACGGATTTAACAAACTGTATAATATTGAGAGAGTAAATTTTGATTTCAGTTCGATACAAAACTATGCAGAGCGATACCAGTCAGGGTCGGGCGGTTTCGAGACGGTGGCGTTCTTCCAAGCGTTCGGAGATTTCGTAGGAATATTTAGTCTGTCACTTTTCATTGGTGCCACCATGGGCTGCATCACAGCGTTGTTAACAAAGTTCACCAGGGTACGGGATTTCCCTCTCTTAGAATCGGCGTTGTTCGTCTTAATGTCCTACAGTACATTTTTAATTGCTGAAGCTTCTGACCTTACAGGTAACCCATAACACCAGCATACAAAATTTACGCATGCATTGATTTTTATATTTAACGTGTTATCAGTACGCGATTATACAAAGAGATTATACAAATGAGATATTTCATTACCTGTTCTTAATGTATGGTTTGCCAAATACGAGATATTTCCTAAGTCGTATGCAGTATATAAATTAAACTTGACAGCAAAATTAAGAGGAAACAGTTAAAATTGTAAAGATTGTTGCTGTTGATTTGAATAAGCGTTTTTTTGTTTGAAATTTATCCTTAAAAAATAACAGATAAGAGAGAACAAAGTCTCACGTTTTTTTTTTTTTTATATTTTTATCATTTTATATACATTGTACACACACATCTGAATACAAGTTTATTATATTGCGAAAAAAACATTACAGGCGTGGTCGCTGTTCTATTTTGCGGAATATGCCAGGCTCATTACACTTATAACAATCTAAGTCTGGATTCACGTCAACGCACGAAGCAGTTGTTTGAGTTATTGAACTTTTTAGCCGAGAATTTCATATTCAGTTATATCGGAGTGTCGATGTTCACCTTCCCGAAGCATCACTTTGATCCTGGTTTCATCTTTGCAGGATTTGTATCCTTATACAACACAATAAGTCTTCAAGTGAAATTTAAAAGATTGAAATTCATGAACCTTAACACCGTCTCAGCTATGCGCGTTATTAGGTCGCGCGGCTAACGTTTACCCGTTGTCTTTCATTCTGAACCTGGCGCGAAAGCCGAAGATATCGCTGAACTATCAGCACATGCTGTTCTTCGCGGGATTACGCGGTGCTATGAGTTTTGCCCTCGCCATCAGGAACACCGTGTCCGACGCCAGACAAGCTATGTTAACCACGACAAGCTTAATTGTGATATTGACAGTTATTTTGCAAGGCGGCGCAACAACGCAATTCTTAAGCTGGTTCAATATTCCGTAAGTGATTTACTCAAACGTGATTTCAGCCAGTCGTAAACAACTCATCGACCTTAATCGCCAGTTAATCAATCTTACATATAATATATCGTTTCTTACTGTCATTTACACCATTGTTACATTTGTAGCGTCGGAGTAGACGAGGAAATTGAAGGTCTCTCTCATAATGGAACGCGTAGTGTAAGTATTTCACAGGTCACAAATAGATCTTCCCTAATTTACAGAATTAGTATCGAGTTAAACGTAGATCATACGAGATAGATAACTCAACAAACTTCTGCAAACTCCTAAAATATCATTATTGTAGAAATTTTGTTAAAGCAGACGCATACTATTATTCCTTGTATCATTAGTATTGTCATAGCATGCTAATGCATGTTTATTCTTTATTTATAAATTCCTTGTCAATGGGAGAATTACAGTTTTATTTCATAAGCTTCCAATTGAATTTCTTCGACTGCATGAGCTTTTGCGGTTTTTTTTTTTTTCAGTATGGTTTTCGTTATCCATTCTGTATGTTGACGAGTAGCTGGAGGGCATTGAAATATTTCCATTCATTAACAGTACCCACGCAAACGTACTTAATACAGGACACGAGAATAATGATATAGAAATGAAGCATGTATATATTTCATAATTAATGATGAAGGTAATTCCGGATACAAATTAAAAGGGCTATTATTGTGGTTACACGTCATGTGTTTATGCATTTGGCATCTGTGCCTGATAAAACAAGAATAGGATATTAAGGATATCTGAATCTTGTTCTAACATGGTGTTATATTTACGAACAAATATCCGCTTGAGAGAATGTGATATATACATATGTTATATCTATGTTAACAAAAAAATTGGGGAACAAAGAAGCAGATTCACGATCATACAGGATGGATAACCGACATGTTATTCACATTTCACAGTATAATTCTATGCAGGATGGATCGTTGCCAGGCGGCGGCGGGAGCGGAAGCGGTGGTAGTGGCAGCGGCGGCGGCGGCGGCGGCAGCGCTGGCGGTGGCGGCGGTGGTGGTGGTGGTAGCAGCAGTGTCGGCGGCGGTGGCGGAAGCGGCGGTATGAAACCCAACGAGAAAGCGTTGCTCGCCAGAATTTGGGGCGATTTCGATACAAAATACATGAAGCCTCTGCTGACGCACTCTAGGCCTACGTTGTTAGAAACGTTGCCGGTCTGTTGTAGTCCACTCGCGAGAATACTGACGACGACGCAACAAATGACACAGGTACGAAATTGTATACGGTAAAAAGCGCGATCGGCACGTAACGAGCGTATATTATATATATATATATATATATTTTGTTACTGTCCGAGACAGATTTGATCGTTGATACGAGAGGAGTGTGAGAGAGCGAAAATATTTCTGCAACGAAATGACGAAAATATTCTCAGCCTTCTTCTGTGTAAACATTCATAATAATGTTTATCTTTTTTATACACCATACAGGATGACGTCGCGAGAAAAGTTGATTCCGACTCCGACTTCTGTCTGGAAGATCGCGAAATGGAGCGACGGAGGACCAGTGTTCAGCCGGTGAGTTTTCATCAGCCTAATCTCAATTACACTGTTAACCCGTGCTATCAGCCTAACAGCACAGACATTACTAACCCCGATGAACCCTATGTAATTCTCAATTTACACAGAAGGTAGAAATCATCACAGACTTAACCACTATATCTAGGTCTTCTTAGAAGAGCCGTTATTTTACGGTGGAAGTACACACACCTTGTACTTGTTGACGTGACTGAAATTTATGATTTACTTGTTAATTATTATGTAACTACGCGATCGACATCCTGACGCTAAATCTCGTGCATTAACGCGGACACTAACGCCACATATACACTACTTTTCATTTTATACGAAAGTCTGCGAATAATATTACGGTCTACTAATATTTTCCTAATATACATAAGAATTTTTAACCCCTTTTCTCCTATTTATTCCAAGTGTGGGCGTCTTAGTGTAAACATTAATAGCCTATGGCTACGTGTATATTATTGTAAATGATATTTTTACGTAAGCCCTATATATATATATATATATATATTTATATTTATATTTATGTATATATATAAGGCAAGTTGCGAGAAACAAAACAAATTGCGTCTCTCTTGGATTCGAAGATACGAAAAAAATATGTAGAACATGATTTAACCTTGGATTCGCCTGAGTTGTGTTCTGTCCACATCTTTTTATATTTTTAAATCTAAGACAGACGTTCAAGCGTTTCGTTTCCGGTGATTCACTCTGTAAAGTATAAACGATTTAGACAATATATAGAGAAAGTTTAACCATGTGTGGTTTACGTATATATACATATACATATATATATATATATATATATATATATATATATATACATATATATATATATATATATATATATATATATATATATATATATATATATATATATAGATTCCCGATCGCCTCTCTTTACATTTGCACCGATCGTCCTGAATTCTTTTATATAAAATGAGTTTGACTGTCTAATGCATGTAAGAGACTAACTCTGCTGGCTAACGCTACTTTCTTGTTTTTCTGAACTAATCTTTTGGATGGAATATGTCAGTGATAACATAATTTTGCAAATAATAATAGGATTGTAAATACACGAATTTCAATTGTTCTGTTTTGTTGAGAATACATGAGATATGTTCAAGGAATGTATGTGTGTATTGTTGTTTATAAACCGCAAACTAACTTCTTCTCGCTTTACTTACTATATTAATATTGTAAATTGATAAATCACGAAATATACAGATCGCAATATTGCGAACAGCTATAGAAATTGCGTGTGTTGTTTTGTTCAAGTGACTATAACCGCAACAGATACGCGAAACTGTTCTCCTCGATTATTTTTAATAGACACATAATAAAGAGTTAACGCCAGTGGGTTTGTAAGTGGATATAAGTGATAACGTAATGCGTGTGATATTTATATTGTAATGAAAGAGAGAGAGAGAGAGTGAGAGAGAGAGAGGGGGGGAGGGGGAGAGTGAGAGAGCGAGAGAAAGAGGGGGAGAGCGGTAGAGAAAGAGAGAGTGAAAGAGATACGATAAGTTTCGTCATAAATTTGAAAATTATATCCGAAAATTATGTTTAATGTAAAGATGATAAGCTTCCAATCTGTTTAACGCTTAAGCGTGTCTTGGCCTCTCTTTCGCAAACTCACAATGAGACATTTGCGGAGTGCACGTTTGACTGCGTTTTTTCAACGGTTTTTCTAGAGAAAGAGAAATGATGATGGTGATTCCGATTCCGATGATGATAATGACGATGATGATGATGATGATGAAGACCTGAGAATCATCGGAATGGAAGGATGTATTCCATTACGAACGTTGTAACCATGACCTGAAACACGGGCGAACGATAATCTGTGTACCTAAGATCTAACAAAAAAAGAAAAGAAAGAGAAAACGAGCATATTCTCGTCTCCTGAAATGATTGCGGCTTAGGTATATCACGTCGTGATTTTCCGAAAGTATTAACATATGAATAGTATTACAATATAAATGATTCTAGTGCTACTTCGTCTCTTTAAGATGTATATAGAGTGTTTCCTGATATGTAATGATAAGTAACAATTTCGTACATCAGTTTAGAGCACGCATAAGCGATATGAAGAGAGCTTGTACGAGTATTTTGTCTAACTCTGTTTACGAGTCACTTCTATTTTTGTGTTTTATAGATTCGTTTACAAAGAATGCTCGAAGTGTGACAATCTGAAACTCGAAGGCACTCTAAATATATTATTGTTTACCTTCATCATCGAAATTACCAAAAAACGATAAAAACGATAAATTACCGATAGATGCGAAAAGAAGGTCAAGTTTGGCAATCGAGGTAAATAGAGACAATAACATTTCTCATTATTTTGTATGCTGGGCATACGTTAGAATCGTACCGGCATATCGGGAAACATACTTTGCATTTTTCTGTCTCAAAAACGAACAATCTTTACTAGGCTTTCTATGCGACGCTCAAGTCGAGCATTAAACATAATTTTCCGTATTCATTAATTTTAATTACACAAACCATTAGCGATTAGTGATCTTAAGGTGTTAAGAGATGAATTGTTGCTGCTGTGATCTTTGAGTCCTTATATTGTGGGACTTATACAGAATGATTCGCCAGAAACGGAGTATTTAAATATTTTTTTGGCCATCTCAAGATATATCAATCGCAATTTACATTCCAAACGTTTCTTACATTTTAACATTTAATGTAGTACTCAATATAATTAACTTTCTTAACTTTAACTACTTTTATCTATTTCTTTTTTTTTCTTTCATTCCAAATTTTGCAATTCAAAGTGCATTTCATTAGACACATTGTAACGATTTTGAGAGGATAAATAATCAAAGCCCGTCACGTTTGCTTTTTTGAACTATTTAAATCAGTTTTTACACATACATATGTACATAAATTTCTCTCGCTCTTATACTCTCTCTCTCTCTCTCTCTCTCTCTCTCTCTCTCTCTCTCTCTCTCTCTCTTTTGAGGTATATTCAGATTTAAAAAAATATTTCAATTTTCCGTTTCAAGCGATTCCCTATATAATATTACGTTTACTTACAAACTGATATTTCTTAAGTATTTTTGCATGCTAAAGAAGAATGGACATTCATTACCCCGCAGTGCTGCTGTACTTTTCTAATATGCATGCTGCAATATAGCAAGTATCTACTTATGTTTTTATAATTATTTTTTCTCTTCTTTGATTTTGTGTATTGTTATTTTGTTTATTCACAGACGAGCGTAAGGAGCTCTGCACGTAGGTTGCCGTTGTGAAAAAGTTTTTGGCCGTTAAGTTTATTTTAGTTTACGTTCAATTTATATTTATGTACATATATATATATATATATATACTCATATATATATGTGTGTATATATATATATATATATATATCTATGTGTTGGTGACCTTATCCATCCATATTTACGTTTAAGCATTGAATTCAATGTAAATGTAAGTGTAAGATATCTAGCAATTCTCTGGTACACTGTATCAGGTGGTTTAATAGCTTTCCCGACTAGCGTTGTCGAAGTTAATTCTTGGTTCGGAAGCAGTTTTGTCATACGTACTTTCAATATACGTATATAGATATTTCTAGAAAGTGATATTACACGCTCACACAACACACACGTACGTTTACAGTGACATTAACTATTATTTATAATTTGACACAAAAGCCAATGCGTAGCGAATACGATGCACTAGATGCGACACTTGATGTAACTAGATCACGATCTTCATTCTTCTTATTTTATTTTCCTCGAACAGTAAGATATTCAGTATTACGGCGCATAATACGCATTATGTAGAAGAAAGTTGAGATGAAAAATGAAGAAAATTTCGAATCGCAACGTACTCTTGGAAAAAATCAGCATGTCCCGCAAATTTCACTTTGGACGATCCATTTGACTTGACGCACCTGGTAGATTAGATTGCATTTGAAGAGTCAAATCGCGATAGAATAGACTACAGAAATAACTCGATGATCGCTGGTACAGCTCTTTGTCTTCTTGTACATACATAAAGTAAAAATCTCAGTCCAAATGAGTATACAACACGCAAATGTTTGGTGTGGCTGTTGAACGTGATCAATGTACGAATCAATGTCGAACGCGCGAAATGATATACGCGCGGGAGGATCCGGAGTCGATTCTTGATGTGTGTTTAATACTTTGTGGGACAGCTGGGGACTGTGATGGGAGAAGTTAGTCCGGGACCACTACCGCTGCACACACGAGTCGCCCTGCCAGGTCTGGTCGGCAGACACTTGTAAAATTCTGTCCTATAGCCGTGCTGCTCACATTTCGTTTTACTTCGTTCACTCACCCTTGTACGACTCGCGCACAGTGGTTCAACTTGACTACACTTTGGAATGCGGCCAATGAATGCTTCTTTTATAACGTAATTTGTCTTCAATTATTAAGGCGAAAATATCGATATCCGTGAGCCGTTTAGAGAGAAAGAAAAAAATATAATGTACGAGATACGAGGTCTGTCCCAAAAATATCCGACCTTTGGCCATATCGTGAGAAAAAAATTACTCCGGAGTAATATAAATGACGTCGCCTTTGGAAGCGCTGACCTTCTTCCAGCGGTCTACCCACTTCCGGAAGCGGTCCTGGAAGTTGTCTTTTTTGTGACAGCCACTAGCTGCCTCGTCGCATTTCGTTTTATTTCCTCGACATTGTTAAATCTTTTGCCTTTCAACGGAGCTTTTGCCTTTAAACTTGGGAAATTACCAGAAGTTACATGGGGCTATACCTGGACTGTACGGGGGTTGGCGCAGTTGGACAATGCCGTGTGTGCTTTTGTTTCATCGCCAATAATATAACTCTTTTGAGCAACTCTGGATTTCTTTTTGGATAGATTCCAGAATGTCTTCGACAACTTCAACTCGAAAATCCTTTTGGTCTTTCGTGAGCACTCGTGGAACGAATTTTGCAATGCACGCGGCTCTTCCCCAGATCTTCAGTCAAAATTCGAGAAACGATAAATTTTGGGATCCAAGGAGATCCTCTTCTAATTCTCGCACGGTCAAACGATGATTTTCGTTGATTGTGACTCGCATTCCACGTTTTCCGCTCTCTGAACCGCCTAAACCACTCTTATTTGCGTATCACTCATAGAGTCATCACCATAAACTTTGCGGATTATGCCAATTATGTGGGCAAATTTGTAGCAAAATTTAATGCATAATATTCTCTACTCGACTCGCTCGGTTATTATGAAACGCGACGCTCGAAATTCTCGCCGCTCATTGCGCAACTGCGTACTGTTGCCGGCTGAACAAGTGTTGGGTCGTGCAACTAGATAGGGATGTTCCTTAGAATCTTCTTTAAACGCTGAATGGCTGTTGTCTGCAATAGGATGCCCAGGAATAAAAATATACGCAGAGGTCGGATATTTTTGGGACAGTCTTCGTACATGCATTAATTATAAAGATCACGGCAAAGTACTAACATTGTCATATCCAACAGATCTTGAGCATGAGCCACTGTAAGCGATTATGTACGCGACTTATAAATGTACTGGTCACAATAAGTTCACAGTGAGTTCTGTAAAAAAAAAAAGAAACGTCGCTGGAGTTATACATCAGCCGTTGAACTTAAGGAGCTAGTCGTATTTCCTACCATGTAGCAATTCTCGATGCTAAATCGAATGCTAAATTGGAAAGTGTGGAACGCATTCTAATATAAATATATATATATATATATATATATATATATATAACTTATTAGTATCTTGACAGAAAAAGGGCTAATCTTCATTTATTTTTCAGCTGCAGAAGTTTATGAGAAACAATTTAAACTTTTCAAAATGACACGTTGAATAGATTGAACAACTATTGTTTTAGATTATTCTAGATATTCGAGTTTATGTAAATTTCAGTTTTCCATTATTATTTTTTTTTGACACTATCCATATAATTTTAACTATAAAGAATAAATAGAGATGCATGAACGATACACTAGAAACTGGTACACAGCAGATACAACTGAGAATAAATTGCTTTTATTTTCGCATATACCCCCTTCAATAAGACCTTCACGGTTAAAAATTAGACAGACAGATATTAGCCACCTTTTCTCGCAAGTACAGATATGTTACATTATATTTATTGGTTTTGCTAGGTTTGTAAGTAGATTAACTTTTTTAATGACCACTGTATAGTATTATGTTATCAGGCGGTTTAATTTTAGTAGCCGGTGGAAACTGTAACGGAAATATGCGGCGATAAAGTGAAATACCTTTATGACGCAAGATCGACAACCTGTATCTAATTAATATGCATTATGCGTCTGAGTATGATAACCAAAAAAAACGATAGAGAGTTGTTCGATAAAAAATTGACTTAGTACGTTAGACATGCGTAATAAAAATTGTATATCGACTCTGTGTATGTGAACTGTGGTGTAAAGCGATTGTATAATAGACTTGCTTATGTTGCGTTTCCAAATTGTATTTGGAAGTATTCTGCATTGATTCTATAACGGCGACGCACGAACGAGAATCTTTCGGTCGTAGGAACTTAATTTAAATGGTTTTAGCGATCGGCAAATATTGATTTTGCTGTTGTACAAAGTCCAACTACACTATTTGTAGAGTGCGGAGCACTCGAGTCTTATAATTTATGCAGTGTAATTACTTTAATGCAATTGCTTTAATGATTAGGAAGCAACGTACAAGAGACGGTAGATGCTTCAAAGATTCATCGATTAATTTATACATTCGGAAAGCAGATATTTATTGACTTCTTGGCATTGTTACAAATCCCGATTATGGTCGAATAAAAATAGATGTTGCATCCCCAAAGCTTTACTATATAGATATTATTATAGATATAAACCAATTATAAGATAATTTTGAAATAAGAATGTGAAGTTACAAATGAAGATGCGAGGACTCTTAATTTAGTCGTTGGCTGTGAAGATTTGATAAAATTGTTTGCGAATGTAGGGTAGATACCTTAAGAGCGAATTCTTAGAATGGAAGAGAATGTCTGCATAGAAGAATATTTACAACATACATATATCAATTGCAAATTAGTTCTTTAAAATAAATCGATGTATATCGCGAAAGATTCATTTTAAAATATAAGTCGTATTGGTTTGCGTCGTTACGTTAAATCGCAACGGTGAACATTTGGTGAACATATATTGCTCCTTCATATAAATAAATGATATATATATATATATATTTGTGAATCCGGTGTAACGTGTAATAATTGCAATGTATACATACAATGAGTAATGTGATACCATGTACCACACTTTGCAAGGTTTAATAAAGTATTTGTAAAAATAATGAAAATAATATCAGCTTTATATTGAAACTGACTTTACAGTTATTGAGACGGTTGCTGGCTATTTATAATCTTTCTTATATCGTCGGTTACACGAAACATCGGGCCATGCCCAGGTATAATAAAATCTGCAAGATTTATTACATATTGCCTCATCATATACTGACTTTCTAATAATTCCGGTGCACCCACAGATCTCCAGATGTGTGGTGACAAAATATCTTCTTCCTTCTCAAATAAATCTCCTGCAAAAATGTGAAATTTAAGCACTTTTCTAAAGCAAATAATTATAATATACATTTAGTGTAACATAATTATACATGTATTAACATGTAATATCACAATGATCAAAAATGCACATAATTTATTAAGAAAAATGTATGAAACAATTTCTGAAACTAACGAATACCTGTAATAGCAAAGCATGTCTTCTCGCCATTTCTTATTGTTTCTACTATTACGGTAACATCTTCCGCAGTGTGCCCTGGAGTAGCTATAACTTTAACACCTGGACAAAGCTCATAATCCTCTGTATTTAAAGAAATAAAACTTTTTTAGTCATTGTTGCAAGAAAAAGAATCTTAAGTAAATTCCTCAAGTATTGTTGTAGGTACATAATAATTTTTCTGCCATTGAAGAGCGGATTCAAAGCAGATTATCTAGAATATATTAATATTTTGTGCATTATGCTCTTTCTTTCTCTTAATGATATAGTTATAAATTATTAAGCATCTACAATTACTATGGTGACTTTATATTAGGATCTTTTATATTCGCACTGTTCACTTATATGTGCTATTTATATAGTTGAAACATCACTGTATTTATTAACATTTAATAAACTGAACAAACCAGCTATAATATTCTTCTCAAAAAACATGGTACCATGATGAACAGTGAATCCTACGATATGTTCTGCGTTTGTAAATAGATTGTTGTTCCCTATATGGTCAGAGTGACCATGAGTGCAAACAACATAATCAACATCTGTTGGGCTAACATTGTGCTGTGCAAGTGCTAGGGAAAAAAAGAAAAATATATATTAAAAAAATATGCTGATACATCGGATACATTGACATGTATAATTCCTCTCGTACCATTCAACAATTTTTCACGGTCCCAAGCTGTCATTGTGTCGACTATGATCAATTTGGGACCTTTTATCAGCGTACAAGAACAATTTGCATCCATCGTCGTCTCATTCAATCGTTTGGAGTAGCCGTCAAACAGCACCATAACCTCACACATTTTTGTGAAGCGCTTTATACTTTGCAAACAGTATTTTATATAATCTGTGCATGTGTGTGTGTGTGTATGTGTGTATATATATTACAATTTCCTTGAAGTCTATATTATATAGATTTTTATTTTGCAATATTATTCACTGCCATCTCAAAGAATTGTCTTTTCTATTAGTAAACACCAAATTCGTGACATATCCCTTTCTCTCTCTCTCTCTCTCTCTCTCTCTCTCTCTAATGGAAACTGAAAACACGTGATTTTACAATTATCGATATAATTATGTCGATAATCGATCTATCGATTATAGTTCTTCAATATGCGAGGTATCGCATAGATGACAGTACAACAACCGAAGCAAATGATTGGCTGTCGCGTTTTCCGTGCAGGCCATGTGATACCGCATAGAAAAGACTTTAAACAGGAAACCGGTTATGTGTGCGTATGATTGGACACACTAGCCAGTAATTCATATAATCTATGACGGTGGGAGGTGAAAGTGAGGGATGCGTAGTCTGACGTTTGATGATCGTCGCTTGTCTCTTCAGAAGCAGTACACTATTCATCGTGATCGTTTCGGAGAATTTCACGCAGAGGAGGTGACTTGGTGAGTAATCATATATTGTTTGCCATTTTGCACATTTAGCGAAATACGACGTCTAATTATATTTATGAGATGCTTATGGCATGTGGATACCAATCTTTCGAGTTCGACGACGTATACTCGTCTTTATTTACTCTCTCTTCGATCATTCGATTACTGTCCTGATAACACATGTTTTCCTGGGGACGTCCGGAGGACGTCCTGAGGATGATGAAACATCCCCAGGAAGTCCTCAAGACGTACTCTGGACATCTGTGCTATCAGGGTGCCCATTTTTTCCTTTCCGCTATGGGAATTTGTCTCGAGCGTGTATGACACAAAAGTAATGATATAGTTAACCGAGCAATTCAATTTGCGATCTAACAAAGAAAAGCTGCACTGTCAGATGACTCAGGACAATAATCAACAATGACGAGACGCGCGTGTAGTAGGCGCTTTGTTGACTCTTGACATCCGGGACGTGTGTCGCGAAACTGCGATCGATTTTTCATCTTCGATCCTATCTCTCGCTTTCTTTTCCTCTTTCTTTTTCTTCTAACATGACGTAGTTTCTTATCGTTCGTTGCTGCGATAATGGTGCGCGTAGAACAGCAGTTCGAGCATAAACAGCCTGCTTGACGCGAGTCGACCTAGTTCCTCCTTTGTCCCTAATAACAACCGACGACGCATTTCACGTCGAAACATGAGAACATAACAACTACCTTGATAGCGCATACTGATTTCACACACGTTTTCTAAACGCACGTAACGTTTCATAGCCGTTTCGCGAAACGTTTCGTCGACGTTTCTAAACGGGGTATGCGAATTGTCCAGGTACGATCGAACGTGGGACTTTGCGACTGCTTCCGGGAGAAATTTCAAGTTTTGCCCGGTATACGGAATATTGACGTAGGTGTTAAAGGCAAGGCGAAAGGATTTCGCGGTTGCTCGGCTTTTTATTTTAAACGTCGCCTCGGCTGCTGAAGCGTGTGACATAATGGACGTTACTTTGCACATCTTAGGGCGAGTTGTTCCAACTTGTTGGTAAGTTAGCCGATAGTTAAATCACATGTCCGTTTTTGTCTAAGTTGAAGGAAAAACACAGACAATGACGTATGATTTAACGGTTAACTTTCCAAGAAGTTGGAACCACCGACCCGTATCGATTCATTAGCTCGATGTATGTTTTTTCCGAATCGGCGGAATCTGCAGTTTCTCACATTTCTCCTCCAATGGCTAATCAGTTTTGTAATGTCAATGTGTGACGTCGTCGGTGCTGACGACTAAATAATCACAGTGAATTTTATAGGCGACTGCACGGTTCTCTGGCATGCTCAAAAATGCGTTTATCCGTGTCGAACGATTAACGGAATTGAAATGGGTTGTAACTCGTATCTGACGTATCTCTTTTATTGTTATGTCATACGTTATTGTTGTACGTCAGATTGGTAAAATTGATGAGACCGTAAGCTAGCGCTTAAATTTACTGACTTGAAATTTAAATTACTTGATACGAACAGTAAATAAGAAATTTAAATATAACTTCAGTTTTTCGTGAAGTTAGCTTATATCGCGAATACTCAGGCTTCGATTGATTATTCGAAATAAAAAGCAAGCTACATGACTCAGTAAAGACACGATTGTCGTATTTATGATCTGTGTGTTAATGCAAAACAATCTTTCTCAATGCCGTTCGTTCGTCACGCCGAGAATGTAAACAAACTTATCTAATACGCACTTTAGAGCGAATATGTTTTCATTTGCTTTCACTTGAACATCTATCAAAGAACGTCTATCTATCAGAGACTCGTGACTTCTTATCAGTTATCTTGCGTTGCGTCTTTATATTCGATCTTACAATTAGCTTCATCTGACACGCAGCTGTAACTTTCGAGGAAAATTGCGTTAGATAGATTCGACACGTGAAAAGCGGATCTAGCGAAATCTTGAATATTTTCGCAGTTGTGAATAAATATGTATAAATAAACACGAGATCGAAGCGGCAGGTAAGAAAGAAATTGGTCGCTGTTCTTATTTTCACATTTGTGCACGCACGCTATTTGTTTATCTCTCTCGTAAAGGCAATTTCCCAAGAAGTCTGCGAGTTCAAGTTTTAGAAGCGTATATTTTTTTTCGACGAATTTACGCCAACGCATAAATGAAGTATTTCATGACGCACTGAGAATGTGACAATCCGCGGGGAATGACATTTAGCAAATGATCTCTTGGGGATCGAGACAAATGAGCGAGGTTCTCGAAAGCGGCGGACGGGAAGGAGAAGATAAGAGAATACGCCCCTGTGAAAATCGCATTTGGGATTTCGTAAAAAACGTCACGAATACGTACTTATGCGTTCTCACTCATGGACGGACGCCCATTTATAGTTGCCGACGGCCGGCCGAACGCGATTCATCGTTCGTCGTTGCCGGGAGATTGAAGCTACGAGTTGTGTTATTATATCTCAATATCCGCGTACATCCCGCTCGTTGTCGACCTGTCAGTCAAACGGTAATATCGTTATTGTGTTATTGTTGTATTGTCGCTACAATTTGCCGCAGACTCGCCGCCTCGTTTGTATTTTTTTCTTTTTTTCTTTTTTCTTTTTTTTTGTGGGCGGAGAAAATTGTGTCCTTTTTACGTTTTTCACGATCAAAACGAGAAGAATATATTCATCTGCGATTTTGGAAAGAGAAATATTGTAAGCACGCGCGAGAAAACTTTATATGCGTCATTCGCTGCAGAGCGTCATTGCGCAAACAGGATGATTGCGTTGCTCGACTTCTTATTCTATACAAGTCATCGATATGTAACATACATAAGAGATTTATCTGTGGGGTTGCCGCTAGTTTAGGAATTCTTACTTTATTTAGCAATGACGCGCAAAATGTGATAAGAATTCTGATATTCTTTTAACGAGAAATTACCGAGATTTTTGAAAACGCCGCGACACACATTGTCTGAGACGAGATTTTTAAGCGTATTATTGTTTAATTCGTATTAAATGAATAATTTGAAGTTTTCTCTTTGCATTTAAGGAATATCGAAATTTGTGTTTTTATATATAGATATAGAGGTCTACATCGAAATAAACAAGCAGCAATCATGAAGGCTGCGATTTTCCTCTTATTGGGGATACTTGCTGCAGCTCAGGCTATATCATTCTTTAATCTCGTGACGGAAGAATGGAATACTTTTAAGGTATGAAGTCGTTGTGTATTGCAGTTAAGAGCTTGTCTCATACGGACATAGACGCACGGAAATTAGTTTGCTCGATATTCAGTATCTGGTTTCAGTTAATAGGTAGCGACAACACTGATATGGATATATTTAGTTATGTGACAGGCATATCAGTTATAGATTAACTTTAGGATTCTACAAATCACATGTCTCGTATATCAGTTTTGTTGTTACTCACCCTTATTCTTATGGAGAAAAACAAGATGCGTTGTTATCTCTGAGACTGAATTTTTTTTATCATTAATTTCAATTACCAAACAAAAAAAGAGCATGTAGTTATATCTTTTAATATTTTAGGTTACACACAGGAAAGCCTATGACTCCAAGATCGAGGAGAGCTTTAGAATGAAGATTTTCATGGAGAACTGGCACAAAATCGCCCTCCATAATCAGAAATATGAGTTGAACGAAGTTTCCTACAAGCTGGGAATGAATAAGTACGGTGATATGGTCAGTTCTAAGAAAATGACTTATCAATTAGTGGTCAGTTGTGTAACAAGCAATTCTTTGTCAAACGCACATGTCTCATTTACAGCTGCATCACGAATTCATCAATACTTTGAACGGTTTTAATAAGTCGGTGAGTGCTCAACTTCGTGCTCAGAGACGGCCGATAGGATCCAGGTTTATTGAGCCCGCCAATGTCGAGATACCGTCATCGGTAGATTGGAGAACGCACGGTGCTGTCACACCTATCAAGGATCAAGGACACTGCGGATCTTGCTGGTCTTTCTCTGCGGTAAGTTGCTATTCTCGATTTTCCGTGCAGACAATGTTTAATCTGCCTCTTGATTCCATTTCCATTATCTTAATATCTCTCCGGTGGTAATCCACCTCGTGAAATAACATTGACATTTTAATCCATCTTCGGAGCACACTCGGGGCACGCGTAAATAATTATGCGAAGTCGATATGAAAGAAATATCTTAAAAATTCGATTTTCTGCTATAGGACGGATAAGATTATGACATTATTTTGTTAACGTTGTCCTAATACTTCCTTTTGTTTCCTTGCTTTAATTTATTTAATTAATCTTAAGGCCGCCGAGTTTCCTCGAACAATGCGTGAATGTTATTGCGTAGATAGAATAGAGGGCAATTCATGGGCTTGGTCTTTGCAGACTGGTGCCTTGGAAGGTCAACACTACAGAATCACGGGCAAACTGGTATCCTTGAGCGAACAAAATCTGATTGATTGTTCCGGCCGTTACGGCAATAACGGATGCAACGGTGGTCTAATGGATCAAGCCTTCCAATATATCAAGGATAACCATGGTCTTGACACTGAGATTAGCTATCCGTACGAAGCGGAGAATGACAAGTGCAGGTACGCGATAGTCGTTTTGCGTAATACCCGACAAGAGTGCGTGTCTCTTCGTACGACTCGATAATTTTAATGACTATGGAAAAAAATTGCAGATATAACCCCAGAAATAATGGCGCTACCGACAGCGGCTACGTGGACATTCCGGAAGGGAATGAGAAAAAACTGAAGGCTGCGGTCGCCACTATTGGTCCGGTATCGGTCGCCATCGATGCATCCGCCGAATCTTTCCAGTTTTATCGCGAAGGTACGCGAAGGTCTCTTGCTGACTTGTAACTTGTAAATTAACCAACTGAAAACGAGTATTGAAAGATAAGTTTGATATGCGATTAATAATTGAATAAACTACAGAATTAACTGACATTAGTAAGAATTTGCTCGAAGTCAACACTGCTCGCTTAGTCTTACAAATTTGTCCAAGCTCTTGTTTATCTGAAATATTTATTAATCTTCAGGAGTATACTACGAACCTCGATGCTCTTCCGAAAATTTGGATCATGGTGTATTGGTCGTTGGCTACGGTACGGATGATAACGATCAGGATTATTGGTTAGTGAAGAACAGCTGGGGTGTAACCTGGGGTGATGAAGGTTATATCAAGATGGCGAGAAACAAGGACAATCACTGTGGTATCGCGAGCAGTGCTAGTTATCCTCTTGTTTAATCGTTAAGTAACGAACTTTCGCATATTTAAGATCTGCGAACATGACAACTTGAATAAAACTTTCAAACAAACGGCAGGATGAAAGGTTTATGAAGGTTTTGTGCTCCCCATGGGTAGCGATTGACCGTTCATATTATCTTTTCGTTTCCTTTTTTCGATTTAGCAAGAATTACTTTCGCGTTATCTCATAAATGAACCAATATTTCTATTTTTAGAAAATATATCGTAATAAATAAATTCTTGGTAACCATGTCAATATTTATTTATTCCTGAATCTCAAGCCGTGAGTAAGTGAGTTCAGTATGTATTTGTCCTAAACGATAGAGGGGATAATTCATAAAATTATCGTACTCGGACAAATATCGTATGACTTATTCTTCGCTGTAGTTAAACATCGTGATATTTTTCAATTGCTCAAAAGTAATTAAAGATTACTCTCAATAACCAAATAGATAAACCTGATTATCTCTCTCATGAACATTCTGATATATAATCTGTGGATTATATATTGATATAAATTTAATTTTATAATTTTTTCTCAGCCGATAATGATATCAGTTTTCACATCGAATTTTTTTCCTGCTCTTCAACATTATAGAATAAAATTCCTTAAATAGCCTGGCGAATCATTCGCCAGGTAAAAACTATCGAGTTTTCCGCATATTAAATTCGCATTTAAATGATGAAGTTCTACTAATATTTAATATTGTGGTGAAATATGACAAACGAAGGGTTAGTGAAACAAAGAATACTGCTATTCGCTCTTTTTAAAGCAAACGCCCTTAATGCGCCGCTGGACATTTAAATGTGCATGCAAACGCCATCTGTTAAGAAATCAAAGCATTATAGGCTTGTTTTTTATTGCTGAACTGGCTGCACTGACTTATTTGGTCTGTTCTTTGTAGCTGAACTGCTGAACAATAAGCTAGAGTGAGAAAACCTATATTTGCCTCACTTTAACTTATTGCACCAGTTCAACAGCGCAGCTACAAAGAACAGACCAATTGTACCAGAGAGAAGAAAGAGAGAGGTCACGGGCCGCTTTTAGCCGTGCCATTGCTGAATGCAATCCGCGGAGCCATATATCGAACTGATCGAACTGAAGTTCGATTCAGCGGCGCATTAAGGGCGTTTGCTTTAAAAAGAACGAATAGCAGTATTCTTTGTTTCACTAGCCCTTCGTTTGTCATATTTCACCACAATATTAAATATTAGTAGAACTTCATAATTTAAATACGAATTTAATATGCGGAGAACTCAATATTTTTTACCTGGCGAATGATTCGCCAGGCTATTTAAGGAATTTTATTCTATAATGTTGAAGAGCACGAAAAAAACTCGATGATGATAATCAATTATCATCGTAGTAAGCGTAGAGCGTAAAGAGAATAATTGACTGATGCCCATTTCTACCAACTTTGGTTAACTTAACCGTTTGTTTGGTTATTCCAACGGAATTGACCAGTCACATTTGTCGTTAACTAGAATTATTAAATGCGATTGGTCCATTCCGATGGAGTAACCAGTCGGTTAAATTAATCGCGGTTGGTAGAAACGGACATGAGTGATTGGTCAATTTTCTTATCTTACGATTACGACTAAAATTCGATGTGTAGCGGCCTTATTGGATTCTGTCAGATTTCGTCGCGCGTGCGCGTGTATCGCTCCGATATCATAATACTACACGAATTTTGGTGTTTGAAGTACAGGTTTTTTTTTATAAATTTTACATCATTAGGTGTCTGTAAACGATTGTCGCTGTTACGTTTGTAACGTGTTACATTTGTCGACAGTTATATTCTGTACAAAATGAAAGTCGTACTCGTAACTGGCGGTACTGGACTAGTTGGCAAAGCTATTCAAAATGTCATTGCGTGTGACAAGGGAGAAGATGAAAAGTGGATATTTATTGGCTCCAAAGATGCAGATTTGTGGTAAGTTAAGTTTATTAACACTTAGTCAATGATTGGTATGTAAGATGTGATGGGCTTGTATTATTCCATACAAATTTTGCTTTTCTTGCTAATCGCAGTGACAAGGAAGATACTCGCAGATTGTTTGCTGAGCACAGACCCACACATGTTATTCATCTGGCCGCCATGGTCGGTGGGCTTTTCCACAACTTGTCTCACAATTTAGACTTTTTAGTAAGTATATGTAGTTAGTATGAGTAATGTAGCTTCAATCAAGATTCTAATATCAAATTTGATTTCTACAGTTGAACAATATCCATATGAATGACAATGTTCTCCATATGGCTCACGAATATAATGTTTTAAAAGTCGTTTCGTGCCTTTCCACTTGCATATTTCCAGATAAGACGTCGTATCCCATAGATGAAACCATGGTAATGATATAAACAACAATATAAATCAAGTATATTTAATATTTTGAGCAAGTATGGTTGTAAAAACTCTGATTTATGTTTCAGGTTCATAATGGGCCACCACATCCTTCAAATTATGGTTACAGTTATGCTAAACGACTAATAGATATTGCAAATAGAGGCTACCATGACCAGTATGGCAGACTATACACCAGTGTAATTCCTTGCAATGTGTTTGGCCCATATGACAACTTTAATCCTAGCTCAAGTCATGTTATACCTGGCTTGATGCGCAGACTTTATGATCTGTGCAAAGATGGTATGGAGACAAGCTTCGATAACACTTTGATACTGACAGATGATCCAATATTATTGTTAATTTGATATTATTCTAATAATTTGATATTATTCTATAATTTGATATTATTCTTTTGTAAGGAAACACCGAGGATAAAGTATTCACAGTACTGGGATCTGGTAAACCTTTGAGGCAATTCATCTATAGTATAGACTTGGCGAAATTAATAATCTGGGTACTGCGTGAATACAATTCTGTGGATCCAATTATATTATCAGGTAAATGAGCATGTAAAATCAATCAGAAAAATTGCAACATTAAATCATTTTTCCTTGTCTGTCTACAATGAAATGCAAAATTAATGATAATTTATCGTCAATCGTCAAAATTCTATAAATTGACATTTTACTGGCAAACAAGTTGCTGAGGAGAAGTAATTTTTTAGTGGACGAAGAACAGGAAATTTCGATATCACAAGTGGCCGAGTCTCTGGTGCAGGCTTTCAACTTCAAAGGCAAAGTGGTGTATGATACGTCGGCAGCGGACGGCCAGTACAAGAAAACTGCGAGTAACGCGAAATTACGAAAGTACTTGCCAAACTTTCAGTTCACGCCGTTCAAACGGGCGATCAAGGACACCGTCGATTGGTACATAGATAATTACGATCGGGCGAGAAATTAAGGCGGGGAAGATCGGGTATATCGATATCGAATGTTACCTGTTAGAATTTGCGGGATACCGAAGATATGATACTTGTGAGTATTAATCGTATGGCTTTATCATATTGTAAAAAGTTATATTTTTTGGAATAAACGATCTATGCGATACGTGTGTTCCTCATCATCGCAAGTAACTGTGCGAGACGTAGATCAGCGCAGAACGCCAGCGCGAAACTGGGCGTTTTTCGGGCAACTGTCGACCTTTAACTGGCTCGAGCTCCGTAGAGAGATGCAGAGTAACGCGAGTATCTTCAGACTGTCAAATAAACATTCGCGGCGTACGAATATTTTTATTGGTCGGAAAATTTAAGTCCCTACTGAGAACGCGCACTAAAGATAGATCCGGGCCAAGCACCTGCCGTTGCATTTATTTTCGCTCGATCGGCGGCTCTCCTGAGAAGTGTATTTTAGGTCAGTTCGCCTAAAGTCCAATCCAATGGACCGTTTTGCGCTTTGTAGCTCGACCGTTAAGGTCGATGAGGAAAGGCGCGCGGTGACGTGACGGTAAACATGGATAGTCGCGAGGGAAATCACTATACACGAATTAACACTTTTGATTTAAAGATCTCTTCCGCATCTGGAGGAGCTCGAGGTAAACGCGAATGAAGAATATACACTGCGGTCGCCCATTGAATTTCGATACCGGGGCAACACGTTCCGCGACTCGCTCTTGCAAGTTACAATTCGCCCGCTAACGTGGAACAAAAAGGAAAGTTTTAATTAGTCGACGTCAGTGCGGGCAAACCGTGGGAGATCTCGGGTCTCGGGAACAATGAACCCCCGGTCGTCGATGGCGCCGACGAAGAGATAAAAAGATTGGCCGGACGAAAAAAAACTCGTCTCGACAATTTCCAGCGACGGGACTCGGCGACGATCGATTTGACCGTCGAAGATAACCACGTGTGGTTTTTATCGGGATCTCAGCCAAGCGGCGATACGAGGAAGGCTTTTCGGTGCGGTCGCGTTTCCCTCGGAGAAATAAATTACCTCCTCGCCCTCGAATCGTTTCCTACATATCCGCTGTTCTTCCGTCAGGCTTCTCTCTTCTTCCCTTCCTCTCTGTCTCTCTCTCTCTCTCTCTCTCTCTCTCTCTCTCTCTCTCTCTCTCTCTCTCTCTCTCTCTCACTCTCTCTCTCTCTCTCTCTCTCTCTCTCACTCACTCACTCACTCACTCACTCACTCACTCACTCACTCACTCACTCACTCACTCACTCACTCTCTCTCTCTCTCTCTCTCTCTCTTCTCTCTCTCTCTCTCTCTTCTCTCTCTCTCTCTCTCTCCTCTCTCTCTCTCTCTCTCTCTCTCTCCTCTCTCTCTCTCTCTCTCTCTCTCTCTCTCTCTCTCTCTCTCTCTCTCTCTCTCTCTCTCTCTCTCTCTCTCTCTCTCTCTCTCTCTCCTCTCTCTCTCTCTCTCTCTCTCTCTCTCTCCTCTCTCTCTCTCTCTCTCTCCTCTCTCTCTCTCTCTCTCCTCTCTCTCTCTCTCTCCTCTCTCTCTCTCTCTCTCCTCTCTCTCTCTCTCTCTCTCTCTCTCTCTCTCTCTCTCTCTCTCTCTCTCTCTCTCTCTCTCTCTCTCTCTCTCTCTCTCTTCAAAGTCCACCGTCGGAAAACGAATCCGACAGACTTTGAGCAAACGTAATTAACTTTCTTATGTGAGATGTATAAACGAATCACGGCGAAAATTCGCGCAGTCATAACGCTCTGATGAAATTGCGGTCCGTTTATTATTTTCTTTTTTCTCAGCAAAAATTTCGACAGAAAGCAATTTTTCCGTGACTCGTTAACTCCCGATATATTCTCGGCCGTAGGGCGAAATTAAAATTTCGCCGATGGTAAATTGCGTTTGAACTCGAATGAAAAATGTCGTACTTTGTTTGTCACCGTCACTGAAAACTTTATTATATTTTGCACGTCCTATCGCACGTGGTTCCTTTATTACAGTCACTTTTGTTGCAATTCGTTTACATATCAACAAATGTCAACGGGAGCTTTTTTTCTATCAGAAATTGTTTATAACTTTCATAATTGATTCTTACGTGTTTTTCTCTCAGTATGTGTGTGTGTGTGTGTGTGTGTGTGTGTGTGTGTGTGTGTGTGTGTGTGTGTGTGTGTGTGTGCGCGCGTATGCATAATTGTTTGGGTGTGCCTCGCGACCTGGCAATGCCCGCTTGATTATTCATTGGCAAATATATCTGTCAGCGACACGCTCGACACGTACACACACGCATACACGTACACGTAAACACGACCTAAAGATCATCGCTCGATAGGCCAGATGTGTCTGCCGTAAGTAACGCGCACGCGACAGATAAGATAATGAGGGGATGCTGAAGCGGAAGCGGTCAAATTACACACGCCCACATTTTCCGTCACGCTCGCGTGCGATTATTTTCTGTCTGTCTTTCTCCTCTTCTCTCTTCGACGGTGTGTTTCTTCTAGGACAAAAAAACACGTATAGAAATAATACAAGGTAAACGTCTCACGTATCCGACCACTTTGAAAAAAAATATTTATTTTATTACTTATTTTAACAATAATGAATGAATGAAAGTAATAATTATATGAAAGTAAAAAATTGCAATATTTGACGATTAGTTGGCAAAAATATATATTCAATTTGATACTTTTGTGCTAAAATAAAAATTAATTAAATCAGTATATGCGCTTATGGTTCGGCAAAAAAAATGGTCAATCGTTGGTAAATTCATTAAGAAATAGCAGATCTGTATTTATATTATTTCCCGTTTGCACATACTAATTTTCTAATTGCGGTCAGATTGCTGGGACAAATATATCCGAACATTGGGCCATAACCTATCTCAACTGTCCGGTCACACTGGTATTAATTAATGCGCTTCATTACTTATATGTAAATATTTCATTGATAATAGGTACATACATTGGTTTAAATCACTCTTTTCTCTGCTTGAGGGAATCTTGAGTTTTCGGAGAAATGCAAAAATACTTATGTAAAAAAACTATTTTTAATATTATATATTGTATTTTTTGCAAGGACCTACGCTTAAACGTCCGGTTACCAAGACATTTACCTTACATAGGGCCAGTTATTCCAATTTCTCTTGCACTAACTTAACTAGTTAGATAGTTAAATCATATCTTTTATCTAGAGATGTGCGAGAATCAAGAATTTTTATGTCGAATCGAATCTCGAGTCGAACCTCATTTTTTAAATTCGAATTCGAGTCGAATCGAATCATTAAAAAATTTGACATGACTATTAAACATGCAAATAATGACGGAAGATTTTAACACGAAAGGGAATATTGATATTGTAATATCATTTTTAAGTAAAAATATATATTTAAATATTTAAAGTAATTTATAATTAAGTTATTATTAATTATAAGTTAAGTCAATTACGTTAAGTTAAGGATTCAAACATACAAGCCCAGATGGCCCGTTTTGTAGCTGATGCACGCAAACGATAATGTATTTTTCATTACTATTCGTATTATTCGGATTCAAATCATAGGAATTCGAATAGTTCGCACATCTCTACTTTTATCTTTGTTTTCCCTTCGATTTAGACAAAGATAAACATATGACTTAACTGTCAATTAACTTACCAAGGAGTTGGCGCAACCTGTCCCCATAAAGGGCGCGCGCTAGAGAGAGAAGAGTATCGCCGTAAGGACGGATAACGAGTTCCGATGGGAGACGACGCGAGCGAGACTCGTGAGGAGCCGGACGACGGATGAAAAGGAAGATTTTCTCTCGAGTCAATGACAATGAGGCGATACAAAGTTGAATAACAAAGCAAAACAGCAGGAGAAGGAAACAAGGAAACAGAGCGCAGGACGTCGGAACGTAGAGGCGCAGGCGCGCGACATCGCGTCGCGTCGCGTCGCGTCGCGCGGCTACGGAGAAAGTCGGGGGGGGGAGTCGCCTCCGGGCCGGTGCGGTTTGGTCAGTAGTCGCTCTCGGGGTGGCTCGCGTTTCGCCGTTCGCTCCGCGGTCGTCTCGTGGTCCGAGAATGTGCTCCCGCGGTGACGCGGGCGGGTCGTGATACACGCTCAGCACGTGGTGCTCGCGAAGCCTCTCCTCTCCTCTCCTCTCCTCTCCTCGAGAACGGCGAGAACGGTTCTGAAGAGGCGGACGAAGGGCCGTCCTCTCGCGATGACGACGCGGAGGACACGCGAGGTCCTCCCGGGGCGATCCGATGGAGCCGGTAGCGGCTGCCTCGAGAGCTTGCCGTCGGGATTCTTGGCGACTCAATAGCGGCTGTCTCGCGGAAACGGGAGAAAGAAGAGAGAGAGAGAGAGAGGGGGGGACAGAAAGACGCTACACCGTCTTTTCGACGCCGTCGATTCGACGCGCGTCGTCGTGCGATCAAGGACGTCGAGGGTGACAACTCCTGGACAACGTCTTCGTCGAGCGACAAACGTGTTCTCGAGGAGAGCCGCACGACGCCGGCCGACGAACCGACATCCGGCATTGCCGACGGCGTCTGTTGCGTGGCAAGCGTCCTGCTCCGCCGGGTCCGTCACCGGGCCCGTCGTCGTCGTCGTCGTCGTCAGGTATCAGAATACTGAGGTGAAGAGCATCGTCGTGCGGTAGAGGTGAATACAGTTATACAGAAAATTGAAATTATGCGGAAAACACACAAGCACATGCTTCCAGCGGCCTGGAGACCGGCGTATATAAGATCGCTCGTATATCTATTGAGCCTCGCCGTAATCTTCATTGACGAGATCGGATATGCGCAATGCGTGTTTCTAGCTAGAGAATCGTAGCTTCCGACAGACGACAGATGACACACGCGTGTCGGAAAATGCGAGCGAGCGAGCGAGCGTGAAATTAAAGCGGCGACTCAATCTATCAATCGCGTTCGAGCGATTCAAAATGGCAGTCTTATGTCCTCGAAATTTCCCCGTTGCTTTTCCGTCGCCTTCGACTTCCGCGCCGTGTTTACATTCTTTTTCTCGCGTATCTATGCAATCTGTCGACTTCGCATCTCTCCCGATAAATCCGTAGTACTTGAGGGGGGGGGGGAAGAGAAACAAAACTGTTACGCGTGATCGTTGCGACGATCGACGGACGGACGATCGTGCGATAACAGTGGCCGATAGCGCGAGCGATTGCGAGCGGAGATAAATTCGCCGGTCCTTTATTCACGCGTCGCGCGCGAACGCGACTATTCGTCGGTGTACGATAATTTGATTAGGGGATATCGATTATTCGCAGACGCCGGGTCGACGAAGATTAGTACCGCTGAGAGAGAGAGAGAGAGTGAGAGAGAGAGAGAGAGAGAGAGAGAGAGAGAGAGAGAGAGGCAGAGAGCGAGGGAGGGCAGGGAGCGGGAGGGAGAAAGAAAGAAACACAGGGGCTGTGTCTTGCTTTCTCACCGTCGGCAGTGCGTTCGATTTAAATTCGGTGGCAGCCTCACGATCATTCGCGTGGGTGTCTTCGGGTCGGAACTTCTGTCCCGATCGAAGGTCGAGACGAGATAATTCTAAACGACGATAATCAACAACTTCGACGAGATCGAACTCTCTTATTACACTTCCATCGATCCATATGATAAGCACGAAAGTAGAAAGAGAGAAAGAAATATCATTCTACCGCTAAGATAAGTGATTACTCGGTCAGTTTATCTTTCTTCCTTTGAGCAACGATTTTCTTCTTTTGAGAACCACGACTTTAACAAGGAACGTTACCTTAACAATCTCTCCAATTATACTCATCGTACGTCATGCATCGTTTTCTAAAGTAAAGCTCATTTTCGCTCATCAGTAGACCCAGAGGAAGAGAATCAATTTTATTTTCAAGAATAACGTAAAAAATTACACAACGCCATCACGTACGCTTACATTCTGTCTTAATGGACGCGCCAAAATTCCGCTTCGCACTTCGGTGCGTTGATTAAAGCGCTCGCGGAAGGCCGTGCACGCGTGATTGTTGTTTCGACGGCAAGCTTCTCGTCGCTTTAACATCCCGGAAATGTCGGAAATTATTTCGCGCATTCCACACGCCGCGCTTTTCGCGAGGTCGGTGCGGACCTGAAGTGTCCCGACGACCGACTAATTTCAACTCGCTCGTTCCTCAGAGCGTTCGCGCGCTGACAGCCGTGTGTGTTAAATTCGCGGGTCGCGCGAAGCTCGTCGGATTATTTCACGAGTTATTTCACGGAAATTACGCGGGCCGCACGTCCGAGTTTTCGCGCGATTTTCCCGCGAGGTCATACACGGCTCGCTCTCGCGCTTTTCCGACGCCAAAGCGCCAAAGGAGGACGCGAAAGCGCGTGGTTACCTTAACGCAATTTCAGCGAGCGTCACTCGATTAATCGACAGATCCGGGTGTCGTAAAAACGCGGCCGCGGAGGACTTTATCGCGCGAAAATAATTATATACGTGCGTTCCTTCTGTTGTACGTCGTGAGAAATAATCGCGCTCGGGAAATGCGTTCCACCGTTCCTCGCGTGCGGCCGCCGCCGCCGCCGCCGGGTTGCGTTTTACAGCGGGTTGAAGAAATGCGGCTCATAAAAGTCGATCGTCCACAGCACGGCGAGAATCTCGAACGTGCTTTACGCGACGTGATTTACGGGACGCAAGTTCTCCCCGTGTTATTCAGAGATACTTAACTCCTTAAACGTGAACTCTCTCGTCTTTTTTTCCCGCGGCAAACGGAAGCTCCCGCTCGCCGCCTTTCTTTCGTTCTCTCTCTCTCTCTCTCTCTCTCTCTCCCCCCCCCCTCTCCCCCTCTCCTTCGCGCTCCTTTCGACGAAGCAATTTACTTGGCCATTTCGCAGTTTTCGAATAGCCCCGACTGTATCGGACGACGCGATCGAACGTTGCTCGCTAACAAGTTTGTCGACGATCACGCTGCCATAATTAATTCTCGTTCTCGCGGAAAATAAATCTTCAAATAAATCACCCGCATTCTGTTTTTATTCAAATACGCGTGGAAAAATGTCTCAGTTCGTACTGAGCCGGATTACTGAACCAGACCAGAAAAGCCGGTGACGAGAACGACACCTCTGTTCTTTGATCTCTGACGCGAAACACGACTAGCACATTCAAGCAGCGTTAAAACTCGGTTGAAATATCTGAGAGCGATTGAGAGATCTACTCGTGAAATCTCTCCTGCGTGAAAAATCTCCCCGTTCTCACAAGTTTTCGTCTGCCGCTCGGGCGATGGAAAATCCAGTTACATTAACAAAGTGGTTCTTCTTCTGTGCAGAAATTCTCACTGTTCCGCGCGGACGGAACGGAAAGAGGAGACCTGAGGAAGAGGACCCGCGGCGCGGAAGCCGGGAACGCTCGGGGACGGCGCTCCACGTGGCTGTCCGACCGGTATCTCACCGGTTGACGGTCGTCAACACCTAGCATCGACTGCTAGGACGTGGTGACAGGACGTCGTCGACTGAATCAGTGAATCAGTGAAACCGCCGAGTGGTCCCCGTTGACGAGGTCGTCGCGACCGCGTGACGCGATGCGGCGTCGCGCCGCTGCTCGTTGGTGTGTCGCGAGCTTGCCCGTAGGATGGACGACGAGAGGAAGAGGAAGACGAGTGATCGTCGTTGTCAGTATATTGGACGCGCCGCGCGACGCCGGCGTCGGCGTCGTCGACTGCCGTCGATTGCTTACCGCGACCACCGGCTGCGTCCGAGTCGGATTCGCGCGGTGATTCGCGTGTGAGGTAAACCCGCCGTCAACGCCAACGAGCCGCTCGCCCAATTGGATGGAAGAGGACGAAGGCGACGACGACGACGACGACGTCGATGACGACGACGGAGGCGGCGGCGGCGGCGGCGACGACGACAACGACGACGACGACGACGACGACGACGGCGACGGCGACGACGGAGGCGACGGCGACGACGTGACGAGAGATGCCTGGCATCGTGGTGTTCGGACGACGCTGGAGCGTCGGCAGCGACGACCTCGTCGTGCCCGGCGCCTTCTTGTTCATTCTGCACCTCATATGGTGAGTGACGATGAACATCCGATAACACGGAGAAAAGAGATTGGCTTGACGAGACGAATTCATCCAAGTATTCATCGAAGGAAACGGAATTTCTCTGATTCTTGTCAAATCAAATTGGGTTCTAACGTGGATTACTTATGTTAATTAGCAACCGATCTTTTTTTTTTCCGCGAATTACACGGTGCGACAATGAATAATGAAGAATGAATCATGATTACGACAGAGGGAACGGAGGGAATTTTATGTACACGGAGAAGAAAATTACAGTTACAGCATAACTGAAAATAGAATTCAAACGGACAAACGCAGCGTAAAGCCCGTGTCACACAATCCGCAATCCTTGATCTTCAATCCGTAGTGTGACACGGGCTTAAAGAAATAGACCTCGACGCTGAGGCATACTCGCGATAAGATTTTCCTTCGATTTTTCAGTAAGCCGGAAACGAGATTTCGTTTTTCTCCAATTTTAGTAGTAACCAGACGAAAATTCAGTTATACGAGAAATATATTTTTGTTACCGTGACCGAGACGTGACACTCGTTTGGACATTCTACATTCTGCAGCTGTCAGCACTAAAACTCGATTGAGGTAACCGAGGAACGATTGACTTTAGCAAGCTCTGACGGAGTTTAGCAAGCTCTGACGGACATTTTTTTGTTCCCGCAACCAAATTTTCTGTGATTATTCCCGCGCGACGGAAAATTCAGTTACAGCGGAATCCCCCGCTTTTCCCGCCCGTGGAACCGAAATTTGCGACGTACCGTTGGACTAAAAGATCATCAAGATAAACGAAAAAGGTGGTCATTTGCAATTTGTTGCGGCATCGCGCGTGTCACACAGCCCGGTAAACGAAAAACTTGAAGATCGACGATCGAACTTTTAGCCGCACGAGAAGGAAACAAGAATGTTTGTCGGAGGACCGGGCGGCGAACAGAAAGATCTCGTTTCCGGTTTACTGGAAAATTGAAGGCACATCTTATCGCGAGTGTGCGCTGCGACAACGTCGAGATGTGTTTCTCTACTCTACGTTTGAGTTCTATTTCTGTCCGAGCTAATGGCTCGCTTCATTATAAATTCAAATCAATTCCTTTCAATAAATTAATCGCGCATATTCGTAGGCGCGATTAATGAACACGACGCGCATCGTGTTTTCTCGAAGCGAATTTACGGAGAGCACCGAAGCTTCGAAAATACCGTGCTCGATCGTGTTAACGCGCGACTCGCGCAGCAACTTGCCTGGAAAGTTATTAATCACGATCGCCGGCAATTTTCCAGAGAGCCGCCATCGCGGTTCGTGTAACGGTTCCACTTGAAATTATTTGGCCAATTAAAGATTTCGCCGTGCCACACGTGTAGAACACATCGGATCTCGTTTGCTGAATTTATCGCTTCTCTCTCTCTCTCTCTCTTGCGCGCGCGCGCGAATCCAATTTTACCGAAATATTCTTACGATTCTTCCTCCCTCTTCCCACCCTCTCTAGTACTCGAGGTGTAACGCAGGGCTATTGGCAGCGAACATGCAAACACACACACACACACACATTTCGTCTTGGAAACATCGTTCAATCTATATCCGATTTTACGCGTGCAAGGAACGTCAATTAGGAACTCCCTCACGAATTCAATTTCATTCAATTCATTTCTGTTGCGACCCGCTAATCGACTGCACGAATATCGGTATGTATGACGAACGTGCGTTCGTCTAGAAAGCTGCAGAATTATCTGCGAACATAAGATGAAACGAAGCTCGTTGCTTCGCAAAGGAACGAATGTACGTAGGGGACATCGCTGAAAGCGAGACTTAACGGTACATAATTTAACGTTAGAGTGAACGCCAAAGACACATAAACGTCCCTTCGGCGCGATATGTTTCCTCAAACATGTTTTAGCCCGGAATCCCGAGTTTCGGTCGCGAGAATCGGTCGGATTTATTTCAAACGCGAATAGGCGGATAAATAGATGCGTTTATTGTCGTTTCAGAGCTCAACCTTCTAGAAACGTTTGTGAAAAGTGCATAAACGTTACTTACAAGAAGTAATAAAATACTGATGCATGAGGTGATTATAAAGAATAATAAAAGTTCGCAAGAAGCGATTAAATAGTTAGTTAAATAAATGTCACGGTACCATAAGTAAATATTTTTCGCCAGTTACAGATTTAATGAGGTTTCACGAAATAGAATGAAGCTCTCTTATTTTTTTTTCCTTTTTTTCTTTCTTCCCTTTTCTTTTTTTTCTTTCTTTTTACTTTCTTCCCCTGCTTATTATATGGGATTCTTCTTCTCGTCGTTATAGTATTGTCTCAACTACTGTACATCAAAGAGGTCAGACCCCGTATATTATTAACAAATAAATAAATAAAGAAATAAATAAATTAGCGCTTTTCGACAATTCTTGAAACGGATGAGTGAGAAAATATCCGTCTTATTTCACTTGATGGCACGTAATAATAGTGAAGGTATAATAACAGTAATTGCAACCTCCTACTTCGAGAATACATCTCGAAAGCGGCGTCGTAAATTCAGTCACATTTATTATCCACAAGTTACGCGCCGCCTCCTCGGCAAAACAATCGGCTCGCACGCGCTATGCGGCGCAAATTGCAATGAGCTCAGTCGATGCGAGAATTCGCATCCGACGAATCCGCGCGTGCCGAATGCCAGAGCGCGCGCGTCGCGCTTTCCTCGCGTTCTCTCGGTTTCCGCCGCGTGCAATTTTCGCGATTAGCGCGACGACAAGAGCGTGAAAATAGTGGCACGCCGCAATAAACCGGGGGGGGGTGGGGCGGGGATCATTTTCAGAGAGTGCGAGCGAGCGAGCGAGAGAGCGAGAGAGGGAGAGCGAGACGGCGACCTTGATTATTCTTGGAACGGGGTATTGGTTTGTTATTTTCAGAGTTTGTTGTGTGCGAACGCCTGGATATTAAGAATCCTCTTTCGCCTCTTTCGACGTGAAGCGATCTGCACGCGCCTCTCGAAAACGCGTCTCTCGTTCTCCCGATGTTTTCCCGTCGTTTCGCTCTCTTCGCGCTCTCGTCACGTGCGCTCGCAATGTTACGGCTGGTTGAACGTTGAACTCTCGACGACCGTTAAATCGAAGCCGAAAAGCCACTCGTTAATAAATGGTAATCTACGCGTCGGTGACGCACTCCATAACCATCAGACCGAAGAGGCGCCGTGTTGCAACAACGGATCGGAAAGAACTGCGTGGAAGTCACAACGAGAAGCCGACTTGTGGCAGAGTTCGTCGGTTACGCGACAGGATGTTCCCCAACCGACCGCTTAATCTCTTTTGTGATTTCTTTTACGTGCATCTTCCGTGTGAGACGCATCCGGTTATTGTTTTGCAAGATAAGTCGGTCGCGCGCGAAAACACTCTTCCCGTGCATTATTATTAGCGCTGATCGGGAGAGTCGCTTCTCTCTCTCTCTCTCTCTCTCTCTCTCTCTCTCTCTCTCTCTCTCTCTCTCTCTCTCTCTCTTTCTCTCTCTCTTTCTCTCTCTCTTTCTCATTCTGGACACCGTCACACGGCAAATTGCTCGGACATTTTGCGCTGTCGATGCTTTACAATTCCAATTCGTGCGAGCCTCCGTTACAATTCCAATTGCCGCTCGAGTGTATCGGTGAAATTGCCGCAAATCAACATTCCCTCAGCTCAGCGGACTGAAGTCGTGGCGGTTCCGTTCCGCGTTTCGCGCGACCGACGCTGCGCGCGTACCACTCGAGGCTCCGTTCAAATTTGAGAGTTTTAAGCGGACGCGACGCGCTGGAAATTCGCACGCGACACCACGTCGCGTGAGAAAATAACGAGGCGCCGGCCGGCGGACGCCACGCTGTTGCTCGGCGACGCGCGTTCAGGCGGACCGACAAATCAGCAGACAGCGCATCGATATGTTAACACTTTGCCGGCCGCTGTCACGTACGCGTGACTTTTGCTCGCCGACGGTTATCGGCCGCTGTCATGTACGCGTGACTTCGGTTCAACGCGGCAACAATGTTTCCACTATGCTTCTGTTTTAACTGTATCCCGATTGTCTTTTCTTGACATTCTTTAATATCACCGTCGGCGAGCAGTAGAACCCGCGCCGGCGGCAGCGTAACGCCCGTGTCACACTACGGATTGAAGAACAAGGATTGCGGATTCAAGATTGAAATTTGACCAATCGGAATGAAGCAAATCAAAACCGAAGTTCGTTGATTTGTCGAAATCTAATCTTCAATCCGCAATCCTTGATCTTCAATCCGTAGTGTGACACGGGCTTTAAGGCGATGCGAGAAGTGAGCGGCCGGCAAAGTGTTAACCCTTTTTAACGCCTACTGCTAACTATAGTTAGCAGAAACGCGGATTTAAGAATCCATAACTTAGTCGAGAATGGAGATATTTTCGTGTTCTGTGCACCTGCACTGTAAAGGTGAATTCTTCTTCTAAAGGATGGTATACAGATTGCATGTTAGATTCGGTTTAGTCTGTTTTTAGCTCAGTTTTAATGATAACGTGTTTTGTCAAATTCCAAGTAGGCATCCAAGTTAACATTGTTACTGACATCAAGAAGTGCACTATAAATGAATAGATTGGTATCTGTTATAATTTTATACATTCGGAAGCTTTCTCAGATGCAAAATGTGAAATTAAAAGAATACAGAAATTCAGAATAGCGAATCCAGTATGGTGGACACGAAAATCAAGAAATCAAGCTATTTCCTTGAAAACTCCGTCCTGGTAATCCTGGTGACCTACAGCGCTTTTTATGCGGCGAAAAATGAAGGGACGATTGACTATCTAAATGGTGATCCATAAGATATTCTTCTGAAATAGTAAGCTTGACGCTCTGGATGATAAACTTCTCACTCACAAATATAGTAAGGTTTCAGCTGAAAAATGTCAAGCTGACTGTCAGAGTGTTATGTCGTATAGATTACCCTTCATTTTTCTCTCTGTATAGATTGCTCATTTCGTATATGCTTTTAGGATCCAAGTCATATTCACCAATAAAGAAAAAAC